TCTGGTAGACGTTTAAAGGAGCATGGATGACTTCCAAAATGAAATTTTGAAGCGAAGAGCCATTTTTAGTCTATCTAACAAGGAAGATCGCTTCTTTTTTCGATAAATAAGAACCTAAATCCACAAAATAGCCTTTTTAACGGATTTTGAGCGTTTTCTCCGTACTTGCAGCGTTTTTTTCTCGTAAACGAGGAATATTTGCAGGTTGAAACTCTCCAAATGGTCTTCTAGTACATCAAGGAGTCTTCTGGCGAATTTTCAGAAAAATCCCAAGCGCAAAATAAAATTACCTCGTTGTGAGGTCATACTGAAACTTTTCGCCCTCAAACCAAAAAAAGGCTGAAAATGGACTAAAAACTATCAAGCTACAATAAATTGTAACAAGAAAACTTTTCCAGGAGCCAAAAATTGGAAAAACCTCCAAGGGTATCCCGAAAATGTTATTCAAAACGGAAATGAACTATGATCAAGTAGCGGCGTTCAGGAAGTGAATTACACGGCTTCATCGCCTCGTTTTTCAGCTTAAGGTGCAAAATAAATTGATAAAATGTTCACTGAGGAAAGTTATTTCAGAACTAGCGGATGAAAAAAAAACTTCATCAGAAAAAAGGTTTGAAAATCGGTCAGAATATGGACTTTGCGAATCTAAACAGCGTGTAAAACGGAGCCTCGTACTGAAAAATTGCTTGATTTCAATGGAAATAGTGCAATTACAGGAGGAAGATCATTAGAAATAATTTTATCAGAAAAAAAAGCTCAAAAATCGGTCAAAATGTGAGCTTTGTAAACCCAAATAGAGTGTAAAACGGAGCATCGTACTGGAAAATTGCCTAATTTGAACTAAGATACACCAACTACTGTAGGAAGATCTCTAGAACTTGCATTTTCAAAAATAACCCTCAAAAATCCTATCAAACTGTGAACTTTGCAAATAAAAAAACCGCGTAAACCGGAGCATCGTACTGAAAAATGGCCTAATTTCAATTAAAATAGAGCAACGAACTCGGCTAGACATCTAGATTGAAAGTCGTCGGAAAACATCGAAATGAACATCCGGAGACGTCTGTCACACACACCCCCCATCACGTCCGCAAACTCTGTCTTCTTTTATTAGGACTAGAAAATATTTCAATTCGTTCCTATTTCTAGACTGAACTGAAAAGGTGAGGATTCGAACATTTTTTTCAGCTTTCCTAACTCCAAAGACTTTTTTTAATACTAGGGAAGCCTTCTGAACTCGGAAAAAAAAGGTCGATAATATTTTAAAACTGTTTTTGAGAGTTCCCTTGACAAGTAATTTTCTATATAACAGAGCAATCGAACGGTTTTTGTCATGAAAATTTGATAGTTCGATCAGAATCCGTCAAAATAATAATGGCAAAAAAAAGTTGGCGGCAAAAAGAATCGAACCTTCGGCATGGGCTTCGCAAGCTAACGCGCTAGCCACTGCACTACGCCCTAACTGCAATGCGGCGCTTGGAGGCGCGTATAGATTTCTTTCAAACGGCGTCACATGGTGAAGAAAAAAAAATTTAAAGAATCATATCTCCGTATTGAAAATTTTGCGCAGATAGCGACTATAGGGGATCGATTCCAAGTCCATCAAAGATTGTTTGAGCACATTTATAGAACATTTACGCAAAAAATGACCTACAAAGAAATTCAAAAATCCTAAATTTCGAGCATTTTCTCACACAAATAATCAACAGCAGAGCAATTTGTCACGGAAATATCAGAAAACAAAGGAAGAAAACATAAGAAAGCCATTTGCTGCTTGACGGTGTAAAGAGGCCGCCAAAAATCAGAAATCCCTCAAGAGATCAAGTTTTGTTCAGGTTATCCAAGAAGGAATCCTTTTTTCAAATCTGTGGGAAAGCTCAAAAATTCATCGATTCTCCTTAAGGGTTGACGCGATTAATCCCTTGGAATGATACAAATATTAAAGTAATCCTGGCTGGTAATCCTTCTTTTCTTGATGGGTACGAAGAAGTTTGGCTTGAGAAAAAGATTGGTAAGAAGTAAAAAGAGATGGAAAAATGTCATAATTTGCTGCTTTTTGAAATTTTAGGGTTCTGGGAAGCCTTCTCAATGCTATGAAAAAGTCAAAAAAAGTGAAAAAGAAAATTTAAAGGAGGATTTCTTTGATTTTGCGAATATAAAATATTGAGAAAACGAAAAGCCAAGAAATTTCGAGTTCATTTTCCAAAAATAAAGAACAGGGGAATTTTTTCGGATGAATTCTCTGTCAAATTTGCGATGGATTGACCCGAAAAATTCAAAAATCGATGAAAATTTGAAAAAACAGAAAAAAGCACCGATTCGAATATTTTTTTGCCGAAAAGCAATGGCAAATCAGTGATTTTAAAGGCCAAAAAAAAATTTTCTTCTCAAAATCTACCAAGAAGAGCTTTTACTGATATACTTTCAAAGCTTCAAACTAAAAAAAATGAGTTTCAAACAAAGTGGAAACGAAAAAATGATGAAAAAGAACTCTTGCTGACGTCATTTCGAAGCTTCAAACTCGAAAAAAAGTGTATTGAAAATGAAGCGAGGAACGAAAATTATGTATATTTATGTGAAGGTCTTCAAAAAAGGAGGAGAAAAAGTTGGCCGGCAACAAATCCACGCCTCGTCCTAATTATTCGTACATGAGATGAATAAGACGGGTGCATGGCTTCTCGTAGGAAAGAGATAATTTTGAGACGGAAGTTTAGTCCTTTTTCCGTTTTTGAAAGGGGTTTCGTATCCATCCTCGAATATAGTTCATTTTTCGGACTTCTCTGCGCTCTCCTCGTCTCTCGACAACCCTCTCTTATTGACATGCTATTTTCGCGTTTCTCTGACCTCGCCGGTGAGGGAACAGCGAGACGCAGACACGCGAAAAATTTCAAGTAGCGTACTATCTGAGAAAAACTCTAGTGACTACTTAAGAGGTTCATCAAGGACCACTTGGAGAGGACACTAAAGTGGCCACTACCTCTATGGAAGCCACTATTTCGGTCTTAGTAGCAACTATAGGAGTTATTTGTAATCTTTAACCAGTCAGACTCCTAAAGAGGACATTTAATTTTAGCCACTCAAGTGGTCACTAATACGACTACTATATGGGCCACTAAACTGTCGAAACCCTGAAGTGACCAGTAGAAATTGTGCCAGTAACTCGTCTAATTTCTGTTATCTTTCGTCAGAAAAGATATGAAAAATGTTTTTTTTTTAAACCCAAACTTTGTTTTATGGATCTCAATCTTCCTGAAACTTTTTGGTGCCCAGATTCTTCTGGAAGCTGAATTTTTACTGGTTTGTAAAAAACTTCAGAAGTCTTAAAAAAGGTACAAGAATGTTATGATCCAAAGAGTGAACATTTCAGTATCTGTCTGAAGCAATTTTATAGATAGTTTTGACGTCTTGAAACATTCTGGTCGCATTTGGAATGGCTCAAACGCTTCGGTTTTTTTTGTATGAAATTCAGACTTGAAATTTCTAACTATCCACTTGGAAATCAAGAAGTTTCTCGGAAAATTCAGTTTCAAAAAATGGCAAAAAAATTTGTACTTCAGCTTCTTTTCAACCACCACACCAAAATAAAAGATCGAAACCCATTTCTTCATCCTGACAACTTCAAATCCCAACTTCCTCCATTCTTTCAAGTTCCTTCTAAACACATCACTCAAATTCTGATTGAAAATCTTGCAACTAAATAATTCCAGAAAGCCCCAGAGGAAAAGAAGAGAAGGGCCCTCGGTGCATCTCATTCAATTATCAAAACAAGGAAAAGAAGAAAATATTGGCTCAAGAAGAAATTCTCTTCTTTAATTGTCATCCAAGTGGGAAATGGGAAAATGTCCAAGTTCAAGCCGACTCTGTCAATTTTGGTGGAAATTAGCCAAGGAATCCATCAAGGAACGTCTAATATTGAAGTTTTTAGTACGACTAGACTATTACTCACATCAGGAGACTCCAAAGCTATGAAAAAATGTTCAAAGAAAATTTAAAAAAATCAAATCTTGCCTCCAAAAAACTCTTTATTTCGGTACTTCTGTATGGTTCTCAATAGCCTTCTCAGGATAGCCAGAGGGGCCCCTATAGGAGTAACCTTAGGGTTCTTTTAGATTCCTTTCAAGGGAGTCGCTTTAGATAGATAGTTTATTCACTGCCATTATTTAACATAAAAAAAAAAATAATTGAAGAATAGATGATCAAGTGAAGGAATAGGCAGAGAAATAACAATACACGGGAAAGAGTCAACCCCAACGAGTTGACGGGTACCCGGAAATATGGCAAATTCACAGGAGACGAGAGGGGATATTTTCATGAAAGGCTTCAAACGGAAGAGCATTCAACTTTTTACGCAGAGTTTATGGCTTTGCCTCATTCTTTGGGGGTTCTGAAGATTGCAAAAGCGGCCACTCTAGGGGTTTTAGGTAATAGCTGCATATTCCAGTGGAGCATGCTATTGTTCCTTTCTTTGAATTTGCAAATCAAGAAAAAATTTATAAACCCCTATAGAAACCACTTGAGCTTTTTATAGTACTATATGAACCAATTGAGGTCTTAGGGGGCTACAGGATCCAATTTTTTAGCTTTTTCATTTTTCTCCCTAATCATTAAAGTGATCACTCCGGCGTACCTTCTGAATCTTTAAGGTCCAAGTCCTAAGGAATAAAGTGATTTTTATTCAACGGAAATAAAATTTCCGGTGAATTCAATACCAAAAAGTTTTCCTTTAAAAGTTTTCCCATTTGACGAGAAATAATAGAAGTTTTTGTAATTCCCCTTTTGTCTATTGGAATAATACCCGCTCCCTTTTTCCGATAGGAAATTCTTTTCTTTTCTTCTTTCTTCACGAAAAGTTTTGATTTTCATCTTTAGGGCATTTTTGCTAGTGAAAGTTCTGGACACAGATTCTGTGTTTTTTTTTTCAAACTTGATTCAAAATCGTCTTGTATAACGTATAGTGTTAAAGGTCAAAACGTCTGAAAATTAAATTTTCAGAAAAAATCATGCCGACGAGATCACAGAAAATGGGCCTCATCGGCGCCATCTCCTACATTATCGGTAATATTGTCGGCTCCGGAATTTTCATCACTCCCAAGTATATTCTCAACGAAGTTCATTCGGTTCGTTGTTTTTCTGAGAAAGTTTGAAAAAATCATATGACTGAAAAAATCTTAAATTTCTTATATAGTCTGTGTACCACGACTTGAAATTTCACCGAACGACGTTCCGCTGTTCCGCTGCGTGCGTTCGCGAAGCGTCTTTCCAATCTAGGTCACGTTTTCAATTGATTGTTATTGCTGTGGGAGCAAATAAAAGTAGAGTACCTCTCAACTATAGAGGTGGTATTCCGATTAGGCCGAGGTCCAGATGCAGCTTTTGATCCTGATGACCAAAAAAAGTCATGTTTCGGAACCTATTCGACACCAAAAAGATCGACTTATCTATCATCAACTATAACTTTTTCTTGGACTTTCCACCCATTTCTGAAAAAGTATCCTACGTCCAGTGAGCTGGAAATGCACGGATTTCAGGTTGGTATGTCACTGACAATCTGGCTTCTGTCCGCTTTGATTGCTTTGTTAGGCTCCTTTTGCTACGTTGAGCTCGGGACCTCGATTCGAGTCAGCGGTGGCGATTTCGCCTATCTTTGCTTCATGAAATGGTGGGTCTGATTTGAGAAAAATAGTGTTTTGTGGTTTAAAAGCGTAAAGACGCTTCCTAGAAATTAGAGAGCAAGAGATCAATGGCGGCCTGAAGAGACGCCAGACAAAAAACCTTTAAAAGACCCCTATATGGACCACTAACGCTTTGGGGGTTCAGACCCTGAGGGGACCATCTTAATGTTAACCCTATAGGGACCATTTTTTATCCCCTATAAGGACTGCTTCTTTTCCTAATCGCTCTAGAGACTACTCTGGGGTTTCTAATTTATTTTTTTCAAATTTTTCCTCTCAAAACTTCGTGCGATCAATCTCCAAGCTTCTTGAAATAAAAGTTCAACAGGAACTCGATCGCCTTCATGTTTATGTGTATCAGCTGTACCATCATTTTTCCGGCAAGCCTGGCCCTACAAGCCCAAACTTTCGCCGAATACGTATTCCGGGTATGAACTCTTGTGTTCAAAAAACCTATCTAACTACACCTTCAACAGGGAGCCAACGTGACCCTCGACCCAAATTCCGACTATTGGGCCAAGAAACTACTCGGATTCTCCTTGATTCGTTAGTTTTTTCATCTTTTTATAGTTGGAAAGTACTAAAACGATACTCTTATAATAATTGATCAGGTTAAGCTTTTCGGCTACCTATTGTATTATAACTTCACCTTTTCGAACGCCTATCCGATATTGATGGATTAACTCTACTCTGTTCACAACCTGGCCGGTCGCTAAAGTTTTCAGGTTACTGTAAGGTCCCTGATTCGTTCCAGGACCTGTATCTTGAAAAAGTCTCACGCATTCAAAGTATTTACGTAGATCTATTCACTATCCTTCCCTATAAATAAAAAACACCCCTAGTCTGTCCCGGAAGATTTGGGTTACTGTAAGATCCATGATTCGTTCCAGGACCTGTTCCTCGGCGAAATTACGCCGTCATAGTATTTACGGAGAAAGTCACCCCTAGTTTGTCCCCAAAATTTTTATGTAACTTTAAAAATCATTATTCGCTCCATGACCTAGTTCTAAATGAAATCGTGCGCCTTTAACACTCTCACGTTGATCTAGTCAACAACCTTCTTTCAGAATTGAATATGAAAATTTCAATTTTCAGTCCTTCTCATGTTCATGAACAACTTCTCGCTGAAAACCCTCGTCCAGCGATTTTCGATATTCGCCTCCCTGGCCAAAATCGCCGCCACACTGACTATCATCGTTTCCGGCTTCTACCTCCTCATTTTCAAATGTTTCTCATTAATCAAATCTCAGTTCTTCATCAAAGACGTTTCAGCGAGGACTGAAAATCTGAAAGAACCATTCAAAGAATCGGTTATTGCGCCAGGAAACCTGGTAACGGCACTGTTCTCCGGGTTATTCTCCTACGATGGTTGGGATATTCTGAATTTTGGCGCTGAGGAGATCGAAAATCCAAAACGGTAATTTTGTGTGCTGTAAGGGACTTGCAGCCGCATTTGAAATGTCTATGAGAAAAATTGTTACAAATGAGGCCGAATTATTTCCAGCACTGAGAAAAATTCTCTCCAAGTAAGACCCGTGTCAAAATCAAAATTTGATTTTTAATTGGCTATTTTGTCCTTTACTTCCAAACATACTGTAATATTTCAACTTGGCTATTTTGAGGTTGGCTTTCCGTCCTTTGCTTTATAGCCATTCCAAACGCGGCTCAAATTCTCCGAAATGATTCCAATTGAGTTTGATTCTCCTCTAACTATCTCGATCTATTCTTAAATCCACATCACGAAAAATCTGTCTCTCCAGGTTGCTTCATAGCCATTCCAAATGCGACCGAAAACCTCCAAACTGTTCGCATTTGGAATGGCTTCGCGCCTACTTTTCTCAATCTACTCCAAAATTTAAATCACGAGACACCTATCTCTCCAGCTTGCTTCATAGCCATTCCAAACGCGGCTCAAACTCTCCAAAATGATGTCAAATGAGTTTTATTCTCCCCTTTTCTCAATATACTCTCCCATCCACATCACGATAAATTTTTCCCTCCGGCTTGCTTCATAGCCATTTCAAATGCGGCCCGAATTTGGTCGCATTTGGAATGGCTTCTTGCCTACTTTCTCATCCCAAATAAACCAACTATTCAGAACCATGTCCCTTTCGATTCTGATCGGCATGACGAGTATCGCTGCACTTTACATCGCTGTCAACCTATCTTACTTCGTAGTGCTCAGCACGACTCAATTCAGTCAATCTTCGGCTGTCGCGATTGTAAGAACCTTTAAAAGTCATGAAAGAGTCAATCCATTCCAAGGACTTTGCTCGAGAAGCGCTTGGGAGTGCGGCTTTTGTGATGCCAATAATGATAGCCGTACTGTTGATTGGATCCCTAAACAGCACGCTTTTTCAAGCAAGTCGGTTAGTCTTTCTTATGACTTCATTCGGCTTCGGATGAACCAGATGCTTACAAGTGGTCTCTCGAAAAGGCCACCTACCCAGCTGCATTTCTGGACTTTCACCCGTCTCAGAATCACCTCGAGTAGCCCTTTTTGTTCATGTAAGTGTGCTCCAATGACAAACTAAGGATGTTCTTGATATTAAGGTGTCCCTGGCGCTTTTGGTTTCTTTCATGGGTGATATGGATCAATTGATCACCTACGTCTCGTTCGCACAATGGTCACAGCGTTCTTTCACGATGGCTGCGTTGATTTGGGTCCGATTCAGGTAAATTTCAACGAAAAAAGAAGTTTATAGTCTTCGAAGCCATGTTTCGAAATGTTCTTCTTGCGCTCTTGTACCGCTTGAGCGGCGTCGAGAACCCAAGTCGGTGAGACAGGTCCTATCCTGATATCAGTTAAAGTCAGCGGACTGACTCTAGCGACATGTCCGTTTGGGGTTTTTGAAGCTGTGGTTTTCCACCATTAACATTTTTATTTTTAAACCCTTTGGTTTGGGTCCTGAGGGATCCTTAGGGGTGGTATCCCACTACTAACAATTCATAAACCCTTTGGTTTGGGACCTCAGGGATCCTCCGGGATGGTATCCCACTACCAAAACTTCTTAAGCCCTTCGATTTGGGACCTCAGGGGTGGTAACCCACTGCTAAAATTTCTTAGACTCTTTAGTTTGGGACCTTAGGGATCCTCAGATATGGTATCCTACTACCAAAAATGTCTTTAACCCTTTGATTTGTGACTTCAGGGATCCTCAGGGATGGTATCCCAGTACCAAAAATTTCTTAAACTCTTTGGTTTGGGACCTCAGGGACCCTCAGGGATGGTATCCCACTACCAACATTTCTTAATCCCTCTAATTTGGGTCCTCAGGGATCGAAACTGTGACCCTGGCGCACAACCTGTTATGGCAAGCCGCCACTCGAATTAACATTGAAAAACTAAAAAATGTCCTTTTCAGAAACCAGCCACTCCATCCGGAAAGGTTGCAACTGCCGATAATTTTCCCCATAATCTTCCTTATCGTCTGTTCTGGCATGGTATTTAACTTATCAAAATCTTATCAACCTTGATTTTTTTGCAGGTTGTGACAAGTATTATAGAGAACTTGAAGTCTTCACTTATCGGACTGGGTAAGATTTGTGATTTCAAAGTCGGGCGCCAATTCTTCCTCGGGTTATTAAAGGATCATGGAGTTTTTTTTTTTAATTTATCGAGACAACTCATACAAGCTTGAAGTTTTTTTAAAGGCGCGGGGAGGAGCCTAAAACATGCCTGCGCCTTTAAAAACCCCCAATAAGCGTTTATTAATGAACTAAAACAAAATAAATTAACTTCAAGGGGTCCTCACAACGGGAATCACACTCTATTGGGTGTTTGTCTGGGAAAGGGGTCTCCCGAAATTCGAAACCTATAAATCAATAGCTCACGATCTTAATGGTTGGTTTCTTCTCGAGAAACATGTTTATTGACTTTTCTTGGAGATGGAACAACAAAATTCGCGCAAATCGTATTCAACGTGATGCCTGATCGTGGTCTCCATGAGGAACTGGACAATGGTTCAAAAAATGTTTTTTTTAAAGTTTGATCATTCAAAATCGAAGAAATATGATTCTATTAGGCTTGAAGATGAATATCAAAAACTGTTTCCTTAGTAAACTAAGAAAATTTTCTTTTTTTCCCAGAGCGAGGTAATTTTTCATTTAGTTTTTGAAATTTCTGAAAATTGGCCTGGATATTTTACAAGATGCTGGAAGATGATTATGAAAATATAAACTTACAAAATATTTTAACTCTTCCGAAAAGAGTCAAAAAACCATCAAAATGAGTCATTTGAAACTGATTCTTTCGAAAATCGGCAAATTGTGAATTTTAAAAGGCTTTCCAGGGCTCGGCTGGTATATCTAGGAGTATTCTGGCGAATTTCCAGAAAATTCTTTTTAAAACAAGGAAAAAAACCTTCTCATTTTTTTGCCAACCTTTTTTGAGACTTTCAATTAATAACCCACTAATTTTTAAATATTTAGAAAAAAAGCTCGGATTTTTTTCAAAAAAGTTTTTTCAGATCCAGCCGTGTCCAGTGGAAAACAAGAGCTTCTCGAAACGAATAAATGAATAGAAGCTTGTTCGAAAATTCAATAAAATTTATTAAAAAGTTAAGAAGTCGCAAAGCAAATTTTTCAAAAAAATTGGACCTTGTGAAACTTCTTTGTAGGTCCATAAATAATGGTTGTAGAAAATTTAATAAAAAGAATCATTTTTTTCGCTCAATTTAGATGAAGAGTCTGTTTTTAAACTCCGAACATATTCTCAGAGTTTTTGAGAGTTTTTTAAGAACAGCAACTGAAAAAAACAACTACACCGCAAAAAAAAAAGCGAAAAAGAATATTTTTCTCACAGATTCAAAAAGAAAAATAATAGTAATAAATATTCAATTTAAGATATTTTTAATGGATTCCCTTTCTTTTTTTCCAAGTACTTCTCAAAAAACGCGACTAATTCCCTGAAATTGATGCTTCAATGGAAGCCGATCGTGTTTGCTCAGAAAGACGTGACAAGAAAAGCCGTTAATCAGACCCAGCGACCGCCCCAACTTGAATTATTGTCCTTTTACGATTTTTTGTCTCTTTCTTGTATATTTTTATAATCTTGAAAAAAGTAGCGTACCCATTTTTGAGGTTTTGAGCACCTTGCAAAAACTGTGGCCGTAGTTTTCCTGAAAAAAAAAAATTGAACTCAAAAAACTTTAAATACACTTTCAAGAAAAAAATAAAATGGTATAGAATTTTCTACAATTTAAGTATTCAACATAGGATATACAAAAAAACGGCCTCCGATAAGTAGAAAAATCAATTTTGCTTCTATACTGCTTGAAAACCCTTGGTGAGCTTAAAAGCGAAAAATTCTTAAACGATCAAAATTTTTAAAAACGACCTTTTCTCGAGTTTTTAGAAGAATTTTCGTGCATTCAAGCTAGGATTTTCTAACAGACTACTCATTATATGTGTCTTCATCAAAAAAAATAACACGAAACACAAAAAAAAAAACAATTCAAAACTCCTCAGGCACTGGTGCGCGCACGCGCGGGGGTACTGATTCTTTTTTCGCCTTTTCCACTGAAATACGGTTTTGAAATATAATTTTCATATTTTTGTCACACTACCCAGTGCTCCTGCTCACGTTTTAAAGTTGTTCCGAGCACTTTCTAACACATTTATGAAAAACAATTGTCAAGGGAAACTTTGTTATTTCAAATTTTTGGGCGTTCTAATTGTTATAAACTGGTGCAGAGCAATGATAGAAGACGAACAGACATAAAAAATATTAAATTTATAACTTTCTAGTTAGTTAAAAAACCAAAAAATAAAAAAGACACCCCGCGCGTGCGCGCAGCAGGCGCCGCGCACGCGCACTTTTGGCAACAAACACGCGCCGTCAGTGCCTGAGTCTAAAAAAAGCCGAATTCTCAAGGTTTTGCGTAAAGTCTGATGTATTCTGCAATCTCTCTCCCCCTCGTACTTCAACGATACCGTAACTGTCAAAAATCTCTTCAACCCTTCCATCTTCGTTTTCTCAACGATCCAGACTTTGACCAAAGTGCAGACGCTAATCAAACCGAGAGCACCTTTTATCATCACCTTACGCAGCAGGGAAAAGTGGACAAAAATTATGCAGCTAATCTTTTCCTTATCACTTGTAACTATCGTTTAATGCATGTTATCTCCAAACGACACGCGGCTACCAATTTTTTTTTCTTCTTGTGTTTCAATTTCTGGACTAATTTAGGAATTTTTTATTAAACCCAAAATAAACTATTGAAATAAATAATAAAGGTCAAACTTGAAAATGAAAATGTCGTGAAAAGCCGCATTTAGTGATTCGACATGATTAGCTTATCCGAGTTCTTTATGCTCTTGATGGTAATTTTTGATTTTTGAAACTTTTTGATCATGAAACTTGTCCTTTTTAGAAATAGGAACATGACTAATAATTTTTTTTGGAGAAATGTTCCGCTTTGAAAAAACCAATTAGAGAGAGGCGTTTTCTGAAATTTCCTTCTTTTTTTCTTGAATCTTAACTTGTTAATATTTTTGTGCAAAATAGAGAAAGCTTCCAAAAAAAGGGATAGGATTCGAACTTGGATCCTTTTGAGGGTGTTTTTGAAGTCTCGGGCTGCTCTATGAGTTCTGATCCAGTACAGGTCCCAAATTCGTGTATATTCACCTTTTTTCAATTTCAAAAACAACTCCAAGTTGAAATATGTTTGATTTACAGCTGAATAGAACAATTATGGAAACAAATTTTTCATTCAAATTTTGATCTCTTGTTCAAAATATACTCCAATCAAAGTCATCTGAACTTTTTCGTTATCGTTTTATTTAAGCTGGTTGATCTTTATCAATTTTTGATATGGTTCTTACATTTTTGAACAATTTGTGCTCACTGGTGAGGTTAGGGAAACAAGAAAATAGCGAGTAAACATGAGAATCGCCAGAATTTTCTCCAAAACATTGTCTTTTAACTCGGTAACGAAGACCAGACGCGCTACGGACGTTTCTGAGCAATTCTAGGGATCACTTAAGAGTCCTGACACTCCTAAAGTGGCCACTAGAAACACCCCGGTAATCTGCGAAAGTTCGTGGATGGAAAAGTTAGTAGTTGATCATCATGGAAACTTAAAGGGCGTCAAAGACGACAGCATGACCGGCGAGAACGGGGAATCCCGGTCTCAGAAGATGGGCCTGATCGGCGCCATCTCCTACATCATCGGCAACATTGTCGGCTCCGGAATCTTCATCACTCCGACGTCCATCACCAAGGAAGTGAACTCGGTTCGTAAATGTTCAGGCTTTGTTATTTTCTGTTCTTTACAATTTGAAACTCGAAACAAGGCTCAAATTGTCTTGATTCCTGACCTTCTGACCAGAGAATGGTCTCAACTTTCATACACGATTTGAAATAGTTCAGTGTCGCAAAAATGCTTTAGATAATAGTTTTGCTTGGATAAAAATGATTCCAAAGGACAGTTAGACTTCAGATTGAAACTATACTTCGTTTCCTATGCTGATTTCGATTCTGAACCTGAAAGTTTTCAAAGAAAGGTGTAAAAAAAGTTGTGAAGTCTCAATGTTGAAAAATCCACTCTTTTTCACCTCGTCCGCCTAAGATTGAGCTTTTTTTTTGGACGATAGATAGATATGACCCCGGTGATCTCTTAGAATAAAGTTATTGATTGAATTATGATTTTGTCATGTTGGTCATATGCATCCGTTTTTCCAACTTTTGAGCCTTATGACTTCTTTCAAAAAGTTCCTAGAAGTTTTTTTTGAAAGCAGTATAAAAATTACATCTAATGGATCTTATTTCATTGTGAGTTAAGACCGATTCCCGATTTCCTGGCATTAGAAAAATGGCTTCCCTCAGAAATCCAAGTTCAGGTTGGCCTTTCACTAGTAATCTGGCTGATGGCAGCTTTGATCTCCCTGTTGGGTTCATTCTGCTACGTCGAACTCGGAACCTCGATCAGGCTCAGTGGTGGTGATTTCGCCTACTTGTGCTTTATGAAATGGTTCGTTCAATATTTCATTTTTGGAAGTAGATCTCAACTTCCAGGTACCCAGTCGCCTTCGCTTTCATGTCCATCGGCTGTACCATCAACTATCCAGCGACACTGGCCGTACAATCTCAGACTTTTGCTGAATACGTCATGAGGGTTCGTTTTTTACAGTTTTATGTTCGAGCCCGACTCCTGAAAGAAAAAATTCAAGAGAAAATTTGTTATTTTTAGACGTCAAAAACGCAATTTTGTTGCCGTGCATTAAGAGATTCCGCGAAATTCAAAATAGCCGCCAAAAAGCGAAAAATATAACTGAATTTGAATTTTGCCAAAATAAATTTTTAACGAGGCGTGTGCAAGGGCGCCGCAGTGCATGCACACGGCACACGACACTTTACGAAACACATATGAGCCGGGCGGCGTAAAAAAAAAAACGCCGTGATTGAATAATATGCTGTGTTCAAAGTAATTTCCACAAGATGCAAAATTATCTCTGACTCTCCAAAGTTATCTTTTTCGTTCTCTGACGGCTATTTTGCATATTGCTGAATAACTGTGAACACGCCAATAGTTTTAAAAAGGAAATTTTTAACTCATTTAAATTATCACTCAAAGCAAAGGTTACATATAAAAAAACTTTTTTTCCAACTTTTGCTGATTCCATTTCCACATATTCTAATTTACAAACTAAAAATAAAGAAATTCCTGCCTTTATTTTTTTGCGCGTTCCGTGTAAAATTGCGTCGCTGTGCAACTTGGTGTGTATTAACCTCGAAAGATTCAAATTTTCTAATTCAAACTTCTTTTTTTTTGTGTTTTGTATTTCACTTGAGGTTTATTATTTCTTTTTAATGAACCTGAAAAAAACTTTTCAGGGCGCCAACATCACCCTCGATGATGACTCGGCCTTCTGGGCGAAAAAGCTTCTTGGTTTCGCATTGATTTGTGAGTTTATCTCAAAGTTAACGGTATAAAGGCCAATTTTCAGTGCTGTTGATGTTCATGAACTACTTTTCACTGAAAACGTTCGTCCAGCGATTTTCAATTCTCGCCTCCCTGGCCAAAATCGCAGCGACCCTGTTGATCATCGTGACCGGCTTCTACCTTCTCCTCTTCAAGTGTTTGGCTGATTTCCAAGCTTTATTCATACGATTTCATGTTTCAGCTGAATCGGAAAACCTTAAGAAACCATTCAAAGGCTCGGATTTCTCAGCGGGTCCGATAGTTCGTGCACTTTTCGCCGGATTGTTCTCTTACGATGGCTGGGATATTTTGAATTTTGGCGCCGAGGAGATTGAGAATCCGAAAAGGTTTGCTGGCTGAATTTTCAAAAGTCCAGATAGCAAAAAATGATATGTATTTTTCCAGAACCATGCCCCTGTCGATTTTGATCGGAATGTCCGGAATCGCCATCATCTACCTGGCCGTCAACGTCGCCTACTTTGTCGTCCTCCCTTTGGAAGTTTTCAAGGAGTCTTCGGCTGTAGCAATTGTGAGTTTATGTTTTTTATTTTTGAAGACAACGAGTTTTGACCTTAATTTGTCTTTTTTTTAAGGATTTTGCCGATGCTTCACTCGGAAAAGCCGCATTTGTCATGCCAGTTATGGTGGCAATTCTACTCGTCGGCTCTTTGAACAGTACCATGTTCTCGGCTAGCAGGTACACTTCGATTTCGAAAAAAAAAGTCACGCCTATTTTTTCTCCGTAGAGTGTCGTGTATCGTGTGCATACACTGCGCCGCCTTCGCGCAGAAAATTGCGTTCATGTGTAAAAATTTCGATTCGTCTCAAAGACCTCTGGCAATAAGGCGGCCTGCGCCTTTAATATGCCCTGTTATTTACGCTCCCGTTCTCTTGACGTCACGTGGGAACAGTGTATATTTTGGCTCCGCCCACCGTGTTTTTGGTTTCCTTCCTTTAACAAGAATGCCGTGATTTCAGAGTAGGAAAGATAGAAGTTTGAACTCCCGCTAAAAGCTCGTTTCACAGTAAAGTTGCTCTATGGACAAATGTACTCATATCTTGGGTTTCTTTGGAATAAACAGACGCCATGATATAGTCTGAAACATCGTTTTTTTTGCCGGAAATTTAAAAAAGTAAAATAATTTTTTCAGATACTTGCAAGCAGTCTCGCGCCAAGGACACCTTCCTTCCTTCATTTCTGGAATCGCGCCCCATTGCGACTCGCCGCGAGCTGCTCTTTTTGTTCATGTCCGTTGTTTGGAAATAATTTTAATTCCTACTGAGGAGATACTCAGTGGTCCCTATAGGGGCCCTTGAACTTTCCCCTCAAGGGACTACCTTTCCTCCCCTTAAAAGGCCACTAATACTTGCAAAAATGGTCCCTGTAGGGGATATGTTAATCGAATATTTTTTTATATTCCATGAGAAAATTCCATGCGGAAAACCTGACAAATTAGCGTGTAGGAAAAGCGATCAAGTTTTTCTTTTTAATTTTCAGATCTGAAAATAAGTTCAAAGATCCCTTTAGGGACCACTTTAGTTATATGGGGCTTAGGGATCAGAATCTAAACCCCTATAGGGACACTTACCATTTACATTGAAAAATTAACGCTATATCAGAAGATCGAGGAAAAAAAAATGAGCCCTTTAGGGACCCCCTTGACTATTTCACACATGACGTCATCCACGACGATTTGAAACTGTCTGACCTGTCTGCGCTCTCTTTTCTCTCGCCGGAGAGGTTTTAGAAACATGAAAAGAAAGAGAGAGCGCAGAAAGGTCAGACTGCCTCAAAAATAATAGAGTATGGATTTTCTTCTCAGGTACTCGTATCCATGGCCGTTTCATTCATGGGCGATCCGGACGACTTGATTAACTATGTCGCGTTTGCCCAGTGGTCCCAACGTGCCTTCACGATGTCCGCTTTGATTTGGGTCCGATTCCGGTGGGTTTTCCGATTCACTGCGACAAAATAAGGAATTCCAGACTGCTCCCTATAGGAGTTAGGATGGAAAATAGTCCCTATAGGGGCTGAAAAAGATGTCCCTGTAGGGATGAAATTAGCATAGTTCCTAGAGGGGTTTAGGGTCCGACCCCTCAGCCCCATATAGCTCAAGTGGACCCTATAGGGATTAAAAATGTTCAATTGTTGAGTTGCTTCTTGGCTCAGAGTTCATAGAAATTATCGACTAGCGTCCCCTATAGGGGCCAATAACTAAAAACTCTAAAGAGACCACTTTTGAAAGCTTTAGTGGCCTCTAAAGGGGTTGGTAAAGTGGTCCCTAAAAGGACTACTCTAGAGTTCCTAGGGAACATTTTGTCTGAGTGTCTGCGTTCCCTAGAGACGCCAGAGTGGCCCCTAGAGGGGTTAGAGAAATAAAAAGTGCCAGTAGGAGACAAAATAGGGCCACCTAAAGGGCTAAAGTTAAGGGCTTAAGGAAACCCCTTTAGGGTCCTCTCTGCCGTTCTTATCTCTCTCCTTCCTTTTTAGAAGAGAGAACAGGAGAGCGCAGGCAAGTCATACTGCAATTTTCACATAGAATTCGGCAAGTTGAAGTATATTCTGTTCATGTTTTGTTTTTCAAGCTCCGCCCCTAATGATGTGATTAACCAATCAGAGAGCCATTTCGAATGACGTCATTTTACTGAAAATTGAGATTAAGAAAATCCTGTAGCTGAGGAGCCGTGTAACGAGAAAAAATAGCAAAAGAGGTCATAATCGGAAGGGACCACTTGAGGGGACAGCAATTCGTTTTCTTATTCAATCTTTGAAAAAATCATAGTTTTCCTAAATCTTCACTGATTTTTATGGTTACCATACCGTCTGGAAGCTCTTGTAATGACCTTTCGATGTTTTTAAATTTCGCCCTCATTAATTGAAATTTTTCCAGAAACCAGCCGCTTCACCCCGACCGGATAAGACTGCCGATCGTTTTCCCCATTTTGTTCTTTCTCATCTGTACAACTATGGTTTTTTAATCCATTTTTTTGATTCTGAGAAGTCAATTTTCAGGTGGTGATCAGTATTTTATCAGATTTCAGCTCCTCGGCGGTTGGGCTAGGTAAAGTTTCCATTGAAAAAAGGACATTTTGACTTTTTTATAGACGTTGTAACATATTTTCTGATTTTTTTTTCAAAAGGATTCAAAAAATGACTTTTTTTTCGCAGAAAAGTACAAAAATCGCGAGTTTTTATCTATAATTACGAGCCATCAATTTCTTTTTTTCTAGGAATTTTACTCGGTGGCCTGATTATATTCTTTTATTTTTTTGTCTGGGAACGAGCCTTGCCGTCCGTCAAGGCCTACGAGAACATCTCCAATACTATTGATGGTGGGCTCATTTTTCAATTTTTGATTTTTTTTCACAAACTGAAACGCTTTGAAACCGTTTCCTATGATTCAAAACAAGGAATATTCTGAAGAATGTAGTTCAAAATTGCGCCCGACCTTAAGCGACTTTTCGATTGGGAAATCAGACTTTTTAATTGTTCATTCGATGAAGAATGACGTCATTAAAAATTGAAAGTATTCGGAGGGAGGTTATTTTTTCCTTGAGGCTCAACAGTTGCACGTGACCTAAACCGGCTTCTGTCTATGCTGAGAGTTATTATTCGAAAGCGTTCGTATTATGAAGAGTCATGCCGTTCAAGAAAGAAAGATAACTTTCTTTGGGTGGACAAAAGTTGCGCCCGACCTTAGGCAACTTTTCGATTTTAAAATCAGACTTTTCAATTGTCCATTCGATGAAGAATGACGTCATTCAAAACTGAAAGCATTCTGAGAAAGGAAGTTTCTCTCTTGAGGGCCAACAGTTGCGCCCGACCTTGAGCGACTTGTTGTCAATGCTGAGAGGTGCTAGAGAGCGGAAGTAGTCTCTGGTCTTGTGCACGAAAAACCATGACCTCTTTTTTTGTAGTTGTATAAGTCCTTTTTTTCCAGAAGAAACAACGAAATTCATCCAAATAGTGCTCAACGTGATGCCGGAACGGGTCGGCGACGAGGAAATGAAACACGCGATCGGCGATGTCGACACGAATGTCAAGAGCCATAAGGTTGGTCAAATAAACCTTCGTGTTTTAGGATATTTCCAAAAATTGATTTTTCGGAACTGTTTTTTTATTCTCGGCTTGAAACGGGTATCAGCGGTTCATAAGCAAAGCAATTTTGGCGCCAATTTAAAAATAAAGACTAATGGATTTTTATGTAATATTAACGCTGAAAAAAACCTTGTATAAAAAAATATAAAATAGGGACACCAGTCACTTTCTCCATGGAGCGTACTTGATCCAACTTTCAGAAATTATTTTAAATTCAGAAATTATTTTGAATTTCGCGAAAATTAATTTTGAACACGGCGTGTGCGAGAACGCCGCAGTACATGCACACAAAACACTACACCTTACGGGAAAAAAAAATTCATTAAAAATGATTTTTAAGGTATCCCCAAGCGAAATCGATTTGACGTCACCAACTCGAACCACGTTTACCAGGTCATCGTCACCAGCTCCCCCCGGCGACTTTGATACCCACCTCTAGAATTTTAATTTTCCCCGAGTCATTTTTTTTTAATTACACGACTTTTTCTGCTCATTTAATTTCCTTGATTGCCAAATTTACTCCCTACGTGTACATACTCGTGTCCATTGATAGTTATAAAGAAATTTAATTTTTTGCTGTTTTGAAAAGTTTCAGGGGTGAAAAAACCATGAAGGGGCTAGTTTCATTAAAATGTCTAGATCCCTTAAGTGGCCACTCTATTTTTCCCTAGAGTTTTAACTTGGAAACGATCTTTTTGAGATGAAGTTGTTCTAGGTGACCGTTCAAATAATGAAATAAAGTGGTCACTCTAGGTTTTTTAAACGTTTTACTACTTGAGTGATCCCTTGATAAATTCAGCACTTGGAAGAGCTCCCTTCAAAATTGAGTGATCACTTAAAGGACCACTTGAAGAAGTCCCTCTAGAGGCTTCTACAATCATACTTGGAGGAGCGCTAGAGCGAAAGAATATCCTGAAGCGACCACTTAAGGTTTTTTTTGCTTTCAAGTTATTATCTGAGTGATCACTTAAGGGATCTGCTGGAGCGGTCCCTGTAGGGTTTCAAGCAAAAAAATTCAATAATAACTTTTTCTGCGATTTTTCAAACCAAGAAAACCAACTTTTTTATTTAAAATCACTTTTTTCAACTCGAAAATCGCCCCGAAGCCAATGAAAAAAAAAGCAATGACCCCAAAAATGCACGAAAAAAACTAGAAGAGATGACAAAAATCTCGACAAAATCCGATCACAGAGACTGAAAAATAAGGCACAAAGAACAGGAAAAGTGAAACGCGATCGATAGATTATTACAGGAAAGCAGGAAAACCCGTAAAGAAAAAAAAATGAATATTTCAAGTAAATAATTATAGAAGCTAAAAAGTAATAAGAAGATGATTATGCAGGAAGAACACAATATTCAACAGGAAAAAAAGACAAAAAAACTAGAGAGCATGGAAAACGAGTAGAGGGTCAGAGAAGCAGAGGAAACAAGCTGCTCGTGTCTCCAGTTTTCACGATCTCTCTAGCTTTCGTAGGAAAATATTGGAAAAAAGTAATTTTCTAGTGAATTTCAAGGTATGAAAACACCAAAAAGACCTTCTCTACAGAAAATTCGAAGTTTCAAAATTTTGAATCAAAATTCCATAGGAAAGAAGCATCCGAAACCATAAAAAGAAAAAAATCGTTTCAAAATTTAGAGAAGTTCTTTCCGAACAAAAAGGAAAAAAGCCCATTCTACAACCAAAAAGTGAAATCGCGTTGGCAATGTCGAAAATGCTAAGAAAGTCGCTAAAAGGATCCCGTTTTGAGCCTCTTTCAAGCCACTTTTTCGCGGGGCTTTCACAGGGTCAAAAAGAGCGCAAAAAGGCAGCGTAAGGGGACCTTTTTCAGAAACAGTTACTCAGAAGATTGGCATGCCAGCAGGTCCTTAGACAGTTTGTAGAACGTGGAGAGTATCTGGTCTCTCCAAGTTTACCGTGCTCTCTCAACTGATTCTCGGCTAGCTTGGGACGGTAAGGGGCGTGGCCTGTCTGCGCTCTCCATCAACCAGGCACTGACTCTTTTTTATCGTGTCAGGACCCTTTTTCGGTGGCTCAAGCCGGCCGCGAATCAGCTGTAGCAGGTGGAGAGTATCTGGACTCTCCAAGTTTACCGTGCTCTCTCAACTGATTCTCTGCTAGCCTGGGACACAAAGGGGCGTGGCCTGTCTGCGCTCTCCATCATCCACGCACTGACTCTTTTTTATCGTGTCAGGACCCTTTTTCCGTGGCTCAAGCCAGTCGTGAATCAGCTGTAGCACGTGGAGGGTCAAGTCTCTCCAAGTTTAAATTTTCGGGAGTATGAAGACTAGCCTGCCCTCTATCTTCTGAGTAAAAACCTCATAAGGTCCGTAGCATGTCAATCCGACTTTGCCAGTGCATAAAAAAAGTCAAAGATCAGGCGAACCGGACATTTCTCCGGCTGGAAATGTCGTCGACACGCGTCTGATTGTACGTCGCCGAATAGTGATCCAAGGCGCCGAGACGACTTCCGTTCGAAGCTCGACCGTTGGCGGCTCTGCGAAACCAGAAATTCAGAAAGAAAAAGAAGCAAGAAAAAAGCCACTCAAGTGCATCCTTCACAAAAATTCATGAAGCTGAAAGGCCTATAGAAACTCTTCGCGCCAATTTTTTTTCTTGAGAAGAATAATTTCCTGACTTCAAAAACTTGAAGAAAAGAGCAAAACCCACAGAAAAATGGGATTTTTTTTTCTAACGATCTAGAGACTTGAAATTTCCAAATTTTTCAAAGTTAGAGCGAATTCGCTCCATGGATAATCGCAGCTATTTTTAAACTTTAGAGCTGAAGATTTCAAAATCAACGCTCTCTTTCTCGGTCAAGTAAATCGAACATGCCCCGGGCGTTACTGAGAAAATTTCGAGTGTGCTGACGCCACTCAAGTGGCCACTAGGAATGTCGGAAACGTTCGGAAATGCTTCAAAAGTCCTAGGGATAACTTAAGAGTTCTGACGCCGCTAAAGTGGTCACTAGGAATGTCGGAAACGTTCGGAAATGCTTCAAAAGTCCTAGGGATAACTTAAGAGTTCTGACGCCGCTAAAGTGGTCACTAGGAATGTCGGAAACGTTCGGAAATGTTACAAAAACCCTAGTGATAGTTCTGATGCCGCTAAAGTGGCCACTACGAATGTCAGAAGCGTCCAAAAAGCTTTCAATAGCCTCAATTGCACACTTGTTATTCACCACGGACATTTCTGAGCATTCCAGCATTCACTTAAGGGCGGTGACGTAGCTTAAGTGATCTGGTTCGCCTCACCGAGGTCCGATCTTTGAAAAAATTACCCATGGAGCAAAAAAAAAAGTCGAGGTTAAAGTTCACAGGTAGAGGATATCCCGCCAAGAAGCCCAGTTTCAAGGTTAGAAGTCGACAAACAAGAGAAAATTACAAATATATGAGTATCAATGATTTCAAGACGTGTGAGGAGCCTCGTACCGATGCATAATGTCCGCATTTTCGCCCGTGTCCAGGGAAATCAGCGTCGCTTCGGACAAAGTCGCATGGGACCGGGTTATTGGCAGGACGTGCGACTGTTCCTTGTCCATTTGTTTTGCCTTGAAATCCGATCAGTAGAGTGATTAAACGATTGAAATCTCTTGAAAGATTTTTGGGTAGATTGGAAAAAAAAAGAATGAGTGGGACAACCAGGAAATTAATTGTTTTTTTGATACCAAGCAGGATTTTACTCTCGAAAAAAGCTAGAAATATGATAACTAATAGTACCAAAACTGTTTTGACTCTCCAAATACCACAAAAAAATAATAGATTGTCTTGAAAAAAATTTCTTGTTTTTTTCATTGTGCCAACACTGTTTCGACTCTATTCTGCGCCTTTAAAATATTTTTTGTAAGAAATAAAATCATGAAATCGAGTTGAAGATGGAGAACATACAACGCTTCAAAATAACGAAATTAAGTTTTTATCATTTTTTTTTCAGATGTTAATAACTTACCCTATTATAGCAGAACACTCCAAAAACGGCCAGAAGCATTCCAAAAATGTTCGCACCTAAAGTAGAAAGATACAAAATTGATACGCTTCAAAATTCATCCAAAAAATTAGCTCCATGTTGAGTTTCTAAAAAAAAACTAGTTTTTCAGAACTTCCGCTTCAGTTTCATTGTTTCCAACATCAAGTTTTCAGTCTCAAGAAAACTTTTCAAGACAAAATTTTGGAAGAAGCCTCAGCAAAAATTATTCTTTTAATTAGGGAATGGTCTTCATTCGCAGTGGGACTTCTGAAAGAGACTAAGTTTTCTAGATGCAGTTTTTCAGGTTGATTCCAAAGCTGGTCTCAAAAACTGCCTATGAGATCTGTGAAACAAGTAAGGGGCTCTCAAAAGGCGAAAGTTATCGTGACTCTAATTGAGCCATTCACAAAAGACCATTCAATTTTTTTTTCAAAAAGATTCTGGAGCCCAGATAGGATTTTTTAAAGCTCGCTTTTTCGCCTAAGAAAAAACCAATAACCAGTGACGGGGTTGTGAAGAGTGATCAGAGACGATCCGATGACCGTAATCCTCTTGGTGGCGTTGCAGACAGCGTAAGACAGTGCGGTCAGTTCGTGGATAAGGGAGTAGGCGCAGACGTTCTGGAGGAACGACAGGAATCCCGAACAGATCAGGACGAAAATCATCCATAGGTCGGGCGGCATCGACTCGGGACTTTCCGAGAGTTCCTGAACCGCGTTTGCAATTTTTTGGACATGAAGAATAAACCTCTGTGAAAATTGAACAAAAATTAACAAGCCCTATGAAATCTCTGTAATGCTCAAAATCAACGGGTACAGAACAATATAATATTTGATTTTGATGAGTTTTAAACTAAATTTAGCCTATGACGCCAGGATTGCAGACCCAACTATTTTGAGCCTTTTCCTTCGACCGTAGCCGGGTTACGGTAGGCGGGTAGTCACCTGCGTATCTAAGAAACGACAACTTTTTCCTAGGCAAGTTGTATATCAATGTAATTTTGAATTTTGTTGTTCGTTTTGGAATTTTGTGATGGAATTTTGGAAATGATGGAAAATGGAATTTTAGGAATTCATACCACCTTGGTTTACTGTAGAATTTTCCGGGATAAGGTACTTTCTGTGTTCGCATTATTAAATATTTAAATAAGCTAAATATGAAAGTAGAAAAAATTTTAGAAATGAAATTGAAGCTAATAATAAATCGAGTTGCAATTTCCCCCAAAAAAACTACGTTTCAAAAACTGTTTTTAAAAAAAGGGATCAATGTCATTTTTGCTACTCTCCTTGTGAGTTTGCTTTTTAAGAATGCCAACCAAATATTGATATTGAGGACCAAATTTCAATAATTGAACCTTAGGAAAAAAATTTCTTAACAGAAACTTGAAATTTCGAAAAAAATATTAAATACGGGCAAAGTCCACTCAAAGTTTCGCGGACCTTGAAAGGAGAAAAATTATTTTTTTAAGTCCGTAGACAGGTACAAAAAAGTTACTTCTAAGCTGTTTTTCTGAGTTTTTTGAGCGGCTTTTCATTCCTCTTTAATTTTTCAACACATTTTATCTTCTTAAAGAGGTCCTTTCCAATGAAAAATCACAAAAAAGCGTTAAAAAATACTTTTAAAGGCTTTTTTTCAGGTAATTTCGGGCTTCTCCCTTACTTATAACTCATGAACTTGTATAAATAGGTATAGATTATCAAAAAATGTAGACTTATTTTGAGTTTTTTTTTAGGCAATTGCGTGTCAGTTTTTCTAGGGAATTCCGTGTCTTTTTATTTGGCCTAAAAATTTCCGTTATATTGAAGGCGCAGACAGAGATAAATACCGTAAAGGGAAGGGTTCTGTAGCACAAAAGAAAACGAAAACCGTAATAAGCTGGCGCGGAATGAGCTATGTATTTTTGGAAATTCCCCGTGAAGAAAGGCTTGGCCAAACCTTAGACTCCTCTACTCACCCCACTAGCCAAGTTGCCCATGATCGTCAGGGCGTCTCTGCAGAACCAGAAGGGGAAAAAGAACAAGGCGGCCAGTTGGCTGTTCAGCGCCAACAACTGGATCGGATGCATGTCCGACTCTTTCAAGAGCTAAAAAATCCTATATACTTTTGATGCTTTTTTTCAAGAACCTTTTTGACAAGGATGTTGAGGAAAGAGTAGACGAACGTCGAGAACAAAGCGGATATCAGGCCGGAAGCTGAGAAGGAAAGTTCCGTCGCCGAAGCCACAACGACCCCAGCGACAATAGGTAGTAGGGAGACATAAACCTTCAAAAAATCTCAATTTTGAGAGCAAAATATTTTAAAAAACTCTATAAGACTGTCGCTCGCGGAGTAGGAATCGGCTCAGGAATACTGCGAATAACGGCATCGAGGCTTTCACTGAAAGAGAAGACCACTATAGGAGATCATACTAAGGGGTCCCTATATGGTTTTCGAGTTTCCGAATCAGAAAAATAAATTGGAATGTCCCTATAGGGGCCACTTAGGGGTCAGACCTTGAGCACCTATAGGGACCACTTATGCTATACTCCCATAGGGGCTGTTTTCCCTTGGCCCCTCTAGTGACCACTTGGAAATTCCTAAGGAGGGTGAAGACAGGTCAGAAAGTTGTAATGAGATTGAGATTGAGTTCGACTTGAAAAGTCTGATTTCTCTACTCTCTCTCGAGTTTACAGGCTATTTTCACGTTTCCAAGACTTAGGCGGTGAGGGAAAAAAGGGTGCAGACAGGTCAGTCGGGTAAGACAGCTGTAAGTCATGGCAAATGAGGTATACAGTGAGTCAGAGAGACTTGAGAAGTCTGGAGAAGCCTAATTTCTCTTCTCCCTCTGAAATTCACGCGCTATTTTCCCTTCTTTTAGTGAGAGAAAAGAGAGCGCAGACACGTCAGACTGAGAAGAACTCACCGGTGTGAGCATATGAAACAGGAACCTTCCATAAACTGAAATAGGCGCTTCCGACCGCCAGAGCTTTGCCTAAAAACCTTTGTCATTTTTAAGATCTCGTAATAGCTGAACCAATCGCAATGGGGTATAAATATCGACGATTCTGGGCTGGAGACAAGGTGACTTTTTTGATGTGCCAAAACGACATCAGAACACCCGCGCACAAAGGTACGGCCATCAGATTTGACAGGGCCAGTGTCATTGGATAGGAGTAGCGCTTAAAAATTGTTTTTAAGGTTTTTTGAACCTTTAAAGGCTTTTTCTGGGGAAAAACTCTAGTGACCCTTTAAAAGGATCCTCAAAGACTTCTTAGTGGCCAGTATAGTGATTTTAGTGGTCTAGTAGTACAACTAAGGCTTTTAAGGGGCCATTAATTCGACTACTATAGTAGCCGCTTATATATCAAAACCCTAAAGAGGTCACTAATAATTTAACCAGCTATTTTTGACCTGTAGAGATAGCTTTTAGGCTTTATGAAATTTGTAAAGACAGTTTTTGAATCCTTTTTCAAATCCCTGAAAAAAAAATTTATGGAAAAAACAGCCTCGAAAATGTTGAGTACTACATGATTTTTCGCTCTATTGATAACTTTTATAAAAATCTCGTTTTTTCTCTGATTTTCTGCTTGAATCTTGAAAACTACAGTGGCGACCTAAAAAATCAAGGATTTTTGAAAAACAAGGCTTCAAACTAAAAAAGTTTTCTATGGAGCGCACAAGCCTAACATTTTGCGGCTATATTTCCTAGTAATTTTTTTTTCATTTTTGAACTTTTAAAGTTTTTACTTCATTGAAATTTTCACAGTAACGTTAATCTTTTGATAAAATCACACTAGAAAAACTTCAAAAAGCCCTAAAATTACCTGTAAAAAAACAGCTTGTTGGTGATGCTGCTCGCCGAGCTGATAAAAATACCAAACTATACATATTAAAACGACCTGAAATCATCATTTATAACGAAATTTAAATGATAATTAAAATCACCTTAATTTTTAAATCTATGGGACTCCGGTTCAACAGAACTTCCCATTGTTGCAGCTTTCTGTAATTTTTTTGAATAAATTTCTGATTTCGAGCAGAAAAAAACTCACTAATAAGTTAATAAAGTTCAAAAATAATGCTGTTCTCGACATGGCGCGGAAGAAAATCTGAAAAATTTCCATTGGAACATGAGATTTTCTTGCTTCAAACAACAATAGAATGAGAGAAGATGACAAAAAAATTTCCAAAAAAATATTTTTCTCACAATTTTAAGCGAGAAAAAAATTGGAAAAATACAGTGACAATTCGACAAAATTGCAAGAAATTTGAGATTGGCGAAAAAAAAAACATGATTCCTTTTAAAAAAATGTTTTCGAAACTGAATTATTGGAGAAAAATAAATACTTTTTCGATATTTAAAAGGAAAAAGCCTTCCATTTGGATTTTAGATAGAAACTTGAATTTTTTGCAAAATCTGAAATCATGATTCCTTCGAAAAAAACACTAAATGTTGAATGAAACCGAGCAAAAATTATTTCTAATCGATTTTTTTGAAAAAAATTTAAAAAAAGGCTCTATACTCTTTTCAAAAACTCAAACTCCTTGAAAAACGTGAAAAAAAGGGAAAAGAAATGGAAATTCAAAAAATTAGAGAAACGCCTAATTTCATACAAAATATTCAGTGCAAATTTGAAAATAGGAAAGAAAAAAATTAATAGTTTAATTATGTTTCGAAAAAAATTAGGAGACTTTAAATTGTTCAAAGTGTTTTGGAAACGTGAAAAATGGAAGAAAACAATGAAAAAATTCGAAAAAACAGACATTCCCATAGATTATTCAGTTTAAATTTGAAGAGATAGAGAAAAAAAAATCAATATTTTAATTACGGATCTTTACAAAAAAACTTTAAGAGCCTTTTAGACTTTTTCACATTTCTTTGAAAAACGCGCAAAAAAAAACGATAAAAAAAGAGAATAATTGGAAAAACAAAGAAAAAATGGACCTTCCCATGGATCATTTAGTTCAAATTTGAAGACGAGAAAGTTGGGGAGGAAAAAAATCGTAGAGTGCTGGAAAATTTGGCGAGAACAACTTGATGTTATCGTTTCAACGAAGCTTTTTCGTCAAAGATCCTCCTCTTCTCGGGGCGAATATATTCCATCGTGAATTGAAAGGAGGGACCGGTTCTAGGCCTCCAAATTGTTTGGAGGGGCGACAACCGGTAGACAAAAAACAACATGGAGCGGATCAATTTCGAGTAACTTTTGAAGGTTCTTCTTACTTTTTGAAAGTTACTCGGGCAAAGTTGGAATGGTGGATAATGGCCGCTAAAAGGCTCAAAAAAGGCCGCAGAAAGGCAGCAAAAAGGGTCTCTTTTCCGAGCCTTTCGTTGTTTCTGGAATTTTAAAGGCTCAAGAAATGGTGGAAAATAGTGCATAGGGACCGATAAAATGGCGAAAAAAGGAGCCTTTTCCGACTTTGCCTATGAAAGAAAAACATGGAGCGGATCAGTTTCCAGTGATTTTTAAAGGTCGTTTTTTTGTTAAGATATAAGCATTTTGAAATTTCATGCAATCCCATTTTTCGCGATCTTTTTCCTAAAAGGGCTCTGAAAGGCAACTGTTTGAAAACTTGATGCACTAGGATAAACTCTAGTAGACACTTAAGAGGTTCCTCAAGGACCGCTTGGAGAGGACTCTAAAGTGACCCCTGGAACCACCTCGATTTCGCTTCAAAGTGGCTACTATAGTAGTTTTCAGGGCTCTGATAAAACCACTTCGACCTCCAAAGAGACCCCTCAAGTGGCCACTATTCCGACTACTAAAGTAAACACTAAAACGTATAGACCCTAAAGTGGCCATGAACCTTTTTTCGCTTTTGTCAATTTTTTCAAAATCATTTTTAAACTAAAATGATGGAAAAATGCTATAAAACTTCAAAAAAAAAAATTTTTTTTAACTCTACTTTCTACACGAACTATGAACTAAAGAAACTCTATGAACCCTAAAAATGATATAAAATATGAAAAGTGGCCAAATTACACCTTTTTCTTCCAAAAAACAGTTGATCAGAACAATATTGCCGTAGGCAAAACGTCACGATCAACAAAATACAGCACCAAAATAGATATGAGGCCCGAAAATCGGGAGATAAGAGGACCGTGCAGAGAAAAAGCATTAGAAAAAATCCATATTAGCATAAACTTTCGGAAAAAATTCCAATTAGAAGTGGATTTTTTAAGGTTCAGCCAACTTAAAAATTCAAAAAGCTCGCTTTTAACTCCCACAGTTAGAGAGAAAGAAAGCGCAGACGGCTAGACAAAGCCCAAACAGACTAATCAAATGACAGAGTTTTTTTTAAGCTTTAGAAAACTCATCGGCCAACAACCGATATTTCAAAAATCAAGGAAAGACGAACCAGTTGAAAATTCATTTTTTAACCATAAAAAGGGAAAAAATCCAACTAAAATTCGTAAATTCCAACAAAGAAGCGAGCGAAATTCGAAGAATACGACGGAAGAAAATAAAAAGGGAGAAACAATATATTAAAGAAGAAACAAAACAAAGGAAAAAAAAGAAAGGAAGAAGGCACATAAAAGTTCCACAAAAAGAAGGGGGTTTTATGATGATGATGATGATGACAATTTGATGAACCCCTCGAAGAACTGCTGCCCTGTAAACTCTAAATCATGAAGGAAATTCAAATTTAATGAAAAATTAAATTGAAAAGACTTTCTAAAAAAAGCAAATCTGGTCCATTAAATAATCGAAATTGTACGATTTTTGGCTTTTTTTCGAACTTTAGAGGCTATTTTTTTCAAAAATTTTTTTCGATAGAGCGCACTTTTTACATGAAGTTACAATCTTTTTTTCTAATATTTTTCTAAGAAAAAAAGTCAGAAAATTTGGAAATCCTAATCCAGGGAAAAAAAATTTTCATGGAGCGCATTTTCTTAATTCTGAATTTCAGAGGCTATTTTTTCCAAAGTGATATAGAGTGATAGAGCAAACTTTTACACAAAAAAATGAACCTTTTTTTGGATATGCTCTTAAAAAAATTTAGAAAAAGTTGCTCTTTCAAAAATAATTCTCCATGGAGCGCACTTTCTTTCTTCTCCATTTCAGAGGCTATTTCTTCAAAAAAAGAAATCTTGATAGAGCGCACATTCCCTTGAACCATTTTTCGAATACGCTCTCAAAAAAAGGCAGACGTTCTTGAATTTTCCGTTTACGGACTTTTTTCCATGGAGCATATTTTACTTTGGATTTTGAAGGCTATTTTTTTAAAAGTGATATAGAGCGATGAAGCGAACTTTCCACAAAAAAAGAACCTTTTTTTAAATATGTTCTTAAAAAAAATCAGAAAAGTTCCTCTTTCAGAAAGAAATATCCATGGAGCGCACTTTCTTTATTCACAATTTCAGAGGCTATTTTTTCCAAATATATTATCGATAGAGCGCCCATTTCCGGCCTCTCTGAGAAAAAGCCAGAGATTGTTTATTTCTTTGTTTTTTTTACGGATTTTTCGCCTTGGAGCACACTTTCCTTCCAAATTTCGGAGGCTATTTTTTCCCCGAACCAACCTTGCTGTAAAGCTCGTTGCCGGCCAAAAAACGTGTCTCATTCATTTTTGAAACCAACAATCAGACGAGTAAAGCTTTCGCAGACGGTTCCAGGACCACTTTTTTCATCGCTAAAAATGGAAATTCGAAAATAGTTGAAAATCAGGCACATACTATGCCTTATTCCTTGAACGAATTTGCGGTCAGCCATTTGAACTTTTCCAAGTCGCTCGCGATATTGGCATCGTTCCAAACCGCTCGGCAGTAGTGAAACCTGGGATTGAAAAATATTTTCTGCGTTGAAAAAATTTCGGAACGTATTTTAGTGGCTTTTTTCTCGCGGTTAGGTCATAAAGTAACGAAAAAAAAAACGTTGAAAAGGCGCAGAAAATTTTGAAACAGTAATAATAAATTAAAGATTGCTTTCTCAACAAATTAAATTGATTTTTCAGAAAGGATTACTCTGTGAAAATAAAAAAAATTCCCAAAGAATGATTTAAAAACTTTCTCGAAAAATTCTCATTAGAGCGCGACTCCACCATTTTTTTCTGGCTATTTTTTTCACATCGAATAACGCTGATATTTTTCAATTGAAAACTGGAAACTCCACTAAAACTTGATTTTTTTGCTAATTTTTCAAAATTATCATTAGAGCGTACTTGTTTTCATCTTCGGTGGCTATTTTTTCGCATCAAATTTTCCAAACTACAGTTACTTTTCAGGCATCTATCTAATGGAAAAACAGCTCATTTTTCTCTAAAACTGTTTCAAACCATTTCTTTTCATCGAGAGCCGTCGGATCCTTGGCGAAATTGTCCCTGGTCAATTTGATCAACTCGATTCGGAATCGGCGGATGATTTGGTCGAAATCTTCGACAAGTTCCGCTTCCAGGAGCGTTTCATAGTGGTTCAAGTCATTATAGTCTGGAAAATGGAACAGTAATTTTTTTAAGTGAGAAACCATTTTGCTCAGAAAATTCTCATTAGAGCGCATTTTCACCTATTTTTCTGGCTATTATTCCAAATCGAATAACGCTGATTATTGACAGGTTTTCATGTGAAAATAAACTTTCTGAAAACAAAAATTTTGAGGAAATTCTGAAACTTCGTTGGAATCAATCCAAAAGCAACGGCGCTACGACGAGACTATATTTTTCTTTTCGGAAGAGTACTGTATGTCGAAGTTCCGAGTTGTTGCCACCGTGTGTTTGCACTTTCTTGCGTAACGTATCCTTTTTTCATTTAACTTTATCAAAATGCATTATAACAAAAGGAAACACTTGAATCACATAAATTATTTTGTTTTTTGAGCTAAAAGTTGAAAAGCTCGAAAACGTCCCGCAATAAAGGTGCAAACACACATTGTGAACAACTCAAAATGCGGGCTTTCACATACAGTAATCTCCGGAAATAGAAAACTCGCTATTGTCGTAGCACCAGACAAAAAGAAACAACGTTTTTTTCTAACAAAAAAATTTTTTTCAAATTTTTCGCGCTAAAAAGATATTTTTTTCAGAAAATTTTTTTGACATTTCTTTGAAAAAAACGGGTTAAATTTTTTTAAAGGATTTTTTTCAACGTTGCTATAGCTTCACTGTGGTTTAAAAAAATCTTCAAATTCTGGATTTTTTCAAAAAAATAACCGTTTCCTGATGAAAACCCTAACGAGACAAGGGTTCAAAAAGTATTATTTCTTCAATTTTTCTTCAAAAAAACTAACGATTCTCCTTCCTGGGCTTGATTTCAGGCAGTGGGATCAGCATCATTTCATCCTTATCAGGTAATCTCAGCCTGAAAATAATAATTTTTTCTTTTTTTCAGGAAGAAAAGTACCATTTCGAATCCCTAAACATGGCTCTCAGAAGCCGAATTCGTTCGACCTTGATCGAAGGCGTAAAATCGACGGATCTCGCTTTTGTGTGTATGAAAACTGCAAAAAAACTCTCAGAATAACTTCAAAAAAATGAAAAAAATTTGTACCCAAATTAGTCTTCCGATCTAAGTTCAAAGCTGGGCTGTATTTGGGCAAATGGGGTCGGAAAAGTTCGGCCATGCGGATGGTCTATAAATCTCAACTTTAACTACAAAGAAGGCACAAATAAATATTGCATTTTTAGAAATAAAAGAAAATAAATTGAACCTTGATCAAATTCATGTCCATATACCAATCCGAGCAGACTAGAACCGTATGGCTGATATGGAAAATGAAGGACAATAGTTTGAGCATCTGAAAATTATATCCTAGTGTCTCGGAATGAAGTTGAAAAGCAAAACTTCAAGAGAAAAGATGAAAAATTTGAAAGTTCACTGAAAATTTGTTAAACCTTTCTTAAGAACAGACCCTTTTCAAATGAAAAAATTATTCCAAACTATTTTTGATGAAGGATTTTGACCATTTAAAAACATTTTTCAAGTGTTTCGAAATGAAATAAACAAATAATATCGAGTTAAAAAAATGAAAAAGATTGGGGATTTCTTCGAAACTCGGTTAAAAGGCTCCTAATTTCAAAAAAACTTTTTTTCTTTTTTTGATTTTTCGATTGAAATTGAAAAAAAGGACAAAAAGTTTGATGATTTTTAAAATTATATTCAAGATTTTAAAGATGAAATTTTTGAAAAAAATCAAGGGAAAACAGAGAGTTTGAGAAATCTTCTGAAACTTGGTTGGAAAGTCATTTTGAAAAACATTTCCGAAATTTGGCTGACATGTAAAATGAAGAAAAAAATAGTTTGAGCATCCAAAAATTACTTAAAAAGTGTTTTTGAAACCAATATAAAGAAAAAAACATATCAAGCTAAAAATTTTTTTAGAATTACTCTGGACTTAGTTAAAATGTCCTAGAGAGAGAGAGAGAAAGAGAAATTATTTATTTCAAAAAAACCATTTTTTTTTTTCGATTTTCAACTGAAATGGAGCATAACAGACAATATTTTTTTAGCATTCTAATTTATTTCCGAGTTTTTCAAAATTAGATTTGAAAGAAAAAAAAAATCAGAAAGTTCGAGAATTTCTTTGAAACTGGTTTAAAAAGTTCTTTAAAGCATCCTCTATTTGAACCAACCATTTTTTTCTATTTTTCCGTCAAATTTGAAATTACAATTTCTCACCTCGGCATTCGCGCGAAAATCGTTGGGATTCGAGTTTCTTGTCATTTCTTCCAAAACGGTATAACTATTGATTGCCTAGAAGTTACAATAAAAAATATTTTCAAATTTCGATTTTTCGACAAGAAAACCTGACAATCGATCAAAATCTGATGGGTTTTTCGTGACGTAGGCGTCGATTTTAACCGTTTGATGACGGGAAAATTCGTTGGCGTCACGAGAAACTGGACGGAAAATGTATTCTCTGAAGAACAAAGGATTTTTTTGAAAAAAATGTTGAAAAACCTATACATATCCTGGGAGTTATTTCCACCCAACATGCTCAAAAGTGTCGATTTTCCGACACCTTGGACGCCGATCGCGGCGATTACAACGTAATTTACCGATGAAGAAAGGTACTCCTAAATTTTGAAGCTTACTGTGAGGATAAAGTCAAATTTCGAAGAAGAATAGATTTTTAAGGAAAAGAATATCTTGTCCATCATTCTAATCCATCACAAAACCAACCGAAAGAGCTTCAGAGATATCGGAAAAGTCGGAAATGAGCTTGATGCCGTCGGACATCGTCGGCGGCTGCGTGAAACTCGCCGAATCGTTCAGAATCGGTGACAAAAGTTCAGGCGGCGGTTTTTCCGCCCTTCCATTCTGTCGGCCTTGATTGAATATGTTCGTCAGAGCGCTTGGTAAAATTGTCGGCTTGAACGGCTTCATTACTGAAATCAAAACCAATTGATGATTGAATAAAAATCAAATAACTTGTTGGTTTTTCTTCGGTCAAGTTCCCTGCCTGATCATCTTTCTTATTAGCTGGCCTGGCGAGCACTTGCACGTTGCATGGAACTGTTTCGGGCGCTGGGGGCCTCTCATTTTTCTTTCTCACTTGCTGAAAACGCGAATTTTTACACTTTAATTCATTTTAGATAAAATATACCTTGCCTTCACGTCTCACAGTAAATGGCGATGTGACGGAGGTTGAAGAGGTTCCGAAGAAGCTTTTTGATGCTCCCCGGGCTCGACGACTTTCCATTCACAAAAGCTGAAAAGAAATGAGTGGAAATATTATACGTGAAAAATAAAGTTCAACAACAAAAATTTCGGACGGAAAGAAAGCCTTTTCTTTATTAAACGCCTCTATTTGCGTTTGTTTTTGGAAGTGATGAACTAAAAAAACATCGAACAGAGAAAAAGTGTCAGAAAATAAAAAAATATAAAAAAATTCATGCACCTATGACAAAAAAACTGCGTGCACACATTGCAACGCCGTTTACAGCAAATTTTTTTCAAAAATATTTTTTTCGTTTTTTTACAATATTCTTTTTTTATTTCGTTAGCGCTTTGAAATCATTTGCTAATCTAAAAAAATAAACGAACATTTCTTCAAAAAAATTTCAGTTGTGGTATAGATATTTTCCGTTTTCTTCTCTTTTTCAAAGTTTTTTTGTGAAATGTGAAAAATAATTGCGAAATTACAGCGAATGACTGAAGCGACGAATATATCATCGAATCAGTTTTCCACAAACGCAACTCCAGTCGATCAAGCAGAAAATACGGACGCTTCGACCTCCTCCAGCTACTTGAACAGAGTTGCCAAGGTTAATCCTTCGTGTTTTTCACTCAATTTTGTTGTTTTGCAGAGTTTATCCGATGAAGATGTTAGGAAGTTTTTTGAAATTGATTCGACGGTGGCTTGGATCCTAAAGAACAATTTTCAAAGGGTTGCGCTTCAATTTCCGGACCCGTTGTTGTACAGTTGCGTGAAGATAACGCGGTTGTTGGAGGCCGAGGCGAAGTGCAAAACTTTTGTCCTGGCGGATACGTCTTACCGAAGGTAGAAGGCTTCATTTTAAGTGAGAAAGAGATTTTAAGTTGTTGCGTGGACGAAGTGGCGGCGGCGCATTCGAGTTGCGACGCTATTGTCCACTACGGCGACGCCTGCCTCAGTACCCCGACGAATAATGTCCCAGTCAAGTTAAGATATACTATTGTTGCGATTTTTCAAAGAAGGAACTTTAGATACGTCCTCTGTCACCTTCCTATTGATTCCGCCGAGTTTGAGACGAAACTGGAACAAAATTTGGGGAAAACTATCGATTCTGATTTTATCCTCCTTCTGGTCGATTCAATATACTCTCACGCGACTAAGGAGCTTATCAGAATATTATCAAAGTTACTGCCCGATAAACCGATCGAATGCGCAGAAGTTGTAGATTTGGACGACTTCTCAGCAACATCTCAGACCAAAGAAGACGTACGTCTCTTAGAAAAACCGCCTGAAACAGAATTTTTGAAGGTTTACCTCGGTAGGCGGTTACCGGCCGACTTCAAGACGTCTTCTGAAGTTGGCGTCGTTTTCGTCGGGGCCATCGAATCGCCATTTTTGCCGCTTTGGCTGATGTCATATCCTCAATGCAGTTCAGTCGTGCATTTTGACCCCTCTACTAATGAAATTCGCCATGAAGTGTTCGTTTTTTTTTTGTCTTTGAGTAGTTAAGGATTGAAAAAAGCTGAGTTTTTGATAGTATCACTTCTTGGATTTGAAAATCTGTATGAAATTGATATTTTTTCATTTCCTAGTGTTCATAGTGTGTACAAAAAGCTTTCCTGCGCTTTCGAAGAGCGTAAATTCTCTTAGGAACGCCATAGTGGCACCTATAGGGGCAACCTTAGGTCCACTCTAGTGACAATTTTACCAACGCTATAGACCCTACTAAAGCTTGCAAAAGTGGTCCCTAAAGGGGTTTAAGTTAGTGACCCCTATTGGAGACATGCTAGTCGATAATTGTTATGAACTCTGTGCGAAGAAGCGTTTCCATGGGAGAAACTGAAATTTTCGTTTTTGAATGAAAATGAAAAATTTCTATATGGACTACTTGAGCTTTGGGTGCTAATTGATCAGACCGTAAACCCCTATAAGCACCACTTTTTGAAAAAAAAAAAAAGAAAAAAAAACTTTAAAAAAATTTCAAATTTCAATAGTAGAAACCCTGTATAATAATGTATTGTGTATGGTTTTCTAGTATTGAAAGTTTGTTCAAAAAAATTTCCTGTTTTTGAAAGTGAAGAAATCTTCAAGGCCTGGAAAGACTTTGAAAAAAACTTCTCCGTTCAGAGACTTTTTGGAAAAAAATTTTCGTTTTAAAAACTTCTAAAAGGATTGTTTGAACAAATTCTCTTATTAACGAACTCCGTTATTCTTCAAAAAAATCGTCTCTTTTTAATATTTCGCTGAACTTTTTCAAAGTTTAGTTTAATCACAACTTCCGAATTTAACCTTCTCCTGAACAAAAAACATCAACTTTTCGGTGAAAAATCGCTTAAAAATGGCATTTTGGGATGGTTCTTTTCCTTTTCCAGAGCAAAATCCACCCGACAACTACGAAAACGGCTATTTTTGGTTGAGAAATTGAAAGATGCCAACACAGTCGGTCTTATCATTGGAAGCATGGGCGTTCATGGCCACAGGTTTTTCTTCTGGAAAAAAATAATAATCTTACTAAACATTTTCAGAGAAGCGGTCCAGCGAATGCGGAACCTGTGCAAGGCGGCCGGCAAGAAAATCTACGTTATTTCAGTTGGAAAAGTTAATTTTTATTCCATTATTGTCAAATAAGGAATGAAATTGAAGGTGAATGTAGCGAAATTGTCGAATTTCGCCTCAGACATCGACGTTTTCGTGTTGATTTCTTGTCCCTTCGGGGTGATTTTGGATTCTTCCGAGTTCTACAAGCCGGTTTTATCATTTTTTGAAGCCGAGGTGCTGGGAAATATCTATTTTTTATTTTTAATCGAGTTTAGATGGCCCTGAATCCATCAAAAGCCTGGGCGGCTCATGGCGATTGGACGGCTGATTTTGGGGCTTTTCTGGCAGGTGAGAATAAATTTATTTTTCAGGGGAATTTTCAAGAACCTCCTAGTTTCATTTTTTGAACAAGAAAAAAAAATTAGAAAGGTATTTTTATTTTTTTTCCGTGAAAACTTAGTTAATTTTTTACCTCTTTCTGATCAATTGAGAAATCTTTTCAAAAAGACATTTTTGAAATTTTCCATACTTTTCTCAGGAATTTTAGTGTGATCCCTACAAGATTAGGGTGAAAAACAGTCCCTATAGGGGACGAAAAAGTGGTCCCTATAGGGTTAAATCAAGGTGGTCCTTGTAGGGGATTTAGGGTCTGATCCCTTAGCCCATAAAGCTTAATTGGTCCCTATAGGGGTCTCTCAATTTTATTCAAAAAGCGCTTTTTCATTAGTTTTTCGTATGGAAATGCTTCATAACAATTATCGAACAGAATTTCCCCTACTAGGTCTACTAAATAAAACCCCTATAGGGACCATTTGCAAGCTTTAGTGAACCCTGTAGGGATCGGTAAAGTAGAGGGACCCTAAGGTAGCCCCTATAGGGAACACTCTGGAGTTTTTAAGTTAATAAGTTTTAAAATTTTCTCGTGCTGTTTCTGTTGCATATAAGCTTTACTAATCGAGATGGTCATTTAAAAAAAACAACTTTTGATTATTCTGCAATTTCATACAAAATGCTGAGTAGCTACCATTTCAAGAGAAAATATTCGAAAAAAAAAATCGCAGACGAAATCGGCGCGACAAAAATTGACGACGACGACCACGGCGACGTGAGCTTAATATCGGGTCGCGTGAGAACGGCGAATCCTGCGAAAAACGTCGCCGAGGCCAGTTCCAGCGACGCCAACGGCGCTGTGTCGCTCTACACTGCCGGTGCGACGCGACTTGTTCATTCGCGACCGCTTTTTTGTTCCAGGCGACTACTTCGCTCAGCGAAGCTGGAAGGGATTGGACGACACGATTCGCGTCGGCGACGACACGACTGTTAGGCAAGGTCGCAGCGGAATCGCGCAGAGTTATCAGGGAAAATGAAGGGGTAAAAAAAAGAAATATCTATCTAGTCATTGTTTTTTAGCATGAAATCGGTGCCTTTTCTTCATTCTCTGAAATTTTGTTATTCTGAATTGACAGCAGCTTGCTAGGGGTTTTAAAGGAGCATAGGGAAATTTATAAAGGTCTCAAGACGAAAAGTCGCTCTTATGGCTTTCTGGGTCTCTAAATTACTTAAAAATTGCTTCTACTTTTTCCCAGAAGTTCCGAAAGACCGATAATAACTTCAAAAACAAATTTTCTCTTCGAGACCTTTTTGAAAAAAGTTCATGCGCCTTTAAAAATTCTCAGAAATCCTTTTTGAATCAACCTTTTTTTTTGCCTTTTTCCAAGGCTCTTTAGTTTTTTGCGAATTCTTGTTGTGTCACATTGTTAAGTTGTTACAGATCGGCTTGCTAGAGTTTTTAGAGGAGCATAGGCGAACTGATAAAGGTCTCATGACGAAAATCCACCCTCATGGATTTCTGCGTCTTCATATAACTTAAAAATTGCTTCTACCTTCTCCCATAAGTTCCAAAAGACCGATAAGAACTTCAAAAACAACTTTTCTCTTCAAGACCTTCTTGTAAAAAAGTTCTTGCGTCTTTAAAAATTCTCAGAAATCCTTTTGAATCAACCCTTTTTTTTTGCCTTTTTCCAAGGCTCTTTAGTTTTTTGCTAATTCTTGTTGAGTCACATTGTTAAGTTGTTACAACTCGGCTTGCTTGAGTTTTTAAAGGTGCATAGGGGGTTTTTTTAAAGGTCTCAAGACGAAAAGCTGCTCTCATGGCTTCCTGCGCGTTTAAATTGCTAAGGAACTGGTTTCACTTTATTTAAAAGCCCAGAAGTTTTCAAAGAATCAAAAAACAATTTTTCTCTTTGAGACCTTATTGAAAAAGGCACCCAGTTTTACGGACGAGGTCGCAGCGAGAGAAACGCTATATCGCGGGGGAGCCGCGAGCTATATCGCTCGCCTCTCGGCGCAAGGTCGCTCACATCTCGCTGCTATGTCGCTCTTTCAAAAAAATTTTTTAGCTCGATTGGGCTTTTTTTCTTTCTTGATTTGCTTTCTATGCTTCATACTTTTTATTGGGTTGCAAAATGATAACATATCGGTCTTTATCAACCTTCTTTACTTTTTTTATTTAATATAAACAATATATTTAAATGAAAAACTTGAGAGCATTAAAGAAATTTCCAAATAATTGATGATACATTTTTCGAATTCGAAGTAAACTGAAAGTATGTACAAATCTGAAGAAGAAAAAATTGAATTGAGGCGAAAGAGTGAAGCTTCAAGTAAGAATAAAAAAGGACAATATGAGGAAAAACATGTGTATTGTTTATTTTTTTCATAGGAAAAAAATGTGACTAGGAAAAAGAGTAGTTTCAATAAAAAAACAGAAAAAGTAAAACCGATTGTAAGCTCGTAGATGATCTTTAAAAGTTCAAATTAGATAAAGGAGGGAGGCTCGAAATGAAAAATGAAAGAAGTTTTGAAAAAGAAAAATTAAGTTAAACAATCAGATTGACCCTAAGTTCCCTTTAAAATGTTACTGTAAGCTTTGACTCGATAGTTTTTCGGCATATCCTTCATTTGCTGCGTCAAGAACTTTTCTAAATGATAAAAACCGGTAAAAAAAGAGAAATACTGAAAAAAAGTCCAACCTTGAATAAGAGAATAACTCACAGGAGCGACTGTATCAAGACAGCAGTTCGTGCTTTCTCGAAATCATGCCTCATTTCTTCTTTTCCTTACCCATCGACGCCAAAGTGCTAATCATATCTTCAAGCAAAAATGGATATACTGTTTCAAAAATAGTTTACCAAGAATCTTATTGATTGTATCCAAAAGCAAAGTTTCGGTGCCATCTCCCACGGATCTTTCTTGACTTTTATTGATCGAAAAAAAAATGTTAGATGTTTTTGAAGTACTAATAACCTGAAATTATTGGTTAAAACATGAAAAAAAAATGCGAAAAAAGGACTTTCAAATTCAAGAAAGGTGTGCAGTGCCGTCAAAATATATACAAAAACGCTTTTTTTAAATCACAACTTTCTTTAATGGGATTTCACCCTTTTGAAACTCTCTGGAAATATGATGACTGTTGATTGTAACACCGTGGTGAAAACTTAGAAACACAGCTGAAAAAGTTTCAGAAAGATTGAGCTCTATACGAGGAAGTTGTGAGCGAAAAATATTTTTCCTCTTCTGACGGTACTGTATGAGCGTTACATTAGTTGTAAAATTAACATTTTAGAAATATTAAGTGAAAAAAAATAGACATAAAAAAATCAGAGAGAATATAACACACGAAAAAAATAAAACAATTCAAGTAAAATTTTGATGGCACGTAAATAGTGACCAATCGATAATCCGCGACCTCGCGCCGATATCGCGCCGGGAGTTTGCTAGAGCTGAGCGAGATGGCAGCGAGATATGTCGCTGCTATGTCGCGCCACTCTCGCTGCGATATAGTCCACGAAACTGGGTGGGTTCATGCGCCTTTAAAAATTCTCTGAAAGTCCTTTTGAATAAATCCTTTTTTCGCCCTTTTTCAAGGCTCTCAGTTTTTTTTTTGCGATTTCTTGTTGAGTCACATTGTTGAGTTGTTCTTGTTACCTATAAAGATATAATTTTTACAAATTAGAAAAATTAACACAAGTTTTTTATTGCATTTCAGTTGGATTGCCTCATAATTTACAACAATGACATCATGTATGAACAGACAATTTGCGTGTGACCGGTTATATGGTGGGGAATTGAGCGAAAATATAGTCTTTGGAAGTTTCGAAAATAAAAAAAAGCCGATTTTTCTACGGCGAATCAAAGTAGCGATTCCGGTGGCTGTATCGCACGCGATGTCGTCGGTAGGGTCGTTCTGGCTCTTCTTCGACTTTGGGCTCTTCGTAATGCTGAGATTTCGGAGCATCACCTTCGTAGTTGTGCTCAGGGGCTGGAGCTTGGCTTGGGTAGTCTTGTTCTGGTTTCGGAGCTTGACTAGCGTAGCCATGGTCGGGGGCTGGAGCTTGACCTTCATAGCCATGCTCTTTGGTGGAAGCTTGACCCTCGTAGCCATGCTCCTTAGTGGAAGCTTGACCTTCATAGCCATGCTCCTTAGTGGGAGCTCGACTGTCATAGCCGTGCTCTTTAGTTGGAGCCTGACCGTCGTAGCCGTGCTCCTTAGTAGAAACTTGACTCTCGTAGCCATGCTCCTTCTGGACCGATGTCAGACTTCCATTGTCATGCTCCTTAGTTGGAGTTTCACTGTCGTAGCCATGCTCCTTTTTGGTCGAAGTCCTATCTTCGTAGCCGTGGTCCGTCGTCGTAGTCTGACCTTGATAGCCGTCCTTATTCGAAGTTGAGCTCTCATATCCGTGCTCTTTGGTCGATCCTTTCTGTTCCTTCTCAGACTCCTTCTTCGGAGCTTCCGCTTCATATCCGGATAAATGCTCGTAGCCACGGCTCTCAGGTTTTCCACGATTCACTGAAATTTTAAGAATTCACTGTGTAATAGTTAGAGCTTTGTACTTCTGGATCACCACAAGATGTTATGAAAAAAAAAGCCAAGATTTTTAAAAACGGTTTTTTGAGTTTTTTGAGATTAGGCTCGTCAAGTAAAGCATCGATTGAAAGCATACAATTCTAAACTTTAGATTATAATCGGAAAATCCACACAAACCTTTCGAAAGATCGTGCAGAGTCTGCTGACGGCTTGGTTCCTTGGCAAGTTCTTGCCGCCGGTGATGTGCCTCCCACTCTCTCTGCTGGAACGTCTTCTTTGGTTGCTCATCGTAAGTTAGAACTGCATGAGTCGCCGTAGTAGCTTCAAGCGTATCTTGAGGCGCGATCGAAGAGCTTTCGTAGGCGTCCTGGTGATGCTCATCTTCGTAAGGTCGTCCTCGCTCCTCACTTCCATACTGCTTCCGCTCCTCAGTCTTCTGTTCAGTGCCCTTGTATGGATCTTCGACGTGGCTAGTGCGACTGGGACAAGGACAGTAGGCGGCGTCGCCACCGGGATCGCCGACTTTACCCGGTTCGCCTGGCATTCCGTCGAATCCAGGCTCTCCGAACCTTCCTGGCGGTCCTTCGTAACCCGGCTCACCGGGTGAACCTGGCGCGCCGTCATCTCCAGGTGTACCTGGAACTCCTGGCTGTCCGACGAGTCCGGGAGGTCCTGGCGGCCCTGGATTCGACTTGAAAGATCTTCCAGATCGACCTGGCATTCCTGGAGTTCCTGGAGAGCCTGGTCTTCCTGGGAGTCCATCAAAGCCGGGCTCGCCGTCTTTTCCAGGTTCACCGTCAACGCCATTCTGTCCGGGAACGCCTTCTTCTCCGTCCGGTCCAGGCATCCCTGGATCTCCATCAGGTCCCTGTTTTCCTGGCTCTCCGGCAGGACACTTGATGCAGGCGACTTCCGTGTTATATCCCATGGCAGCACCCAAAGCCATTCCGCTCATTCCGTTCGGTCCGTTCGCACCGTTGCTTCCCGGCTTTCCTGGAGTTCCAGGACGGCCTCGTGGACCTGGAGGACCAGGCGGACAGGTGTTTGGCTGCTGACTGCACTTTCCGCATTGGTTCTTCGGCGTCTGAGGTTGTGGTTTCCGTGGAGGTTGAGTCGACGTCTTTGATGGAGAGTTCGTGGCGAAATCTCCATTCGTTGGTTCTTCCCTATCACTGTTGTACATGAACTCTCGCTCTCGTTCGTGATGGTCGCGAGGCGGACCGTCAGGCTTCGGCTTTCGGAAGCCTTGGATAGTTCTGGGCACTCCTGGACGTTGAGGTCGAAGAGCTGGCGGTCGTGCTCCCTCGTAACGGTCTTCATCGTCGTATTGACTGGTTTCACCTCCGCCGTTGTAGTCATCGCTGGACCTTCGGAAGATTCGGACGCTATCTTCTGGCTTGCTGAAGCGAAGCTCTCCTGGCGTCGCGTCGATCATCATGTACTCCCAAGCGTTGTTGGCAATTTCCTAAAAATGCTTCTATTAATTTTATTCTTTCTATACAATTTTTATTTTTGTTTGGTCAAAAAAATTGGAAAACAAATTTAGAGCATGTGGTTTTTATGTCACGGTGCGCGCACCAAATATTTTTAATTTACGCGAATTTATCGATATCATTTGTTTTCATTTTGTTCACTCTTTCTTGTATTTCTCGCTTTCACTCCAGTTTATTTGATTGAAGTGGAAATATTGAAGCTTGCGTAATTTATTTTTTTGGTAAATTGATCAAAAAAATTATATACTAATGACTACAAAGAAAACTCTAGTTTACCGTTTTTCTTGATTTTCTTAATTTTCAAAAATTAAAATGCGAGACTTTCAGACTCTGCGAAAAAAGTAAACGAAAGGGGTCATTAAAGTGATGGAAAGTTTCGAAGATCTTCAATGTCTGTTTTGGTATATTTTTTTTCTTTCCGTTTTATTTTTATGTTGCTCAAGTTTCGTAAGACTGGGAAAAAATTGGATTTTTCAATTTTAAATGGCCAACAGTACAAAAATTTCAAAATTGAAAATTCGTAAAGTCGCTCACTCTACAAAGCTAATTGTGAAGGAAAGCAAGAATTTGAAAAATCCAATCAGGAATATTTTTTTATTTATTATTTCATCAGGTAGGTATCAAAATGCTACGCTATTGAAAAAAATATTAAAATACAAAAGTCGAAATTTTGATTTTTGATTGATTGAAGAAACTAATTTTTGAAATGAAGAGGCAATAAATACATCAGTTTTTGAAGTACTCTAAAGTCTAAGTATTGAAAAAAGTTTTCGATAAATTTCCTTGACACTAATGTTCTATGACGAAATGATGAGGCTGTAGAAGAACTCACGCGGAACTCGACGAGCTCTTCGGTGGCATTCTGATAGAAGGTGGTGATGTCATAGAGAAGGTAGCTGGTGGTGACGGCGGCCACCGTGATGAGGACGGCACAGGCGACGGAGGCGGCGCCGGCCAGCCACGTGGCCTTGCTCATCTGCAAGGATCCCAGTGGTCGTCACGGCCGCCCTTTTATATCTACACTTTCGAGCTTCTTGCGGAACACTAACGAATCGACATTAGCTAACGAGTCGTTTAACGGCCCCTCTTTTCCAACAATTCCGAATGCCGCGAGATCTTACTGCCGTGTAAGCCAGTTCTCTTGCGGTCGTTTATGATTTGCCCCCCGTGCATTTCGACGTGTTACGGCAGTTTCTACCTTCAGCGTCTTTTCGTGTTTTCAACTTGGTTTCGGACTTTGAATTATGTTAAGAACTTAAGAAATAACCGACGAGGAAGGTCATGTTAATGTGAAGATTAGAGCCCCCCGCCCCTTCACAAGAAGTTCAAGTTCATTCAAGTTTGCGTTTGGAAATTTTTCAAAACTCGGCCAGAACACTCTTGGATGTACGGTACATCATGTACCAGAAGAATAATCTAGGAGTCTCAACCTGTACAACTTCCTAGTTTTCGAGAAATAACGGCTCAAAGTCCTAAAATAGCCTTTTTAACGACATCTAGGGAGGTGTCCTTTCCCAAAAACTAGGAAATCGTGCAGGTTGGGACTTTCACGATCTTTTTCTGGTTCATCCAAGGGTGTTCTGGCCAAGTTTCAAGAAACTTCCAACCGCAAAGGTCGGTGACCTCTTTGTGGGTTTCAATCTTCCCACCAAAATGACCTTCCTCGTCAGTTATTCTCAAGTTTTACAAGTTTTCATTTTGAATGTTTTTTTTGACAAGATCAAGCCTAAAATCAATAATCCTCAGGTTTGAAAAATCCTAAATTCAAGGCAAAAAGTTTGCAAAGAAAGCGACCATGAGTAATCTTTCTTCAGATTTTTTTAATATTATTTTGGTCAAGTTTATAGGATTTTTCAAGTTTCTTTACTTGAAATCAATTTAAGATGCTTTTTATTGACAAAATTGAAAAAAGAAAACTTTTCGAGAAAGTTTAACTCAGCATTTGAACAGAAATTCGTTTCTCAGCGTTCCTTATTTTTCTTTCAATCGGGCAAAGTCAAGTTTAAAAAAATCAGATAATAATTTTTTTAAAGGTTATTTTTTTATAGGATTTTTTTCAAGGTTTGTCACGAAAATCAAATTTTTTTCTGGATTAAATTTATTAATTATAGCCTGAGACCGCTCCCGACTTCAAAGTTCAGTTTTACTAAGAAAAAAATAGAATTATAATTTTTCTAGATTTTCTTGTGTCTTTTAAATCCCGCTTTTCGAAAAGTTGATTCTCATTGAGATCCAGTTTTGAAGATCGAAATTTTTCCCACCGGTTTGAATACGTTTTGGTGCTGATTTTTTATTGGTTCAGCGAATTCTACTACGGAAAATAAATGCCATAGACAAATTCTGAACGCTAAGAATCAATTAAGAACAAGAAAAATTTATTTTTAAAAATCGGAAAAGGATGGAAAGAATGATTTAATTAGAACTGTAAAATTATATTTTACTCTTGTTTTTCAAAAAGTATCAATTAATTAGTTCCAAAAATCTGCTAGAAACCTTTTTTTCGAACATTTTTTTCCATACAAAGAACTACACGGAACAGTAAGCTAGTGAATTACGTTTATAAATTTGAAAAAAAGGTTCATTAATTTTTTTTATTAAATGAACTAGATGTTTCAAGAAAAATTGTGAGGGTAGGAATAAATTTATCCTTGCTAGTCCATCCTTGTTTCCTAGAGATAATTTAATTTCGAGTTGATTTCCAGCGATACCAAATTATTCTTATTATATCTATAATATCTATGGTTCCAGAGTCCTTATTGAACTTTTTTTAAAGGAGCATGTAAAGGAAAAAAACAGACATAGAACTTCTGTAGAAGTGAAGAGCTGTTTCCTGCGTTATTTTTAATAATAAAAACTCGGGAAGGATTCTCGAACAGACTGTTCTATTGAAAATCACTCGGGCAAAGTCGGAATGGTGGATAATGACCGCTAAAAAAGGAGAGGCTCTAAAAAGGCTCCAGAAAGGCGGCAATAATGCTCATAAAAGGCCGCAAAAAGGCAGCAAAAAGGGTCCCTTTATCAAGCCTTCCATTTTTCTGTTATTTTAAAGACTCGAGAAATGTTGGAAAGGTGAGGCAGCAAAATTGCTGCAAAAGAGCCGATGAAATGGGGCAAAATGGCAGCAAAAACGTCTATGGAGCTTTTTTCGACCCTTTCCGACTTTGCCTACAAAAGTTAAGCACCAACCTGAGAAGAAGGTTATTCCTGTCGGTCAGATCCGCAACAAAACGATGAGATGATTATAAATTCGAAAGTGACAGTCAGATAAATGGACGCCCGGGGGGAAAAAATGCGGCCGGTAAGGATAGGGTTGAAGCGAAATAATGAGGGGTCGAGGCGACGTTTCGCTTCTTTCTTTTTTTGTCTGTTCTGGGTGGAGCCTTCGGAAAACCGCAAAACAAACGCTCGGTGATCCGAGGCGGACGAAGGAGGTTGAATGAAGAAAATGGGAAAGACAGAAGGCGATGGGGCCAAAAAAAGTGGGATTGATGAGACGAAAAGGATGAAACACATTCGCGAACAGTTTTCCAGTGTGCAAAAAGTGACACGCCGCGTCGGGATCTCGAGGCCGGGGAAAGGTGGACGACCGCGAAAATGCGGAATATCGCTGATTGGCGGCTTTTTTCGTGTCTTCTTGATTTGATTGGCCCATTCTTCCGAAATATTGGGCTATTTGTGGTTTTTCGTGTACTTGGTTCGATTTTGATTAATTGTGCTCGCATTTGGAATGGCTTTGAATTTTCGTCAAGGCTTTGAAAGCTAACTAAAATGGAAAATCAAACTTTGGAGCTCGTAGAAACTCTTCCGGAATGATTCATAGCGTCGCGGTCGCATTGCGGTTCGAATCAAGTTAGCCAGAATAAAAATGAACTAGGAATCATACAAGGTTTTGAACGCGAGCTTTGTAATTATTTTTATAAAGGTTACTGAACATTTCTGAAATCCATCGATCCAGTTTGGACTTGGTGGTCGCATTTGGAATGTCTTAGAGACGTCGCGGTCGTGTCGCGGTCGAGGTGCGGTTTGAATCAGAAGAGTTTCAATAAAAATAGCCGAGTATGCATTGAAGGCGTGTAGCTCGGTTTTTGAAATCTTCTGTCAGAAGAAGGACTGAAATTCTTTAAAATCCATCGAGTCGACGGTCGCATTTGGAATGGCTTGAAGGCGTCGCTGCTCCAATCAGAGAAGTCGGACAGCCTGGGGATCATTCAAGGCTTGGCGCAGATTTGGGAGTCAGAAAATTGACGGAGTTTCTCTAGAATCAATCGGTCTGACTTGAGACTCTGTGGTCGCACTTGGAATGGCTTGAAGGCGTCGCGGTCGCGTTTCACGTGGTTGAAGATTAACTTGAAAAACAGATATTGAAGTTTTTTTCCTCTGAGCTCCTCAGATCTCATATAAGATGCTCCATTTGATCCAATTTAAAAGTTGTTGGTCGCACTTGGAATGGCTTAAAAGCGTCGCGGTTGCGTTGCGTGCAGAATCAAAGAACGTTAATATTGAGATGAACTTGAGAAGCAGAAAGCTTTTTTTTTTGACAGTAACTCACTTCTCATATAAGATACTCCATTAGATCCGATTAAAATGTTATTGGTCGCATTTGGGATGGCTTGGATATGCTTCTTAAGACCTTTCTCGGTCATTCCAAGCGTCATCAAGGTTTTAAAGTGAGAAAAAAAAAACAGAGTTTGTACTTCTTTGCGTTTCTGTGAGACATCATGAAATATTTATTTATTTCACACGAAGTTAAATAAAAAATTAGGCATGTTTTCGAACAGAAACCAGTCGTTTTTTGGCTGCGACACGTTTTTTAACAGCTTTGTGTTTTTTGGCGAGTCGCTTCTTCTTCGAAATTTTAACTTTCGAAACCGGATGCGCTGATGGAGGTCCTCCGGATCCGGAATTGCGAGTTGGACAAGGGCAATAAGCCTGGAACAGAAAATTAAAAGAATATTTGAATTTTCGACTCACCGCATCAGCTCCTGGAGTTCCAGTCTCTCCTGGAAGGCCGCACTCGCCGTCGTTTCCTGGCTTTCCTGGCGGACCGATTGGTCCCATTGGTCCTTGAGGGCCTGGCTCGCCTTCCGGCGCTGCTTCCCCATCTGGACCAGGCTCTCCGATCGGACCACTTGGCCCAAGCGGCCCAGGCGGTCCTGGCTTGCACAGCTGTCGTTGTGTCGACTGGCCGTCTTCTCCTGGCTCTCCATCCTCTCCTGGCATTCCTGGAGCTCCGTCATCTCCGGCTGGACCAGGAAGTCCGGGCGGACCTTCAGTAATGATAATTATTAAAGTCTAGGTAGGAGTAAACAAAAAATAAGATTTGGTTGGAGCTTGAGAATGAAAAAGAGACCTTCCATGCCGCTCTCCGCCATCGCTCCTGGATTTCCAGTCGGTCCAGGAGGTCCGGTTAGACCTGGGGGACCTGGTGGCCCAGGCGCTCCGGCTGGACATTGAACACAATCCCGGCTCTCGTAGGTCCCACCGCCGATCATTCCGCTGCCGGGCCGGCCGTCTGGACCGGGCTCGCCGTCCTCGCCAGGCTCTCCCGAAGGTCCCGGAGGCCCGGGCGGTCCTTCCGGACAGTTGCTCGACTGGGGACCGCAGTTACACTGCATCTCGGCGTACTTCTTCTTCCGGAAGATACTGCGAACGTGACGGACTGCTGCTGCGTTCTGGGAACGGATTATCGAGTTCCAAGCGTCGTTGGCGTCGATCTGTAAGAAGTCGATGAAGGAGTTCCTTTGTAATTTTCTCAGCAGAAGTTTTTCAGTTTCAAGGAAGTTTTATATTGAAATGTTTGGTTTGAATGCTTCGATGGGCTCCGGCTAATGCTGCTAGTGAACAACCCAAAAAATAAGAAGCTGAATAGATAAAATAAATATTCACTAAACCTTGCAGGTAAAGAAGTCCCTAGAGGGGAACCTCCAAGGACCCTGAGCCTGTCCCTATAGGGATAACTCTGGAGTTCCTAAGTTAGTATAAATCCATGAGAAATTCCTACCAAAATCCCCATATCCAAAAAAACAGAGTCATCTTATAAAATTAAAAAAAAAGTTGAGTTTTAACATTATTTTCAAAAGCTGGATCAAGCTGGCCGCATTGAGAATGGCTTTACTACGAAGCGGTTGATATAAAAGTTCGCCCGACCTCAAAGCGACTTGCGCCCTTTGGATATTTTTGGACACGTTTTTGAATTAATATTCTTTGGCAAGGAGAAAAGTCTACTTTCTCTGTGACGTGGTTCCGAGCTTTTTTGATGTACCTTTGACATTTCCAACAAGAAAAAAGAGGGCGCAGACACGTCAGACAGTTCAAATGAAAATAAAACCTTGAACTCTTCCAGCTCCTTATGAGCATCGTCGACAAAGCTGTTGATATCGTTGTAGATATAACCGACGGAGCAAATTGCAGCCAAAATGATAAGAGCGCTGGAGCCGGAAGCGATTCCAACGATCGCTTGGAGAATATTCATCATATCCTTCTGATTTCTCTCCCCTTCCATCTTTATATACCCTACTTCCAAGTCACACTAGTTAGATATCTTTACTGCGCCCCCCTTGAAAACGCCGTCTTCCTCTTTCGTCGGCTTTCGAGTACCTCTTCAAAATCGTCTTTCTTCGACGAGTATGTTTCACCTTGGAGAATCTTTAATCTCTGCGGATAATCAATGCTTCTTTTTTGCTAGTTTAGCGCAAGAAAGGAGATGGCTTTCGGCCACTTTTTCCGGGTCTTTGGCGATCCGATTTTCTACTTTTTTGGGTGGATGTCGAGACGAGACATCTTGCGATGTTTCAGAAGAGGCTTAGGGCTTCTAGTCAATTTTTGAGATGAATAGGGAGAAAAAAATGACGAATTTATCTCGGAAAAAAATGATAAGGAAATTTTTAAAAAAACTGTTTAATAATTCTTTAAAAAAACCAGTGACATCCAGATTTTTTTTTTTGAAAATCTGGATTTTCTAATGGTTTTTATTCAAGTTCTCTATTTTTTCACATGTAGAACTTGAATATTTTCTTTATCCGGAATGAAAATTTTTCAGAAGATGGAAAATCAACTCTTGACCAACTTGTTCGCAGAATTTCTCGTTTTTCAAGACAGCTTTTCCCTTTCAAAAGTCAAAAAACCATTAGCCATGCTGAAATCTTTATTCTCTTGGCCAAAAAGACACAAATAATTACTGTCGATAGCCTGGAGCATTCTCCCCAACACTGGTCGCGAGCTTGGCGTCGTGGACGGCGGCGTCCTGCTCGACGTGGTCGTGGATCTTGATGCTTCTCGGCGGGCATGGACAGTAGGCGGCGTCGCCTCCGGGCATACCGTCGGCTCCGGCTGGCCCCGCTGGTCCTGGAGCTCCAGGGGCTCCGTCTTTGCCAGGCGCTCCATTCGGTCCCTGCTCGCCGTCCTTTCCGTCGCTTCCGTGCTCGCCATTGCTGCCTGGCTGTCCATCAGTTCCTGGTGGTCCTTGTGGTCCGCGCGGTCCTGGCTCTCCGATCGTCTTCCGGCCTTTCTGTCCAGCGCGTCCTGGCTTTCCTGGCGCTCCTGGCTTTCCGGGCTTTCCTGGCGGTCCGGCTGGTCCCGCATTTCCTGGATTACCGTCCTTGCCGACTTCTCCCGGCTGTCCGTCCTCTCCGGGGTTTCCTGGTGGTCCGGCGTCGCCGCTTGGTCCGGGTCGTCCTGCTGGTCCGGCTGGACACTGGATGCAGCCGGCGTCGGCGCTGACCGACTGAACCGAAGCTGGAGAGCCGGGGAATCCGGGAATTCCGTCGTCGCCAGGCTCGCCGTCGTGTCCGGGAGTACCCTTTTCTCGCCAGGAGGACCGGAGGGGCATTTGGACGGCTGCTCGCCGCATTGGCACTTGTCGGCTTGACGCTTGCCTCGGCCGCTGATGAAGCTTCCGAAGAAGTGGCGCCGACTCGGAGACGTTCGGACGGCCGCTCTTGAACAGCATCGTGTCCCAGGTTTTGTCGGTGAGATCCTGAAGCGGGTTTGTTTGAGAGAATTAATGGCTCAAGTCTTGAGACTACTATTTTCCTTCCGATGCTGAATTTGCAACTTCCAGGCTTCCAGAGGGAAAAAAATTGAAATTAAATTTTGGAAAAAGGTGAGTGAAAATTAGGAAGGATAAAGGAGTCAGAAAAACGCTGATCTTGGTCAAAGTTTGACTTGAAATAATTTAAAAATCGATTTTTTTGTAAGTAATGATAGAATGATTGGCTTGCTTGCGGGAGATGAGCTTGTATGACAGTAAAAAAATTAAAAAAAGAGAAAATCTTATGGCAGAGTACCTTAGAATGAGAAGAAGAAAACCGGGTTTTCTGCCACAATTTGATTTAGAAGAAGTCGTTATCCATTATACAAAAAAAGTACCAAAGGAATGACTAGCTTCCTTGTGAGAAAATCAACTAAAATAAACAAAAAAAAGGTGTGAAAAGTACCTTAAAATGAGCCATGCCACGGATGGAGTCGTCGTGGAGCTGGTTGAGGTCGTTGACGGCGTTCCAGCAGACGAGCAGAGTGGTGAAGACGACGGCGAGGCTGACCGTCGAGCCGCAATATGCCACCGCTTTCGGATCCATATTAGTCAGTCTCTTCCTTCGAGGAAATGATGCCTGTGGACGACGTCGTCGGCCCTTTTATATCGGACGCGACGGGCAGGATCGCTTGGCGGGCCCATATCTGGGAACGTCCCCAGAAAAAAAGCAGGAGTGAAGCCGTTAGGACGCCGTCTTTTTGCCGGAGGCCTCCTTAGTCTTCTTTCCGATCAAGAGGTAGATATGTAGATTTGGTCGCGTCTGTTTGTTCTGCGACTTTGGTTCTCCTGTTCAGAAATGTCTCTTTTTTCAACTTTCCTCATAGGGGAGGTCATTTTACTTACTGAAAGTTGACCAGAACACTCCTTGATGTAGCAGAAAAATAATCGGGGGGTCTCAAACAGTACAACTTCCTAGTTTTCGAGAAATAAGGGCTCAAAGCCTCAAAGTGGTTGACTTTAAGGCGTCCTTTCTTAAAAACTAGTTGTGCAGGTTGTCACTTTCAGGATCTTCTTCTGGTACATCAAGAAGTGCTTTGACCAATTTTCAGAAAATTCCCAACCTCCTTTTCAGATAAGACCAAAGAAACATGATTGACCAACTTTTTTTTTACTCAAAAAGGCTTGGAATTTTCCGAATCTTAGTCCAGAGTTAACAGAAAATGCAAAACTAGTAGTTTTGTCCATTAAAGAATAAACTTTTTAAGCCTTCATTCTCAAGTAAATCTTTTTTCATCTTCAAAAAATAGATTTTGAAAACTCTTATATCGCTTAAATGAACCTAGGAACACAGTAAAATATTATTTTTTTCTGAAATAATCTTATAAAAATATTTTTTTAAAACAATGAGAGACTCTAAAAAAGGGGAAAAACTAACTGTTTTTTTCTTCATAATTTTTCCTTTTTTTAAGCGCACATTTTTCTACATAACTTTTTCCTTTATTTTAAAAGCTGAAAAAAAGAGATTTTTTTCGAGTCATCAAAGTTTTGAGTGAGTCTTAAAAAGTGTTATTGAAAAATCCTAGAGGTCGTCTAAAATAATCTGCATTTTTTTATTCTGCAAAGTTTAAAACAGCCATTTATGCCGAAAATGCTGTGAACTTTTTATTCCCACCCAAAATTTTGAATATTTAAAAAAGAACCTTTTTCAAGTTGTTGAATCTCCCAACATTCCTCACTTGTTTCCCCTGCCATTCTCAAAGCAATCGACATATTCATTAAAATCTCCATAAAACGCAATCGCTGGCGAAATCGGCGCGGCGACATAAAAAGTCGCCGGTCCGGCGCGAACTTTTTTTTTTCTTCTCTGGTAATTTCGGCGATTTCTTTCCAGGCGAACACGTTGCTCAACGAAGCTGGAACGGATCAGGATTCGCGGGCACCCGGAAGTTGGGATTCCAGGGAGGTCAGTTTATTTTGACGCGAAGTATTGATATCCCAACGGAAAGCTGTATAAAACTGTGATTTTTTTCACCAGAGAAGCACTTTGCAATCAAAAGTTTTTCGAATGATACATGAATAGAAAAGTTTTTTTGTGACGGAAAAGATCTTTTCGTGACAACAGAAAAAAATTGAAAAATTGAAGAAAAACAGAAAAAAAGCAAAAATCGAACCAGAAAAAAATTTCGATGCCTGTTATCCATAGAGCAACTTTGCTGCGAATGCCTTTTATGCAAGTATTACTTTTCTCTTTGATTTCAAAAGGCTTTTTTTCTCAAAATAGGAACTTTTGTACATTTTAAAGTATATCGTTCGATTCGCAATAGAAATTTCTACCAGATACTGGTTTCAAATGAAGCTCGTTTTTACTGCCCCTGCCTATAACAGTAGGAAATGCCTCAAATTATTTTTTGAGCCAAGAATCTTTCAAGTGATCACTTGGTTTCTGAAAATTAAAAAAAAAACTTTTCCGAATAAAAGGTGTTCAGGTAAAAACTACAGAATTTCAATTTATGCATCCAGACCCCAATGAAGCCTAGGGACCACTTCAGGGGCAAAGAAAGCTTTCAAGCTTTTTTTTTTCATGACTTCCTTCCGTTGTCCAATATCCTCTCCCCAATGACATCAAATATTTCAGTCAGATTTTGACTTTTTTTTCCTGTTATTTGTTGGCTTTGGCCAATTCCCCGATGCGCCCCTTTTGATGTTTTTTCACTTCTCTCAAAATTTTGAAATATGCTTTTGAGGCAAAAATGCGTTTTAATTGTTTTCGGGGCCTGTAGAATGATGAATGAAATTTTCATTTTCGAGAAAAAAACAACTGAAACCGTTTGAATACAACCGTAAGGAAATAGTTCATCCATAACAGTACTTGAAAATAAAATCGTTTGGGCTGTTATGAATGAACTACCATACAAAAAAAGCTCTTCCTAAACTTTGAGGCTTCCCTGAGCGTGTGAAATATGGGGACATTCCGAGTATTTACAATAACAAGGGCTAGAAAAAAAGTGTTCAAATGGGCAGGGAGGCGAACGGCCGTCGTCGTATCTGAGGTAATAAACCCAGTAAACGATGTTGAAGACGATGAACGCGACTGGGAAATAGATTCGGCTGTAGCGGTCGATGCTTTGCGCGAACTTTCGGTTTTCCTCCACTCGGTTGATTCTGAGAAAAAAAAAAGTTAGTTTAGAAATAGTCCGAGTAAGCTTACTAGGAAACTGATTGAACTTTTGCTGATACTTCGCTTGCGTACTAAAGGTAGGGTCCGCAAGCCATTTCTTCAGAACGATTCAAAAAATATGTTTTTCACATTGTTCGATAGAGGAGACTGTCCATTTTCATAATCCGTTTAGTTTTTGAAAAAAGGTTCACTAAGAAAAAAGTTATGGCCAAAAAACGAGCGCGCGCGGCGTACAACTGGAGGCAAAATCTCACGGTTTACCCGCTGCCGCACGCTTTCTTTTTAAATGTTTTTGCGCGTTTCTGGACCGTTTTTAAATCGGTTTTCTGTTCTGAGAGGTTGTCCGAACTGAGCTTCATGTTTTGGTATGAATCTTTTGTACAATCCTCATAAGAATTTTTGATAAAATATCGAAAAACTACCTAGAAAAAAGGTCAAAGGGATTTTTTTCAGCTTATTTTTTTCTTTTTTTCTACTCAGAAAAAAATTATTATCATTCGATTTGGAAAAAAAGAAAAAAATGAAAAAAATAATGTTATTTCGAAATAAAACAGGAAATAGTACAATTTGACTCCGAAAAACGGCTCCTGCGACATTTAAAAAGGGCGCATCGGTGTGTTTGACGCAAACACTGCTACGGACACTTGCACGAAATCTTCCAAAATTTCAAAAATTGCCATTTTTTTCGAGGTTTTTCAAAGCCGTTATTTTTCGCGTCGATCGATTTTTTTCATAATTTTTTTCATTGATAGAGTTTTGAACGCTTAATAACATAAGCAAAAAGTATAGACGCGATCCTATTCTCTCATGCGTCAACGAGGCAGGCGAAAAAAAGGAGGTTTTGGCAAAAACTCAAATATAATTTGATTCGCTGTCCCAATAATTATTTTCATTTTGAATTTTTTTATTTTTGGACACACTGTTAGTTTTTTAAATCAAATAAAAAGTATACCATGTCGCTGAAATTTTTTTCGCATTTCAGCTTCAAAGTTTGGTGTCACTTTACAAGCTTCGATCGCGTCGTTAGATTTTTTTAAAAATTTTTACTCGAAAAAAATAAAGAAAGTGTTAATATATAACATACTCAAAATTTAGAAGCGTTCCTCACTTGCTTTTCTGAAACGCGATGATTTTATGAAACTTGTCAGTTTTTTTCGTGTTAAATCTTACTTTTTCGCTTATTTTTGAAAAAAACATAGTTTTTAAAATATTCAGTCTTGTAGAGCGTTGTCGATTACATAGATTAACAGAAACAGTTAATTTTTTAAAGTGGGACTTTAGCTAGTATAAACGCCTCAAAACCGTTTTTGCAACAAAAAAATCGTCATTTTGGTGGCGTGAAGGGGCGAGGCTTTGCGCCCCCTAACTAAAGGATCTCCTGATTGCAGAACAAGAAAAAATCACTCCCAATTGATCTTTTTTTTCGAGTTAGAACGTTTCAAAAGCTCGAAAGAGCCCTTTTAGTCATAATTTGCAAACTTCGCGGACTTTGAAGCTTTTTAAAATCGAAAAAAAGACATGTTTTCTTTATTTTTGCAATCAGGAGGTCCGAAAGTACACATCACCAAAAATTTCAACCCTGAGAAGGGGGATGTGGTGAAAAAAACCCCTCAGGGGGTAAAAAACCCTCAGGAGGGGAGGTAAAAAAACCCTCAGGGGGTGGTAAAAACCCTCAGGGGGTAAAAACCCGCAAGAGGGGGAGGTAAAAAAACCCCTCAAGAGGGGGAGGGGGATAAAAAAACCCCTCAAAAAGGGGGTAAAAACCCCTCAGAGGGGGTAAAAGCGTTCTCTAGTGAGGAATGTCAGAGTGGTTCTGCTATTCAATCCCCTCGAAAGTTCCCCTTTAGGGACCACCCAACCTTTACCTATAGAGAAAAAAACTCATAGCCAATCCTACCCAATTTGAAAAGCGATAGGGGTAGATTGACAAGAGTAACTTGTTTCGAAAGCGTTTTTAGAGGGAAACTTGATATCGGAAAAAAGCTTCCACTTTATGGGCTTGAAAAAGTTTAGTTGAACTTCTTTATTTTTTACATTTTTTGCAGTTATGTGTATCTAAGTTTCCCGCCAAAGAGACGTGTCGCATACGGAAGAAATAACCTTCTTCGTAACACCAGAGTGTTCACTAGAGTGGGCTCTTCCAGTCTCCCCTCAAGGGACCACCTCATCTCTCACTGAGGCTTGCAGAAAGTGGTCCCTTTAGTGGGCCATTCTATCTGATTGTTGCTATAAAATCTATAAGAAGAAGCATTTTCCATGCGAAAAAATCGGAAAGTTACCGTTTTTTAAATGAAAAAATGTCAACAGAGGATGAATCTATCAATTTTTATTAAATACGTCTTTTTGATTTTCGAATCTGAATTAAATTTAAAGATTCCTATAGGGATCACTGAAGCTTAAGAGGCCTTATGGTCAGAGGGGGTCTAAAACCCCCTCTAGAGGGCCACCTCAATTTTACCCCTCTAGTGAGCACTATTTCGCAATCTATAGAAGCTATTCATTAGCTTGTCCCTTTAGTGACCACTCTTGCGTTTTTAAGCTTGGCAGTCCACCCATCTTGTTTTTAGAGTCGGTTATTTGAGATTTTTTCCTCAAAAACACTGACCGCTCCTCGATGGCTTTCCGTTTGAAGCTGGGCAGCATGTTTCGACGGACGAGCAAGGGCGACTGGTTCATCTCCCGGAGTTGCTTCTTCTCGAAGTTTCGCTGAACATTCAGGTTGTCGCCCCCGTGCACCGACACCTCGTAGCATGCATTGCCGTTGTTGAACTGAAAACCAACGCCGGGAGGGTTGAGAATCATGCTGGTTAGGAGTCGGAGGCAGACTTTCAATATTGGAAGCTTTCAACTCGGGCACAGTAGGAATGGTGGATAATGGTCGCTAAAAGGGAGGCTCGAAAAAGGCCGCAGAAAGGCAGCAAAAATGCTCGAAAAAGGCAGCAAAAATGCTCGAAAAAGGCCGCAGAAAGGCTCGAAAAAGGTCACAGAGAGGCAGCAAAAAGGGTCCCTTCATCGAGCCTGCCATTTTTTCTGGGATTTTAAAGGCTCCAAAACTTGGTGGAAAAAGGGAGAGGTAGCAAAAATCGCACATAAAGCATATTTTACTTTAAAGCTTGATTAGATCAAGCCTAAGTTTTGACTCAATATTTAAGAGTAAGGGTAAGAAAAGGTTTTTTTTTCAAGTTCATGTGAAAGATCATTTTTTGAAAAAAGCAAAAACATCAATACTTGAATTGAATTTCAGAAACCAGACACATCTTTCGTTGTTAAAAATCAAGATTAATCAAAAAAGGTACCTGAAATTTGCTGAAGCCTCATGAAAAAGCCATGGGAAAGATACAATACTTTTCAACAATTGAAAGCTTGTTTAGAGAAAGTTTGAGTTTAAGGTTCAATATTTGAAACTTTGGCTCAAGAAAGAATTGGTTTGAGGCTCAATATATAATAGGGTGATGAAAAAAAACGCCGGAAAATGCTTAAGGGACCACTCGGGAGGATATCATGAGGTTCCACCCAACACCAATCACGTCGCACCATTTTGAATAAGGTTTTTTAACATTCCAACTTTTTTCCAGAATTTTTGAGTACCTTTTTAAACATAAAAACGAGGAAAAAACACTTAAGGGAAAACTCAGAATTTCCGACACTCCAGTTAACACCAACCATGTCGTTCTTCTTCTCCTTGTACTGCATCACGAGGTCTTGGACTTGCTCGGTGAGGCCTCGTTTTCGGGGCTTTTTCCTCTGTTTCCTCCGGGTGCAATAGTTCACGACCTCAATGGAAATGGTTAGAAGTTAGATGCTCATGTGAGGGTTACTGTAAATTCGATCATGGCCGAGAAGACAAACGCCATACAGGTTCCCATCCAAACGTCGATCGCTTTCACGTATGAGGCCTAGAATTTTGTGGATTTTAAGGTGAATTAATGATTATTTATAGTTCATTCGCTGCGACTTGACAGTTTTCGCGTGTCTGCATCTCTCTGTTCCCTCACCGGCGAGGTCAGAGAAACATGGAAAAAGCACGTAAACATGAGAGAGACGCTGAGAGAGGAGGAGGGCGCAGAGAAGTCCCGCCAAGTCGCGAAAAACGGACTATATTTATCAGGTTTGCTTGTTGTTTAGAATTGTAAGGCTTTGATATTCATACTGAATTACCGAGGAAAAACTCCAGAGTGGCCCCTACAGTGGGCTCTTGGAGGTTCCACTCCAGGGGCCACTTTACCTGCCCCTATATGGCTCACTAAAGCTTGCAAAAGTGGCCTCTTTAGGAGATGTGCTAGTCAATTATAGTAATGAACTCATCCGCATGTGAAAAACTTGATAAACTAACGTTTTTGAATTAAAAAAAGTAATAGATCAAGTCTGTCTTTTCAAATTTCAGACCCTATAGGAACCCCTTGAGCTTCAGGGGTTTAGGGGTCAGACCGTTAAACTCTAAAGTGACCCCTTAATTTTCACCCCTATAAGGAGTTTTTTTTTCTCTAAACCCTATAGTGACCACTCTGGCGTTCCTAGATGTCAAACTTGAAACTGAAATGGATTTTTCGAAAATCACCTGAGGAAGAGCCATTCTCGCCGCGCTGCTCTGTGTTGCCAACGTCAGCAAAGTTGTAATTGATAAGGAAACCTGAAAAATTTGAGATTTTCAATCGAAAATTGCCCTCTTTTTCAGGTACCCGGCCAGGTACGGCTTCCACGTCAAGCCAGAAGCTGAACCAGCTGATGATGACGATCAACGCCGTCGGGATGTAGGACTGAATTCAAGAAAGTTTTAGCCCTGGGAAGGCCGAATTTTTATTGGTTTCCCGCTCAACTCATCCACAGGTAAGAGAGGCTTATCAAAAATTCTTTTCGCGCCGGAATTCCCGTCAAAAATGCCCTATGCTCCTTTAATAACCCCAAGCATTGAATGAAAAAAAAAGATAACATGGATTTTGGCAAAATTTTCCGTTTATTTTTAGGCATTATCAGAGGCTTCAAAAAATTTAAGAACCTTAAAAAATGCTCAAGATCTTAAAAAAGTACTGAAAGTCTGTTCTAACTGTAAGCTACTTTTTCTAATTTTTTCAAAAAAAAAAATTGTCTTTGTATCGGTTTTTATATCTCTTTTTTTTTGGAAAATGTCATGACCTTCTTTTTTTTTTCTCCTCAAAAAGATCTTCTAAATCAAATGTCATGAAAAGGTGTTAGGAAGATATTTCAAAGAACCTTTCAGGTAATTTTTGAGCTTTTCCCCTGATTCAATATTCATAAAAGAGTGTAGATACGTATAACTAATGAAAAATGCAGATTTTACTTATTTGAATAATTTTCTCCACTCGAACTTTGAGCTGAAAGGTTATCCTCACTCCTTAGATGAAAAATGTACCTTATTTAGTCAATTTTTCAAGAATACCTGAATAATATGATGGGTGATTTCCCGGTCGACGTGAAACTCGGCTATCGCGCAAGACCAGATCCCTGAAAAATTGATTATTTCCATAAAATTGGAAGTATCTTTAGTGGCTTCTTAAGAGGTCCAGCAATTACTTGGGCCCTTAAGGGACCCCTAAAGTTTTTCCCAGTTAAATCAGGAAAAAAATAAGGCAACTTTCTATTCTAACTAATTATCTTTATACCGTACGTAGTAAATAATGCTATGAAATTATTATAAACCTGTTGCATAGGAATCATTTCTGACGTAGAATTTGATCCTCTGAAGCCTCATATCGGGCATCCGGATATCCTTGTTCACTTCGACGGGAACTCTGCCGTTCCAACGGATTTGCAACTGTTCCGTGTCGTAGGCATCTAAAAAAAATCTCTAAGGAAAATTTAAAGGCATAGGGTCAGTAAAAAACGGTGTTTCAGTTCAAAGCAGTACTTTGTAGAGTTTTTCATCACGAATCGAACGGTGAACTTGGAAACGTACCGAACTTCCTAGTTTTGGAGAAAAAATAATTCAAAGTCGGAGAAAGGAAAGCTTGAGTTCCCGCCAAAAAGGCGTTTTGCAGTAAAGTTGCTCTATGGGCGCCATCTTCGCCATCTTCGCTTTTTTCTTCGTTTCTTTCAATTTTTAATTTTTTCTGTTGTCACCAAAGTTCTTTTCGTCACAAAAGCTTTTTATTCATGTATAATTTGTATACTTTGATCGCAAAAATGCTTTTCTGGTGAAAATGATGATTTTACACAGTTTTCGATGGGGATAGCGATTATTTGTGTTTTCTTTATTATCAATATGTTTTCTGTTTTCTTAATCGATTTTTCAGAGTAGAAACCCTTGATTTGAAGCAGATATCCGGTTATTTCTTACAAAATGCGAGTCTAATGAGACGTCCGCAACATCGCGTGCATGGCTACTGTAAAATTTCGTCCGTATGCCGATCCAAAGCATTTTTCGGAATTAAAGGCGGGAAAGTGAAATTTTAAAGATTCCTCAGATGATCTAGAAATAATTTCTGACAAAAACTCACAACTGAGTATCCGCAGACCGCAACCTTGTGAATCCAGAGGATATCGGGCCAAATTCTGCATACACAGAACGGTCATCGAGATTCTGCAAGGGAAATAGTTCATTTATAGTTATTTTTAAGTTTTTTTATTTCAAGTTAGAAAAATTATAATAATTGATCAATTTTGAACCAACGATTAAAAACAACTTTTTGACAGAAAGTTGTCTAAAAAAATTGACAAGTTTCGTTTCAATTTTTGAAGCGTTTTTGTCTTAATTTCGACGAGTTTTTTTCTTGACTTTAACAATTTTTTTATTAAAATTTTTGGCAACTTTTTGTATCAATTTTGACGAATTTCATTACAATTTCGACCAATTTTGTCTCAATTTTGACGAATTTCATTACAATTTCGACCAATTTTGTCCCAATTTTGAAGACTTTTATAAAATTTTTGGCAAATTTCGTATCAATTTTTGATAATTTTCGGTTCGATTTTTGACGACTTTTTGACCATTTTTTTGTCTCAATTTGAACGGTATTCGACCCACCGACAATCGTACCAAACGGTCCCATTACCGTAGATCCAAACGAGGAAATTCGGCTGAGTGACGTCATGAAAGGCTGCGGTTCGCGCGTTGGCAAAATAGATATCCGGATGCCAGATCAAATCGAACAATTTCGTGTCCTGGAAAGCTTTTTTTTCGTTCTCGGACATTGATAACGTTTATAGGCCCTTCTAGTGGCCACTTTAGTAGCCTCAGCCCTCTTGAGTGATCCCTAGAACCCTGAGTTGGATTTTTCATATATTTCATTATGACAGAGTCAATCTCATTTTCTTGATCACGATTCTGGTGATTTCCGTGCGACTTTGTCACGTTAAAAAATAGTAGCAGGAACTACAGTACACCAAGCTGTTTTTTGCGCTTCGCTTCAAGACCTCCAGTTTTTTAGGACCTGTAATTTTGTGATATACTGTATTTTTTCCAGAAAAAGGACATGCTGTCGCTAAATAGGTTTATAGCGAACATCATGAACATGAAAACTTTAAAAAACATGAATTTTTTTGAAATATCTGACAAACTTTTTGAGGGGTCCCTACAGGGGTTTCAAAGGGGCATTTGAGGGACCCCTATGCTCCCCCTATAGTGGTTCCTAAAACAACAAACCCCTAAAGGGATCTCAGAAATCCCTCTGAGATGCTCAAAAACTTCTCCGGAAAGAGGTATGACAGCTCAAAATTGAAAAAATTTTTTTTCTTTGATTTTGCGCTGTCAAGCCCTGGTTACCCATGAGTTTCAAAAAAGTTCATTTTCACCAAAAATGGCCTCAAAAACCGAAATAGCGATCTAAAAGAAGAAGCTTCATTGGATAGAAAAGGGGCGTGGCCGGTCCGTGCCCTCCACCAACCAGCCACTATCTTGTTTATCGTGTCAGGACCTTTTTCGTATAGTAAATCATGTACTTACTTTGATCAGAATCCGCTTCGTATTATTATGAACGAGCCGCTTGTCGATCCATTTTTGCTGGAAGTAGATGTCCACTTGGAAGTCCTTAAAAAAACTTATTTTTAAACATGGAAAACAAAATTTTTGAAATTAGAATCATAAATATGATTATATAGGATTTTTTATCGAAATTTTTAATCTTTCAAATATTTTTTGCTCGAGGAACGACCTTTGAAAGAGTGAATCTACCAAAAAAATTTTTTTGCTAAAAAAATATTTTTTTCTCAATTTTTTTGATGAAATTTTTCTTTTTTAACGAAAAAAAGATGTATCAGATTTTTCCTTCTTGAAAGAAATTTTTGAGACAATTTTCCATAAACGCCTCTTTTTTTCTATTAGACGTTGTCTACATAAATCCCAAATATTTCAGTTTTTTTCTTCTATAGTTTACTTTTTGCTGGTTTGTAAAAAGAAAATCCTTTGTTTTTCAAAGATCTCAGAAATCCCCCCCTTTTCCCAGTCGAATATGGCCTCGGGGTAAAACAAAAAGCAAAAAAAAAGAACACATCTCATTTTGAAAGATCTTCCGTCCCAGACACTTTTTAATTAGCCACAGAACCTAGTCGGATTTCCCTTTTTTCTTGTTTAAGAAGGAAAAAAAAGGAGAAACTGGTGCGTAAATTGAGAATTCGGTTGTGGTTTGCCGGGGCTGAATGTCGCAAATTGTGGATGAAATCCGCGTGCGAATTTTCAAACATTCTACGGCTTGATTTCCGTCCTTTGTTCCTTCTACGTGTCTTCTTTTTTTCTCCTTTTTTTGGAAGATAATAAAAAAAGTTTTTTTGTTGTTTTTTTCAAAGAAATCTTGGATAATTCGGTCTTAAGTATGAAAAAAAGAAATTTTTAAAATTCATCTTGAGTAGATAAAAAGTTAAACCACTTTGGAAAAAGTTGTAAAAAAACATTTTTTTGATATTGAAAACATAGCCGCCAAGTATATTCTGCGCTCCATCGAGAATTTTTGAAACGGAAATTTTTTTGGTTAAGAGTTAAACCGCTCTGAAAAAATTAATATGAAAAAGTAGCTGCGAAGAATTGAAGTTTTGCGCTCCATGGAGAATTTTTGAAACAGGAATTTTCAGTTAGTAGTTTTAACGGTTTAAAAACCACCCGAAAAAATTTGATAAAAAAATATGTATACGAAAAAATAGCCGCGAAAAATTGAGATTCTGCGCTCCATGGAGAATTTTGAGACGGGAAATTTTTGGTTAAAAATTTAAACCACTCTGAAAAGACTAATTTGAAAAAATAGCCGCAAAGAATTGAGATTTAGCGCTCCATGGAGAATTTCGAAACAGGAATTTTTGGCTCAGAGTCAAACCACTTTGAAAACTTTAGAAAACATATAATTTTTATAGTATGGAAAAAATAGCCGCGAAAAAGTGAGCTTCTGCGCTCCAATGAGACTTAGGCAACTGGCAAATTTGAAAACTTATAGGAAATTGAAGTTGATTGAAAACGCTCTATGGAAAGGGAATATCAAGAAAATTTGCCCAAAAAAAGCGAAAAGTCAAAGAAAAGGCTCAATTAAGTTGAGCAAGTACGCTCTACGGATAACTCTTTTTTGAAAGTAAACTCAAAATTGAATGAAAAGAGAGGAAATTCACACATTTTTGAAGCCTAAAGGTATCAATTTTGGTTAACCAAACCAAAAATTTTCTTTTTCCGAGAGGAAAAAAATTGGAACATAGCCGAAAGACATCTCCCGGCGGACTACTCAATTTTTTTATTTGTTAGTTTTTACTGAAAGCCTCGAGAAATCGAACTTTTCTCTCAATTCGGCCTCATTTTGAATATTGATCCTCGAATAAAATTCAAAAATCTCTGAAAAAATCCCGATGGAAATTGAATTTTTCATCGAGTCAATAAGATTTTGAACTTGTAACCACCGACTGAATAAAAAAAAGCTTTCGTTTTCTCCATATCTAGGATTTCGGAAACTGAAATCATCAGAAAGAAGGCGTGGGAACACCTGCTGAGCTGAATAATTACTCTATTTTCTTGAAAAAGAGGGAGTTTAAATGAACGCGGAAGCCATTTTTTTCACGGTTTCTTCGGATTTTATAAGAAGAAAAAAATTCTCGGTTCAAGAGACGATATTTTTTTATATGAAAAAAAGATTAGAAAAGGTCGAAAAAAATCGAAAAATTTACTTTTTCGATTTTGGTTTTGTTTTTTAAAGGAGCACATAACAGAGAATTTTGAAGAATTTCAAGGCGAAAATGTTTTTTTAATAAAATGAAAGCCCCACATGCGCCTTTAATAACCTGATTTTTCATAGGATAATCATTTTAAAGCCGAAGAATAAATCATTCCAAGGCCTCCATGTGCCTTTAAAAACTTTCCAGAGTTCTCTTTCAAACAAGAAAAATTGAGAATTTTCAAAGTTCAAACAACGAAAAAACCTATCAATCTCCACTCCTTCTCCAATCTTTTTGAACTTCCGAAAACCGAAAAGATAAAAAAAACCCAGGAGCCACTCGAAAAAGAAAGGAAAGAACGGATAAGTGTTCGTTAGAGCGCACAAAACCGCCGAGAATATTTCATGAGAGTCTCGGGTTTTCAAAATTTTGTTATTTTGTTCTCTGCTTGGAGATTTTTGAGAGATGGAATGGTTCGAAAAATCAATTATTTTCGAACTGAGAAAAAAAAATTTTTTGAAGCTGAAAAATGGTAACAAATGTGCTCCATTGTACAGAAATGTCAAAATTCTAGCCTAATTTTTTAATTTTTTAGGCTTTTGGGACAGACTTCTAGTTTTTTTCCTAGGCAAAGTTGGAAGGGTGGAAAAAGGCTTAGATATGTTCCTTTAAATGTGAAAAAGGCTCCTTTTTTGCTGCCTCTCTGCGGCCTTTTGGAGCCTGCCCTTTTAACGGCCATTATAGACCACTCCGGCTTTGCTCGAAAAGAAAAAAAAAAGCTCCAAACTCAAAAATACCAAGACCCACTCCCCTTCAACTTTACTGATCTCCCGAAAATCCTCAAAACAAATGCTCAAGCCCACAAAAAAGGAAGAACTCCTCTTCTCGTCACTCAAAAAACGTCAACTTTTCCATCTCTTTTTCAACATCCTCTTGGGTTTTCCTTTCTTCCCTTGATCCAATAAAAAGCCGAGATTGAGAAGAAGGAAATTACGGCCGATTGTTGTGTCTAATTTGTACCCAGAAGGGCTGAGAAGGCGTAAAAAACCGCACTTTGGTGTCGTGACAAAGAGATTTGGGTGTTTGGAAAAAAAAAAAATGGAAATTTCCGATTTTTGGCGGGAAAAAATTATTTTGAACTTTTTCAATAGAAATTTTTTTGAGTTTGAAAAAAATTTGATACGATCTGATAGCTCAAATTTTTGATATGTGAGTTATTAAAGCTTCATAAGTTTAAAAAGAAATTGGAATAGAGATCTAAAAAAAGTTCAAGAAACGATAACCGAATCGGTGAAAAAAAGGGATTTTTGAAAAAAAGTCAATAAAAAGCCTCATTTTTTTGATAAAAAAACCGGAGGTCCAGAATTTTATAGATATCTCCAGAAAATCCTCAATTTTTTCCTGGGTTCATTCCTTCTGAACTCTTCAGAAAAGTACTCGGAAAACCGCAAAGCGAGAGAGTTCGCTGGGGCGAACAAAACCTCGTGCATATTTCATAATTTCAGCGTTATTTTTCCCACACAGACTCTCCAAAATGATCGAAATTCAAGAAGTTTGAAAAAGTCTCACCATCGATTGAGCGTGAAATGAGGACATTCCCTCGATGTACATTTGAATGTCGACGAGGGTTGGAGTCTCTGAAATTGATTATATAGCGTAGTCCGCTTGAACAAGCTTCTATGATCCCATGAAAAGATTTTATTTTTCTTGAACCCGACCATCCATGGTTTACGCCAGAGAAAAAAGAATTTCAGGGCTATCAATGCTTTTGTTGTATCTCGGAGGTCAGATGACACTTTCAAGACTAGAAATCGCCAAAAAGCAACCGACCATGAACGACTTGCGCTTCGGACTGTGCTTTAGTCTAGGGATTCTCCAGCGGTCTGTGCTTTATGTGTTTCTCGAAAGTACAATGTCGAGGCTCGAAAAAGTGCTTTTTGTGTGGAAACGCATCTGCAACCGACCATCTCTGACTTGCGCGTTGGACTATTGTCCAGGCTAAAGCTGGAAGCTCTCTAGCAGTAAATGCTTCACGCATTCTCTCGTCGTTTAATAATCACTTTGGAAAATTATATCATTATATTGGCTCAAAAAACTTCTGCAACCGACCATCCACGACTTGCGCTTTGGACTACGAAGACTGGAGCTGGAAGCTGATCACTGCCTATCTTTCAAAGAGGTTTTTAATGGTTTATGTGACTTTGAAGTTTCTCAGAGATCATATGCCACTTTCAAAGCTCGAAATAGTGTTTTAGGATGAAATTGGTTCTGCAACCGACCATTCACGACTTGCGCTTTAGACTACGTTTCAGTCTGGAGCTGCAGGGTCTCAGCATTTATGTCGTCTCTAGGAGGTCATTGCCATTTTCGAAGCTTTATATCGTGTTTTTTGGGTCAAAACGCTTCTGCAACCGACCACGTACGACTTGGGCTTTGAGCTATGCTCTAGGCTGGAAGCACTCTAGCAGCTTATGCTTCATTTAGTCTCTTGAAGTTCATTCACCGCTTTTGAAGCTTCAAATCAAAATTTAAACGCCAAAACCAGTTTTTTTAAGTGATGCTTTTTTTCGCCGAAACGCATTTGCAACCGACCCTCTGTGAGTTGCGCTTGATGCTATGGTTTAGGCTGGAAGCTTTCTAACGTTCCATGATTTATTCAATCGCTCGTCATTTTCAAAGCTTGAAATCTTGTTTTTTGGCTCAAACCGCTTCTGCAACCGACCATCTGTGACTTTCGCTTTATGCTATGCTTCAAGCGTTCATGAAGCCTCTTAGAGTTCAATGACCGCTTTCGAAGCTTCAAATCCTAGTTTCGACGCCAAAAATTTTTGTTCATCCAGCCCCTCTTGTTTCAACAAAAATGTTCGCCCAACGAACAGCTCTCGAGACATTGCGCCATTGTCCATAATAGTTTGTTGTGAAGGAAATTGCTTCCGGCCGTCTTTGCGAAATCGTTCGTTTTTTCAGCGAATTTAAAAAAAAAAGAGAAGAAAGACGAAAAACTAGAGAATTTCTTATTTAGGATATGTATTAATTTTGCGGCTTTTCATTCGTTTTTTTCTGTGACCAGGCGGTAAACAACCCTTAATTAAGATAGAAACCAAGTTTTGCTACAATAAAAATTCGACATGAAGATTATTAATTTTCCTGACTTTTCATTCTTGTTTCACAAACTTGGAGTGAAGTGAGGACCTTTTTAAAATGCGAACATTTGAAATTTGAAAAAAAGAAACTCCGAAAAACGGCCCCCGTATCCGCAACGGAAATCCGTTTGGCTAAAGGTTATTCCACCTTTTCCTATTGAACCAGGAAATCTTTTTTTGCCAGAAATTGAACAAGGAACTTATTTTCATATAGTAAAATTAATATAAAATCAATTCCGAGTTGATTTTTGGAAAGAAAAGGATTCTCAAATTGAGCCGTTTTTACTCAATTTCTACCCAACTTTTTGCTTAAAAAACTTTTTTTCTTATCAAAAAGCTGCCCTTTTTCTAAAATTTGTAGTTTCAGACACCTTTTTTTTCAATCTCCAGACAAAAAAAAACGATTCCTGACCTTTCAAAAAAAAAAAAGATTGGAACGCAACTCCTGTGTCAAGTGCGCTCCAATGCACTCGAATTCGCTTGAGAAATTTTTCGACTCAAAAAGGGATATGTTCCAAAGTGAGAGAGGGGGTTGAACTAGGAGACACGCAGACATTGTGAGTAATCAGGATGTGTCTGTTTCTCCACCTTTTCTATTATATCTATGGGCTTTGATTCATAAAAATTGAGCAAAAAAAATGAATATCACAAGTTCGAAAAAAAATTAGAGAGTATAGAAAAAGTGGAGACACAAAGACATAGATAGGTATTTTGAAAATTTGCTGCGTCTCTGAATTCTCCACACTCTCTAGCTCATTTCCAACGAGATCCAAAAGAAAACATTGATGAATCTTGTGGAGATAGTATAAGAAAAATGGAGAGATACAGACATCAGAAACTCTGCGTCTCTAATTTTGAAATACTCTCTCAACCATTGATAAATTTGTACGCTACAGAATGATTTAAAGAAGAGGAGAACAGGTACTAGAGAGCATGGAAAAAGAAGAGACTAGCAGACAAGAAGAGCGATTTGTAACTGTCTAGGTCCCTCCACTTTTAACACACTCTTACCAAAAACATGAAAACACGCCGCTCTTTAACCATCTGCGCTCTCTTTTTCTCTCACTCATAATATTGGAAAATACCTGAATCCTGGTTCGGATAGGCATTGCGATTGTAGTTCCCCAGCTTCTCCAGGATCTTCGTGACGTCATCGATCTTGGGCTCGGGCTCAGGGACCGGCAGAAGGACAGGCTTGAAAAGTTGGACCGGCTCCGGCTGCTGCTCCACGATCACCGTAAAATTATAAGCTTCAGCAGGTAGAGATAGTAATAACAGGACGACGTACAGTCTCATTGCGGGGGATACGGTAGCGCATCGCGTCAGGACCATAAACCGGTCCGGCTCAATTTTTTGCAAAGCGGGAGGAAAGGATTCGGGTGCAGGCAAACTAGAAGAGAATGCGGCGATGTGGGCGGAGCTAGGGCCGTTTTTTTTTGCTCGTCCCTTGGGGCGATGAATCTTTTTCGAAAAGAGCTTCTCGGCGAGACACCCAACATCCATATCAGTTGCCGTCGGACTGATGACTCCGAAAAGCCCTTTCCGCATTCCTCAGCAAGAATTTTTTCTGACAAATGAATTCAAGAGAAAAGAAATCGAGAAGATGTGGATTCTCAACGCCTTTTGTGCCATGTACGAAGTGATTTCGATAATTTTAAAATTGAAAGTTTATTGGTTTGAATTATGACTCAAAACTGGCCTTGAAATGGAATCCGTTCTACAAAGACAAGAATGCCAGAGGGACCCCTATAGGGGCGACCTTAGGGGCTCTTGAAGAACACCTTATCTATCCCTTTAGGGGGCACAGAAACTGGCAAAAGTGGCTACTATAAAGGTTTTAGTAAGTGACCACTCTAGGGGAGTATCCTAGTGGTCTCTAGACGTCTTTTATTCATTAAAAAAAATTGAAATAACTCTTTAGGGACCGCTTAAGGGGTCCCTAAAGAGGACTCTTTGATGAATCTTGATTTTTTTCCTCTCCTTATATAACACTTCAAGAAATGAGAACCTTCTTGAAGAAAAAAAAGCTGCTTTCAAGAAAATATCAAAAAAACAATCAGCGATTTTTAATTTACAATAATATCATTCTTGGGCTTGTCAACAGGAAAATCATTTTCATCCCTTTGAAGGAAAAAAATAATGAGGTTTGAAATAAATTTACCATGCGCTGGAGCTCTTTATTGCGTGTCGAACTTTGAAAATAAATTCAAAAACGGAGAAAAAGTTTGAATTTCCGTCAAAAGCGCGTTTTGCAGTAAAGTTGCTCCATGGAAAAAACGCTTTTTCCGTTTTTTTTTTTTTCAAACTGGACGTTTCTGGAAAGTTCTAGGGATCACTTAAGAGTGCTGAAGCCCCTAAAGGGGTCACTAAAAATGCCCTGACATGTCCGGTTCACGTTCCCAAGGTCCGAGGAACTTTTTCTCAAATTTCAATTTTGTCGAATCCCAATTTTCACAGTCCATATGAAGCCCACGAGGCCACTATTTTTTCATTTTACGTTTTTTTTCTCCAAAAACTCTCAAACCTGCAGTTAGACATTGTTTTCGATTACACGTAGAGAAGAGGAAGCTCAATTTTCTCCTTTTTTCGAGGTTTTCTTCATCAAGACGAACGAAAAAAAAACAATCACGGGCTCATTTGCGACGCGGCTGCACTCAAATTGCACGTGGATTGGCCAAATTTCCGATTACTCACTCCTTTTTTTTCAGGGCAATCTTTGAAGAATCCTATAATTTAATGTTTTAAGAGAATCTATGAATTTTCCTTTTCCTTTCAAAGAATAAAGGTTACAAGCTGTTCATTTATTTTATTAAATGATTTATTTTTATAAATGAAGAATTATCAACAAACATTGTACAGTACAAAGAAACATGGAATAATCTCAAAATGGAGGATCCAAATGAAAGTGAAATATTTACAAAAGGTCATCGAAGATTTTAAAAATCGAAAGTTCAAAAATATCCCTTTTTTTAAAGACATGAGTGAAATTTACATCGATTTTGTGCATTTGAAACGTTTTTTTTTCCTATTTACAAGGAAAATTTCAATTTGAAACAGGAAAAAGATTTTAGCTTTTTAAAGAGGGATACAAGTGCGCTCTGACGAACTGCACGTGAAAATTTACATTTTTTACATTTTATTATACAGTTGGTGCGTGTAATTGAAAAATGAGGCTTTCGAGGGAATCAGAAGTCGTCACTCAAGTGATTTTATAGATGCTTTTGAAAAGTTGAATCGGTTTTACATGTTTTAGTGATCACTTAAGGAGCTAGTTTTTCAAAAAAAAAAAAAATGACCCCTTGCCGCATCACCCAAGGGATCACTCATCTTTTTCTGAGGCCCTTTTTCAACCAGAAAGTCAAAAGAAGCAAGTTTCAGAATGTAATCGGTCGAAAATGATATTTTAAGAGCGACACCTGAAGTGATCCCTTGAAGCATTACTTAAGAGTTCACTTAAGTAGTAACTCAACTTGCGAACTTCAACGAATAAGAAAGAAGCTTCAAGATACATCCAACAAAAAAAAATGCACGAAACCCTCAAGCAAGTACTTGGAATCACCTCTCAAGTGACCACTTCCCTCATTCATTCAAAGTTTTCAAACCAACGGTTGACTTGGAACTGTTGGAGGACAATGGAGGGGAAATTGGCAAAGTTGGTTCGGTGGTAGTAGGTGATACGAAGTCCTTGGCTTCCCCTCGTCGCCGTCCAGGACGTCATCGTGTTCAGCTTCGCCACCGACTTCAACAAGGACGCCAGTTCGACCATCGGGAAGGACAGCGCGATGTTGTAGAGGGTGATCTCGTGGATCTTTCCGGATTTCCATCTCTGAAATTTCATTCTGTTATGCTCGGTGCTCTCTCGAAGTTACACGCTATTCACGTCTTTTACATGACCTCACCGGTTAGGGAAAAGAGGGCGCAGACAGGCTAGAGCAAGTAAGATACATCTTTCAACTTTCTAGCCCATTCGTCGCGATTTGACAGTGTCTGCGTCTTTCTTTTCCCTCACCGGCGAGATCAGAGAAACGTGAAAATAGCACGGCAACACGAGAGGGTCGCCGAGAGACGAGGAGGGCGCAGAGAAAAATATTTTAAAGTCGCGAAAAACGAAGTATATTCTGGAAAAGGCCTTTTATACAAAAAGCTACGTTAGCTCCGGCTAGACCAAGTGAGAGTCAAAATTTCGAAGTTCTCCTAGCAAATCCCACCTCAATGAGCTTGATTAGGTCCTGCGGGGAGCACGAGTTGGCTCCGACTTCGAGCCAGGAGCCGGTGAACTGGAGCAGCTGTGAGCTCTCCATCGGCTCGAACCAATCTCGAGCTGATTCCTCGCCGATCGAAAGGCCATCGAGCTGAAAATATGAAATTAACATCTTTATCGACTGTCTCATGTTTACATGCTATTTCCCCTCTTCTATGGCCCGGTGAGTGAGAAGAGAGCGCAGACAGGTCAGACTGTCTCAGAGCTCGGCTAATTAAGGTATTTTGACAGAGAAGTTTTTCATTTCACCAAAAGATGAATTAGCCTGATTTCCCTACGCTCTCTCATATTTACGAGCTATTTCCCCTTTTCTATGAAGCGGTGAGAGAGGAGAGAGCGCAGACAAGTCAGACTGTTTCGAAACTTGGCGAATGAAAATATTTTGAGAGAAATTTCGGAAATAATCATTCACACTCTCAATTCCCCAAAAGTTGAAATAGCCTGATTTCTCTACGCTCTCTCATTTTTACGTGCTATTTCCTCTTTTCTCTGGCCTCCTTGGTGAGGGAGAAGAGGGCGCAGACAGGTCAGACTTTTTGTCGGCAAGCTAATAAAAAGAATTTTTTTCTTTTTTCTGCGATTTTTCAATCTTCAAATTCACTTTGAACAGGAAAAGGCTTGGCAAATTTCCAAGGCAATAATTATTTTTGAAGTCGACCAAGAAAGCAATGAAAACCCAAAATCGAACCTGCTGAAGTCGAGCCTGAGCATAAAAATCGCGCGGGACGTGGAACCGCCACTCGACGATCAAATTCGTACAGAACCACTGAGCGAGGAGCTCGAAAAGCCGCGTGACGTCACATTGGCGACGGCTTGATCCCAGTTTCAAGGTGTTGATCTTCAAAGACGACGGCAGGGTTCTGGAGAGGATCTCACAGGGTTCCTCCTCTTCGCTGCTGGATGGCTGGAAGATTTTTCAGCTTTTTTCGAAGAAAAGCATTAAAAACGCACCATTTCGAACCAAAGAAGGTCCACAACGGCTCCCTTCAAAAAATCGGCCGCTTGGCCCGGTTCCATCGACACGACGTCACAGGAGCCTTCCAGCGTGAAACTGAGTTTTCCCTGAAACACAAAAATGAATAATATTTTGACTGTGCCTTTAAAATTTTGTATCGTAAGAATCTTGAAAGAGGATGAGAAGTCAGAATTTCAGGGCTAAGCTCAGTTTTTTGTACGATACTCCGTGCTGAACACTTCAAAAAATCAAAAAAGTGTTCCATTCCATTCTGATGATTTTTTCCAAGGGGCCAAATTAAAGACACATGCCGAGGGACAGCTCAAAGAAAGAGCTTCTTTTTTGCTCGGAGAAAAAAGAAAATTGCGACCAGCTGGCGCAGAATGGACTATAAGCGAAACTACAACAGAAGAATTCAGCTTTTCATGATTTTCCTGAAACTGACCGGCGTTACAAGCAGCTGTCTTATCGGCATCGGTTTTGTATATCTTTTATAGCGTTGGATGAGTTTTTTGACATGTTGCGAAGCGATTTTCATCCGTTGAAGCGTCCGAAATTCTACCTGAACTCCTTTTTTAGAAGGGAATTATGAAAGATGTTAAAAATTTCTGGAAAGCCTTAAGAAATTTCGAAGTTTTCCTCGAGAACTTATAATGTGTTCAGGAACGTCAGAGTGGTCCCTATAGGGTCCAAAGGTGAGATGCCTTTGCGGGGGACAAGAAAGTGCCCACTTTAGGGGTATGAGAGTATGACCCCTAAGCTCCTAAAGCTCAAGTGGCCCCTATAGGGGTCCTTTATTTTGTTCGGAATCGAACATCAGAAGGAAAAGCTTTATCGATTACTTCTCTGTTGATCATATCAATATACTACTAGGTTGCTCCCCTATAGGGGCCATTAACTGAAATCCCCGATAGAGACCAATTTCGCAAGCTTAAGTGACCCCTATAGGGAGAAGAAGAGCTTTCTCTAGAGGGGGTACTTCAGAACCCTATAGGGACCACTCTGTAATTCCTAAGCACTATGAACTTTCCCGATTTTTCGCGCGTGCTACTTCCTTTGTTTTCCTTATTTCCTTGATGTTTCAAAACTTGAACATTTTGTGTACATATTGATGTTTAATCAAGATCAAACAATTAGTAAACAATCCGAGTTCAAACCTTCCCTTGGTTTTCCAAAGATCGAAAAAAGCCACAAATTATCTTTTAGATATACCTGCTTGACGATTTCCAGCTGCATTTCGTGGGGGAGAAGCTCAAAATCGAACATTTTTTTTCCAATTGACTGCACTTATCTGAAAAATAATAAAAAATGGATGGGAATCGAGTTTGAGAGCGAATAATGACAATTTCGCACGTCTAGAAGGTTTAAAATTATTGGAATTTTGAAAAAATTAACTTTTTGGGAGAAGTAGGTACCAGTTTTCACGATGATTTTCAGAAAAAAACCGTAAATAATTTTTTTGAAAAAAATTGGAAAAAGCATTCAATTTAAGGTCTTTTTTTCAGCTTTCGAAAAAGTTTTTTTCATGGCTTGAATTGATATCAAATAGTATAGACACTACAGAATTGAACTTGAAACTTAACTTTTTCGAAAAAATATATAAAAATAAATCTTTTTACTATAGCCACCCTCGCCAGGATCGAAAATATATACGAGAAAAAAAAAGCCGAGGACAGTTGTCCACTGAGAAATCTTTATAACAATTGCAATGGGGGCCTGGGAAACTGTGGGCGGAGTCGTTAAACATTTGAGAATGTGGGCGGAGCCACGTCGTTTTCCTTGTGCCAAGGCCGGGGAATACCTGCGTGTGACACTGATCACGTTGAAAACACGTTAAAAGTTTACTTTTTGTGGTGTTTTGGGTGGATACATATTTCCTCATACTTCTCAAAAAAATGATTAAATTTGGAAAAAAAGAAAAAAAAAAGTTTTTACTTTGAAAAAAATTGAACCAATGAGAGAGTTTTTGAATATTTTTTTCTCAAACATTTTTTTCATATTGAAACTTGAGTAATGCCCTAAAAACAGTTACAGACTACTAAAAAAAACTAAAAAAAAATTTTGAAAACTGCCTGCGAAAAAAAGAGCCGCTGATGGCATATTTACGCTCTATGGCTAAATTTCAGAAAAAAAGACTTTGTTTTTCAAAAAGAGCTCTTTAAAAATTTTTTTAAGGTTTGAAAAAAATAAGAAAAAAATTCAAGAAATCGAACTAGTGAAGCTGATATTTAAATTCAATCTGTCTACTTCAAAATTTTAGAAAAACAGCTGCATCGTTAATTAAAGGCGCATAGCCTTTCCCGCACCTCCAAAAAAAAAATTTTTTTTCATGCTCCTTTAAACTAGAGTTGAACAACTACATAGAGTAATTTATGACGATTGCGTTCCGAAATGTCCTTATTAAAGGCGCATACCCCTTCTGGATTCTCAAAAAAAATTTTATGCCCCAGGGTTGGTGAACTACAAATAATCCTCAAAAAATTGACAATTTCGAAAATTCTCTATTAAAGGAGCGCAACCTATAACATGATCTTTTGAACCAGGGTCCTTATAACTACAAAAAGCATTTTGAAATAGGACTAATAGATTATTAAAGGCGCAGAGCATATTCTTGGAAAATTCATCCCCTGCTTCTGAAAACCCCAGAACAAAGTGCTTCGAAATCAAACCAGCAAAATGACGCGCACTTTTTGTGTGTGTGTTTTCAATTCAAAAACCCATAAAACTGAAGTCTGCGGGTAAAAATGGTCAATAGCCGTCATGTTCAAGTCACATGCGACGGGGTATTCCCCGGTATTTTTTCGGTCAGAGAACGCTCATTTTTTTCAAGAGAAATGAAAGGAAAACTTGTAGAGGTATTGAACCAAGAACATTTGGATTGTAAATCTAAAAGACAACCGACTGAGCCATGTGAAGATTGAAAATGGAGCCAAGGATGGCGCACGGAGCCTATTGGATCAATAAAACGGATGACAGATGGTCCTTGTTTGGTTAGGTCCGGAGAGCGGACACCTGTCAGCCTAGTTTCCCCTTTTTCGGTTTTTAAGATCAAAGTAATGATTAAAACTACCAAAAAATATACATAAAAGGCTCAAGAAAAATGGCAAAAAAAAAATCCGCGCCTTACGGGACCGAACCTGTAACCCTTCGAGCAAGAAACTGAATCGCTATCGCCTGATCCATCATGTCTAAGACGCCGAACGATGAGAAAACGACCATATTCTCCTTTTGAGGAGCTATGGAATTCAAAATTAGACATGGCAAGTTTGAAAAAAATGGCAAAACGAATTTGCGCCTTTAGGAGCCGAACCTGTAACCCTTCGAGCAAAAGACTGAATCGCTATCGCCTGAGCCATCATGTCAGAGGCGCCGAACGATGAAAAATCGCGCATATCCTCCAAAAATTTAATATATATATTTCAGTCAGGTAACGAACCTGTGAGCTCATAATCCATAGACTGAAGCATAATGAGCTACAAATTTTCTTGGCACCTTCAGGAATCGAACCTTTGACCTTTGGAGCCATAGACTGAATCGCTACCGGCTGAGCTATTATGTCAACCTAGGCGAAAGCTGAAAAAAGTGTATGAAAATTGAAAAAAAAATAACTCGCAAACTCCTCGGGAAAAGTCCTAGTGACCACTATACTGTTTTTCGTTCTCACGGCGTTCCAAAAGGGAACCTCGCAGTAGAGATAAATGAGGCAGAAAGTACCGCGCCTCAATTGCAGAAAACTGGGCGTGGTTTAGTTTTGTATTGGGAATTCACAACCCTATTTCTTGTTACATTTTCGTTTCTGAGTGTTACTTCTGTGTTTATATTGTTCGTCAGCTCTGACTTCATATAAGTTGGTTGTGTCATGTCGCTCCTTGGCCGTTTACCGCTTTAGTTGAGGCAAAACGAAAAATGATAAATCGCGAGTTTTTAATTTACATGCCATGTATTCGACATCTTTCTGCTTGATTCATGTGCAGAACGAGTTTTTCTACAATCTTAAATTGTTCCAAAAAAATCTTTGTCGGCAAAAATAATTTTTAAACTGAATTTCATGGAATATTGTAAAATTTTGGGTGTTCCGCGCGAAAGACTAAAAACTTTGTGGTATGTCGGTCAATCTTTTTATTTTTGATAGCTGAAAATGTTCACACAGGTTCATTCAAAAGAACATGGTTAATTAGAGAATTGGAAAAAAATTTTTTTAGAGAACACCTGCGAAGATCTCAAAACTACGCAAAAAATGAGCGTTTTTCCATTATCATTCTATGTGATTTTTGTCAAAACTTCTCAACAACATTCATTCAACTTTTTTGTTTTACGTTTTACTGTCATTCTTTCATCTTTTAAACAATGAATACCATAGGCTTACAGCTGAAAATTTTTCGTAAAACCGATTTGAAGGTTGAGAAGCAAGTATACGGACAATTTCCAGTGAAACTTCATCAAATTGTTTCTTTATGATTCGAAAGCTTCCACTATTCCATGAACATCATGATAATCACAAAAAATACTCTGAATTCAATCGAAACGTCACAGAAAAAGTCAAAAACGAAGTTTTAAGAAATTGTGAATTTTCAAAAAAAAAGTTCTGTTGCGCAAGTACGCTCCAACGAACGCAAGGGCGCGGTAAAATGACACGCCTCATCGGCTCGCTTGCGAGTTCCCTTTTGGAACGCCGTGTTCTTTATATGGAGCACTATTGTGAGGGAAAATCCAATATCTTAAAAATGAAAAAAAAAAAGAAAAAATACATAAAGCTCAATTTGAAAAAAAAACCTTCAATAGTGACCACTTCGGTAAATTTATTAAATTATCAATGGAGCGCACAAGCTTAGATTTTCGCGGCTATTTTTTTCTTCTTATCTTTATAAGGCATTAAACAAGTTTTTTTACTTCGATTTTTGAATTAAAATCATTTTTCAAAAGGAAAATATTCAAAAAAGCCTCCCGCAAGGTTTATTTTCACACATCTTATCGATATACCCAAACCTAATCACCACCTCTTATCAAATCAAAGAACAGTAACAGAAGCCATTGTCTTACTGTTCTCTTAGTGTTTCGCTTCCTCATACATAGCCAAGATCAAACCTTCCAAAATCAAACCAACGCAATTCTTACAACTGATAAGAGTGTGACCAAACTCTTAAAGAACAAGATCTTTGGGTTCAAGAAGCTTCTAAAGCGGCAAGTTTTTTTTAATTGAATTTTTTCGAAAAGATACATAATTTATTCACATCTAGCTTCAAAGTCTGAACATCGTTTTTCCGCACGCTATTTCGCACTAGTTCTGATTAGCGGTTAACTATATAGGTATAAAACGTTGGAAAATAATAGACCACGACTTTTCAAAGATTCCTGGGTCATTTAGTGATCACTCAAGTGATGTTAGAGCCTCTTTAGTGGTTACTTGGCAGTATTTATCTTTCTACAAGCACCAACACTGTATGATCAATTGATATCCTTATAATTCGTGAAAAGTGGCCACTCAAGGGACTTTTTAAGAAGCCACTTTCACAAAAATCCTTCATGTGTTCGAAATCTCCCAAGAAGTATATCGAATTTCCTTCATATTTTCGAAAATTTTCCTTATCGAGTCGTTTAGTGATAACTCAAGTGATGTTAGAGCCTCTTTACTGATCACTTGGAAGCAAGAATCGTCTCACCAGTACCCCTTGTGCATGGGAATATCGTAAACTTGTTAACCGTGATAAGTGGCCACTTTAGGGATTTCTCAAGAAGTATATTGAAATTCCTTCATATTTTCAAAAATTCTCATCACCGAGTCGTTAAGTGATCACACAAATGATGTTAGAGTCTCTTTAGTGTCGACTTGAATGCAATGATTGTCTCGCAAGTACCTCTAGTGTACGGAAATATTATAACCTTGATAAGTGATCACTTCAGGGATTTTTTTAAAAATTAAGTTTTGTAAGCTTTTGATCCTCAAGACTGCCATTCGAACTTCCTTTTTCTTTTGAACAAAAAATTGGGGGTTTTCTCCCTTAAAAAACTACTCTCAATCTTCAAAAATAAGGTTCACAACAAATAATTTGAAGCACCAAACAGCTGATGCAACAGTGGAGGAAACGAAAAGAACGCGGCGGGGAGACGTCACGAAAGGAAAGAATAGCAAGGGAAAAAATATGGAAGGTCGACCCGGGTTCAAACGTTGACGCAATGGCAAAGAACCAGGGGTATTCCCCAAAAACAAGACAATGAAGTTGAAAGTACAATAATTCGCTAGAACTTGGGGAAAAAAAGATTTTTCCAAGCATCCTCTAATAACTCGATATCCATCAGAAACTTCAAAATAAAATGAATTTCTTGAAAAGAAAATCTTACTAATTATTTAGTACATAAATTCCAGCGCAGGATCTCAAAATAATTTTTTATTATCACAAAAAAGGAGGTACCGGTATTGTGGATCAAAAGAATGCGATAATGACAAAACAGCTGCGAAAAATCTCAAATTATCAATGGAGCGCGAAAACAGCTTATTTGTCAAAACGCGATCATGGCTGAACAATCCAATCACCATTATTGTTGTATTTACAATGGAGAGAAATGGCCACGGGAAAAGTTTCAAAAAACAACGAATAAAAATGGTTGAACTTGGGGGAGGTATATGAAAGAAAATCCGCGAGGAAAGTGTGCTCCAATGCGATTTTGGGGGGGGAAAAGTGAACTTCTCAGCTTCTTTCTTTCATATACTCAAAATTTAAACAAGAAAAGAAGGTTCAGGTAATCTTTGGTTCTTCGTTGTGATCGCCGCCGACGGTGACAGAAGCCTGTTGGATCGCGTAGCTGCCGACGCGTTCATCGGCCAGCGGCGAACGGTAGACGTGCTTGTCGCCGTAGGGCAGGGGTCGTTGGTGCAGCTCTGGGGCAGGTGACGGGTAGTGCTTGAACGAACTGAAACCTCGGCGTTTCGCAAGGAAGATGATTTTCTTTGCGCTCAGGCAGGGTGGCCCAGGCTTCCGGCCTCATTTTTTGCGAAAAAGCCCGTTTCATCTAACTCAAAATTTTCGGATAAAATCAAGAGTGTGCTTTTTGGTGTTGAAAAATTCGGTATATTGAAGAAAATTTGAGCTGTTTGGGTCAGACCGGCCCTTTTTGCTCGAGTCAAAGACCTACACGGGAAGTGCAAAAGGTCGAGATATCGCAATTTAATGAAACTTGGTATATAGGTGCTTTTGGACACCCTGAATTCAAGAAAGTTGAAAAAAAGTGCGCCTTTTTGGTTCTAGTCGAGTTATGGCGCCTCAAAGTTTGCACGCAAAAAATGCATTGGATGGAAGGAGAGAATCTATTGCGGCGACTATCTCTAGCTACCAGCGTGGTGTAGTGGCTAGCGGTCTAGCGCTATGGAACCTATGATGCAGGTTCGAATTCTTTTTTGTGCAATTTATTTTTGCCAATTGTTTTTCTTTGAAAAAATGGGGAACTTTTGAAATTGGAATAAAAAAAAGCGCTCAAAACTTTGAAATTCACTATAGTCTTATTAAATTCCAATACCTCGACCTTTTGCACTGTTAGGCTGACAAGCGGGCCGGGTCGGGCTTAGAAAACGGTCGACAGTTTAGCCCTCGCCCAAGCCTGTTGGCCAAAAATGGTCCATAGCCCTCCTCAACACACCAGATGAAAACTCCGGAAGTCTCAGCCTTCGCAATTTCCTAGTCCTTGAGTAAGGACACCCCAAAGTCAAAGAAACCCCTTGAAAATAAGCTTATTTGGGGCTTTGGACCTTTTTTTTCTCAATAACTGGGAAGCTGTGCAGTATGAATCTTCTAGGTCAATTATTTTTCCTCTTTTTCAAGCAACTCAACAATGATTCTACCCACATCAACGGAGGACTTCGCCTCGCCCCGACGTTCACCGCATTCTTAATCGCCTGTTCATCTTCGTACCGTTTCCTATCGCGGAGATACCTTAAATGGACACAATTCTAGAATTATCCTTGCTTCCACGCGACCTGGCTCTATAGAAGCACATCAAGAGAGCCATGAGGACAAAGATGATGGCTAGAAGAAGGAGGAAACCGATGGCAATGATCAGAACTTCCACAGGGATTCCACTGTCGTCTTCAGCTTTCCAAGGCTCGACCTGAAATTTTTGAGTCTTTTTGAAAAGGCAAAAGCTACGGGCATCTGCGCTCCACGGACAAAATTTCAGAAAATTCGGTCATGAATTCATTTTCTAGTTCTAAGCTATTAATAACCACGGAAATTGAATAAAAATTGTAATAAAAACCGAGTTTCGTCAGAAGAGCACAATTGCTGGCTCACAGAGCTGGAAAATTTTCTGTTTCCGTAAAAAATTTTTTTTTCAAAGGTTCAAATCTCTGCACCGAAATTCTTGACTCATAAGTTTTCTCAAATTTTTTCAATTTTTCGCCGCGTCTTGAAAGTTTTCGCATGCCTGCGTCTCTCTGTTCCCTCACCGGAGAGGTCATAGAAAAATGAAAATAGCACTACAGCATGAGAGGGCGCAGAGAAGTCCCACACTTTTTTTCGGAAAACTTCACGGACATGAACTTTTCTAGGCGTTGGAAGTCCTCTCAGAGCCATCGGCTGGTTCTCCAAAATGGCCAAGGACCGGTCGGCCGGCAGCATTTCCGACGCCGTCTTGTTGAAAAGTACCTACAAACTGCATTTTGAGCTTTTCACCCTTTTTTTTTCCACGACGAACCACTCTCAGATCCACCGAGTTCGTTGAGACGATTCCATGGTTGGTTTTGTAGACGACTTCCTTTGCCAGGGTCAAAAGCCCAGTCACGTTTGAAAGTAGGCTTAAAATTTCATTTTTATTCAGGTAAGGGTTGGAGATAGTTTAAATTGTCCATGGCAAAAGGAAAAGCAGAAAAACTTTTGTTGTCAGATATTCTTTAAGAGTTTCTTGATGCGCCTTTAATAGTAATTCAGATTGCAAATGGAAGCGACTTTAAAGGTGCATAGGTGGAAAACTTTTTGGCAAAGGATTCAGAATCGGAGATTATTTAAATCCCAAATTGAGCCTGTCCTTGGAAAAATGAAAAGCAGAATAATTTTCCTGGTGGGACAATCTTGAAGAGCTTCTTCATACGCCTTTAATACTCCAGGCCTCGAATGGAAGCGATTTTAAAGGCGCATAGGGTGACAATTTTTTTGGAAAAACCACACCACATATTTCCGTTATGGTTAAAAAAATGTACCTAGTTTTTTTTTGTCATTTGAGAGCTTTTCCATGAAATATAAGTTTGAAAGAATCCTTCAACTGGGGAAAAGTCGGAATGGTGGATAATGGCCGCTAAAAGGGAGAGGCTCAAAAAAGGCCGCAAAATTGCAGCAAAAAAGCTCGAAAAAGGCCGCAAAATTGCAGCAAAAAGGCTCAAAAAAGGTCGCAGAAAGGCAGCAAAAAGGGTTCCTTTATCGAGTTTCCTATATTTCCTGGGATTGTAAAGGCTCAAAAAAGGATGGAAAAAATAAGAGGCAACAAAAATGGTGCATACAAGCCGATGAATTGGCGCAAAAAGGCAACAAAAAAGGTATATGGAGCCTTTCTCAACTCTTAGCGACTTTTTCTATGTCCTTCCCATCTTGCAACTTCTCTCTTACCCAGTGACGTCATCGACAATCTCCGGCGTGACGTCATTCGGCTTGTAGGGCAGCTCGAGGCTGAGCACGTCGCTGTTCTCGTGAACATATACCTTCAGACCGACTTTTCCGATGCTATCATCGGCCGAGTCTTTGGCTTGCAGAGAGACGTGGAACACTCCGCCAACGTAGTCTCTACAAATTAACCACCATAAATTCCCAATGAATCTTTTGAAATGAACCTTAACGGCTGAAGGACCTTTACTTGTCCTGTAGAAGGATCGACGTCGAAAATGCCCTCGACTCGGCGACTCATCCCCCGGTATTCAAAGTTGGCGCCAGTCACCGAGTATTCGATGGGTTTTTTGACTGAAATCCGATTTTTCAAGCTTCAAGGAAAAAAAAAGGGAAGGTATTAGTTCAAGCGGTCCTTCTCGTGTAGTTTTAGATCAAGTGGTCCTTTTAGTGATGGCTTTTGTTCAAGTGGTCCTTCTAGGAATGGCTATTGTTTAAAAGGTCCTTCTAGTAATGGCTTCAGTTCAAGTGGTCCTTCTAGGGATGGGTTTAGTTAAAATGGCCCTTCTAGGAATAGCTTTACTTCAAGTGGACTTTCTAGTGATGGCTATTGTTCAAAAGGTACTTCTAGGGAAGGCTCTAGTTCAAATGGTCCTTCTAGGGGTAGCTTTAGTTTAAGTAGTCCCTCTAGTGATGTTTTTAGTTCAAGTGGCCCCTCTAGTGGTGACTCTAGAGATACTAAGCTTCGTATAGCCGATTCACGGCTAGCTTATGACTCTAAGGGGGCGTGGTCTGTCTGCGCTCTCCACAACTCAGGCACTATCTCTTTTCTGATCGTGTAAGGACCTTTTATCTCGATGACTCAAGCCAGTCGTGAATCAGCTAGATCTGGGACTTGGTAAAACTTCAAGGGAACTTCTCAGAAAATTTTGTTCCCTTAAAGGATCGCTTTTAAGCATTCTAAAAAACCACAAACGTCCATTAAAAGCTCTAAATCTTTTGGACTCCGCTATAAAATTTTTTGGAAAACAAAAATTTCAAAAGTTTTTTTTTCTGATTTCTGAGATCCTTCTAGAAGCTCCTTTTTCTCCAAACTTCTGAAAAAGACCCTTAAAAATATATTTCTCACCACTCATGCTGGAATCCGGATCCACAGCTTTAACCGTCGAAATTTCCGATCCAACGACAATATCCTTGTCGATAATGGCTTCATACTTGCTTCTCACAAAGACAGGACCGTTGTCGTTTCTAGAGTAATTTTTTCACTAAAGAGATCCCTCTGATAACTTACACATCCCTGACACGAACGACAAGTTTCATGGCCGTTGGCCAGGAATCTTGCGGCGTGTTCGCCTCGTTTGAAGCGCCAATGTCGATTCTGAATTAAAAAGGTTCAGGGTAGAATAAAGAAGATTTATTCAAGTTTATAAACTAATCGGCGAGATTTTGAAGCGTGCTGACCTGTCTGCGCTCTCTTCTCCCTGACCCGATAGGTCATAGAAAGATGGAAAAAGTCCGTAAACTCAATAAAGTCGACAAGGAGTGAATAGGTGCAAGTAAATTGAATTTTTTCAATTTTTGGCGAATGAGCTATAAAATTCGAATTTTAGGAAAAAATACAAAAGAGCAAACGCGTTTTGGTCGAGTTTCTGAGAAATATCTGGAATATTTCATTTTTGAGCTTATTTTTATAGTGTTTTCCGAGCCACGTTTTGAAAGCACAGCAAAGAAAAAGCTACCGTAAGCTCAGCATTGTTGAGCCTGAGCCTGTGCTCTATAAAAACAAAGGTCTTGAAACGAATATCGGCCGAATTTGGTGAGCGGTTTTGTAAGAAAAACGGGACAAGCAGGCGCAGAATCTGGGAACTTTTTTGTGGCCACTATAGAGGCTCGCCAAGGACTACTTGGAGAAGACACTAAAGTGACCACTAAACCCACCTCTATAGCGGCCACTTTGTCGTCCAGTATTCCTTCCAGTAACTCTGATAATTTTAAAACAAACAGATTGGACCAGTTATGTTGATCAATTGACCCCTAAAGTGGCCACTAAAATTTTTAGTGTTCTAGTGTAGCACTTAGATCTCTATAGTGGCCACTAACTTGAGTTCTTTAGTAGACATTAAAATGTCAAAACCCTATAGTGGCCGCTTAAATTTTTCCCAGAATGGAATGCTTTTTTCTTTTTACGGCATTTTTTTTTTGCTTTTTTTTTACTTTCCCAGTTTCAGTAACGCCTCCTTACACATATTCGTCGTCAGATTCCCTATCCAGGGGCTGCTCCAAAGTGACCACTCCAGTGGTCGAATGCAACGAGAACTGCGGAGGTGAGCTCGAAGCCAAGTGGAAGAAAATGGGCTGCTCGTCCAGGTCAACGGCTCTCACGGTCGTGACCACCGAGGAAGTCGGCGCGTCTTCAGGAACCTTGAAATCCTCTTTTTTTTTCTTGTTTATCAGGTTATTGGAAACCTCAACAGTGACCATTGAAACGTCAAAGTGGATCTTGTGATCGTCCTCGTCCATTACAAGAAGCTCTCCGTTTATTTTTTCCGAATTGTGACGTCCAGCCCTCACCGACAGCAATATCTTCAACGTTTTCTTTGATTTTTTGTTCTTGTCAGGATACTTTTAGAAGGGCAGTTGAAAAAAAAATGGGGCTCGAATCATTTTGTAGAGCCTTTTATTGCGTGTCGAAAATTTTACTTGAAAATTTACAAAAGCTTTTAGTTTTCGAGATAAATCAATTTAAAGGAGTTCGAGCAAAGCTGGAAAGGGTGGATGACTTCCGCTAAAAAAGAGAGGCTCAAAAAATGCCACAGAAAGACAGACAAAAGGCTCGAAAAAGGCCGCAAAATGGCCGCAGAAAGGCCAAAAGGGCTCAAAAAGGTCGAAGAAAGGCAGCAAAAGGAGTCCCTTTATCAAGCCTTCCATTTTCCTAGGATTTTAAAGGCTTAAGAAATGGTGAGAGGCAGCAAAAATGGTGCATAAAAGCCGATGAAATGGCGCAAAAAGGCAGCAAAAAAGGAACCTTTTATGGAGCCTTTCTCAGCCCTTACCGAGTTTGCCTATTTTAAATTCCCGCTAAAAGGGCGTTTTGCAGTAAAGTTGCTCTATGGACAAACCAAATCGCCATATTTCCATTATTTCTGATTCTTGTCAAAATTTCACCAACTTATACAGTTCTCCCTGAAATTCCTCCTAGAAAAGTAGAAAAAATAACCGGATAACTGTTCGTCTTTTCAAAGTCGAATTCCTGGTTGGTTCTGATCTCTCCGCTCTTCTCGTCAATCGATAGCAGTTCATTGGACTGCACGTCTTTCCGATTGATCGGGTCCCACAACGAAAAGCGCAGGTTGCATTTTTGGCTCAAGGGCTTGACGTCAACTTGGCCGATCACCGTGTCGACTGGTTGGTTCTGGAAAAAAGTCTGTTCAGATTTTGAAAGTCAAGTCGTAGCTCAAGCTCCGCCCCTAATAAACCAATCAGAAAGCTACAGAGCTTCATTGTACTCAACTGAGCAGACTACATTCTAATTTCATTATCAGCACCTCTCGAACATGGAAGATCAAGTTCTGCTCGGGGTCGATCTGTGGCTGGCAGTCATCCGAGGGAAGGACGTCGATGATGACCGTCGCGTTGGTCGACGTCACTCCGGCGTTGTCCATCGTACTCGCCGTCACCGTCATCCTCTTCATCCCGGCGTGGCCTCTCAGAAGCTCGACGTTCCGAATTGTGCCGTCGTCGTCGACGAAGAACATGCGGAGAGCGTCGACGTCATCCGAGTCCAGGGAGAACTTCACGGGGACGTCTTCAGCGACGGCGACCCTCGCGACGAAGGATTGGATGGGCGCGTCGTCGTAGATCATCGCGACGACTTCGTCCTCTAGAATCGTCAGCGACGTCGTCGAATCTTCGATCGTCACGTGGACCGGCGCGACAATCGACGGATCGTCAGCCAAGGCGACGAAGAAGTCAAAGTTCTTCTGTTTGGTGTCGTTGAGGGGAGATTTCGTCTTCATGGACCCTTGTGAGTCGACGGTAAATCGTTCAGATTGAGGTCCAAGGAGGGCGAATCCGTCGGTGATGGCGTCGTCGCTGGCGTTGACGGCCGAGGCGAGTCCGATCACGGTGCCTGAAAAGTTTCACAATTTTATTGAGTTTACTCTAATCTACCAATCGGAGCATGTCGCGGAATGTTCGAAGAGTACTCAGGGTCAGCAAAATGGGCGTGGCGTCGTTTCAGAATCACCAATTTCGTCGAAGCTTCATCTTTTTTCTCCCCGTTTTCCACTCGGATAACCATTTCAATAGGACTTGTCTCATTGAGAAGACTTCCTTTGGTCGTAATTTTACCTGAAATTTGATAAATTTCCCTAAAAGGTTCTCAAAGTTTCAGATTACCATTCTCATCAATTTCGAATGAATTTTCCGGATCAACGTGGAACGAGAGATTTCTATTGAAGGGAACGACGACGGCTTGATAAACGAAGGATCCTTGGGGACTTGATTCCAGAATATTGATTTCCTTGGGTACCTGTGGAACTTCCGAGATTTCTGGTGGCCGTTAAAGGGTTTCTGGCTTCGATAAACGACCTCAGTGGTTCAAAAATTTTAGAGAAAAGGAAAAAAAGGTCTCAAAATCGCTGAAAAAAGTACAATCCACATAGATTTTTGGAGAAAAACTGTATTTTAGCCTTGGTAGGACTTTCGATTTTAAGTGGTCCCTTTAGTGGTTAAAACTTAAGTATTTCTTGAAAGAAATAGGAAGTTTGAAAAAGTTCCCAGTGGTGATGTTCCACAAAAAAATTTAAAACTGGAAAAAAAAATGTCAAAAAATCTCCAGCGTTCTAAATTTGTTTTTACAGCTTGAGTAGTCACGCAACTGTTTTTGAACCATCAGAAGGAAAAAATGACAAATGATGAAAGGCTTGAAGTCAGAAAATTGACTCTCAACAGGAGTGCGAGCTCAGGGATTTTTCAGTGACCATTCAAGGGAATTCTTAAGAAGACCACTTAAGGGATTTATTAGACTATCTACCTTATGTCTGGAGTTATCAGTGGTTACGCTGCTGAAAATATTGATTTTCAAAGCTTTAGTGACCACTCAGGGACTTTTATTGATTCAGTGACCACTTAGGGACTTTTATTGATTCAGTGGCCACTTAAGGGATTTTTATTGAATTTTTTTTTCGAACTACCAGAGCTGCTAGTGGTCACACTGCTGAAAATATGAATTTTCAAAGCTTGCTTTAAAAAAAGATTTCATAATGAACAACCTTAATACCTGAACCAAAAAAATATGAATGAGGAAAGGATCGAAACAATCGGAATATATTATTCTACGACTCTGTGACTTCAGTGTCACCCCTTGAGGTGAATTAGTGACCACTTGAGGGATTTTTATATATATTTTTTCAAGCTTCTAGAGCTCCTAGTTGTCACATTGCTGAAACTAACTATTTTTTAAGTTCAGATTTCATAGTAAAAATATACCTGAACCATCTTCAAAGGTGAGCTATCCCAATCCGCTTGCTCATGCTCAACAATGACCAGCCTCTCGCCTTGAAATTTCAAGTTTCTCGGAAGAATCGACGAATTTCCTACCAACAGCCTCAGGCTCCATCGGATGAGCTTCATCTCGAGCCGCCACCTTCAGCTTGATTGTCGCGAGTCGAGAAGCGCCGAGGGATTTCCGCAAGATGACGTGCGCCGATTGGCCAGACGGCACGACGTCGAAGAACGTCGCCACGTCATCTGGAGCCGAAGTTCCATCGATTTCCGAAGCTTCGGCGACTGATAAGGTGTATTTCAAGGCGGCGTCCGGATCCCTGTCGCTGAAGTCGACGGAGCACACGACGACTCCAACTTCTTCGCCTGGAATCCCGATTTTTCTTTGGATGGATGGTTTCTTTTCTGACCGCTACTCAAAGAAAGGACGCCTTCTTCGGATTCTTGAACTTCGACAGCGTGAGAACCGATTCCTTCCAGTTTCACTGTCACTTTTGTCGTCGCCAATTTCAATCCGTTCTTTTCTTCTTGGGCAGCGACCTGGAACCATTTTCATACTAGAACTACATGCTCAAAAACTGAAGGACAGGAAAGTTTTAAAATTCCCTCTAAAAAACTTCCCACAAACCATCAGAATCTAAAAATAGTATTGAAAATCACCATTTTCAGCTTCCTGCAATTTTTTTAGTTAATAATTATGATAATCAGAAGCTCCAAGTTTACGGAGAAACTAAATATTTCTAAATTACTGAAAGAGAGGTTAAATAAAATTCAAAGATGAGAATTTGATCGACAGAAGTAAAGTAAAATACTGATAACTCCAGAGGGAAAGTTTAAGTGGCCCTTTAAGGACTTTTTGTTCCATAAGTTCCATTTCACGATCCCAAAAAACTGCAAAACAGCTTCTTCTAAGCTCATTTATTCACCTTTCTTAGGAAAAATGACCTTTTTATCCGTTATTTCTTTCTCCTTTTTCTGAAACTTTTCGTGATTTTTTTTTCTACACCTTTTTTGTCTTTTTTAAAAAACCCTTTCCAAAAGGAAGACACAAAAAGAAGCTCGGAAGGTCTTTCAAAGACCTTTTCAGGTACTTTTGGACTTTTCCCGCGTTCCCGTTATAACTCGAGTTAAAAACCGCAAAAATTACCGTAAGTTCATTTTACTAAAAAAAGGATTCAAAATCAAAAAATCAGATCTTGATCTCAAGTTTACATAAACGTAGTAAAAATCAATGGGTTTTTGATAATAATGATGACACTTTACTGCTATTTAACGTTGTGCAACAGGAAAAAAATGAATATGTTAAATTTTTAAAATTTTTAGAAGGTGAGAATTTGAAGGAAGGAAAGTAACGAACTTCAAGGCGGTCGATACAAAGTTAAAAATGAACTGGAAAGGTATATACTTTTTGAAAAGCTCCTTTTGGACTCCGTTTACTTGTTATATCTCGAATTGAAAATCAGAAAGAGAAAGTTACTGTAGGACTTGGAGAAAAGTAAAGCTGAAAATGACCGATTATCGGGGCTCTAACGAGCTTCAAGACGATCAATCGATGGTACAAAGAAAAAATAATAAATTTGTGCGTCCTGGCTCAAGTGAAAAATCGTATAACCTACCGTAGCTGATCCATCTATTACCCTGCGAGAGGATTCAATTTAAAACCATAATTGGAAATCTTGAACATCAGTTCTCTTAAGGAGTAAAAGCTAATGATAACTTTTTCGATTTGAACGAGAAGTGAGTTAGACAACGAAATCAAAGCTGGGAAAGTATTCTAAGACCTTTTTTTAAAAATTTTTTAAAAATTCCCTTTTCAGGTACTCATGGAAATCCCGTCGAGTTAAAAATCGCAAAACCTACCGTAAGATGATCCTCTCTGGATTCCCTCAAAGGAGCTCCGAGATAGTTCAAATCGCCATCGGGAGTGACTTCGTAGAGATCGGCCCGACCTTCCGTGATACGGTAGGCGAGGAGCTGAGTGGCGCCCTTCAAAGGGAGCTTCCCGAGGAGTTTCTTGGTGCTCGACGCCGAGAACTCGTAGGCCTCCTCGTCGAAGCCGAACATGACGGGTCCGTCTTGCTCGGCCTCGAGGTGGACAAGGATCGTGGCGTTGGTCGTTTGAGAAGACGAAGAGTCCGTGGCGATCGCCGTCAACGTCACCGTTTCTCCCAAACTGCTCCGTGTGACGAATTCCGGGTGCTGAACCGACATCTTCAGATTGTTTCTTCTTTGAAAAAGTACCAGAATTGTCAGAAGCCCTTCCGTAAGGTGGATGGAGAAGAGACCACTGGAATCTCTTAGAGAGTAGATGATCGCCGAAATGTTCCCTAGAAGATACTTTCTAAATTCTCTCTAGAAATTGAACGAATGAACATTATTTTTTTCAAAAACTAAAAAATTTTTTTCTGAGTATGCTTCACTACAGTCGAACGAGAAAAAAGGCAGAAATTCATAAATTTTCCTTTTTTTTTCTTACAAAAGAGGTCATTTCACTTTGAGTATGGGAATTTTTTTGAAAAATGGTTAGGAAATTCCAAGATGTACCACAAAAAAAGACTCTGAGGGTCTCAATCTGCAGAATTCCTTATTTTTTTCGAGAAATAAGGGCTCAAAGCCCCAAAATACCGGATTTTTGAGGGTTTCCGTTCTCAAAAATTTTTTTGTGAAGGTCGAGAATTTCAGTTTTTATTTTTTTAATACATTTAGGTGTTCTAAAAGTCTCGAGCGTAAAAGTAAAAATAACCTTCCCCGTCAGAAAAAAATCGATAGAACACTCACAAAAAAAATGATCAATTTTTTTGAATAATGTTTTTTTGTCACAAACAGTTTCAAAAAAATGTCCTTGCTCCATTTTTTTAAAAAAAACATATTCTGGTTTTTTTAATTTGAAGGAGCATGGAACAGTTTTAATAGGTTTCAGCGCGAAAAGCCGTATCCTGTTTTTTTACGCTTTTTTTCTCAAATTAAAAATCTATACCATTTTTTTGACGAAGTTCTATTTTTTTACTCTTTTCTCTGATGAAACCAACCAATAGCGTTCAGCTTCAACAGTTTCTTCTGATGACCAGTTTTCTCCTCGACGGTTGTTTCATATAAATCACGATCGAAATGAAGAGAAGCCTTCTGGAATTGAAATTCATCAAATAAGAACAATTTTTTTCAAATACCTCCTCCTGAACAAAATTCAGGGTCATCTCTTTATGATCTTTACCAACTCGAGCGACGAGAAGTGTGGAAAATGGAAGGATGGAAGAGCAGTTCTCTGTAAATCACAAAAAAGCTCTTCTCAAGACCATTTTTAAAGAGTTTAAAGGCGCATGGACTCAAATAATACTAAAAACTACTTTTCGTTTCGAAACCTTTATAGCTGATTCAAGGCTAGCTTGTGACGAAAATAGGCATGGTCTGTCTGGGCTCTCCATTAAAAAAACACTGCCTCTTTTCTCATCGTGTCAGGACCCTTTTTAGATGGCTCAAGTCAAGAAATATCAAATTTTCTCTGCGCCTTTAAACCAACAATTCCCGTTTTCTTACCGCAAGGAACCGTTGTTAATACAACAGAATCCTCCTCATGTGTCACTTCAAAACGATTAGAATTGGCGCCAATCAGAAATATTTCGCCGCCTTTCGGAAGCGGTGATGCTAACTGAAAAAAAAACCGACTTATTGTCATTTTCCTTGTTCTTTTTACCTTGATAATCACGCTTTCTTTCTCTCGGAACCCTTTCTCAACAACCACTTGCTGAGAAGAAGAGGAAAAGTTGGGAACTTTCGAGTCGGAAACTTTCTTGAACGTCACCCAGGTCTCATGGTACTTCCCGGAGATCAGACCCAAAGCTTGTAACTAAAAATATTGAGTTCATTAATATTCTGATCAAAATCTAAAAATAAACCTTGACGCGAACATCGCCGCCATCGAGAGCGTGCTGATTAACGAGCACGAATCGGATTGGTTGCAGAGGATCAGCAATTGAAGCATTCAAAGCAACTGGTAACGCTGTTGATCCTTCGATTTCAACGTCCACCGACTCATCTAGCTGTAAAGTAAAAATATGAAAATGTATGAAAATGATACTTATAGTTTTTAAACAATTAAAACATTAGATACCTTCAAAAAGGTTAAAAAAATAGAACTTTTTAAACATTTGCGCGTCGTTTTTTTAATGTTTTTCTGCAAACATACTACAAACACATTGCACTCGCGGATCACCGTAACCGAAGTTGTTAAAAATTACCTTTTCTCATTCCTTTTCAATTTTTCTCAAATTCCATTCAAACCAATATTTTTCTCGCTTATCATTACCGCTCTACTTTAAACAAAGTGAGAAGGAATCCGCTCTCGCGGCGACAAGAAACTAAAGGTTTCCGCCCAAAAACGAAACGAAAAATTGGGGTCAACCGAACACATTTGGCATTGGAACATGTCAAATGCGACGGCGATTGGCTAATCAACTGCTGTTAACTCTGATCATCAATCAGTTCAATGACCCGCCGCCGTTCCGATTTTTGCGGCTAGCGAAATGGGTAATAATTGTATTTCGAATCGACTTTCGGAGCTTGAATGGGAAGAAAACAACGTCTTAGTGTACTCATTTGAGAAATTTACTTTTCGAAAAAATTTTGGCGTCGTCAAAAAAAAATGACGTCATAGAAAAGACGTTTCAAATGCCAGAAAAAAAGTCGCAACAAGTTCAAAATAAAATGGATAGTGAAAGCGGAAAATTTTGACTATTAATGGAATAAGTGGCCACTAAAATGATTTGAAAACTTGAGTGGAACCACAAGTGCAAGTTTCATGTAAAAAAATGTAAAATAAGCTAAATTTTTGAACGAAAAAACGATTGAAAGTGCACCCGACTTGAAACGATATTCGCGACGTCTTTACATTTCAAGTGGCAAATTGAATATAAACCGAAAACAAATATTGAGATGAAAGTAAACTCGAAAAAAAGTCGATTCAAGGTGATGAATGGTGAAAAACAGAAAGAAGAATAGATAAATTTATCAAATTTTGAAAAAAATCGTCTTTTTTTCTAAGTTTTTTTCTTCAATAATTCAACAGAACGATTTTTTTAAGAACTTCAAAGCATTTTTTTAAAAAAATAAAAAAAGCAGGACTAATATTTTTCAGAACTAGTGGTAAAAAAATTATAATGAAAAAGGTAATGAAAAAAATCATCGGGTGGAAGAGAAAAAGTCAGTATTTTTGAGTCAAATTTCTTGGAAAATATATTCTCAATAGATGTTCTTTGCTCATTATAGCGATTTTTGAACCAATGTTTAAAGAAAAAGCTATTTAAAGACAATAAAAATAAAAAAACGAACATTTCTGACGCGAATATCGCGTTCGGCGACGATCACGTCGCCTTCCTTGGCGTTTCTCGGAACGAAGAAGACGCTCTGAGGGACGTCGAGAAGTTCGGCGAGACCCCCGTCGTCGGCCCGACTCCGGCTCCAGCCCAGAGCCAGAACCAGAAGCAGCTCCCGTAACCTCATCAGAAGGCTTTTGATTTAAATAAAGAATAAAAATAGCAGGGAAGGACGAAGGACCAAGTGTCGCACTTCTCTTTCTCCACTGACGATCCTATCGGGCCAGCCGATTTTTGCGCCGCCGCACTAGCGCAAAAGTTGAAAACGCGACTTGGGGAAAATTTGGGTCAGGCGCAGGCGGATTGCAAGCATCGATACGAGTTACCCAAACTTCCGACACCCATTTTTGGGGGGTTTCTGAACTGTTTTTGGATTGGAATGTATCTTTCAGGATATGATCTCGGGACGAAGAAAGTTTTATAGCCGATTCCGGTTAACTTGAAAAATCCACTAAGTTAAAGATTCAAACTGGCTGAATACTTCTTTTTACATATTTTAAATTTTAATTAAATCGCCTGAATGATTCGGCTATAGTCTGCTCAGATTTTGAATGCCAAGCAGCAAACTCAGACACTCTGTGGATGCCTCGCTCTCTGACTTGTTTGATAATTCGCATAAGGGGCGGAGTTTGAGCGATGATTTGACATTCCAAATATGATCTGAACAGACTATACAAGAAACATCGAAAAACGTTTTGGCAGCGATACAACTCAATCTTGCGGAAATTCATTTTTCCGTCGTAGCATTGTTTCAAACATGTGTGTGGCTCGCAAAATTATAACGTTTAAAATCGCCGAAATCGCTTTGTTCACGGCAACAGATTTTAAGCCAATTGATCAAAAACTAAGAGAATGATTTGCAATGGAGCTGCAAACTCGTTCTCTTTTATTGCATCTCGTTGAAATAACTTCTTCTCATTCAAGAACCTTCCGAAAGTTCAGAAGATCAACAACATTTTTTCGGAATCATAAAGAGATCTGATCAAAATCCACCGAAGAATTAAGTCTAGCCAACCCTGAGCTTTTTTTTAAAACCCGTTTCAGATTATAATACTCTTTGAGCTCGGGTATCAGTTTGAAGCCTTTTTAGGAGATCCTTCAGAAGGCTCATAATACCATCAACTCCTCTTCAGAATAAGAAATATCGATCTCCCGATACCGATGGAGGCAAGTCAAAATCGTTATAACTTCTTTGCCTTCCCACAACTTTTTTCTGCTCATTCATAACCCTTCCGAAGGTTCAACTACCACTAGAAAAAAACTTGAACCAAATCGAAATAATTATTTTCTTTTCTTTTTTTGTCACTCCAGAATCTTTTCTTGGCTTTTTCTTTTCATCCATAACCCTTCCGAAGGTTCAGAGTATCAACCTTTTTTTCAGAAAGTTCAAATGGTGGTCAAAGAAGGAGCAACTCCAACCATATGCAGACACTTATTTTATTCAATTTCTCTTTCATTGTGTAACATTGAAAAAAACCTTTATTGCTCACATAAACCCTCCGAACATGGAAATGGTGATCAACTACCGCCGAGTGCGTGATTTTACCCGGTGAAAGACGTGAACCGTTTCCACCGCTGGCGAAATCCCGCGTTCCGCAGAACGATCAATGTGAATTAATGGGTCTTCTGGGGTGGTTGGAGGGAGCATCAGCAGCTGAATGGGGAAGGGAGGGAGCACGACATCTGGCGAGGCGAGGTCAGCTGCTGCTGGTCGAGTGATGAGAAGAGGATGAGGATGAGGACCAACGCGAGCCTATTTATACATGTCGCGCGGAGGGCAGGGGGGCGGTACCTATGGGTACCATGATGCTCCGCCTCCTTTTATGGGTCATCGATTTTGCCCCCATGCCTTACTTGTAGTAGTACAATTGGAGAAAGATCGAGAATACAAAAAATGGACGGGGAATGAAGAAATACTTCTGAATTATTGCACCTGTGGATGCTCTTGGAGATCCAAGACAAGGCTTCTCCAAGTTTTATAGTTTAAAAAACCCTCTGACCATTTTGGAGTCGCAAGACAAGATTTTACGTAAGTATTTAGTTCTAAGAGTCTTCTAAGTCTTTTAAAAACATAAGAAAAATATCTTCCAAGCTTATAGTCGAAAAGTTTTCTAAGAACTTGAAAAAGGACACAAGAAATTCCTCTGGTAGATATCACTTCGAGAAAAAAAACTACAGGAATTGATCTGTGAATTGATTTTCCGAAACAGAAAAGTTAGGAAGCTTCCAAATTAAAAATTATTAAAAAATCCAATCGATAAGTGATTTTCTAGTTGTGTGTAGTAGCTCTCTCCCTGACACGCTACCTGACAGTAAACCAAACTACAGTAATACTACAGTAAGGCTAGAGTAAGACTACAGTACTGGCTATACACTACTTCTTCTGAACAAACATTTTTTTTCTTTGAAGTTTTTCGCTTCCTTTTTCATCCACTCCCTAATATCTGAACTTCAAAAGTAGGTCTAAATATTAATGTTGAAACTTATCAGTTTTTTTTATGAAGATATGTCAACTTTATCTGAATTCTTCTCCAATAAGAAAAAAAAGTTAAAAGCTGAAATTTTATTATTACTTTTTTTTTCAATAAGGGAATTTTTTCTTACTAACAGTTACGCTGGTTTAAAAAACAACGTCTGAATTTAGCGACTTATAAATTGAAGGATTTTTCGTTATTGCGTCGAGAAATGTATAGTTAAAATTTAGGTTCTCTTATAAGCTCCTCAAAACAGTGGTTATCGTTATAAAAAAACAGGTTATTTGAAAATAAAGTGAAAAAAATCATTAGTTAAAACAAAAATTCAACTTCTAACTTGTTTTTTTGTCGTTGGAGATGCATTTAGATAAAGTTGATACTCTGTCAAAATGTGAAAAAAACTTCAAAATTAATATTCAGGTCTGCTTTTAGAAGTTCAGAAACTGATTGGAGAGCTTATGGACTTAAATATTAGTATAAATCAATTTTTTTTTTATTCAGACACTACTTTTCTCCAGCTATTAGATTTATTCGATTGTATTGATTTTTTATTTTTTGTATTTGTCGTGCAGATTGAGAAATGGCGAAAACACTTGAAATGAACTCGTATCACATTTTAAGTTGAAGTTAGAACTTAAACCTTGCTTTCTGAGTTTCTTTGAAAGATTCAAAAAAAATTTAAAGATTTTCGATAATTTTATACCGCTAACAAGTGTTTTCCTAACATAAAGTAATCCGAATTCGACTCTATACTATACTTAATGAGCCGAAATTTCGTTCCCATGCAAAACTACAGTTGAAGTGAGCCCTTCAAAACTAATTCATGTTTAGTTAAGAGTTTGAAATATGCACGATTCAAAATAAACTTTTCTGGGAGAAACTTTAAGTGTTTTTCCGACTCCAAATGGTCCGAATTCGACGTTGTAGGAATCGAAATTCAGTTCCCATAAGAAATGACCCATCATCCTTCAAACAGAATAACGCTTGGGTGCACCTAAAACTCGTAAAAAGTCGAGCTACGATTTGAAACTTTGAGAATGAAGTGGAATATTTCAAAAAACTGACGAGCCAAAAAATTGCTTTTTGGACTCAAAGGATCATCTATTCTGTTGTTTTGGTCATAGAAGTAACCGCTTAGGTTGAAAGCGACATTCCTTGAGCACCTTATTTGAGTTAACAAATTTATAAAGAGGTCTAGAAACCGGAAAGAGAAAAAGTGGGATAAAGGTACACTAATAGCAAAAAACTTCTGAAGAATTTTCAAATAATTACTCGGGCAAGAATGGTGAAAAATGGCCGCTAAAAGGCTCAAAAAAAGGCCATAAAAAGGCAGAAAAAAGGCTCAAAAAAGGCTACAGAAAAGCAGCAAAAAGAGTCCCTTTTTTTTCTAGAATTGTAAAAGCTCAAGAAATGGTGGAAAAGGGGAGAGGCAGCAAAAAGGAACTTTTTCCACCCTTTCCGACTTTACCTATGGATTTTTAAAGTTTGCCTGCAAATTTAATTTTTATTTTATAGATCACAATCTGTCTATGCAGTTCCATTACGTGAAGACCAATTTAAAGGAATTTTTTAATTTCCTTCCAATAAGTTCTTCTGAATATACCCTACTCTATATATCCCATATATAGCCGATTCTCTTTTTTCTATCATAGGCAAAGTCTGAAGGAACCTTCGAGGGTCCGTAAAGGTCCATAGAAATGTTCCTTTTAGGGTGATGAAGGCTCCCTTTTTGCTGCCTTTTTGCGCCATTTCATGACATGTTATGCACCATTTTTGCTGCCACTCCCTTTTTCCATCATTTCTTGAGTCCTTAAAATCCCAGGAAAATGGAAGGCTCGATAAAGGGACCCTTTTTGCTGCATTTCTGCGGCCTTTTTTGAACCACTCCCTTTTAGCTGCCCTTATCCATCATTCCGACTTATAAAATCTGACCCCACCCCGCTTCAAGACCTTTTTTGCAGTCTTTTTGCAGTTTTACAGAGCATAGGTACAAAAAGAGCCTTTTCTTTTCCGTTCTTTCTGTTCACGCGGACCGCACTATAGTACACTTCGTAGAGTCTCCGGTCCGCTTGGTCGAGCCGGGTCAAATCGATAACCATATCCGACAATCTCTCGACGACGTCCTTCTGCCCCCGTAATAACCGCCGATGACGCAACACCTTTTTCTCGAACTCTCCACGTTCTCGACGTTCTCTCGACGGCAGAGGTCAGCGGCAAGACGCTTCGGCACAATCAGGCTTGTTTGCTCGGTGGGACGTCGAGCTGACCCCGATGGCACGACGCCAAAACATTCGCTGATCGTTCATCTTTGACCTGGGCCCCCACCAGAGTATGCACCGGCTTATGCACGGGCCCTTCATGCATCTGTTCCCGTCTCGGTCATATGCAATTAGGGAAAGCGTCCATGAGAGATTTGCCTCACAAAAGGACCTAACCTCCAACAAAATATCCTTGTTGATATTTCCAAACGTCCCAATTAACTTTTTTCAACTTTTTAAATAATCTGAACCGTGAAGAGTACGAAATTTTCTCAGATTCTTGATTTTCAAACAAGCATGGAGAACAATTAAAGTTTCCACAGTCTTTCTAAGTTTCATTGGAAGTCAAAATTTGGAGAATATTTTTTTTCAACAAGCATAGTAGGCCTCCAAACTGAAGAGCCAACTTTCGAAAAAAAAAAACCCAAAATTAGCTCTTTTTTTTCAATTTTTACAAACCGGACAAAACTTGAGAGAAATTATTGTCTAAAAAAACAAAAAAAGTCTCGCCCAGAAACGAACTTACAAATAATAAAACAGGCTATAACGGAAGTTCTGAACTTGAACACACTATTAAGCAAATAAAAATGAGCCAAAACATTTTAAAAAATTTCCAGAAAATCACCGTTGATATGCGTCTTTTTACTAAATATTCATACCGCTATTTAATTTGAAAAAAAAAAAACTAGGTGAAACTTTTTTTCCGAGTGTCTTTCTTACGTCGATCTATCATAAAACTTCTCAAGATTATTTTGATGAAAAAAATTAATCTCAACTTTTAGCGCTTTATGATGGTATTTAACGCTTCAGTGTTCTGATTTTTAAGGATAATCAGGCCCTTTTTTATTATTTTTTGTCAAGTTTTTAGTCCAGGAATTTAAAATTTTCAGAACGTTTTGGTAATAAACTATGAAAGACACGGAACGTGAAAAAATAAATTAAGAAGACCTCTATTTCGTCTGCTCCGATACTAGCAAGAACTGATAAAACGAATAAACCAATTCAATATTAAAAAAGAAGCATAAGAACCAGAAGCATAACACTGCCAAAGTCGGAAGTGCGGAAAACGGGTGCAAAATGACCGCTAAAAGGGTTCCGTTTTGCTGCCCTTATTGAGCCGTTCTTTCTTGGTAAGCTAAAAAGCCTCAAAAAAGGGTGTAAAAAGGGTACTGAAAGTCTGAACAATTGATGAAAACTTTTGAATTCATAACGGACGCTCAAAGGGTCCTTACGACTTTGCCTATGAAAAACCAAAAACCATCACTGAAAATTATCGATAAAACAAGAAAAAAAATATTTCCGGCTTCCTCCAATTTTCGCCTTGTATCTCTTTTCAATATTTTAAAAGTTTGCCAACCGAGTCTTTTTTACATCTTATCTATTTTTCTTTCTTCCCACTAAACACGAGGTAAAAAACGAAAAAATTTCATATTTCCAAAGAAATCAAAAAATATACAAAATAATAACCTCAAAATTGAATTTCAACTGTTTGCGACTTCCAAAACACCCTGCCGAATCAACATTTCACAGTCTTGACGTGGCAAAGAGTGCTGAAAAAATAAAAATAATTGATTTTTAATCAACGAATTTCTTTACCAATGAATCTTTCATCAAAACAACCAGCGTCCCATCGGAAGTTTCAAATTCGCCATAATTTTTCCAATGCTCGAACCTGGAAAATTATAATTTTTTTAAAACATTCTGAAAAATTTACCTGAATAAATAGGCTTTTTCGGTGGTTCAGTATGAAGCAATAGGTTCACACCACTCTCTCCTAGATTCGCCTTAAGTTTGAATTCGTGAAGAACAACGAAAAAAAAAAATTAATTCTCACTTGAAAATTAGCCAAAGTGCTCGAGTATTCGTTGAAAAATTCAATTTCGGCGTCACACAGGGCGTTCTGAAAATGGAAAAAAAAAATTCAACACAATTCACTCGATGATACCTTGATAGCGAGAGGAAGAACCCCTCCAAACTTCCAGCGATAGGATTTGATTCGATCTTTCCTTGAGCCTATGTAAGCGCATAAACAACGCTGAAATCCAATTCTTGAAAGTTTTATGATTTTACTAACTCGAATGTGATACATAGCAACGATTCTCGCTTGTAGCAGTGAATGGTCCTCTTGTCGACCTGCGCGGATGTCGATTCTAGAAAAATTTCTTTGCACTTTTTAAAAGAATGATGAAATGGCTTGGAAAACTTCAAAAATCTCAATTTACCTACAGTTCTTGCGCGTTCAGCCGGTAGAGCTCGTCAATCTTATTCAGGCATTGACGAACAAGATCTGACTGCAACATTTACTATCTTTTTGTGTCATATGTTTCGACATACGTTGTAAGGAGGCATTATGTCGGGATTGCGCTTCATTTCTAAAACGAGCTGTAGGGCTTTGTCAGCAACCCCGCCTGATTCTTCACTATTCGCAGACATCGCTGAATTCTCCGTAAAAGAACCAATCCAATGAAAATTAAAACAAAAAATAAAAATAAAATATTTGAATTTTCGTTTCCCGCCACACGCCACTGCAGAACGGTGCTTGCGGCCTGCCGGTTTCAACCGTTAGTTTTTTATTGACGCGTGTTGTTTTCCTCTTGTTTATTCCCTTTTTCCTCGTTGTTTTCTTTTCTTTCCAATATATTATAAACTGGAAAACGTTCACATTATAACACACTCGCTCTTGCCGTCCTTTTTTGTGAATTCGTTCTCTTTTCCGCTTGAATTTTGACGTGAAAAGCGTAATTAAAGTTTTCTGTCAAAATACTTTCGAATGCATTGAATTAATTTACTTCTTCTCAGATGAAGTCGTCCAACGTTTACAATCGTCGGATTTTGCTAGATGTCGAAGATTATCAACAGGTCAGTTTGAAAATCTCATCGCATTTATTTTATCTCGTAATTTGTGATTTTTTGTGTTTTTAATTTATAAAATTTCAGATGCCGATAGAAGACTTGGCGACTTCGTTGAAAGATCTTCCACCTTATTATCACACAATGTCACCAGCGGAAATCAGCCTTTTCGACGATTTGGCGACAACGTTGGTCGTCGACGCCGTCCTGGATTTTCAAACCCATAAGATGTTTCCAAAGTAAGTGATCTTTTTTTATAAATTTCCTTTCGATTTTTTTCCAGAAAGAGATATTTGAAACACGATGAGAGGACGATAGCCCGCGGAGTTATGCGAAGATTCGCAGAAAATCAGAACTTTTCGCACGCCGTTCGTTGCTTTCTCCAAATGCGATCTGTGAGAGGACACATTGCTCCGTTGCTTCCGAACAAGCATATTGAATTCCGTGATCATGTAATATCCCTTTCTATTTGTTTATTTTGCTTAAAACCCTTGTAAAATAGAAAAATATTTTCAAGGGAAGGCCTGTACGGTGGAGCGAAATTTCATTCTCTCAGTTTTTTCAACCGTTTCGGACAATTTTCAAAAAAGAGAAAAGATAATTATTTAGATTCAAATAACCTGATTTGGGTGTTTGGAAAAACAACAGTCTTACTAGACATGAAATAACAGAACTTGAACGTTTTTTGGCTTTGAGAATTCATAATTCTTTTTTTACCTTTTCAAGCATCCAGTGTGAGTTCTGAACTGATTTTGAACAAATTACATATTTACCAGCTTTTGTTATAATGTTCAGAGGTGTATAAGAATAAAATGAAAATGGAATATTCTTTCAGCTTTGAAAATGTTAAACTGAAAAGAATTTATCGCTCCTTAACTTCAAAGCATTCTGTAGCTGAGAAAATTGCAATTTCGAAAAAATTCATATTCTCATTCTTTGAATCGGCGTTTTTTCTCAAAAAAGTTTTGCGATTTTTTCGAAAATTGTTATTTTTTACCAACTCTAGAATACCAGGGAAAACAAAATTGAGATAATTCAACGATTTTAAATTCATTTAAAAATCTAATTTCTCATTTTGCAGCTGGTCCGGTTCCTGAACATGTTCTGCGGCAAATCCGGCTTCACCATCGAGAAATGCAACCGTTACTCGTCGGAAAACAACGCCGGCGCGAAGCTCGTCTCGACGCGATCTTGGTGAATTCGCATGGGTTGAAATTTAAAGGAGCACAGTCAATTCTCGGGAAAGTCTTGAGGCGAAGAGAGCTTTCCAAGCTATTTTAAGGCTGTACGAAACTCAAGCTCTTTTCGAAATTGACATTCGGATAGACGAAAAAAGTCAGAAATTGAATTGAAATCGGCAAATCCTTTTTTCAGATTATTCTTCGAAAACAACTTATCAATCTTCTTAAAAATCATGTCTCGATCATTGTTACTCCAATTTTCAATACAAATCATGAATATTGGGCTTTTTCTAGACCATTTCTCGCAAAATATGTAGTTCTTTCTTCTTTTTTTCTGGCTCGATGCCATAAAACATGGGAACCTGATAACACACTGAACAATGCGACGTTTTGTTTTCTCGATTCCGCACACTGATAAGAAATCTATTTATAGGGTTGGCGGTTCGCCAAGGCCGAAACGAAATACTGATTAATTTGTGGAGAAATTTCGAAGTCTTTTTTTCAACTTGAATAGTTTTGGTTTGATCATGATCAAGGCAATTTTGCACACTAAAGAATTCCAGAGTGGTACCTATAGGGTTAGGCGGGTAAAAACCCCCATAGGTGCCCATAAAGTGGTCCCTTTAGGGTTAAAATTGAAGTGGACCCTATAGGGGTCTTTCAATTTCATTCAAAAAAAGAAAACTTATTTTTTGAGTTTTTCCCATGGAAATGCTTTTTCGCCTAGAGTTCATAACAATTATCGACTAGAATGTCCCCTATGGGGACCACATTTGCAAGCTTTAGTGGCCTCTATAGGGATTGTTAAACTAGTCTCTAGAGGGATTCTCCAAGGGCTTCTGAGTTTGGCCCTATAGGGATCACTCTGAAGATCCTAAACAGTGATAACGGTTCAATCTATGGAGATTGACTAAGTAACGAATAAATTGCTGTTCAATGCAAATAAAGTTCAAGAGTTTTTTTTGATTTGAGAAAGTTTTTTTTTACGATAGTAAGTTAGTAATGGAGTAGGAAAATGGAAAAAAAGGAACTTTGAAATTTTCAGCATAAAAAACCCCTCTCTGATGACTAAGTATAGGTTACAACGTTACTGGGAAAATTTTTTAATAATCGTGACTTTTTTCTTTGAGTTAATTCAGTGTTGTGAGCCTTGAGAAGCTTCTAAAAACTGTGGAAAATAAATTAATAAATGACAAAAAAAACTTTACTTATCACATATTTTTTCTCAATAGATTCATATTCCGAACACACGACCCTTATTTAAAAAAAAGGAACTTTCGAAAATATAACTCTGAAATTTAAGGAACCGTGGCGACAAAATCGACCGTCTGTGCGGCGTCGTCTGCGCCTTGGACGCCGACGAAGAAGCGCAGACGCTGATCCACGGAATCAATGATTTCTCGGTCATGTACAGCACGAGGTTGGCTTCGGAGATGAACACATAATCAATAAAATGTACTATTTTAGAAAAAAGTGCGCCCAATTGTGGCTGGGCCCTGGCGCCTATATAAATCACGACTGTCGGCCAACCTGCGAATTCGTCTCTCATGGTTGTACGGCGCAAATCAAGGTACTTAGGAACTCCAGAGTGGTTGCTATAGGGGCAACCTTAGGGGCTCTTGAAGGGTTCCCTCTAGGGACTACTTTACCAACCCCGTCTGTGCGGCGTTGTCTGCGCCTTTTTTCCACATAAAATTTGCATAAAATCGAAAAATGTTCTTGACCGGTACCTAGACAAGTTTTAAGTTTTTTAAGATTTTTGTGACGAGTTCAGAAACGGAACATGTTTCTTAATGCAAAATTGTCCATCGGTGCCTCAAATTCGCTCCAAAGAACGATTTTGTTTCTTTTTAGAGCAAGTTTCATTTTGTTTGATGAACACACTATTGATTTTCCAAGCTCTCGAGTGATTGCTTTAGGGACCTGAAGCTTCCTTCTTGGGAACAACAGAAGATTTAAAAAATGAAAAATCCCAATTTAAGGTGGTACGCGACATGGAGCCGGGCGACGAAATCACCTGCTTCTACGGCGACGAGTTCTTCGGCGACAACAACGAACGATGCGAGTGCGTGACCTGCGAGAAGATGTCGCGTGGCGCGTTCGCCTCGAAGATCTCGTCTCCATCCGAAGAATCCAGCGACGACGGTCAACGTTCGCTGAAGCGACCCAACTCGGAAGATTTGGACGACGTCGCGACGGCCGCCGCCTCGAAATACGCGCTCCGCGAGATGAAACGTCGCGTTTTCACTGTCTGATGTAATATGGTCTATTCCGAGCGGACTTGTCGCGTTTCTCTCAAAATACCGTATAACTTTAGAAAATAGGTCTTAAAGCGAAGCTCTATTTTTTTAACGTGACAAGCTCGCGCGGAATTCCCTATAATTTATAGACTTTGTGATTTTGGTTCAATGATTCGTTAACAAAAGCTTGTTGCGGGGTTTTAAAGGCGCAGGCGCTGGAAACGGCTCTTCGCTCCGAGACCTTTATTTGATTCAGTCCGCGCTCCTTTAAATATTCCAGCAATCTGTAGTAAATGAACTTTGAAAAGAGGAATTGAGCCGCGTTTTCTGTTCATTCTGTGCAAGTTTCATAGATTTGAAAAAATAGTGAAAACTGACGTTTTACGGAGGTCCGAAAAGCGTAAAAGTTAAGAAAAAGAAAATTATTTTTTCTTCAGGAAATGGAAATCCAAAGTGATTCCTACAGGGGCCCCTGGAGGATCCCCTCTAGGGATCACTTCACCAACCCCTATAGGGTCCACTAAAGCTTGCAAAAGTGGTCCCTCTAGGGGGCATGCTAGTCAATAATTTTTTTATTAACTCTATGCAAAGAAGCATTTCCATGCGAAAAAAACTAAAAAAACCTTTTTTTGAATAAAATTGAACAAAAATCTGTAGGGTCCACTTGAGGGCTAAAGGGCCACCTTGATTTTACCCCTATAGGGACCACTTTTTTTCGGCCACTATAGGGGCTTTTTTTCGTTTTAATCCCTATAGTGACCACTCTAGAATTCCTAAATTAATTATTTTTTTAATGGAGAAAAGAAAAAAAGCTATTATTTGAAAAATTTTCTCAAATCCCTAGATTTTTTTAAACAATTTTTTAAAAACTTTTTACGGAAATAAGTTATTTTTTTATAGCATTTTTTTCATAAGATGCGGCTCGATTTCCTTTAGATTCTTTAATATTTTTCCCACATCAGAGTTTTTTTCTTTCAATCTTCCTTCCTGTATGTTACTTTGTTTTATCCATCTTCAGCCAGTCGTTTTACTTTCCATTCCTTTTTTAAATTTTAGATAATCGAGAATTGAGCTAGCTTTATATTCCATGTATCACGTTTCAATGTCGAAGATTTTGATTAGGCTTCTTCCAACCGAAGTTTGAATACCTTTTCTATTTTTCTCTGGTCTTGTCACTCTCTACCTTCGATCTCTTTCTCTTCATATATAATTATTATTTATAAGATCTTTCAGATACTTTTTCCTAGTAATAATCATTTTATATAAGATTTCTGCAACCGAATGAAGGTTTTTTTCTATTCGAAAAAAAAAGGATCCCCAAGAAAGCCGCTGTCAAAACAGAACTCAATTCCTGTCACTCCTCGGAAAGTTCAGGATTTATTATTAATGCCGGTTCGAGTTTTCAGTTTTCACTTCGAGTTTGAATGACATTTCGCGTGAATTCTGAACCTTTTTTCGAGTTTGAGGAAACTTGGCCAAAGTCCTCGAGACCTTTGGAGAAAAGAAAAACTTGGTTAGCAGTTCTGAAAAAAAGATGTTTATAAAGACTTTATTGACTTCTATTTATCAATTGATTAATATATTTAAAGACACCGCGGAAATGAATAATAATGAAAAAAATCCTCTAAATCTCGCCAATGAAAAGGTGGAAAATGTGAGAAGATGCGATATAAAATTGCAATTCCAAATTTAATCCTCAAAATTGGGTGGTATGAAAAAAAGACCAGCGAAAATTCGAACGGCGACTTTTCCGATTTTTTTGTATCGCTAGAGAATTTCCCGACGGCCACCTTTCCGACGAATCTTTTTCCGACTTTTTTTAAATCTTCCTATATAAAGTAAGTAGTTGATTCATGATTAAAACACAAAGAAATAGAAAAATGTTAATAGATGTTTTTATAAACCGAAAAAAATATAAGGGAAAAAAAGTCGGACAGGGATTCGGCGGAAAAGTGGCCGTCGGAAAGTTCCCCTAGCGATACGAAAAAATCGGAAAAGTATTTTAAAAAAAAGGAAGTTTGAAACGTATTTTTTTACTCGCTTTTTTTAAAACTAGTCTTTTCCAATAACTTCATTAACTTTTCCAACAATAACCTTTCAAAACCTCGTCGTTAACAACCCCCGAAAATCGCCTTTTGATTCGCCGCCCATCAAAAGCCGCCTAATCATTCCATCGGAAACGTCCCCGCCGGACACGTTGTAAGTGCGTTTTGATTATGAGCAATGAGCAAGTTGCTCCGAGGCGATTCATCAAATTTTGAAGGCTTCTTCAGTAGATTTGCTCTTTGATTTGTGGGCACATCAGAAGTTGCAAATGTCTTGGAGGTCAAGGAACTTCAACAGATGGTTTTGAGAATTTTGTTAGGGCTCTATTTTTGAGATGACTAGAACAATTTAAACTTACCAAATGAACTTTTCTGAAAGTCTCAAATTTTATTTTTATTCGAAAAAAGAGCACAAAATTGAGAAAATTCTGCGATTTTAGGCTTTGTCTCCAACAAAATCACGGAGTTTTTCGTTGAGGCCAATTTTTCACAAAGTTGTTTTTATAAATAAAGTTACCTTCTTCGTGTTGAGCAAACCATGAAACATAGACAAAGTCGGAAAGGGTGGAAAAAGCTTCATAAAAATGTTCCTTTTTTGCTACCTTTTTTCGCCATTTCATCGCCTGTTATGCACCATTTTGGCTGCCTCTCTTTTTTCCACCATTTCTTGAGCCTTTAAAATCTCAGAAAACATGGAAGGCTCGATAAAGAGGCCCTTTTTGCTGCCTTTCTGCAGCCTTTTTTGAGCCTTTTTGCTGCCTTTTTTGAGCCTCTCTCTTTTATCAGTAATTATCCACCATTCCGACTTTGCCCGAGTGGATTAAACCATTTAAAGAAAATAAAAAATTTTTTTTAGTCTTTAATATTAAGTTCCCTAAGAAAAAGACATGTTTCAAAGCCTAGGTGACCCCGAAGCCTAAGCCTTTCTCAGATGTGTCTTCCCATTCTCGTTTGATCCTAAGCCTGTCCCTCCGATGTCACACATGCTGTCACATTATGTAACGTCCCGTTCGGATGTGGGATCAGGACACTTGAAGCTGTTCCGTGGAGACAAATTCAGAGTATCTTGTTAAAGCTATGCGCGTCCAAGAGGAAATCAAGGAAAGCTTGTAAGAAAAATATTATCATCTCTTTGTCCATTTTTCTGAATAAAACTGGAACAGCCGAGTTATTCAGAAACTTTCAGGCAACGTGGATATTCTTCTCAGTCTTGTCAGAAAAAAATATTTGAGAAGTTTGAAAAAAATAAAGATGAAAAAGCTGATTGTATCAAAAAAATTTTTCAGCTCTATGGGAAGTTTCATTTTTGATATGGAACAGCTTTTTTTCGACCAAAAACAAATGATTTGAATGAAAAAGTCTCAAAAATTGGAAGCGTTGGTAAGAATATCCTCGACTCTCAGGTTTTTCGAGCTTTGGGAAGCAATTTAATTTTTCAAAGTCCATTTCTAGGTAATGAAAAAAATGGAATAATAATTTTTTTCTCTGCATCATTTTAAAGCATTTTTTTGGTCATTGAATCATGTAACTCGGGCGAAGTCGGAATGGTGAATAATGGCCGCTAAAAAGGAGAGGCTCAAAAAAGGCCGCAGAAGGGCAACAAAAAATCTTTATCAAGTCTTCTATTTTTTCTGGAATTCCAAAGGGTCAAGAAACGTTGGAAAAACGGAAAGGCAGCAAAAATGGTGCATAATCGCCGATAAAATGAGGCAAAAAAGGAACCTTTGTCACTCTAAAAGGAAAATGTCTATGAAGCCTTTTTCTATCCTTTCCTTTGCCTAGGAACGCAAAAAATTCCAAGAAGATTTAGTGACTCTTTCAATGGATTATTTCTTTCAAGCCTCGATTCCCCACCCAAAAGCGGTTTGATTCTGATCCCGTCCTGTAATTTCGCGCCGATTCCCGTCAGCAGCTGTCAACAGATTCGTTTGCGAGCAAAACGGCTGCAAATTAAGCGTATATTGTTAGCGTGAGGCCGATACACACGCGGCGCGGCGCAAATTGCGCGACAAATCGCGCGGCCCAAAACGTAACTGAGTACGGGGCGGATGACGCCGAGATTTGCTCGAAAATGTCATTAGCTCTTGGTCTCCTGTTGGTTGCTTCTTTCTTTCTTTATTCCAAGGAGGATCGGAAGAACTAGGAGGAAAAGCTGGATTTGGATTCGAAAATCACGGTTTCCTAAAAACTCTTTTTTCGTTTAAGCTCATTCTTTTTAGTTTCGAAACTTCACAGTGCTATCTATAGGGACAATCTTAGAGGTCCTTGAAGGTCCCCTCTACGGACCACTGCCCCTTATAGAAGCCCACAAAGATTTAGGGGCTTTAAGGTGAGATCCTAAACCCTGAAGGGACCATTTGAATTTTCCCCCTAGAGGGACTGTTTCCCTCTTGTTTGGTCGTCTGTTTGAACCGGTCTAGCCAAAACTAAAAATCAAAAAAAAAATTATGGATCATTTGCGAAGTTTTTCAATCCTTAAAAGGACTTTAAGGCGATCGATGTGATCAAAACTACTTCAAAAAAAAAAAATTCAGTTTCCTGTTTCTTCCAAGTTTTAGGTCTTATGGTTTCGATGATCGACCGCTCAGCAGTTTCCTATGGACGCTTCAAAATCATGAGACGCAGCGCGACCGCGACACGTCGAGCCATTTCCCATGCGACCAGAAAGTCTTTTGGTTTCCCGATCTGATCTGCTCCCCAATAGTAGGAAGACACTTAGAAAGCTTCCGATGAACTTAAATCCCCCGGCCAATATGGTCAATTAGGCTCCTCCAGAGCCCCTCAAGAGAGAAAACACTCGACGCAGAAGCTTTCCGCGTCGGATTACAAATTTCGTAATTACCAACCTTTTCCGGAGCACTTAACTGAGCCGATCTCGAACTGAAATTCAAGCTTTTCCTCGGCTTTTGAGGCTCGAAATTCAAATCCCAGTGATTTTTTTTCTTAAAACGAAACAGTATGACTTTTCTATCACTGTCTCATGTTATAAACTGTTTCGGGCTTCTATGACATCATCTGTGAGGGAAAAGAGGGCTCAGACAGGTCAGAGATCCTCAAATTTGTTGCGAGATTAACAAAAAAAAAAGAGAAAATTTGACTTTTTGGACTTTTTAGGCTTGGAAAAGATCGTTTTAGAGGTTTTGAAAGTTTCATTTTTAAAGGTGGGAGCTTGGAAAATCTCCTAGTAAGTCTTTAAAAGGAATATAAACTTTTTCCAAACTCAAAATAAATCTTTATTCATTAAATCTACTTTAGATTGACAATGAAAAAAAAAATAAAAGCAAAAAAAGACGAATCACAATCGGGAACGTGTTGAAATCTCGGATGATTATCAAAAAAAAAGTTATTTTTTCGACCCTGTTTTTGTAAAGAAAAGCTTAAAATCGGAAAAATAAAGGATATACGAGATCAAATGGATTATTGCCAAGAAAACGGGGTTAGCCAAGGGATGGGACATGTTAGGTGTTAAAAAGGGCGATTTTGAGAGGTGAAAACTTGAAAATTTTTGTACCTTGAAGTGTGGATTTGTGGTCCAGAGATCTTACAGAAAAAAGCATTTGCGCTCTGTCGAGAAAATACCTTTTTTGAATTTCCTAAGTCATTTAGTGATCACTTAAGTGGTATCAGCGTCTCTTTTTATCCAAAATATTTACCTTTTTGGAATTACCCATGGAGCGCACTTGTTGTCTGATTTTGAGCTTGAAGTCTAAAGGGTTTTCTTTGGCATAAGTCTGGAGCTTACTTGCTAAAAAGCCACTTTCTACTCTCGGACATTGGTAACGCAAACCAGAAGTTTCTGAGCATTCATAGTGACCACTTTAGTAGCGTCAAAACTCTTAAGTGATCCCTAAAATCGCTCAGAATCGTCCGGTTTTCGTTACTCAAGCAGTTTTTTCACGTCTTGCTCCCTTCAACTATCCATGGAGCAAACATGACCACGAAATATCTTTCCAAATTTCGAAAACCTTAAATTATCCATGGGGCGGACTTGCCTCCAAATTTTCAGCCTAAATTGTTTATCTTCTTTTTGGTTTGTTTTTCCAAACCCCTTCCTTTTCGGAACATCGTTCCTAAGCCGAAAGAGTATGTTCGAAATGAGTTTAGGGGCTTCGGCGAGTTGCGATAGAAGCTTGTTAAGCTTCTCCTCCGTAATGTAGGCGTCCGTCCGCTCGCTAATCACATCAACGTCTTCCCTTCTTACTAGCGCATATGCTCAGGCTTTCCGTACGATTCTGAGCACTTTAGTGATCCCTCAGGTGGTGTTAGTGTCTCTTAAGTGATCACTTGGAAGAAATGAGTGTGGAGACTTTCTCACAGCTCATACAAGGGCTTTTCGTGTTGTTCTAGGGATGACTCAAGTGGTGTTAGCGGCTCTCAAGTGATCGCTTGGAGGCCTTCTCACATTCATGTTATTCTAGGGGTAACTAAAGTGGGGTTAGCGCCTCTTAAGAGGTCACTCAGAATGAAAGGGCGCACGAGCACTTTTTCATAGCTCATACAAGAACTTTCGTTCAATAACTTTAGTGGTGTTAGTGTCTCTTAAGAGATCACTTGGAAAAGTATATTAAGACGGCTTTCGAGAGCTTTTGAGACATAAAGTGATCACTTAAGTGGTGTTAAAAACTAGTTTCTACTTAAAAGACATAGTATACGATTACCCTCTCAATAAAATTTACACTGAACTTTTTCTACGATTCTGAACCTTCTAGTGATCACTCAAGTGTTCAGAAGTGAGTATGGACCCTCAGACCCCTTGTCTACAGCTCAGAGCACTCTAGTGATCACTCGAGTGTTCAGAAGCGAGTATGGACCCTCAGACCCCTTGGCTAACCAAAATCAAAAAAAAAACCCAACCGGATGCGAATAATCAAGGAAATAGGCAAGAGAACTTGTGGTGGACTAGTTAGTTTGATTTCTTTTTTTTTCTACTTTAGATGGCCAGCTCGAAGGTGCACTCAAGTCGAGGGATGATGAACTCCTTGCGTTGGGCACGAGCTCGATCCACCATCTCGCGGAGTTCTTCCGAGCGGAGCTGGAAAAAGGAATCGTTTCTCAGTTTTTATGGTTCAGACTTAGGAATCCTAAAGTGGTCGCTATAGGGGTTCTGGGACGAAAAAATGGTCTTTACAGAGTAAAAGTTTAGGTGGCCCCTATAGAGGTTTAGGCACTATAGGGCCCCCTTATCCCCTAAAGCTTAAAAGGTCCCTATAGGGACCTTTCAATTTTATTCAAAAAACGAATTTATTTTTTCGAATGGTAACCCCTTTAGAGACCACTTTTTCAAGCTTCAGGGGTCCCTATGGGGGTCGGTAAAAAGTGATCATCCAAGGGCCCTAGAGGGACCACTCTGGAGTTACTAAGAATGAATATTTTCAACTCTCTACGGGCTACATAAGGATCAAACTGTAGCAAAGAACCACAAAAAGCTATTTTCTGTTTCAAAATACTTTCTTTGGTTTTCGAAGACGTGAGAGTCTTGTTGAATCGCGAGTCTGGTCAATAAGTCAAGAAGAAGAAGCTTTTTTTTGAGTTGATACAAAACTGTAATTAAAAATTCATGAAAAAGAATATTAATTTAGACACGAAGTTATGGTTTTGGTGCTGAAAATTTTATAAGAGCCAAAAAAGCCTTTTCTATTTCTCATATTCCTAACTGGTCTGCGTTCTACCAAGCTCGAATCACGCACGAACCTGAAGCTCATGTATCTGGGCGTCAAGCTCGCAGAGGAAGACGTCCCTGGCGATGTCGTCGTCGACTTCAGAAGGCGCTCGACGAGGCAACGCTGGAAGCGTCCGACCAGCTCCGAAGGTAGACGTCGACGGCGGGGCTTCGTAGACTCGCGGCCGCGGCACTTCCAGCGTCGCGTAGGGCTGTGCGTACAGCGGCGACGGCGGTCGGAAGGACGCGTTGCGGACGACGAGCGGAGTCCTCTGCGACGGCGTCGACGCGTGTCGCGGCGACGGCAGCAACTGCATGTTGTAGTGTGTCCAGGGCTCGGCGTAGATCGGCGACTCGGGTCGAGGTGCGTAGGGGCTTGAAGGCGAGGAGATCGACGAGGAGGTGCCGACGGAACAGGACGAGTCGGTCATTGGGGTTGGCTGCTGAAAGATGTGAAGGTGTGAAAAAAAACTTTTCGATGAGCATTCAAAGAAGACCTCGATGAAATGAGGTTCGAAAAAAGTTATTCTTTGAGGCTTTTGCATGAATAAGTCTTTTTCTAAAGGCAAGCTCAGTTTGAGACAGTCTAGAACCGTCTTTTGAAAGCCCTGAAGTCGTAACTAGGAATTTTTCAGCTTGAAACTCCCTTCAGTTCAAATTAAAAGCTTTGAGAAGAATCCAAAAGAAATCAGCCACTTTTGAGGCATTTGAAAATTATGAAAAACTCAAAGTAAGGTTCAAAAATATTGATAGTAGTTTAGAACAAGTTTTTGAGTCTAAAATTGGAGCTTCATCGGCAAAAATGAAGTCTCGGGAAAAGTCGGAATGGTGGGTAATGACCGTTGAAAAGAAGAGGCTTGAAAAAGGCCGCAGAGAGGCCGCAGAAAGGCAGCAAAAAAGCTCAAAAAAGGCCGCAGAAAGGCAGCAAAAAGGCTCAAAAAAGGCAGCAAAGAAGCTCTAAAAAGGCCGCAGAAAGGTCGTAGAAAGGCGGCAAAAAGGCTCAAAAAAGGCCGCTGAAATGCAGCAAAAAGGCTGAAAAAAGGCCGCAGAAAGGTCGTAGAAAGGCAGCAAAAAGAGTCCTTTAATCGAGCCTTAAATTTTTCTTTTCCTAGGACTTTTTATCTTAAAGAAACTTCCTAATGAGACATGAGCCGAAAAAAATAATCTCTTATTGTCAAAAAAATACCTGAAGCTTATGATAGATATTAGCGGCGTCGAGGTTATCATAGTGCTTCCAGGACGATTTCCACTCATTGCTGCTGGACCAGACCATCGACGTGTCGGGACTGAAAAAAACTTTTTCCATTTTCTCTCTCCATTTTTCAAAAAGTCTCCCTCCGAACTCTCAGAATTACTAAACTAGGGAACGCGCGCTCCATCGAGAACCATTCAAAAGCCGCCGAACAATAGGTTTTCCACGGGCTTCCCCTCCACATACACACTCGTATTATAATCCCATTAACCATGCAAACGTAGGGCAAGCGTTTAGTATCTTTCATTATTTTCGGCTTGGAATGGCTGAGGTTACCTGCACATCTCAAAAAATCGAATGATCAATTAAAGAAAATTTTTTTTTTACTATTTTATGTTACATTAAACATTATTATGGGCATCTTTTAGTATTTCCTTATTTTCGGATTGGAATGGCTCAGGTGGTCTGCACATCTAAGGAATGGAATAAATTTCGACGAACGACCAAAATGTTTGGCTTTCACATGTTACCTTCAGCATGAAAATTGCTTTACTTTGATATTTTTTCATTTTCGACTAGGAATGGCTCAGGTGACCTGCACATCTAAGAAATAGTAGAAGGATCAGACCAAAATTTTTTTGGCTTTCAAATGCTACATTCAGCATAAAAAAATCGCTTTACTTAAATATTTTTATTTTTATTTTTTTGACTGGGAATGGCTAAGACGACCTGTACATCTAAAGAAAAAAAAAATTCGACGGACGACCAAAAATTCTTTTTTCTTTGTTTTTTCCCCCTAATATGCTGCCCTCAAAATGATTATTGCCTTATTCTTATATTTTATCGTTTTCGGCTTGGAATGGCTAAGACGACCTGCACATCTAAGGAAAAAAAATTCGACGGACGACCAAAAATTCTTTTTTCTTTGTTTTTTCCCCCTAATATGCTGCCCTCAAAATGATTATTGCCTTATTCTTATATTTTATCGTTTTCGGCTTGGAATGGCTAAGACGACCTGCACATCTAAGGAAAAAAAATTCGATGGACGACCAAAAAATTTTTTTTTGTTTTACCTCCCTAATATGCTGGCCTCAACATAATTATTGGCTTCCGCAAGATTAACAGAAAACTTATGAAGACCCCAAAAAGGAAGCGCTCCGCAATAATTACAGTGGGATTAGGTGGGCGTGAAAATGGCCTCTTTCTCTCCTTTCAATTACCACCTTTCCGCACTTTTCCAAAGGAAATTGATGCTCTTCCCTATTTTTCAAAAATATAAAGGAAAGATAAAAGGGTGCTTTTAACTAGGAGGGTCGAGATTTTGTATCAATGAACCCAGAACAATGGTCTAGTGTACTGATAATGGCACCTTCATTTTTAAACAGAGACCATTTCTGAACACTCAAAGTTGCTCCATTGATAATAGCGTCGTAATTTTCAAAAAGAGGCCATTTCTGGACACTCAAAGTTGCTCTATTGATAATAGTACCTTCATTTTCAAACAGAGGCCATTTCTGAACACTCAAAGTTGCTCCAATGCCAACAGCGCCTTTTATTTCAAAAACAGCTTTTTCTAACCCCTTAAAGTTGCTCGATTGATAATAGCGCCTTCATTTTCAAGAAGAGGCCATTTCTAAGTACTCAAAGTTGCTCTATCGATAACGTATTCTCAAAAATTGGTCAATTCAAGTTGCATACGCACACCTAGTCGCAGCGTAGCCTTTTCTGAACACTCAAAGTTGCTCTATCGATAACTTCTCCTCGAGTATTGGTCCCTACAACTTTCATACTAGCCGCGCACCTCGTCGTAGCGTAGCAAAATTTGATGGAGGACAAATCCTCATGGGAGGAGAGTGACCACACACACATTCCCACGAATGTCCAACACAACATATCCCAACAAAGTACTAGTGGAAGCCGTTCTCTCTCCCTCGCCACCCCCGTCGGCATGCAGATAAATTGAAATTGGTTTTGTGTTGGACGACGTTCATTTGGACATAACTCGAGTGGGCCTTCTAACGAGCCGCAAGGGCCATTGTCTCCTTGGACCGTTGCGCAATAAGATGCAGCATCTTCAGAAGAACATTTCCGTTCGGTTCCTTTGGTTCAAAATCTCAAACTATAGTCTGTCAGGCTTTCAAAAAAGTGTCAAAGAGAATCTGGCCATTTTCAGTCTTAACTTGCGCTCCATGGCTAATTTGACCATTTTTAGTCTAAACTGGCCATTTTTTATCACAACTTGCGCTCCACGGCTAAATTGACCATTTTTAGTCTGAAAAGGCCATTTCTTGTCATAACTTGCGCTCCACGGCTAATTTGATAGAAAGGTAAAAATTGGAGCTCATTCTCGTGAGAATCTTTGCTCCACGGCTATTTTCACGAAAAACCCGATTTCGAAACTCTGAGCATCCGAAAGAATATTTTGAGCGACTTCGAAACTGATTTTCGTCAAGACATGTGCTCCAAGGCTACACAAAAAAAAACCAAAGACGAAATTTTTAAAATTTCTAGGACTTTGAGAGTTATTGCGCTCCATCGCTAATTTGTCATAACTCAGCTTTTTTCCCTGGTTCAAAACTCCAAGTTCGAAGCTCAGACGCGAACTTTCACATAACTACTCAGAAAATCGCATCAAACGGGCGTCATGAGGTCGAACAACATCACGGCTCAAATGTCGCATATTTGGTGCGCCCCGTCGCTCGAAATTAGCTTCTTCCCCTGCTCGCTTCCTGTCTTCCTCGCTCGACGAGTGACACACTGCGAGACAGATCGAACGGCCGGATAATGGACAACTTGACCCCGATCTTCCTCCGGAGAAAAGACACTTGAACACGGCGGGGATTTCCGAACCTTGCTCGGGTATTCCCAGCCTCGACAGCTACCGGAAAATGAAAGTCTAGCTGTTTAGCGTTGGAGCGCACATGTCACTTTGAAAAAAAGCCTTTTCTAAGCAATTCTAAACCCTAGAAGGACCAAAGGGCCTAATTTTAGCGATGGAGCGCAGATGTACTTTCAAAAAAGCTCGAAACTCTCTACTAATATTCGCTCAACGTTTTCGATTTCTTGATAGCCTACTGAAACTTCAAACCTTGAAAAATCATAAAAAAAACGCCGAAAATCAAAATTTTAGCCGTGGAGCGAAAATGATTGAGCAAAAAAGCTTCTGTTATACACCTCCCCTCTTGGGAGGTTTTATCAAATCAATAATGGTTCTCAAATCAGATTGGACTATTTCACAGAGCTCTGAAGCAAGAAAAATGATTAAAAATCCCAAAAATCGATTTTTATCTATGGAGCGTAAGTAGGTGTGAAGAAAAAGCGGCCGACTTTTTTTTTCGTCAAAAATGATTTTGAGCTTGTCTCGACTTCACGGCCCTCATGTAGTTTTGATAATCATAGCAATATCTCTCAGCCTTTTTTTTCTCCATGGGGCGCAAATGAAGTTGAAAAATCGCCTTCATTTCTGACCGTATTTGTACTTCATCCATTGACTTTGAATCGTTCATGAAGATTTGAAAAAAGTCGAAAGGTCTTTTTTTCGCTTTAGAGCGCATCTGAACATCAGAAACCGCCTATAAGTTTCCGAGATCCCTCGGTAAGCGAGCTCTAGCCATTAGGCCTTGCTGGGGGGCCGACTGTCAGTAGCAAGCAGGCTATTATATTACCAAATCGTGGAAGGAATGGGGAGGAAGCCAGCATAATTGCATCATCACGTCTGCTGCACACAATGTTTGTGGAAGCAATTAACGATTTTGGGACCTTCGTTAGGTGGCCAAGTCTACGGAGTTTAGTTGGCGCAGTGGATGAGGTTTTTTTGTTGGTGTGAGGATGGTGGGTTCGAGTCCTTTGCGCAGTAGTAAATTTTTTGCCATTTTAGTCCCTTTTCTCGGACTTTGACGTTTTGAAAAATTGGTAGTAAGTGTCTAGTTTTGGCATATGAGAATGGAAAGTTCAATTCCACTCCAAAAAGAAATAATTTTTGCCATTTTCATGGTAGCTCTTTCTTTGAAGAAGGATTCGGGATCTTAGAGCAGTGGTAGATCCTTTTTTTCTCAGCCAGAAGGGTGGAAGGTTCGAATCCATCTCAGAGCAAACAATTTTTGCCATTTCTGTGGAGCTCTTTGTTCAGATCTACGTCTTCGTGCGGTTCTTAGAGTCTTGGCGCAGTGGTAAAGGCTTTGCTTAATACTCGAAAGATGAAAGGTTCAAATCCTCTCCTCAGCAAATAATTTTTGCCATTTCTGTGGAGCTCTTTGTTCAGATCTACGTCATGCAAATCTTGGAGTCTTGGCGCAGTGGTAAGGGCTTTGCCTCATGCTCCAAAGGTGGAAGGTTCAAATCCTCTCCTCAACAAATAAATTTTGCCATTTCTGTGGTAGCTCTTCGTTTAGATCTAGCAAATCTTGGAGTCTTGGCACAGTGGTATAACTTTGCCTCATGCTCCAAAGGTGGAAAGTTCAAATCCTCTCCTCAGGAAACGGTTTTTGCCATTTATGTGGTAGCTCCTTGTCAGGTCTACGTCATCTTGCAAATCATGGAGTCTTGGCGCAGTGGTAAAAACTTCGTCTTATGCTCGAAAGGTAAAAGGTTCGACTCCTCACCTTGGATCATTATTTTTTGCCACGGTTATTCTTCGCCTTTCCTTGACTCAGGCCATTTCTTTCCTTTTATGAAAGATTAAGAGGGCGCAGACGTGCCAGAGCTCATCAGCTAACTTGGAGGACCCAAATTCTTCCCACCCGGGATTCTGGGGACGCAGTGGGACTTCTGAATGAGACCACCTTTTTTAGATTTAGTTTTTCACGCTCATTCCAAGTCCGGTCTTAAAAGTTGCCCAGTACGTCTGCGAAAAAATTAAGGTACTCTAAAAAGTCGAAAAATTCAGTTTACTTATTGAGCTTATTTTTGAAGGGTATGTAAATCTTGTCCCTCTGGTCCCAAAAAATCATTTTTCAGGGAAAGGATATGGTCGGTCAGCCAATTTTTTAGAAGAACATTCATCATTCTTCCCCTTCGATGAGAGACTTAGAGGGCGCAGACACGTGAGAGCTCATATCTTGCTGTTCCAAACATGTCCCCATGCTTGATAACAGCGGATAATCGCTCAAAAGTTCAAAAATCTTCCTTCACAAGGAATATTGATGGCTATATTCATCATGTTTAAAAATAGCGGATTGAAAAGGTGCTAATCGGGTTGTTTGTCGGACCCTTCTTCTTTTTTTGAGCCGAAAATATTGTCGAACCTGCTGTCGTGGGAAGCGTATCCAGAACTGCAGACGCTCGTGTCGGGACTTGCCACGCAGAGAGTCGGCGGCGGTCGGCGGAAGTCCTGAAAATTGAAAGTCAGATGGTAATTCTGTTTCCAAAAGGTATCAAAAGTGAAGTTTCCTTCAAAAAAATTTTGCAAATTCTCTCAAAAGGGTACAATTTCAGCTTCTCAATGGATCTTTCTGCCTTCTTTCGTTGCTGTTTTTTAACATGCCCAATATAAAATGAAATAGTTAAAAATGACGTGAACTCCCCAAAAGCGTCAAGATAAGAGCTCTTCGTTGACTTGCAATATTACAAAAAAACTTATTAACAAGGATTTTTGATGCTTTAAAGGACCGGATATTGGAAGTATCACGAAAATGTAAAAATAACAACGTTTAGTTGATTTCAAATAGCACAAAACTTATCATAACATCATGGATTTTCAGATTGTTTTGAACCGGAAATTAGAAAGGCCTTTTTAGAGCTATATTTGTATGATTGACAAGAAAAAAAGCTTCTGGCTAGCCAAAAATAAGCCTAGAATGTTTAGAATGACATGGCTTTTTTCGAATATTTGCCTCAAAATAGAAAGAAAACGTGGGGATCACTTTTAAGACGGCTTTGAATAAAACTGAAATGATCACAAAGACGGATTCGCCAAAGATTTTCCAAAAAAGCAGGTCTTTCAGAGCTTTTCGAATAGTAGAGTGTAAGAAAAAATGAAAACCTACTAGGGAAAGTGTATAAAAATTAAGGTCAGGATTTCATGCAAAAAGCTCAAATTTGAACCTGAATCTGAATCTGAATGAAAAAACTAGTTTATTAAAAAATATGGCTTTAATTGAGTTGATAATTGCTAAGAACTCCACATCACCAAAATTTAAAACTAAAAATCAAAAAATTCCAACTTCAATGTTTATTTTTAGTAGATGTATGAAAGCTAGACCTACTCTGTGAGAAAAAATTTCAAAATTATCAGGTTTTTGAAAAATGTAAACTTTTGGATATATTTTTCGGCCCAACCTGTAAGTCTTTTTCATCGAAAAGTGGTCCTTATAGGGGTTTTAGTTAGTGGCCCCTATAGGGGACATTCTAGTCGATATTTTATATGAACTCTAGGCAAAGAACCATGCGGAAAAGTGAAAAAATATCCCTTTCCAAATGAAATTGAGCGGCCCCTATAGGGACTACTTAGGAGCTGAGGTCACACTCTGAACCCCTATAGCGATCGCCTTGAATTTACCCCTTTAGGGATCACTTTTTCGGCGCCTATAGAGAAATCTCAAAAGTTTCCTACCGCTGGCCCAACACTCCGGCTCATCGTGTCGTTCAAAACTTTCGGCTTTTTTGCGTCTCCGACCCATGGATTCGTCCGAATTTTCTGAAAAATTTGATCATCAAACTTCCTCCAAAAACTCAAACAGAAGTTTAAAAAACAAGCAAGAATAATCCGACTTCAATACTGTTTGTTCTCTTCTCAAAGGGATTATTTTTTGTGTGTGTGTCCCCAGCCTGCCACATTTTTCCATCGAGGGTGAAAAACACAAAATCGGCGCATAAATCCGATGATTTACGATGACGTCATTTGGGGAAAAGGCGGCGGCTTTCTTCTTTTTTGGGGCATACCTCTTGACCTTGGTCGAGCTGTCAGCTGCCAATGGACATCAAGTTTTACGGCTACATACATTGGTACCATGCTCAGAACCAAAAAATAAGTATTGCTCATATTAGCTCATCAAACATGCTTTTTTTGATTTTAGTTTTCACGACTTAACCCATTGAAATCAAGTAGAAAACACGAAAAAATCAGTATTGCTCATATTAGCCTATTAAAAATGATTTTCCGAGTTTTTTTGGATTACTTATGAATATAAGCTTTTCAGGGCTCGACCCATTGGAAACAAGCTCAAAAGCAAACAATCCGTATTGCTCATCTTAGCTCACCAAAATGAGTTTTTTCTTTTTAGTTTTCAGAGCTTAAACCATTGGTCAAGCTCAAAAAATGAATCAAGCTGAAAAATGAATATTGCTCATCTTAGCTCATCAAAATGATTTTGACGTTTTTTGGATATTCGTGTTCAGGGCTTGACCCATTGGAATCTATTTGAAAACAATAATCGATATTGCTCATGTTTGCTCATAAAAATGATTTTTTTGATAGTAGCTTTCGAAGCTCAACTCATTGGAATCAAGTTGAAAACAAGAAAATATCAGTATTGCTCATATTAGCGCATTGAAAGTATTTTATTTTTTAAGCTTTTTCCTCTGACCTCGTCAAAAATTTTAATCAGCAGGAAAATGTTATATTGCTCATGTTAGCTTAGCTCCTCTCAATATGGCCCGACTGAAAATTCATATTACTAATGTTAGCTCAGCTCATCCAAGCTCTTCCCTTGACCTTTCTACAATAGAAAATTATGTGAAAACTGAGAAATCGGTCTGCTCTACCCCAATTTTTCCAATTTCTCTCCTTCATCGAAAAGGCCCCGAGGCTTCGCACACGACCGCCAAGATGTTTTCGGAAGATAACGAGCGCCTCGCTTTGCAGATAACCATCTTTGGGAGAAGGACTATTACTGGAATTTCGTTCCGAATTCGTCTCGTTTCAGATCAAATTCAATAATGGGCTTTGAAAAGAAGAAAAAAAATAACGAAAAAATCAATTAGAAGAAACAGCATTTTTTTAAGTGAGCTTATGCGCTCTGTTGAGAAAAAGTTCTCTAGTTTTTCTCTATATGAATTTCTCAATTTTTTCGAGAGGTTTCACACTTTAAATGCGACCCCATGAACAAAAAAGGCCAAATTAGCAATGGAGCGGATTTTGTCAGTATAATGGTCAGCGTTTTTTCGATTACTATGCCTTATTTCTTCAATAGAAAAATCTCCTGATTTTGCATTCGCTAGTTTTTTTCTATTTTTCGAAAACAGCCGCGCTACCATGCGAAAGTGCGCTCTAATGATAAAAAGTAAGTCCGGCTTTTTTTCGAGCGCAATGAAGTGCTTACTCATTCAAAAGTTGTAGTTCTTGTTGTTCGTTCAAAAAAATAAGAAAAAATAGCCGCAGGAGCAAGTGCATGAGCAAGTGCGCTCTAATGATAAAAAGTAGGCCCTGGCTTTTTTCAAGCGCAATGAAGTGCATACATCCTCCTGACTCATTCCCAAGTTGTAGTTATTCTCCTTTCTTCCTGCCATGAGTGAGAATGATGGGAAATGATGTCGGCGAGTGTGCGTACGAGAGCAGAATGAGGGAAACCTAAAGCCACGGGGGTCCTTCGCCTTCACTTCACATTCATGATTGCATGCAAATGAATGGTGGCAACGTTTCTAGCCGAAGCGAGGCGCGAAATTGACCCGAGCAGTAGCGTCTATTATGCTCTATTGAGAAAAAAAATTTTTTTTCTATTTTCTTCTAAAAATCGGCAGGAAGAATCGGAAAATAAAAAAAGTGAGTCAACGGATTTTCCCCATTGAAGAGATTAACCAAAATACGGTAGTTGAATAAAAGACTGACGTTTTTTGAGCAAACGTGCTCTACGGCTAATTTTGGCCATCTTCTCTCACAAGCTGGAATTGAAAGGATGAAAGCCTTACGAAAATATTGAGGAGTGTCAAAAATAACGAGAGCTCGATGCTTGCTAAAAAAATTTAAAAAAGCCTCATTGCTCATGTTAAAACCTCCAACAAACGTCATTGCTCATGTTATAGGGTGGTATCCCCAAGCATCGCGCCGCCGAACAATTTTCAAATCCAATCCGTGAATAATTCTCGACATTCTTCCCAGCCGAACGGCTCGATTCCTACTTTACTTTTCGATGATGACGTCATCATTGCTCACCAACTACACTGTAGTTTATCTTTAGCCCATTTTTAGGCTTTTGACACTAGGAAAAAGAGAAAAAAACAAACATTTCTTCTGGGGAACGATCCTTCGAGTGAGGGCGGTGGCGGGAAGGCGATTGGAACTGAAAATGCAAAAATATTGCTCATGTTAGCTCATTTAGGTTTTGAAGTTTTTCCAAACCTCTCAAATTTTTCGAAATTTCTCGAGAAAGGAAGAATTTTTTTCAGAGTTAAAAGGCTGTATTGCTCATGTTAGCTCATTTTTCGCACTGAATTTTTTTAACCGCTAATGTGTTTCTAAGTTTTCGAGGAAGGAAAAATTTTTCTCAGAGTTAAAAGGCCTTATTGCTCATGTTAGCTCATTTTTCGCACTGAATCTTTTTATCTCGAACATGGGGCTTTTAGAACTGGCATGGCGTATAGAAAATTATGAAAAAAAAAACTCAATTTTTCCGTTTTAATTTGAAATTGGGAATAGGAAATAACATTTCAGGAAAGCTTTCAAATCCCTTGGTTAAATCTCCCTTCTAAAAAGGATCCATTACCGCGAGGTTCCAAAAACCTTTAAAAAGCAAAAGTGCAACCGAAAACACCGTTAAAACCCCCCTCTCTGAAACCTTTTATTTGTCTCGATCACGTTTCCCCCTCCACGTATCAGTTCCATCAAGCGAAACAAAAAAAAGAAGCAAGGAAGAACACAAAAGAAAACACGCGACGGCGGCGGCTCGAACCAGTTCCATTCCGACCGGCGAATGGTGTTTGAAAAGCTCTCCAGGGGATATCAATGTTAACCGATTCGAATGATTGGAATCACGTATCGAGGCAATTTTTCTGGTTTCTAATCTTTGTTTTATTTTTTGAAGCATTTTCTGGGATCTCCAAGTTTTCTAACGCAATCAAGACGCTTAAAGTTCGAATTTTCGAAAAAAAAATCATTTTTTTTTACCAGGGAATGGTCTCAGCTTACAATGGGACTTCTGAACAAGTTTTCTAGACGTAGTTTTTTATGCTGATTCCAAATTCGGTTTTAAAAATCGTCACCGAGGTCTGTGAAAAAAGTTATGGACCCTCAAAAGAGGAAAGTCTCATTCAAACTGAGTTCCATTGTGAGCTGAGACCATTACCTGGTCAGATTCCATAAAAAAAGAGTCGTTGTAAAATTTTGACACTTTCTACGCTCTAAGGAACGCTGAGTAGTCCCTATAGACTCTATAGTATAGAGGCATCCTAGGGACCCCTCTAGGGGCAAGCTTGCAAGAGTGGTTCTTTTGGGGTTTTCAATGACCTCGAGGTTTAATCGATCAAATTTATTTTTAGATCTGAAAAACCCTTTAGGGATTACTCAAGCTTCAGGGACTTGTGACTGTAGACTCTATAGTAAGTGGCAACCTTTGGGACCTACTCACCCCTCTAGGGACCACTAGAATTCGCAAAAGTGGCTCCTATGGGGGTTTTTTGTTAGTGGTCCTATGAAAAAGAGAGTAAATCTTCTTAAGTTTTCAGATCTAAACAAAAAGCCCTCTAGGGCCACTTAAGCATAAGACCCTAAACCCCTATAGCAAACCCTTTTTTGTCCCCTTAAGGTAGGGACCGCAAGCCATTTCTTCAGAACGATTCAAAAAATATGTTTTTCACATTGTTCGATAGAGGAGACTGTCCATTTTCATAATCCGTTTAGTTTTTGAAAAAAGCTCCACTAAGAAAAAAGTTACGGCCAAAAAACGAGCGCGCGCGGCGTACAACTGGAGGCAAAATCTCACGGTTTACCCGCTGCCGCACGCTTTCTTTTTAAATGTTTTTGCGCGTTTCTGGACCGTTTTTAAATCGGTTTTCTGTTCTGAGAGGTTGTCCGAACTGCGCTTCATGTTTTGGTATGAATCTTTTGTACAATCCTCATAAGAATTTTTTTGATAAAATATCAAAAAAACTACCTAGAAAAAAAGGTCAAAGGGATTTTTTTCAGCTTATTTTTTTCTTTTTTTACTCAGAAAAAAATTATTATCATTCGATTTGGAAAAAAAAGAAAAAAATGAAAAAAATAATGTTATTTCGAAATAAAACAGGAAAAAAAGTGCCATTTGACTCCGAAAAAAACGGCTCCTGCGACATTTAAAAGGACGCATCGGTGTGTTTGACGCAAACACTGCTACGGACACTTGCACAAAATCTTCCGAAATTTCAAAAAAATTGCCATTTTTTTCGAGGTTTTTCAAAGCCGTTATTTTTTTCGCGTCGATCGATTTTTTTCATAATTTTTTTCATTGATAGAGTTTTTGAACGCTTAATAACATAATCAAAAAGTATAGACGCGATCCTATTCTCTCATGCGTCAACGAGGCAGGCGAAAAAAAGGAGGTTTTGGTAAAACTCAAATATAATTTAATTCGCTGTCCCAATAATTATTTTTCATTTTTGAATTTTTTTATTTTTTTGAACACATTGTGAGTTTTTAAATCAAATAAAAAGTATACCATGTCGCTGAAATTTTTTCGCATTTCAGCTTCAAAGTTTGGTGTCACTTTACAAGCTTTAATATTTTTTTCGCGTCGGTAGATTTTTTTATTTTTCACTCAAAAAAATAAAGAAAGTGTTAATGTATAACATAATTAAAATTTAGAAGCGTTCCTCACTTGGTTTTCTGAAACGCGACGATTTTTGTGAAACTTGTCAGTTTTTCGTGTTAAATCTTACTTTTTTTCGCTTATTTTTTTGAAAAACATAGTTTTTTTAAAATATTCAGTCTTGTAGAGCGTTGTCGATTACATAGATTAACAGAAGCAGTTCCTTTTTAAAGTGGGCCTTTAGCTAGTATAAACGCCTCAAAACCGTTTTTGCAACAAAAAAATCGTCATTTTGGTGGCGTGAAGGGGCGGGGCTTTGCGCCCCCTACCTTAAGGGCTGTTTTGCCTCCTAATCCCTTTCGGGACCACTCTGGCGTTACTTTTCAATATTTAAAATCAGGCTCCGGCTTCAAATAGCTCTAAAAATGAACTATGAAATCTTTGAGATGGTTTTTTTCATCTACAAAATTTCCACGCACCTCAGAAGTACCACAAAAAGAGGACGGCAAGGACCGTAAAGCGTGAAAACACGACGAAGAAAGAAACGAACGAGCAAACATGTCTAATCGGATCTTGACAAATGCGTTTGTCTTGAACCGATTCCAACTGCCTGCACATCTAACTACCTGGAACAGGCTTCAACTCAGCTCGCTCGCCACGGATGACACTGTGCGAGGCGGCCCGGTAGGGGAAGCCTCGGTGATGATCGCCGGCGGCGTTGCGGTCGCGTCGCGGCTCCGGCGACACCGCTCTTCGCGGCTTTGACGACGTCGTCGTCGTGGTGGCGACAACGCGACGTCGTCGCGATGTGCGACGCGTCGGCCGACTGATCGTCAGCTGGTCGAACCAACTTTGGATGCGTTGCATTCTGAACAATAAAATGGTTCAGTTGACTCGGTCTCATGGAAGAAAAAATCCGGGAAATGTGAATTTAAAACTGTATTGTGAGTAATTTTGCAAAACTCAAGAATTCTCCCGACTCTCCAAAATTCTGGTATATTTTTCACTTTCTGACCTTCACTTTGAGTTTTGTGAAACTTCTTTAAACACAGCATGAAGAGACGGTGAAAAAATGACGAGTTAAGGAAAATCAATTGATGACGTCAGAATAACATGCAACGGACCAGAAACGAGTTGCGCCGCAGAGCAACTTTTTCTCTTTGGATGCCTAGATTCATAGGTTACTGGACCTTACGGAGCATGAAAAAAAATCTTCTGACATTTTAATTTCGATATTTTTTTCAACTTTTTTTCATACCAATTAATGAAGTCATCAATCCCAAAAAAATATAATAATAAAAAGAATTATTTTTGTGAAAAATCATCATTTTTTTAGAAGGAAAAAAACAGCAAAAGGCAGACCTTACGGTTTTTATTTTTTTGGTTTTTAGTTTTTTTCAGGTCTTTGAAAAAAATCAGCAAAGTGCTCATTTTTGGAAGAAACAGTAAAGTGATGTTTCAAACTTTTATGAAAAAATATATGAAATCATTCAAAAAAAAATTTTTTTTTCGAGTTTTCACACTTTTCTCGTCGTTTTTAGTACTACGAGCAACCAAAAAGGCAGTGGAAACAAGTAAAACATGGAAAAAATGGAAAAAAGAACACACGCAAAACGAGGCAATAAACCGTGGCGAAACGTGTTGTAACTCGTAAATGATGAGAAAAAAAAAATTGTTTATGGTCCTAGAGAGATTTTCATGGCTTGCGTGGGCCATTTGAACGTTTTAAAACGCCTCATTTGCTCTGGTAAGATTGGACAAAAAATACAATAAAGTTCTGTAGAACTACCTTTTTTTCCGTAGTAAATTATTGCATTTTTTTCTGTATTTGGTAGTTTTTGATACTAAAAAAAATATAAATTCTCCTTTTTCCCAATCTGAAAGTAAAATTGCAAAAAATCTTGAAAAATAGTAGCCAGTGACATAAAAAAACAATAAGAGAAAAAAATAAATTGTTGTTTAAAACTTATTCTTGAAACTGTAAATTCATCCAAAAAGCTTTTTTCTTCGAAATTTGAAAATCAAGAAGAATACGCGCTCTAATGACAAACATAATATTAAAAAAAAGAGCAACTAATTAATATTATAACTTTTCTTAGAAAATGAGTCACAAAAACCCAAAAAAGATGAATATTATGTGAAGAGTCGAGAAAATTGAGTGGAAACGACCGCCGAGATGTGCAAATTGCATTTTCACGTCTAGAGGCTCTTTTTTATCCCATTTTTCTTCAAAGTAAAGTGTTTTTCTCTTTGTTTTTTGAGAAGATATAGATAATCACAGTATAAAAGTAACAAAAAAATTGGTGGAAAGTCGGAATTTTGTTCAAAAAAACAAAATTGGTGAAAAAAAGAGATAAAAAGCTGTTTTTACATCTAATTTTTTTGTACAGAAAAAAAATCAAAAAAATGATTTTTTTGAAAGCAAAAAAATAGTAATATTGATAGTTTAAATTATGTTTTTTTCAATTGATTTACAAGATAAATGTGAAAATTGCACTTTTTGAAAAAAATAAACTCGAGAAAAGCTGAATTTTTTTCAGAAGCTTATAAAAATTTTCTACCAATTTTTTTGAAAAGAAAACATGAAAATTAGTCGTAAAAAAAGTGAAAATTATTTTTTTCATGGGTCCAAATCGCCAAAATTAATCATTGACAATGTTTCAAAGCTCAGAAAAAATTCATACTCAACCCCAAAATTTCAAGAATAAGGAAAAAATCCAAGTTCCTGATAAAACCATGATATATCCGATAAAATCTGAGAAAAGAAGCTAATCTTCGGGATTTACATGAAAAGGCGGTGTGCAGCCGTCGGCAGCGGCACATTGTGGGAAAGACGAGTGAAAGGGGCGGAGCCTGGCGCACCCTTCAAAATGGTGGGCGGAGCCTGGGCGCGTTCAGGAAAAGAGTTCAAATTTCGGATTTTTCAAAGTTCAAGAGAAGTTTTTTAAGATTTTGAGATTTTTTTGAGCTTGAGAAACGGCCAAAAGGAATTGGAATTTGGATATTTTGGAAAAAAATTACTCTACAAAGAAAGTTAAAAAAATGAAAAAAAGGATTTTTTTCAAAAAAATATCCATTGAAAAAAATAATTTTCAAAATTTACTGAGTAATATTATATTGATAAAATGACGAGAAAAATTTCAAAATATCAATTTTTTTCATCTTTCGTTATGGATTTCAAGCCAAAAAAAGTTTGGAAAAATGAAAAAAATTACAATAGAACAGAATCGAAAAGGTTGAAATTGGGTAAAATAACGTTTTGAACCGAATTTCCCAATATTTTCGGCTTTAAAAATGTGCAAAAAAATTTATTTTTCTTCTCGGGAGTCGAACCCAGAAGTTCCCGATCTACAGACGGGAGCTTTAGCCGTTTGGCTACGGTCCAAGGTTCATTTGCATGAAAACTCAAGATTTTTAAGGGCTGCTAAAGCATTTGGGAAACAAAAAATGGGTTACCCAAGCTTTTAACTCGGTTTTTAGAGGTTCCCTGAAAGTTTTTGATTTATTTTGCTTTTAAAAATTACTGGAGACGCTAAAAATACTCCTATTCTGAGTATTAATGAATCAGTAAAAAAATTGTGGCGTTTAAAAAAAATATTCTAAAGGAAATATCATTAATATAAAAGCGTAATAACTAAGAAAAATCAATTATAAAAAAATTAAAAATATCTCCAAAATGAGGCTCAGGATCCATAGAGAAAATTTCAGTTCATGAAAAAAAGGAATAATTTCATTTTTGAGCCCGTTTTCAACTCAATTTTTAAGGTTTAAAGTCCGAATAACATAACACACGAATTTCCTCCCAAAAAACATATTTTCCCATCAATTCCCGTCATTCCCACCGTAACCCCAAACAATAGGGAAAATTATCTTCTAATCCTGCAAAAAGGAAAAAAAAGGCTTGACGCAATCGGATAAGATTATCGAAGGAAATAAATATTTGAATTGAATTGCGAAAATTCTTGATGAATAATATTCAATTTTTCGTTCTCTGAATGCGGAAAAGACACAAGAAAAAAGAATATTCTGAAAAAAATGACTTTTTTGAAGGTTTTGAATTTTTTTTGCTCTGTTTCGTATAAAAAAATGGTTTTTTTCTAAAAATCAAAAAAAAAGGTGAACCTTTAGGGGTAAAATAAAGTGACCACTTAAGGGATTTTCATAAAAATTTTAAACTGCCAGAAGTTTTCTAGTCAAAAGTCACCCCTAAAGTGCACACTTACAAGAAAGATCCTTTAAGTGGCCCCTTCATATTTTCATAGCAAGCTGCGATCTCTTAAAAACTAAAGAGAAAATCGAAAATATTGATCTTTTTTTGATTCTTTGATGTTCGAGGCGTCAAAATTTGCGTTCCATCAGAAGTTTTGAATAGTAAAAATATGATTATTTGGGCCCTTTTTTTCATATTAAAAAAAACTTTTTTTGATGCAAATAAGAGACGATTTTCCGTAATATTGACTCTACAAAAACCCGGGAAAAAAATAGGATTTTTTCCAATCAAAAAAACTGGCAGCCAGGTGAAAAAAATAGTGAAAAAGGACGGAACTTTCAGCATATCTCTTTGAAAATTCTGAAGCTTTTGCTCATTAAAAAAACCCAAATTTTTTTCTGTAATGGTTATAAAAAAGCTCAAAGAACAGGTGTTCACTGAACAACAATATTTTAATGACATAACCAATTTTTTGGGAAAGGTGAAGGACACCAGGAAAAAAAAAACCTTCCGTCACTCAAGTGCCTGTCATTAATTATCTTCTTTCGGCGACCTCATCGCAAAAGGCCGAAACCAATTAAGCACACGCGCCCCACCGGACAAATGAGCTCGAAAACTTTCGCTTTCATTCAAGTTATTCCAATTAATAACGGAATATTGAAGAATCTTTGAGTCGTTCTTGCGAACTATACAGTGATCCCTATGGGGGCCCTTGAAGGTTCCTCTCTTGGGATCCCTCTTCCTCTCCCTGTAGGGGTCACTTAAGCTTGCAAAAGTGTCCCCTATAGGGGGCATGCTAGTCATTTATTGTTCTGAACTCTATGAGAAGAAAAATTTCCATGTGAAAAACTCAAATTCGGAAGAAGTGTATCAAAAAAAAATTTGATCTTTGAACGAAAATTAAAAGACCTTTAGGGGCCACTTTAGCTTTTGAAACTCAAGCATCAGACCCTGCGGTCCCTAAAGCGTTTCCTTGAAGAGCTCTTTCCCTCTAATCCCTATAGGTAGGGACCGCAGACGAATTTTCAAAAAATTTTTTTCAGCATTGAGTTTTGTATGGTTTGATAGCTGTTTCGATTCAAAACTCAGAACCGTTTAGTTTTTCAAAAAAGATTGAAGATGAAAAAAGTTATGACGGAAAATGTGGCGCGCCGCGCACCATTTTTTTAGTACTGAAATTTTGGTATTATATAGTTTTGAAATTTTTCTCAATTTTTCTTCTAGAACAAGTTTTGATACTGGTCTATTATGATGTAACAAATTATAATAGAGTGCTAAAATGATGCTAATCAGCTAGTTTGCCGAAAAAAAGTCAGTATTTTTCCAGAAAACAAAAAAACTGACGCTTGCGGGCATCGAACTCGCGACCTCAAAATGAAAAATCGCAGCGCACGCGCTGCGCCAAGCTGTTAAGTATTACGAGGGGAGTTTCCATCCGCCATATCCTTGAGCCGTTTGAATAGCACAGATTGCCTATTTCAAAAAGAAAATTTTTGAAGTAATTTAGCTATTTTTTTATCAGAATATGTTTGCAAAATTTTTTTCTCAAACTTTTTCGTGGAAATTCACTTCGAAAAAAACTGTTTTTTTCAGTGCTTTTTTTGCCTTTATTAACGATCGCTGCATTAAAACGGCCCCGTAAATTTTTTTGGCAAAGACGAATTTTTTTATTTTATTCTTTTTAATTGAAAGATTTTTTTACTAATAAATGTATATAATCGTTTAAAAAAACCTGCGTTCGACCGTTTTTCTGTGTAATAAACGCCGCTAATTTTATTCTCTATTTTTCAAGAGCATTTTTTTGCGTATCAAACAACTTTTTTTCAAGCACATATGCTGTGGAAAAAAATTTAAGTAAGCCCATGGTCTAAATTTTTGAAAAAAACAAAAAAACTCGATTATATTCGCTTATTAACGATATTTTGAATTAGGACTTTCGGCGCTCCCTAAAAATTTTTTTGGCAAAGACGAATTTTTTTATTTTATTCTTTTTAATTGAAAGATTTTTTTACTAATAAATGTATATAATCGTTTAAAAAAACCTGCGTTCGACCGTTTTTCTGTGTAATAAACGCCGCTAATTTTATTCTCTATTTTTCAAGAGCATTTTTTTGCGTATCAAACAACTTTTTTTCAAGCACATATGCTGTGGAAAAAAATTTAAGTAAGCTCATGGTCTAAATTTTGAAAAAAACAAAAAAACTCGATTATATTCGCTTATTAACGATATTTTTGAATTAGGACTTTCGGCGCTCCCTAAAAATTTTTTTGGCAAAGACGAATTTTTTTATTTTTATTGTTTTAAAAATTACCGTTACTTGAATCAAAATCATTATTTAAAAAAAGAAAGAGTGCGTTCGACCTGAAAAACACATGAAAAAAAGCAAAAAAACGACAAAAATTTTTTTAGTTCCATTCACGTTTTTTTGTACGACATTCCGCGCGAACGCATCAAAAAAGCGTGAAATATTTTTTAAACGAAAGAGGAAGCTTTTTTGTACATGTGTGCCAAAATTTATTATCAAGTTCCACATATTTTGCAACTACAGCAAAATGAAAGTTGAAAACCAAAAAAAAGCCACTTTTTCTATCGCGAAAAGGGGCGTGGCTTTGCGGTCCCTACCTATAGGGACCACCTTGGCGTTGCTTGTTTTCTACCCAAAAGAGCTTTGAAACAAGATGAGCATGTGCGCTCCATGGATAACTCCTTTTTTTCTGAAAACACTGGAATTTTCGACCGTTTCTCGAGGACATTTGATAAATCCAGAGATTTGTTGAAACTACATATTGATCAAAGTCAAAATAATGCTTTAAATAGTTTCCCGTTGGAGCGCAAAAGCTTCAGTGAATGAGCCTTTTACAAAAAGCGAACCAGAGACTTTTGAAAAAGTTCCACCTACTCCACAATCTTCCTCTGTCGTAAGATGAAATCGCAGCTCAAAAATCAAGGACTTATGCGCTCTATGGCTAACTATGAGATTTTTTGAAAAAGCAAGTTCTGTTAATTTTTGTACTTTTCGTTTCAAAACTAGACAAAAAAAAAATGAAAAATTCGCCACGGTCATCCCTATCTGATTCTTTTGATATCAGCCATTCCAAATGCCGCAAAAAAACAGAAAAAAGCCCACAAAGAGACCGACGACCACAAATGATGATGAAATGTCGCAATAAATCCGACCGAGAGCGCAATAATATTAAATATAATGGCATGGGGTGGTGGTGGATAAACGGGTTTATTTCAACTTTTTCCTCCCCAATAACTCGTTTTTTTTTTTCATGTTCTCTTTTGTTCAAAGGTACAAATTTTGGTTTCGAATAATTGTGGCCCGCCAAAGATTGGACGGAATGTAGGGACGAGTTCCCATGGAAACGGAACATATTTTTCAAGTTTTTTTCTAATTTGCAGAAATTTGGGGCTTCAGATGTGTTGATTGTGGGCTGCGGGGGAGGATTTTCATTTTTTCTTCCGGTTGAAAGATAATTTGATGTTTTTCCTCGGTTGTTCGATGATCTTTGGATTGACAATTCGAACATCGTGGGTTGGAAAGTCATGGTCGCAAATGGAATGGCTCAGCTGCTTTTTTAAAACTTGCACCCGACTCAAAACGACTTGCGTGCGTTTTAAAATGCTATTATTGTGATCGTGACGCCATCAACTTGAGAGGAAGCCCAAAAAAATTAGTTTTCATTCATTTTTAGCCATCTTTCTTCTTGTACCTTTCGTATCAAGGCGGCAAAAACACGATGAAAGATAGAAAAAATTGATCTTCCTCTTTCAAAAAAACTACGGGCAATTAAATGAATGATCAACACGGAATATCTCAAGTTCAAGCTTCAAGTAACACTGTCAGGTTGGAATATTTCCTTCTCGGGTGAAAAAATTGAGTTTTATATGATTGAATTTTTGAAAATACGGTCTCGAAACTGTCCTGAAACACGCTGAAAAAAATCGCAAAGATTAAATCTTTAATAATGAATAAATCTGTCAAAATGTTTGGTTAGACTTTCAAAGCAAAAAGTTCCATGAAGGTCTCAGAAAAGTCGTTTTTTTCTGATTATCCAATGTTTTTAGCAAAAATCTCAGAAAACTTTTGCTATCTGTACCGATGGAAATCAATTCAAGTGGACGAATGATAAATCACTACCGTAAAAAGTTTCGAACAAAGCCATTCCCTACCCCAACTTGGAGGGGGAACAGAAGAAGAAAAAAACGTTATCAAGCAAATCGAGTTTTTTTAATACTTCAATTTAAAAAAAGAAACTGAAAATGAAGAAAAAAGAGCATAAAAAGTCCCAAACGAAGCTATTCTCTATCCAAACTTGCCGACGGAGAAAAAAAAAGTTTTTAAAAATCGAGTTTCTTGATTATTTGAATTTTGGAAAATTCGGCTCAAACCCTAATGATCAATAACCATCATCATGAAAAACCCAGAAAGAATCTGTTTTTAACCTAACTTAAACGAGATCGATGGAAAAAAATTATCAAAATAGATAGACTTTCTTGATTTTTTGAACTTTCAAAATTCGTCTCGGAATCTGAAAAAAAAAAACCATAAAATGTCCCAAACAAAGCTTCTCTCAAACCCAACTTGGAGAAAACCGACAAAGCAAAAAAGTTATCCAGAGAAACCCCATTACACACTCGCCACCTTCCAATCAACAACACCAAAACAGGAAGTAGAAGCAATCGCAGTACAACAAGCGCGAAACCTTCTAAGCGGTAAAAAAAACAGAAAGAAGAATCGAACTGCGGACGTAGTAAAATGAAGACGGAAGCATATAAAAGGGGCGCCGATTCTCGACAGGAAGCTCGACTTGGTCGAAGATGAGCGAGAAGACGTTGGTTGGACTGGCGACGGGCGCCAGCGCCCTTCTGATTCTGGCCTCGATCGCCACCGTCGTCTACCTTTATAACGACATCAACAACTTCTTGGAGGAGTCTCAGCGCGAGCTCGGCGAGTTCAAGGTTTGGCTTTACCTTCTCCTGACATTCTCAACTTGGCTTAGGGGTGATTTCAAGACTTCTGAATCCAGAACAAAGGAAGTTTTGTCGATTTATGCCTTATACTGAAGTCATGACGCTTCGAAAGCTTGAAATTCACGGCAAAGGGGGCGTGGCCTGTCTGCGCTCTCCACAAACCCGGCACTGTCTCCTTTTAAATAGTTTTTTTTTTTTGAATTTTTCAACGCGTCATAGCTCGACTATTAGACAAAAATCGCAAAATCCTCTTCTCGTTCTGAAATCTGGAGGTCCTGAAGTACAAAACTTTTCCAGATCCTCGCCAACGACGCCTGGGACACGATGATCATCTCCCAGACGCCTTCAGTCAATTCTCGCAACGTCCGAAGCATTTTCGACGCTCGCCGACACAAGAAACAAGCCTCGCAGTGCAACTGTGGAGCTCAGCCGAATAACTGCCCGGCTGGACCTCCAGGACCCCCCGGAGCCGCTGGAGAGCCCGGTCACGATGGTCATCCAGGAAACCCCGGAGCGCCTGGAAGTTCTGGCATCGGTGGCGGTAGCTCTTCGGGTGGATCTGAATGCATTCAGTGTCCAGCTGGAGCGCCAGGACCAGCCGGAGCTCCAGGACAAGCTGGACCGCCAGGCCCGGCCGGACAGCCAGGACAAGACGCTCAAGGAGGTCAGCCAGGGCCTGCCGGACCCCCAGGACCAGCCGGAGACGCTGGGGCGCCTGGAGCTCCAGGAGGTGATGGTCAGCCTGGACGTGCCGGTCAGCCCGGAAAACGAGGACGAGGACTGCCAGGACCGGCCGGAGCTCCAGGACCAGCTGGACCAGCCGGTCAGCCAGGACAGGATGGACAGCCAGGAGGTTCCGGATCCGCAGGAGCTCCAGGACCGGCCGGACCAGATGGCCAGCCCGGTCAGCCAGGAAGCGACGGACAGCCAGGAGCGCCAGGAGGCGACGGCGGACCGGGAAGCGATGCTGTGAGTTTGACGAGCTCTCTTCATATCGAAACTTTTTTCAGGCCTATTGTCCTTGCCCCAACCGTAGCGGCGGCGCTGTCCAAGTCGACGCCGCCGTCGAGACCGAAGATGGCGCCTACAATCGCGTGGCAGTCGCTGCACGACACCGAAGCGTCGCCAAAAAGCACCGTGCCGTGGCGGCCAAGCGAAGAGTTGTCGCCGCTGCGGCCCGACAAAGAGTCGCTGCGAAGCGACGCATCGCCGCTTGAACTTCCAGAAAATGAAAGAATAAACGGCTTTTTCTTCATCGTATCTTTCCTCACAAAGAAAAAGGCGTTTCAAAGGTTTGAAAAACGCAAAAAATGTCGTTAAACTTAAAAAGATCTATTCGAACACTCATAATGCATTCAAAGCGATCTCTGAGCGGCAAAATTTATTGGTTTGCATAATTTTTGAAAGCATCACAGTAGTTCAGTCTTTCCGCGAAAAAAATTCTTATCTCGCCAGAAAGTACGCTCCACGGACAAAATTCAGAAATCTCAAAACATCGCCGTAAAACGACTATTTTTTTTCTATGTACATGGGTCGATAAAAAAAATATTCAATTTTCAAGTCTTATACTCTGAAAAATCGAATTTGTCAAGAATATGACGCGAAAAATCATCTCAGAAAATCAAAATTCGAACTTTAGAACTTTTTCACAGTAAGAAAATTTAACTTGGTCCACAAATAGTCCTTCAAGAAGTTTAATATTCCCTAGTTTAAGAAAAAAAAACAACTCCCAGGTCAATAAATTTACAACATGGACTAGAAAGCATAGTGAAAAAAATCCCAAGCTTCCCAAAAAATTATGAATTAAAATTTAAATTAAAAAGAGGAAAATGTGAGTTACAAAGCAACACACGGGAAAAGAAATATGATTTTTTTTCCTTTTTCCTTCCAAAACGGTTCCTTTTTCAGGAGCAACAAAGGGGGAAACGTGAAACCAGAACAATGGCGGCCTCAAAGTTGCCTTTTCCTCCTTCAACTGATTTTGAAATTCGTTCTTTTCTTTGGAAAAAAAAAGGGTAGATGTATTTTTCAAAGTTGAAGAAGTTCAGACGGCTCCTGGGAAGTTATAAGGAACCAACCTTGAAAAATAAAGTCTGAACAAAATTTCTTGCAAGACTGGTAGAATTTTTAGTGGCCTCTATAGGGTTTTGAAGTTTTAGTGACCACTTTAGGGGTTAAAACTTAGTGGCCACTATAGAGCTCTAACTGGTCCTACTAGATGACTAAAACTACTAAAGTTACCGCTAATGAACGAAATAGTGGCCCCTATAGAGGTGGTTTTAATGGCCACCTTATTGCCCTCTTCAAGTAGTAGTTGGGGAGCCTCTATAGTGACTACTAAAAGTTTTCCCAGGAGTTTAAAAAGAATTTTTTCGAAAAATGGAATTTTCTACTTTTTTTTTAATAACTTCTATTTTCCTATGATATTAATCTTTCCCATAGAGCAATTATCAAACTCCTAAACAGAAGGGAAAAAAAATGTTTTCTAACTTTTCTCGAAACGACAGTCACACTTCGAAGAAAAACTGTAGTGGCCACTCAAAAGGTGACTCAAGCACCCCTTGGACAGGACACTAAAGCGGTCACTCAAATCACCACTATAGAAGCCATTTTTTGTCTCATAGTGGTCACTATAGTAGTCCCCTTTCTAGTGGCTACTATTCGACTACTATAGTGGCCACTATAACGTCAAAACCCTAAAGAGGCCACTAAAAGAGACAATTTTCGAAAAGTATACTTTGACCAGAACTGTATAAAGTGTCCTCAAAAACACCGAAAAAGTTAACTTTGGGAAAACGAAAAAAAAAAACGTCGACGTGCATATTTTATCGCTGCGAAACTCGTAAAGGGTGGGAAAATTGACAGTTTTTCGGTTTTCGAGAAGTATAGTGGACTCGTAGCTTGAAAAAAATAGGTTCAAAAAGTTCAAGCTTGATTGGACAGGAAAATATAAAAGTTTATTTTTAGGTTCGTTAGAGAATTTTCAAATGGGAATCTTGGGAGTTGATTGAAAATTAGCAATTGGCTATGAAAAAAGTCTGAGTCGAAAATTAAGGATTCTGAACTATTTTTGGATCTTCTGAAGAACTTTTTGGGACCTCACCATTTTGCTAAAATGAAGCTCAGTACAAAGAGTTTATTTGTAAAAATAATTTTACGAAAAATTGGCCGATTTTCAACGCAAAACTCCGTGATTTTGTTGAAAAAGGGCCTAAAATCGCAGAATTTTCTCAATTTTTAGCCTTTTTTCGAATAAAAATAAAATTTATAGGCTGAGTCTTTCAGAAAAGTTCATCTGGTACGTAAAAAGCCAACTTAAAAAAGTTTCGAAAAAACCTATGTCTCGTTTAAAAAAAACTTGGAAAACTACAGTAAACATCTCTTTTTTGTGCACTTCGCTCCGAGACCTGTAGTCTAAAGGTATACGGTACCCTCGTCAGAAAAAAGATGACAGCCTGGCGCGGAATAGGCTATAAAACTGATCTTGAGACTTCTTTTCCCATTTATAAAAAAATTTCTTCAAAAAAATTGAAAAAAAGCCAAACGACGCTCCGACATCTCAATTTGCAGCTCATTCATGACAGGTCCAGCTTTGAGAACCAAACAAGAACGATGGGTTCGATTTGAGGAACCAAAAAAGGGCCAAAATTAATTGCGGCTAATTTGTCATGCTCCAGGTCCCTGGGGCGAACCGCCGAAACCGCTTGTAGCCGCCAAAACGAGGACGATTTATATTTCTCGTTTCAAGGGAAGCTTATTTCTTGAAGAAAGTTATTTTAAATAGAATGTGAGTTAATTAAAAAAGAAAAATTCTCAGAAAATTTCGATCAAAGCCTTTTTTTCGAATAGTGTAGTTTTTTAATGTATTTTTAACTTCGATTAAAGTGAAACATGGGACCAAGAAGACTATTTATTTATACAATTCGCTTTTTTGTGAATTTTAAATCATTAATCTTTGAGAAAATAAGACCTTTCTGGCGTCATTTTATCGGCAAAATCGTTTCAAAAAGGTTTCGGAAAGAAGAAGGGCGGAAAATTTTCAGAAAAAGGTTTTTATAAAGCCGAAAAATGCCTAGTTTCTAAAAAAAAAATCCGCGCCTAGGAGAAAAGGTGCCCCATTTCGCACATTTCCTATGCCGTGTTCAAAGTAATTTCCGCGAAATGCAAAATACCCGTTAGAGAAAGGAAAAGATCACTAAATTTTGGAGAGTCAGAGATCATTTTGCATTTCGCGGAAATTACTTTGAACACGGCACTAGAAATGGTAACATGAAAGGTTAATATTATAGATTTCAAATTTCGAAAAAAAAATATAAAAAAGAATATCTTTCGTTTATTTCTAACAACCTTTCAACGAAACGAAAATGTGCTGATATTCGCAGAAAACCCAAAAAAGACGTCGAAACTCAAAGATCAAGATTAGCGAAGACGTGTCGAAAAGTCCGGTGGCCGAGAAAAGCAATCAAGAATAGTAGAAGGCAAAAATGGCCAAGGTTGCCTCCCAGGAGGCCGCCACCCTCAAAACGCATTTTTCGAAGAGGCCGGAAACACAATTGTTGTTTTGTGCGGTGCTTCCTATTTCCGAAAAAAAAAATGACATGATAATGGAGTTTTGAAGCAACTGGGAGTTTCGAAACTCGAAAACAAGGCGAAAATTCGGGTTTCAAAGGATAAAATTGAAGTTATCATTGATAAAAAGCTTCTACAATTGTGATCTCTATTCAAGATAATGCTTCGAACTTTCTTCAAAGTATTGGAAGAATTGAATCGAAAAAAAAATCAATCAATCATTCATTTTGTTGTTTCACACAAATGTAATTGACAAGGACAAGAATTTTTGAAAAAAGCAGAGAATTCGAAAAAAGGCTCATTTTTCCGGGAACATAGCGCATTTCAATAAACTTTCTTCCGAAAGAATTTCTACTACAAGAATGAAAATATTATTTATTGATATACTCGCTGAAAGTATGAAAAAAATTACTGGAAAAAAAGGGGAAAAAAATTTATTAAAATTAGAATTAAAAAAATCAAGCGCGAGCCGTGGAATCGCAATGGAGCAAACATGTCCCAGTATTTTTCCTTTTTTTTTCCTCTCCAAATTTTTTTGCTTATTTCAATAAAGTTCTTCAATTAATTGATATTTTTTTCAGATAGATGGTCAGCAGAAAACGCGAGTAAAGGAGGCGAGCCGAATCTTTTTGCAGGTATCAAGTTATTAACATATTGATTGTGAAATTTTTTATTTTCAGTAAAAAGGCCGGTCCAATTTTATCTGTTGATAGAGAGTTGACAAGAAGTGGTAAAGTCTCGATTTTCAAAATAGCGGATAACAAGTTTTTTCCGGGATTTTTTCTTTCTTTTTTTTGCAAAGATATGCTGCCATTTATGAAAGTTCATCGCGTTGTAACCTTTCGAAAAAATTGATTTCCTGATCCGTAAAAAAGGGATGTTTTTGACTTTTTATTGTAGATATGTATGTAAAAGCAAAGCAAGAAGAAAACGAAAAATTGGACTTTGAGAGTAGATCAGCGCTTTCCGAACCAATTGGGAGAATGATCGGCGTAGCCCCAAACGCCGTCGTAATATGGTCCTGAAATTTTTAATTTTTGATTCGGAACAAGTTTAAAAGTAGAATTTGATAGAAAATAGAGAGTTTTTTAATTTTACATCGAAAAAAGTCACTATTTGAGTGAATAAATCAAAAAGATTGGCAGTTAAAAAAATTCTTAAATTTTTTCATTCTTTTTTTCAGTCAATCCTGACTAATTTTTGATTCATAAACTCAAAAATTAGGATTTTCTGAAAAGTCCAAGCTTCACACGGAAATTTGGCTTTTTGACTTTTTGACCTCTGTGAGCCTCTTTTTCTTGGCAAAACTCCTTTGTTCCATTTTTGAGACAATGGTCTTGGTGGGCGGAATACCTACGTTGTTCCATTGTTTTGAAAGGAAAGAAAATTTTGAGATGTGGGGGAAAGAAATTTAAGAATACACAGGTTATCTGAATCGTTTGTGATCTGAAACTTGAAAGAAAAATTTTTTTCCAAAATAAGCTCAGAAAAGAAAAAAATGGAGAAAAACGCAAATTTTCCTGATTTTCTACTGGAATTCGAAGCAAAAAAACCTCTTCTAATTTCAAAAAAGTTGAAAATTCGAACCCTTTTTTGTGAAAAATTGAGGAAAAGAGCTAATTTTCATGGTCTTTCCCTTGAATTTGAAACAATTACGTTATTAAAACTTTGAAAAACTTCGTAAAATTGGAAAAATAAAACGAACCGTATCGTTCCTGTTGCAAAACTTCGAAATCAGTAGGTGCCGGAAGGCCAAATTTGTTCTTATGGAACGAAATTTCGTGATAATAATTTCGGTAAGCAGCGTGGGTGTACAGTGGAGGCAGGCCGCTGTTGTAGAACTTGTCTCTGAAAATAATTTTAAATAAAAAAATTCTGAATTTAACTGGTCAAGGAAGTTAATTAGTTTAAAGGCATTGGGGCAGTAAAAAATGGGGTTTCAGGTAAAAGCAGTATCTTGTATAGTTTTTCTTTGCGAATCGAATGGTGTACTCAAAAAAATTAAATATGTGACCACTTTAGAAGAAAAACGCGATTTTACTTTCCCGTCTTTATTTTTGAAAAAAGGATGGTACGATTTTATCTCAAGTCCGCAAATCTCCGGAGCCGTTATCTCAGAGTACCGTAATCTCAAGGCCCATAATCTCCGAAACCACTTATCTCCGAAAACAAAAAACTTCTATTTTCTTTCTCTTTCCCTTTTTCGCATTTTATTTTCACTTTTTTCTTGTGTTGTGCTCAGAATACAATATCCGATCGAAATTTTTCGCCGAACCCTAATTTATTCATAAAGTTTCTACTTTTAATGAGAAGCTGAACAATTTCAAGTTGAGTTAATTGGTAGTTCGAGTTTCACTCTTTTTTTCTTTGCTGTCAACATGAAAAAATAATCAGAGATACTGAAGGACAAGAAAAAATAGAAAGAAATGTCGATTTGAAAAATGGAAAACTATTTTCACTCAGTGGAAAAAATAAAAAAGTTTGAAAAACTAAAATATTTGGCTTTCGTACGCAATTTCGATCGGAGATGGTATTCTGAGCACAACGCAAGAAAAAAATAAAAATAAAATGCAAATCAGAGAAAGAAAATTGAAGTTTTTTGTTTTCGGAGATAAGTGGTTTCGGAGATTATGGGCCTTGAGATTACGGTGCTCTGAGATAACGCCTCCGGAGATTTGCGGACTTGAGATAAAATCGTACCATCGAAAAAAGCTTTGGATCGGTATGCAGACAAATGTTTACAGTAGCTGTGCACGCGATGTTGCGGACGTCTCATTAGACTCGCATTTTGTCAGAAATAACCGGGTATCTGCTTCAAATTAAGGGTTTCTTCTCTGAAAAAACATTTAGTCAAACAAAAAACACACACCAATAATAAAGAAAATACAAAATAATTCTATCCCAATCGAAACCTGTGTGAAATCATCATTTTTCACCAGAAAAGCATTTTTGCGATCAAAGTTTGCAAATTATTCATGAATAGAAAGCTTTTGTGACGAAAAGAACTTTGGTGACAACAGAAAAAATTGAAAATTGAAAGAAACGAAGAAAAAAGCGAAAATCCGGAAGATGACGAAGCCTGTTGTCCATAGAGCAACTTTACTGCAAAGTGCTCTTTTTGCGGGAACTCAAACTTTCCTCTTTCCGACTTTGAATTACTTTTTCTCCAAAACTAGGAGGTTTGGTACGTTTCCAAGTTCACCGTTCGATTCGCAATAAAAACTCTACAAAGTACTGCTTTGAACTAAAACACCGTTTTTTACTGCCCCTATGCCTTTAAGTTTAGGTTGAAAAATTCTTCAAATCCGGTCAGAATACTTCTGGATGTACCCGATGAAGATCCTGAATGTCTTAAGTTGCACAACTTCCTAGTTTTCAAGAAATAAGGGTTCAAAGACTTTGAGGAGACCTTTCTTAAAAAGTAGAAATTTTCGCAAATTTCAGGACCTTCATCTGGGTCACCAAAGGGTATTCTGGCCAATTTTCAGAAAATTTCCGAGTTAAAATGTTCTACAAAGTGTACCTGTAAAACCCGAAACTGTCGAAACCGCCGTTGGTCGGACCAATTCCGTGGGGTCCATAGCCATAATTATTGGTGAAATCGTTCCTTTTCACTCGAATTTTTACTGTAATTTATTTAGTTTTTTTCACCGGCTAGGAAATTTTTTTATTTTTTTGATTTTTTTAATTAAAGCTGATAAAAAAAGGCTTTTTTTGCACATTTTCTTCACATTTTCTCACATTTTTTTGGGGATTTTTTTCGAATTTATCGATCGAAATCATTGTTAAAATCTGTTTCGTTAATGATAATAGTTTGTAAAAAAATAAATACGCCAACTAAAAAAATCATCATTCAAAAGTTTGAATTTCCAGAAAATTTTTCTCGAAATGCACGTAAATTAAAAAAATTTCCTAGGTAGTGGAAATGTCCAAAATTGGAATTTTTTTCGTTAAAACATGTACGTTTAATTAACAATTTTTCAAGAAAAAAAGTTTTTTTAAATTTGTTTCTTGAAAGTTTTTTTCGCAGTGGTCATTATAGCGTACACGATTCCATATTTTTGAGCGATTTTGTCAATTTTTTTTTCTCATTTTCTCGTAAATAAAAAAAGTTCATCGCTTGCCAAGAAAAGTGAAAAAAATCAAAGCAGGTTTTTTTTCCTTGAAAATATATCCATTTTTTCCAATTTCGAAACGTTCGAGCGGTGAATTAAGCATTGAAATTTCAAGTTTAAGCCTAAAAATTGCTTAAAAACTAGTCTTAACAATATCTGCCTTGAAAATTTTCAAAGAACGGAGAAAAGAAAACGGAAATCACCTGAAAATAGCGCATTCGGCAACGGCAAATACAGCAAATACAGCTAATGTAGGATGCATTGAAATCAAAAAAAGTCCAAAAAGACGACCTCTCGTAGAAAAGAGAAAGGCAAGTGATAATGTTGTTGTGATATTTCGCTGTAATCACTGATGCCAAGGCAAGAAAAACGAGAATTTGCCGGTTTTCTTTACAAATGTGACATTTTGTGTGAATTTTTGGCTTGTCTCGGCTTGGCTATAACCAGATCTCGTAGGGTTCTGTTTTTCTGAGGTTCATTGACTAATGAAATTGTTAGATAATGCATTTTTCTGCTGAATATTTTTGAAAATCGTTTAAAAATTGAACTTATTGTGCGTCATAATTATGGACTCTTGTGCGTCTTAATTATTGACTCATCTTTTGGACCGCGAATTTTGGTAGTTTTTCTTGATTAATCGACTTTTTTTTAATGAAATTCATTGAAGTTAATTTTACCTAAATAAATAATCACCAATTCCAAGGCAAGAAAAACGAGAATTTGCCGGTTTTTTTTAAAGAATGTGACATTTTGTGTGAACTTTTGGCTTGTCTCGGCTTGGCTATAACCGGATCTTGTAGGGTTGCGTTTTTTCGAAGTATTTCAATTCAAAAAATTGATTTATATTGGCTTTCTTACTAAATAATTCTAAATATAAACAAAAATCGATTAAGAATTGAAAAAAAATGTCTTCTGTGCGTCATAATTATAGACCCATCACTTGGACCAGCGAATTTCGGTAGTTTTTCTCGATAAATCGACATTTTTTCCATAAAATTCATTGAAGTTAGTTACAATTCGAAGATATTTCAGATTTTCTACGGTTCAAGTTTCTTTTTTCAAAAATTTTCAATGAAAAACCAAACCATCTACAATGGCTTGAAGCACCTTCGATTCCAATTTTTCCATCGTAAAAAGAATTTACTTTTCCTTTATAATATTTATTTTTTTTTGTTCATAAAAAGTAGTACTGAAGATTATAAAAAGCAGTGCTGAGAAAATGGAGACGCCAGAGAAACGAGAATTTTCTGGCTTCTCTATATCTCACCAAGCCACCATTAACCTGTCGATCTCTCTTTTTTGGCTTTTCTTCACCTCGATATACACAATTATTACACAAATCTTTATTTTACGAGTTACATGAAAACTGAAAGTCAAAAGCATTCCAAAAAACAAATCCGTAAATCAAAACCAATAGAAAAACTCAAAGATCATCAAAATGAAATTACTTTTTGGGAGGATAAAAATGTGAAATGTGTAATGTATGGGGGGCTCCAAGAAGACAAAAAAACTGCATCTCGTTTTTTTTTGGGGAAAACGAGATGAGAAAAAAATCCTCAGGAGTGGGAATTTACAAGCTCGGACAAGAAAGTGAACATTAAGAAAGTTTGGTTTTGAAGTTTTGAGAAAAAAAAAAATCACTGAATCGTTCAAGAGTTGCGATCCCACCAGGGGCGATTTTTTCTAGGAATCTAAGGGATCGGCAGAGAAAACAACGGAAAAACACGGAAAAACACAGAAAAAATGAGTCAAGGCCAAAAAGCCAAGACTTTGTTCATTCCCAGACGAAAATTTAGAAAAAAATTGATTTTAGTTTGTTCACCGCCACTTTCGGTTCAAGACCATATTGGTGATTCTTCGAATTTTTGGTGAGGATTATGGTATTCAACAGTTTTGAAAGGCTAACCCGTTTTTTTGGGGAAACGGGAAAGCTGTTTCTCTAAACTCTCTTGTTTTTGCACACTATTTCTCTAATAGCGCCGAAGTTTTTTTCTCATCCCATTCTTGGGGGAAACGAGAAGCGAAAAAAATCCCGGGCTTTAAAAAATTTAAAAAGGACAAGAGAGTCATCGAAAAAATCTATTTTAGTTCATTCACCGCTACTTTCGTTTCAGGACCATATTGGTGATTCTTCGAATTTTTTGGTGAGGATTATGGTATTCAACAGTTTTGAAAGGCTAACCCGTTTTTGGGGGAAACGGGAAAGCTGCAAAACAACTAGATTTTCGAAAAGTTTCTCTGATCTCTCTTGTTTTTGCAAACTATTTCTCTAATAGCGCCGAAACCTTTTTCTCATCCCATTTTTGGGGGAAACGAGAAGCGAAAAAAATTCGGGGCTTTGAAAAAATTTAAAAAAAGGGCAAGAGAGCCATCCAAAAAATCTATTTTAGGGCAATCATTGCCATGTTCGGAGGACCACATTGGTGATTTTTCGATTTTTTTGCCAAGGATTACGGTATTTATAAAGTTTAAAAAGCTAACCAAGTCTTGGGGGAAACGGGAAAGCTGCGAAAAGGTTGAAAATTTCAAAAAGACTTCTCTCAAACTCTCTTGTTTTCGCAAACTATTTCTCTAAGAGCGCCAAAAAGCTTTTCTCTTCCCATTTTTGGGGGAAACGAGAAGCGAAAAAAATTTCGGGCTTGAAATTTTAAAAAAAATGGGCAAGAGAGTCATTTGAAAAGATCCTTTCCTCGAAGATTGCAGAATTTTGTGACATATAAGGGTTAAAAATTTCTTAATTGGTCATGATTTTTGAAAGTTCTCGACCTGCAGAAGGCTATCTTTACTTGAAGATTTTTCTCAATTTTTTAACGCTAACCCGTTTTTGGGGGAAACGGGAAAGCTGCAAAAAAATTCAATTTTCGAAAAGTTTTCTCTAAACTCTCTTGTTTTTGCACACTATTTCTCTAATAGCGCTGAAACTTTTTTCTCATCTCATTCTTGGGGGAAACGAGAAACGAAAAAAGTTCCGGGCTTTAAAAAATTTTGAAAAAACGAACAAGAGAGTGATCGAAAAAGTCTGTTAAAGATAAATTTCAAACCATTTCCTCGAAAAAATCATCGATTTTTGTGACAAGTTAGCGTTGAACTTTTCCTAAAAATCAACTTTTTCTAGTTTTCAAGAAAGGGAAGAACAGGGTAAGACACCTTTAGCGAATCGACATCGCAAAAAAATTAAAGCGAAAAGGAAAAATGGAAAAAAAAAACCAAAGGTGTTACGGTAGTTATTTAGTCCGCAATGAAAAAAGCTGCCTTCTCGAATATATTCCGAAATTTTCAAAATGTTCGCGAGTCTTATTTTCAACCTATTTTTGGGGGAAACAGGAAGCTAATAAAATCCGCGAAAAAAGGCTGACTTTTGAAGAATTTACTGATAATTTTTAAAAATGAACCCTTTGGTTTTTTTCGAAACACAGCTTTGAAAAACAGGTAATCCTGAGAAAAAAATGAGAATTTTATTGAAATTTTTTTTTTATTTTTTGATTTTTTTGCTTCAATAAAATTCTCAAGTGTGTGAAGCCCGCGGGAAGCACACTCGGCATCAGTGAGGAAATTTTTTGGCATTGAAAAGTCCAAAAAATGTCCTCGGACACCGTAAGACACGACCGCGAAACGCGATGTTGAATATAGCAAAAATGAAAAAAGGAAGAAAATTAGAGCAATAGAGGTGTACAGAACAATAAAAAAGGTATTAGCGGCTTAAGAAAAAAATGACTGTATATAAAATTGATCCAATCACCCATGGCTTATCAATAAAACGAAATAGTCTGCGAAATTAAGAGAGTTTAGAGAAACCAGCGGTGATTGGAGCAAAAAATTCGGGTTTCTAACACTACTCTAGCGAGGACTAAGTTATTGGACAGGAGAAATTTGGATTTTTTGTGATCTCAGAAAAAAAATTCAAGCTCCTCCTGGCAATAATGACACGTTTTCGAAGCCGATTTTTTTAAAGTTTTCGATTTTTACCGGGTTTTTGGACTCAGGAATGCGTTACAGAGGTTTAATTCTTAAAACTTGCGTGTGGGGGAAGAACCGGGAAGGATTTCATCGGGATAGGTTAAAAAAAACGTTTTTGAGGCAGAAAAATGAAAAAAATTTTGATGATGGAATAATGAGCGGAGAGCGATTTTGATGTTGACTTTTTTCGATCATACTCCATTAGCCAAGACAAGAACGTCTAACCGTCTGCACTCTCTTTATTTCTCCACGAAATCGCGCGTGAAAACGAGAGAGCGCAGGCTTTTAGATGTTCTTGCGGATTTCAGCTAGCCGAGTATAGATGACTGAAAAAATTTTCTCTAACCGACCTGCGCTCTCTTTTCTCTTCGCTAGAAAGCTTTGAAAATGAGAGAGCACAGACGGTCAGAATTTTTCAACTAGGAGACCGGCTCGAGAGCTCTGACCTGCGCCTTTAAAATTTTCAAAAAGTCATGGAGATTGGAAGAAACACCGCTCTGTGCCTTTAGGAACACTAGAACTTGACAAGAAGAGTGAGAAGGGAGAAGTTAGATGTGCAGGTCTCAGAAGTCGCGCCGAGTTAGATGTGCAGGTCACAGAAGTCGTCCCGAGTTTGATGTGCAGGTCTCAGCAGTCGCTCATATCGCTATCGGAATTGGTCTTCTTGACGACGGCTTCTTCATTAAACTCCTCATCTTCGCTGTCGTCGGGCAACGGCGACGGCATCCAGTCGTAGAGATCCTTCTCCTCGACCTCCTGATCTTCATCCGCCGCTCTCTGCTTTCTCTGCCACTCCATGACTCTGGCCACGTGTAGTCGGGTCTCTCGTCGTTGCCTCAGACGCTGAAGGTCGTCGGGCTTCAGGTCGGCCCAACGCTGCGGCAGGATCTTGAAGATGACAGAGCCGACGGAGAACTGAAATTCTTGTGTACTACATCCGCTAAACAGTCTGACTTTCTGCTTCCTCTTTTACCTCGCTGAGAAGGTCATAGATACGTGATAATATCTTCAGAAACTAGTATAAGGGGATTCTCGGTTTTGCAAATGATCTCTCCCTTTGGTCAGCACCCTCTCGTGTTCACGCACTACTTCTAAGTTTCTATGACCTAGCCATTGAAAAAGAAGGAAAACGGGGTGAATCTTTCTCTGACACTCAAGTGGTCTCTCAAAACTTTCTGAACTAGAAAATTCGGCAATTTCTTGTAGAGTGGTTCACTCACGTCATCTTTGAACGCCTTGGTCGCACTTGGAATGGCTCAAAGCGCGACCACCACGCTCTAAGCCATTCCAAATGCGGCCAGAATCGACGGATTTTCAGTTACAGTATAGTCCGTTTTTCGAGACTTGAAAGAGTGGGACCTGCGCACTCCTCATCTCTCGGTGACCCTCTCATGTTTACGTGCTCTTTCCATGTTTCTCTGACCTCGCTGTGAGGGAACAGAGAGACGCAGACACGCGAAAATTGTCATGTCGCGCTGGATGGACTTTAAAAAAGAGAAAAACACCAAAAGTTACCTCGAAATCGGTGTCCAGCGGGTTGTAGAAGGTGGAAACGCGCTCGACGAACCGCTCCAGGGGCAGGTAGAAGCTCCCCGGCCTTCCCGAGCCCAGCGACTGCACCTCGATGCCCACCGTCGAACAGTCTCTGAAGTAGGGCTTCTTCTCCGTCTCCTGCAAATATTTGCTCTTTCGTTTTTTTCTTCACTTTTTTTTCGAAGATCAAGTTCCACTCCCTACCGTACTGTCTAGAGTTCGAGTCAATATCTGTCTACGCTCACGCGAGAGCTCAAAGCTCACGCGACCGCGACGCGACACGCGTCGCGTCTCAAATGTCTTTCTATAGAGTGTTTACGTCTAGAAACGAATTGCTGGTTACATAGCGATCTTTAAGAGAACCAAAATCTTATAGAATGGATAAATACTAAGAAAATTGGAAGAGGATAGGAATTTAGAAATTAAATTTCTATAAATCGTTTTTTTTTTCTCCGTACATCAAGGGGCCTTAGGTCAATAGACTGTAAAAGCGGAAAACAGGTGCAAAAAAGGAGTGACTGCAAAATAGCCGCAAAAAGGGACTGTAAAGAGCCCTGCCTATGAACTAACAAGTCGAATTTTGAAAATAGGCAACTTTGGTATCAATCGATAGTAGAGATCAAGAGGATCAAGAAAAATTAGATCTACCAAATTTCTAACTTTTCATTTTGTCATTCAAATATTCAACAAACTTTTACAATATGAAACAATTTTTTTTGCTTCATAGTTACAAATTTTTGTTGAAATATTTTTTAAAAGAAGATGAGAAAAATTTCAAAAAAGTGAACTCACCATTTTCGAACGTTGGAAGGCGGTCAGCTGAGGCTCGATTCCATTGCAAATCCGGGACATTTCCTGAAGTTTTTTTCCATAAAAAAAACTATGAGGGTAAGAAAAAAGACGGGAACGTAGTTGAGGGCTAACTTGAGGCAAGCGGAGGTAATCTTATAAAAAAAATATTAGATTACTGCAAACTCGGACCTTGGTAACGGAGAAAGGACGTTTCTGAGCATTTCTAGGGATCAATTTAGTGACGTCAGCAGTTTTAAGTGGTCCCTCAAGTTTCGGACATTTTTCAACTTTTGTAGGTAACACTTGAGAGGGCTGAAGCCGCTAAAGGGATCACTAGAAATGCTCAAGTTTAGTTTTTTTTTTGTCAGTCTTCGCTCTGTAAAAATTAGACACCCTTTTTTTGAAAGAAACAGTTCATTCAAGGGCGATTTTATCTACTTCGAACACCCTAGCAAGATATTTCAAACAGACTGCTTTCCTTCAAATTGACCAAAAAACCAACATAGATGAAGTCGAAAAGGTCGTCGACGGTGATCTCCGACTTTTTGGTGACGACGTAGAGTTGGAGATGTTGAGAGCCGCTTTTCCTTCGTTTCTCGCACAGCAACTCCAGTACGGCCCTCGTCAGTATGCACTCGTTTTCGTTATCGATCATCATTCTGAAGAAAATCCTCTTTTTGGCTATAAATGTTGCGAAACCCTACAAGGAGGGTATTTTTACTTTCGCAATGAAGATTTCTTAAAATTTGAATACTTCTTGATCAACCAGATGAAGCTTCTGAAAGTCCTACCCTTCATAACCTCTTAATTTTCGAGAAAAGTAGGCCTGAAAGTGGAAAAAATCATCAATTAAGTCATAATGAGTCATTTTGAGACTTGGAGGCGTACTTTTCCGAAAACTGAAGAGTTTGGCAAGTTAAGTCTTTCAGAATCTTCGTCTGGTACTTCGAGAAGTATTCTAGACCATTTTCAGAAAATTATAGAACCTAAAGTAGGATTATTCTCCGTGTAGGGAGCGCGACGGTGAATGGACTAAGTTTAGGCTTGAATTTTTCTCTATTTGAAAAAATTCATCATTAATTTATGGAAAAAGTCTTGAATTTCCAAGAAAAATATAAAAAAATAAAAAGAAACTGACATGTAACGGCTGCAGTTGGGCGTCGACCGCATGACACTTTCGAGTGAGATCTGAACGGTTCCCTGAAGTTGGACGGCTTCCAGGTTCTGGGCCGCCTCGAGGATCGTCAACAGATGCCGGTAGTTGTTGTTGGGGTCCGGCATCACGTCGAGGGCCAGCTGAAAAGCGGGTTTTTCACATTTTTGTCTCAAAAAATATCTTATAAGAGAATAAGCTAGTGAATTTTCAATAAATCGGAGACTTTAGGGCAAGAATTTTGAATTTCTGGGAAGGTTTTTTGAAAATTTCTCTCTTTACTTAGTTTCTGGAAGAGTCACAGAAGGGCTTAAAGTTCGAGGATTTCGGTAGGAATCGATTCGAATCAATAAATTAAGCCTTTTTACAATGTTTTCTTAACTTTTTTATTCAAATCAGCTGTGAGTTCAAGCAAAATATTAAAAACAGTCCTTTTGAATTTATTATGTATCACTGACCCCTTCAAAACATCAATTTCCTTTCAAATTCCCCCACTTTTCAAGCAATGAAAGCTCAATGGAACGCGGCGCGGCTCGCGTCGCGGCCGATGTCTGCTTCTCCGCTCTCTCGGCGAGAGCGCGCGCCGGCAACCCCACCGACGCCGAGACTACCCAGTAGACTACAGTAAGAAGAGAAATCGGGGAGATTTGAATATTTTAGGGGGACTAGGAGAATAATTAAAGTTGGGACATGAAATATGGTGAGAAAAGAATGGAAACATACGCTGCGAATCTGGGAAAAAAGTCTCGTTCTTTGGAATTCCTGCAGCTTGTTGGTGAACCAGGTGTCGAATTTGGCGATGAACAAGTGGGCCGGATGGAGGGAACTGAACTCCACACTGAAATTTGGCTCTAAGGACTGTATTTTGATCGAAATGTTGTGCTAGAATGCTTCAAGAAGCGTGGAAACTTTTTACAAGTAGGTTGAAGCAAGGAGCCGTTTTTAGGGTTATTTTAAGAAATTTAAGACTTTTCCTTTATTTAAAAATCACATAAAGGCTCTGGAGAACTTCCTGAAACCTTTTAGGAAGGTTATGAGATTTTTGAAAGTTTGAAATTAATTTTGAATAGAAAATTTCCCAACCTTCGCAAGTGCTCATCAAAATCCCGTGTGCCGAGGCTCGTTTGTTCCATGTCCTGGAAGAAATATTGATTTTTCTCGAGTTCACATGGTTCTCCAGTTCATCTACTCTAAGTTTTTAGAATTTAAACGAAATTTTGACTCAGTTTGATACTAAACGCTACAGAATCCTTGCTTCAGCAATTTGAAGAAGTTTTTGAAAAAAATAATCCAAAAAAATAAGAAAAATTTTTCCGATATTATCTTTGAAACGTTTATAATTTCCTGGAGAGCTCAATTTTTCATCCAAATTATTAGAAAAGTGGATAGAAAACCTGCTTTTTTTTTCTTGGGTCATCATTTTTTTACCGGATGAATACAAACTATTTTTGAAATTTTTAGAAGTTCAAGTATAATTTTTTGCTTGAAACCCCGTTTAAATTATACTTTTACGCTCCGTAAACGTTTTTAGAATGTTCGTATCAAAATAAGAAATACGAGAAAAAAAAAATTGATCAATTCAGACTCACGTCGGGGTTTTTAATCAAGACGGTTATCCGTGAGTCTCCTTCGGCCACAATTGTCATCTGCAGTTCATTCTTCTCGTCTCTGTTTGATCTGAATCTTTTCATTAAGAATGAAGCCATGGCCAAGTGGCTAAGAAGTTTCCTGGTTGGTAAGAAGGTCACTGGTTCGACTCCCTTGTACATTAATGGATTCTTTTATCAAAACTGAGGTTTTTATGAGTTTTATTTTGATCCTGACCCGTTCAAGATGTTACAGAAGCTTCTGAGAACGTTTTTAAATCGTAGTCAAGTGGCTAAGATTTTTATCCACGCTAAAAAGGTCACTGGTTCGAACCCACTTCAACTTTCTGTAGAGTTCATAGGTACTTTAATTCAGAAAAAATTTCCCATTTATTCCAGTAGTAATTAACTCACCTAAATTCATTAAAAAGACTGTTGACAACGTTACTGAACCATGGATAAGTGGCTAAGAATTTTATTGTCACTGAAAAGGTCGCAGGTTCGATCCCACTTCAACTTTCTGAAGAGTTCATAGGTACTTTCATTCAGAAAAAGTTTTTCATGGGATCTAGGAGTGAGTAGTTCATTTATATTTGTTGAAAAGACCATTGAAAACGTTTTGAAGCAATAGCCAAGTGGCTAAGAATTTTATCTTCGCTAAAAAGGTCACACGTTCGACTCCAGGGTGGGTTTTTTTTGAGGCTCGTGGTTACTTTTTTTCAAAAAATAGTTTTTTATGAGTCTATTCGGAATGAAAAGATTATCAGTTGTCACAGAAGCTGCTGAGATTGTTTTAAAATCATAGCCGAGTGGCTAAGAAATTGTTTCTCACTGAAAAGGTCACAGATTCGACTCCTGCGTGGGTTTTTTTGAGGTTCGTGGAAAATTTTTCTCAAAAAAAGTTTTTCAAAAGTTCTATTTGCTGTAGAACGGCTATTAGTTGTTTCAGAAGCTTTTAAGACTGTTCTTGCCAAGTGGTTAAGGAATCTAATATCGCTCAAAAGATCATGAGATCGATCCCATCTCAAAAATTCCTTTGCCTTTTTCAATTCAATTTTTTTTTATTAAGGTGAACAGCGTCTTCTCGTCTATCTCTCCTGAATTCTTTTAAAAAAAGGAAAATAAAAATAAAATAAAAAAGACTTACATTACCGTAGCCGCATCGCTCTCGCTCATTCTCCCGCCCCTTCCCTCACATCGGCGTACCCTGAAACACGATATTTCTTCAGTTTAAGTCTGTAAAGTGCATTCTCGAGTTTACAGAACGGAGGAAAGTGCACGTCTGGGGCGATTTTTTGACGTTAGAGGTCAAAAAACAGGCTTTTCTGTCAAAAACATCGTGATTGATCGTCCTGAAAGCTTTCTAAGAAGCGTGGGAGATTTCTAGAAGTTTTTCTGAACTTTAAAAAGAGTTTAAAAGGTTTTTGAAACAGCTATCTGATCTCGTAAAGTTAAATTTCGTCGTAAAAAAGGCACTTTTTGGACTTTCTTCCAGTGAGTCTGATTCAAAAATAAATTTTTTTTTTCTTGCAAATGGTCTTGGAACGATCAGCGAAACAGTGTGGGAAATATAGAGCTTATAAATTTCAACTTTAATTTCAGAAAAATTTTTCGAAAAATCTGGTTTGATACGATTTATATAGAACAGCTCTGAAGTAAAGATTGGAAAATCAGGAAATTCGTAGATTGTCGTAAATTTTATTCATTTTACTAGCTTTCCTTAGCTTGATATGGAGTTCTTGGAATATAAAATCACAAAAATGAATAATAAAATTCGAAAAATGACAAAGACAGGAAAAAAAGGAACGAGGCGTGAATCTTGGGGCGATTATCGATTGGTCTTTTTTGTTTCGAATTTATTTTTTCTTAGTTTTCTAAGCATAGAAATTTTCAAGAATGATTTTTTAGTCAAATGAAAAATGAAAAGAAGAACTGAGATTTTGAAAAAATTTGAATTTTCGACTTCCTAGAAGATCAGAAGAGCCTTTAAAAAAAGATTTTTAATCAATTTTGGATTATATTATTTTTTTGATACCTTTATTTTTCCTAATTAAAGGTTTGAAAGTATACGAAGCAACTTGAAAATAAATTTTTTTGAAGCTTGGAAAAAAATAGAAATAAATTTCTCAAAGGGAATTATTTCCCTTGATCTCTAAAGACTGGTGAAGCCTTTCTAAAACTCACTAACTAAACTAAACTCTCCTATAAACTAATCCAGAAAGTAGCAAAAAAAAAGAAGAACGAGTAGAAGAATTTGGGCCTCTGAGACGAAGGCGCCGGAAAAGACGCCGCGTTACGGTAAGGGCAACGTGGGTGGTCTGGAGTCACATGAGGACTGTCTTGTCCGGAGTGATCGATCCGGCCACGCCTACTTCTTCTTCAAGAAAAAATTCGAAAAAAAATGAGGAGAAACTTTAGGAATCGCAGTGCAAGCCTTGCATGTAGCGGTTGGTCTTCCTGGATTTATTCCTGGATTTTTGAAAAAAAGACGATTTTAATGATGATTACAAGGTTCCTTGAAAAGTGGAGCTTTTGAGAACCTCGAAAAAAGAAATCATACAAAATTATTTTTTGGAATAGTCGCCGTAATGCAAGCGATGCATGTGGCGGTTGGTCTTCTTAGAATTCTTGGAAAAAGAAAATTCATAAAGTTGTTTCGAAACATACCAGTTCGAGCAAATCCTAGTTTTACCATTGGAACTTCAGTATAAAATGAAAAAATGATTTTTGAGTAAGAAAAATAGAAAAATTTTCAGGGATCATCGCCGTAGTGTGGCGAAGCCGTTGGCGATTAGTCTGGGACATTTTTTTTTTTGAATTTTTTTTAAAAGACGATTTGAAAGTTAAGTAGAGGTTTCCTATACTTGGAAAACTCGATTTCTTCTGAATCTTACGAACAAAATATTGCAAAATGAAAAAAATAAAGATATGCCCAGAAAAAAGACACGTGACGCGGCTCTTCAGGCGATTATCGATTGGCGTTTTCGATTTTCTATTTTTTTAGGGTCGAGATTTTTATTTTTTTAAATCCTATTGAAGTATAGACAAAGTTAAGTTTGAGAAACCCTTGAAGTTGAAAAATTCAATATTTCAGCTTTTTCCTGAAAAAAAGATAAAAAGTTTCAAAATGATCAAACATTTCAATTCGCTCAACTTTTTCGAAAAATCAACTTGATTTCATGGTTCTCATCCTACAAAAAAAATTTAGTGGTTAAAAAAATTATGAGACCAAATGATGGCCCTAATAAATTTGAAGATAATTTCATTTCGTGAATTTCGAAACGAATGGGGAAAATTACGGTAGCTTCACCTCAGCCGCATTTCTCGCTTGCTATTTTGAGCTTTTGGAGATTCAGAGAGCATGGAAAAAAATTTTAGACTCAAAGAAAGTTTAAATTTTATTGAAAAATAACTTTTAACCTTTATCGATCGTGATCGACTCGCCATTAAAAAAGTAAAGACAAGTGGAAAAAAGGAGAAAATACACAAGAAACTCGAAAAATAAACTTTCGAGAAACCTGTGGGTGTTAACCACATAGATACTGGGGAATATATAAAGTAAAAATATTCAAAATTATATAAAACAGCAGAAAAAAAGGAAGTTATAGTCATTAAAACTTAAAAAAATACTTTTTCTGGAGAGGCCGGAGCCCCCTTACGGTTTCAAGATACACTCAGAAACTACAGTGTCTCAAATAAAAAAATTTAGAGTAATTTTTTTATAAGAAAAACAAGTTTTTCTTGGCCGCCCAGTCTCCGACGGTTCTCGTCATAACCTACCGTAGTCGTTTGCTCGTGGGTGGTCCAGCATCTGCGCTCCATCGCACGCGGGAATTCAAACCCTCTATTTTGCTTTCCGCCTTTTTTTTCGAAATTGTGAACTTTTCTCTTTTTCATAGTTGTTTTTTTGCCATATTGGTCAGTTTTTTTCTGCATCTTTTTTGATTAAAAAAATAATCAGTAAATAATGGAAGTTAACAGGAAAGCTGAAAATTTTTGTTTGAGTTATATTAAAAAAATCGCAAAAAAAGGTTTTTTTGAAATTTCGTTTCTTTCGTTTTATAAAATTTTTGTAGTTTTATGTTTTTTTGTACAATATTTTTTTATATTTTTGAATGATAATTTCTGCATGATGTTTTTGCAGAAAAAAAGGAAATGGAACCAAAATGTTTCAAAAAAACCTTTTTTTATTTTTTTGTTTTTATTTTTATTTTTTTAGTCATTCCTCGATTGAATTTTTTCCCCTTCGTTACAGTTTTGCATGGAAATGATGAAAATTTCTTAATTTTTTTGAGTAGAGAATTGTTCCATGTGTGTTTTTACAACGTATATATTTTTTACTCTTTGTTGTTTCCAATGATTCTTTATTTATTTTTCTGAAACCAAATCAATTTTTTGAAGCAATACTTTTTTTCGATCCATTTTTTTCAGTTTTTTCATTTCGATGCTCGTTTTTCTTCAGTTTCTTCACGTTTCCGTTGATCTAATTTCATTATATTATCACTTTTCAATCAGAATTTTCTTTTACAGAAATGAGGCCGGTCAACGGCGAAATGTACGCCCAGTGGTTGGACCACAAAAAAGACTTCGGCTCTAGTAGATTAAGCAAAAATGCCGGGAAATCCAAGTTTCTGTGCTCCACTTTCGGTAGTCTCTCTCAAAAAACTTCTTTCTGTATGAATATTTTTATTTTTAGGAGAACAACTTCCGTTTGTGGTTCGAATGACTGGGAAACGGCTTCAAGTGGCCAATATTTCTGACGGATCTTTACTTTATTTTGCTCATTTGGATGGAAATATCGTCGATGTTGATTATTTGCCAACTGCAGGTGCTTCTGAAACGGAAAAAAAGATTTTTAAATTCTTTCTGAGAAGGTTCAGAAAGCTTCTTAACGAAAAAGGAAATTTTTTTCCCACTTTTTTTAAAAAAATTTCGTTGAAAAAAATCATTATTTTTCTAAAAAGACCGCAAGTTTTTTTGAAACTCTCTATCCATTTTTTTCAGTTTCTAACTTTCTTGAAAAGGAACTTTTTCCCCAGTGGTAATATTGTCAATGTGAATTACTTTTCCAACTTCAGGGGCTTTTTGACTAAAAAAGATTTGGAACTTTTAATATTTCAAGAAAAAGTTCATAAAGAGATTTCTTTCACAAAAATAGAATATTTTTCGCCTTTCTCGGTTTTTTTTTGATATGAAAAAAAATTTCCACGAAAGCCTTGAAAAGATGGTGAAAAATTGCCCCGAAAAGACCCTTTTAGATGAAAAAAAATTCTTTTTTTTTTCAGAGGGAAAATTCGGGCTTCTCGTTGGAATCGAAGAAGATATGGGTGAAGCTGGTGCGCGACATTCGATAAGCATAATTACCACGGGAACCGATGAAAAACAGAAAAAATTGGTTCCGATCGCCTCTATGAGTATTCCTTATCAGGTGGGGGAATTTTCCTGGAAAAATTCATAAAAAAAAAATTTTTTTTGAGCTTGCCTTAACGTCTAATAAGGAAGGTAATTTTATTTTTTTCGATTTTATTTTTGAAAATTGAATTTGCCCTTGTTGAGGGCTTTTTTTAAACTCAAACATTTTAATGAGCGCTTAAAGGCGCATAAACGATCTTCCTGTGGGTCTCGAACCGAAAAAACCAGTATTCATTGTAATTTTAGGTCATGTGCCTTTAAATTAGAACATGAAAAAAAAAATAACTGAACAAACTATATGAGGAGAAGTATCGTGAAAGTCACACTTATTGCAGATTACTGTTTTGAAAACGGTCCTGAGTGACGAAGACATGAAGAAAAGAAAGAATATTCGCCTAAATTCGAAGTTATCCCAATGGAATAATATTATTGTCGTTGGTAATCGATTTTTTCTAATCAAGGTGATTATTATTAAATTTTCCAGGTACGAAATGGTGCCATTGCTATTTAACGTCTTTAGCAGCTGTGGAAGGCGCAGACGAGGTTCCCATGCAAACTAAAAATAGCAAATGATATCTTGGGTTTTTTATAAATAATAAAAAAATTATTCGATTTTTTTCTCAGCAAATCTGGTCCAGAACGACTACATGATGTACCCGATGGATGAGGAACGGCACAAAAAAACTTCCGAGTTGGTTTTTTTCTTAAAAAAATATAATTTTTGATGTTTTTTTCAATTTTTAGGGCTCTGCTTTTAATAAGATCACTAAGAGATCTTTTTAAAAAAAAATAAATATATGTCTATTTTTTTAAACCTTGTTTAGCTTTTTGAAAAATTTTTGAAAAAGATATTTCATTGTTTATTTATTTTTTTGAACCTTCAGAGAAACTCTTGACAAACATGATACCTACCGAGAAGAGTTGAAAAGTTCATATTTCATGATTTTCTCAGATTTCCGAGAATTTTCTTCATAGAGTTCCGTAGTTTCTGTTTGAACAAAATGTTCAATTTCATACTTTTCCCGAATAGAGAAGAGATACAGTACCGTCAGAAACATTTCGGAAAAACTTCCTCGTATGAAGCTCAATCTTTCGGAATCTCTCTGAAATTGCATTTTTTTTCTGTCCGCGAACGGAAGTTTCAGCAGGGTGTTACGAATAACAATCATCACAAATTCAGAAAGTGTAGTCTGGGATTATATTTAAGAAGACTTGGAAGTTGGGGCATTTCCAAAAAAGATCTGCACTCATATCCTGCAAAGGGCCTCAGCAGAAACGTTTTTCGAGCTTAAAATAATTTATCGACTTCAGGAACGGCGGTCAGAGTAACGTCATTGGCTTTTTTAACACGTAGTCGGACGTTGGTTGTCGGTCTTTCGATGGGTGGAATGATTTTCGCCTCGCTGAACCCTTCGAATAAGCTGTAAGTTTGTGTGATTATTTTTTTTGGGGGAAAAAACCTCTTTTAATTTGAAGTATAACAGCTCACTCTTGAGGGAAAAAAATTCCGAATTTCAGAGCCGTTTTTGCAATTTTGTTTGATTCGATTTGACTTCTGTCCTTTCGGACTAAGCCCGAAAGAAAATATTGATATTTTTCTCATTTCCAGTGGTTTTTGAGGTGAAATATTAAGAAAGTGCAGAAAAAGTGTTTCGATTTTCAAAAAAATAGGACAAGACCATTTCGTTTCGTATTTCTCTATTCTGAATTTTTTTTTTCCGATTTTTTAGACTTTTTGGCTCGAATTTGATCATTTTAAAGCTGAAAAAGTTCATTTTTCCACATCCAGGGACTACGCGACAATGGTGCATGAGCAGCCGATTCGATTCGTCGCCCCAATGGAACCGGAAGACGATCCCGATAAGACCGAATGGCTTTTTGGTTGGATTCGAGTGAGAAATATACATTTTTTTCATTTTAAAAAAAGTGTCGTTTTAAGTCGAAAAAAATATCCTTTTTTTAAATTGAAAAAAACATCCAATTTTATTCGAAAAAAACGTCATTTTCATTCGAAAACCGTCCATTTTTTTATAAGAAAAAAACTTCTATTTTCAGTCGAAAAAAATATCCATTTTTTTATTCGAAAAAAACATCATTTCTGTTCTCAAATCGTCCATTTTTAGCCGAAAAACGTCAATTTTTTTGTCTAAAAAAATATCCGTTTTTATTCGCGAAACGTTCAATTTTTGGTCGGAAAACATCCATTTTTATTCGAAAAACGCTCATTTTTCAGCGCCTCCCCTCGTCATTCCATCTGCTTGGGCCTCTATGAAGCAGCTTTCCGGACCCCCGGATACCAGAATCTTCCTCTGGAGGAAAAGTTCGACAAGCCTCACTTCTCTCCGAAAATGGTGGTGGGTTTCCGGTTTCGAATTTTTTAGGAAAGATATTTTTACTTTGAAAAAACTGGTCTACCATGCACAAGCAAGGTCCAAAAATACCTTTAAAAAAAGAAGTTTCCAAAAGATTTTCCTAGCTCTAATGATGCTATTCAGATATTTTTTTGAAAAAAATTGACTAATTTCAGAATTAAAAATTTTTTTAGAGAAATTCGGTTTTTGACAGGTAGGTGCAAAAGTAATAGGTAAGGGTGAAAAAATTTATTCAAAATGACAAAAATCTGCATTTTTTTCATCTAGAATACTTTATGGTTCATGAAAAACTACGGGGGAAGTTCAAAAATACATAAAAATTAGTTTTTCAAATTGAACCTTGAAATTAAGCCTTGAAATGGCTATTCTAGCCTTTTCTCATGATTTTTTGAATGTTAAAGAACTTTTTCGAAGTGAGGAAATGTATAGAAAGAAGGATATTATAATGTTTTGAAGAAGAGATAAAAAGCCCATAGGAAGGTCCTTTTCTTGAAAATGTGAGGAAAAAAAGAGCTTCAAAGGAACTTTTGGTATTTAAAAAGGAGCTTTTAGAAGGCCTTCTCTAGCGTCTGTTCATGTCTAATTTTTGTTGAGGAGATTAAAATGTTTAGAAAAAAAATTAAATTGCATTGTTTTCTTGTGAGAGGAATAAAAATGTTCTTTTTTGAAAAGGGCAGAAAAAGGACAACGAAGATACTTTTCTGCCCCTTTTAGGAACTTGGGTGGAGCTTTTTCTTTATAAAGAAGTTAGCTAAGTATTGTTTTCCCTCTTTATTGAAAAAATTAAGGGTTTTAAAAAATTCCGAACAGAACGAAGTCAGTTTTATATAATCTCAGGCTCTTTCCATTCATTCAAAATTTCAAGATTCAAGAAATTTTCGATTTTCCAGCGATATACTATCTGTATTATGTTTTTTATTTCTGCAGAAAATTTTCAGATTTCAAAAAATTTGGTTTTACAGCATGAAATCAGCTATGGATCGGAATGGGTCTCGATGCGACCGATTGCTTGCCACCGTAATGTCGATGGAAACCCGCGAAGGGTCGGCTGCAGTTTTGAACCCAACGATTCTTCGTTGGTCAATGTCTCGTCGACCTCGGTCCTCAGCACTGTTTCCAATTTTGGTCGGTTTTTAGGGAATTCAAGTTGAATCTCGTTTTGTTAGTTTTCGACCCGAAACTCCGAAATTTTCCATATTTTTCTCATTTTAGGGCATCATCGGAACCGATCCCGCGCCTTTTTCACCTACAGCAGGTTCAATGAAAAAGTCAAGGACAGTTTGACGTTGGCGGTGAGTTTTTTCACACGGAAGAACCAGGTGCGAGAGAAAAGCGACATCGCGTGCGACACAGCTTTTTCCCCGCACCATGCTCGCGTTTTTCTCTCTTCAAAAAAATTTTTTTTTAATCTTTAAAAGTGTATCGCGCCATGGAAAAATGCGAAATCTTAGCAAGGAAATTGCGAGATCGCACCATGAAAAAAAAAATGCGATACCGTTCTGAAAAAAATGCGAAGGGAATGCGATATCGCGATAAGGAAGTGCGTTATCGCGCCAAGAAAAATGGCGATATCGCGCTGAGAAAAACGCGATATCGCGCCAGCGAAAATGCGATACCGACGCGGCAACAACGCAGCACCTTCGCGATGTCGTCAGTGTACCGCCCGCGGTATCGCTTTTATCTCGGCACTTATTCTCAATATAGTATCTATTGAATTTTTAATTTTTTTAAAAGGTAATTTTCAACTTTTCGTTTGACAGGGAGGCATCTTCGACGTGAACGCCTACTACTACAAGCGATTCCCGCCGAATCTTTCCCTGGACAGAACTCTTCTGAAACAATGTCCTTTTGTTTCTTGGATCCGTTCTGGTTTGAACGCCGCCAATGTCGAGGTCCTTCAGTCATAATACTTATTTTTTTTAAAATTTGTCTTGAAAAAACCCGAAAAAGCCATTTTTGAAGTCTCTAGGATGTCATTTTCAGGTTTATCAAATTGTTTATTTAATTTTAAAGTTCAATCCTCTTTTCTCAATATTCTTTTTCCATGTTTGAGCAACTCTATGAAGTACTATTTTTCAGGATTTCGCCGTTTTAACTGACGATTTGTGCGATATCGCCCAAATGAAATCCGCCATCAGCGACGCCGATCAGTTGTTCTACCCATCGGCTTTAGATGTAAATTGGAAAAAAATTTGAATAATCTATGATTTTTTTTTGCTTTGAAGTTTGATCGGGCATTCGTCGTGGAAAGCGGGATTCTCCGCCCGATGCATGTCACTAATCTTCCAACTCAGGTGAGGCTTTCGAAAATTATAAGATTAGAAAGTTCTGACTCTCAGAAAAGGTTGGAACGGAAAAATATTAAATCTTTCTCTGGAGAAAAAAATAATGATTCCAATGTCTAGAAAAGAATGAGATTCCAATAGTCTTTTCTATACCTTTTTCTTCACATAACTGGCTTTTTACACAAAAATAACAGAAAATGTTCGAAATAGACTTGATTTTTGATTTTTCAGCTTGACTCATTACAAATTTTTTTAGCCAAGTCTTGAACTTTTTATGGAACTTGGATAAATTTTCTTCCGAAGTTAAGAGAAAATCGCATGTTTTCGCGATGAATATGGCACTCGGGTTAAGAAAAGAACAGGTTTTATGGAAAGAAAGGTATATTCGAGGTTTTGGAAGCGCCATGAATCTAAAAAAAATTAGGTGTACGCCGCAGTGAACCCCGAGAAAAAGGGACCTTATTGGTGCACCCCGCATTCAATCTTGGTGGCGTGCACATCTGGGACAACTGGTCGAAAAAAAAGTCTTTTTTGAGCTACCGTAACAGCCTAGGATGAAACTGTAGGAAATGGTGTTATTGGGAAACAAACCAATTCAAAATCGTGTACTGAAAAAGTACCTTAATAGGCAGTTAAAGCTAAGGAGGGTGCACCCCTCGTTGCCCTGCGGGGTGCACCCCAACTTTTTTAGAGAATTCGACTATAGGCCGAACTCAAGACTTCGGAAGAGGAAAAAATTTCTTGCAATAGATTTTTTTTTTTCCGATTTTTGAAGCTTCAATGTTTGGAAAATATGTTGATTATGATTAAAAAGGCTCTATTTAAAGCTATTGAAGCTTCTCAATTCGAAAATCAGATCCATTTCAAGAAATCTTTGGGTTTTCTGAAGCAGGCGTTACTAAATACCTCAACAAAAATCAATGGAAGCTAAGGAAGACAGTGGACTTTCTAAATTTTTGAACTTCGGAAAAAAGTGGCAACCCAGGTCCTTGACCGGATCGTAAAGAACTTGGCCGACGTTCTGGTGGCGCCGACGTCGGCGGCGGAACTTCTCCGGTCTGCCGGACTGGTCCCAGCTTCGGTCAACCATTTGGATGCGTCTCCGACTGGGGAGCAGGTAGAATAACCAGAAAAAGCCCAAATCACCTGGATTTCAGGAACTGAACCCAAGTGAGAAGACGGTCCTGGTCGCCGTCCTTCACTACGGCCGCGTCGAAGCCCTGGTCAAACTATTGAAGTCGCCTTCGATAACGACGGAACGGAAAATGGACATCGTCAAGTGGGTCTGGAACGAGGCGTGCGCCTTTCGGAGCGTCATCAACGAAAGAAGTCGGGAATGAACGAAAAACCGCGAAAAAGGAGATCTTTCAGCGGTTTCGGTGTTCGCCGGCACCTCGACGGCCCTCTCGCCCCTCGCCTCGACCTCTTTGGTCCACGGAGTCCGACTCTTCACGGATATCGCCTACTTCCTGGCCTCGGCCAATGTTGATTCTCGCTTCGCCGGTGGGTTTTGTGAACTGGAAAGCTTTAAGCCTGAAAAGAGTTTATAAAAAAGTTTGATCGGTATATAGCCTCTTAAGATTTTTAATGCCCAATGCAATGACGTCATTCAAAAACACTCTGGGGGTGGCTCGCTCTCTGATTGGTTTATCGCACCTATAGGGGCGGAGCTTGAGCGACGACTTGACATTTAAAATCTGAACAAACTATAGTTCGTCCGACGCGACTTGACAGTTTTCGCGTGTCTGCGTCTCTCTGTTCCCTCACCGGCGAGGCCAGAAAAACATGAAAATAGCTTGTACACATGAGAGAGACGTCGAGAGATAAGGAGGGCGCAGAGAAGTCCCTTTTTATAGGAAAAACCATTTTCATTTAAAAAAGAAGAAAAATCGAGGGTATCACATTCTAAAGGTCCGAAAAAGTCAATAAAATCAATCTGAAGTGATCGGAAACGTTTTTGTAAAGCAGTGTACATAAACCTAATTAAATTAGGTTCTGTTTTCGACATAGGCCACAAAAAATGGTTTTTTTTTAATTTTTCAAGTATTCGTTTTACTCGTCTCGACGAAAAAACAACAAAAAATGGATGTCGATTTTTTCATATTCTTTAAATTCCAAACTTTGATTTTTGCGACAGTGGATTATTTTTAATCAGAAGGTTTTCAAGTTTTGGAAAAGTCAAGTATTTGAGATTTTGTGAATTCCTTACTAGGGAACGTTTCCCGCTATTTCAAGCTTTTGAAGTGTCTCAACTCAAAAACGGGGCCTATAAATTTTTTCTTTTTCTGCAATCTGTAGGTCCGAAAATACACATCAGCATAGTTTCATCGAAAGTTGAACCGGGTGGTGAAAACTCTTCCTTGATTAATAACGAAAATTGCAAGGATATTTTCGAAGACGAACTTTTCAGCCAAGTTCAAGCGTTACGAAATGGCCGTGAGGTGCATGAAATCGCACACGGAGCTCGTCCATCGCTTCGTTTCTGCTCATCTCGTTCCCCTGTCTGAACACGATGCTGAACGGATCGTCCAGGAACACCAGAAGAAACAAAGCGCCGCTCATAGAAATGGGTAATCCAAATTATACTTCTTGGCGAGAATTACTTTTGATCAGGACTTTCATGCATGGAAATACGGTTTCTGGGATAAGAGAGACCAACAGCGGCCTGTAGAGAAGCTAGAGAAGCTTGAAAGATTTTTTTTTCCTGGCTCCTGCTCACACCACCTGAGCTCTATCACATCCTCTTTTACTCAATTGAAAAAAAATTTTTTGCCTTCTTTGAAAATTGAACTCTTCAGGTTCGCATTTTGATGTGATCCCAATTCAATTTTGATCTTATTTTTGAAAAATCGCGAAAAAAGTCAACTAGTAAGGTTTCGCACTCCATGGGCAACTTTTGAGAAACTCCCTGCATTCTCGGACATTGATAGCGCGAACCGGACGCGAATCGGACATTTCGGGACATTTATAGTGATCCCTTTAGTAGCATCAGCACTCTTAAGTGATCCCTAGAAATTCTGAGAAACGTCCAGAGCACGTCAGGTATCCTTTACCGAACTCTGACTTTTTTTTTCTTCAGGAATTTTTGTTTGAACGTTTCACATAACCAGAACATTCAACTAAAATAGATTTTCAATCCAAGAAAAAAAAAATTCTCAGGAAAACCCTGCCAGTCGACTTTCTCCTCAAGAGGCTTCATGAAAAAACGCGTGGGATGCATTTTTGGATGCGAAAATCCCCTGACGAATGGTACCCGCCCCCACCTTTGGTTTTTTATCAAGAAAAAGAAAAATGGAAATAGTCATTCAGAATCTTCTTGAGCCAATCCTCAACTTTTCATTAGATGAAAGAACCAAAAGGGAACTTCTCGTCTATTTTGTCGCTGATTGGATCACGGCTTCGAGAACGGTAAGAGAGAAGGAGAAAATGAAATCCAAATTTTTTTGTAGAACGTTTTTCAAAAAGCTAAAAAAATTTTCTAGGAAGAATATTTTTTTGAAAAAAAGGCCTTCAAAAAAACTTATCTTATAAGTTTTCATAAGAAAAATGCTTTAATAGGAGGTAAAATTGTGTTGTAAAATGCAATTTCAGAAAAGGAATGATTTGAAAGTTGAGAAAAAAACCTCCTTTTGGATTAATAATAAGAAAACAATATTTTTCGCGCCTATTCGGTAGAGTTTCAAGTATCAGAAGACTTTTGGGAATTTTTTTATCACTTTATTCTCATGTTTTTGGATCTTTCTTAAAGCATTGTTATCGAAAAAAAGGGATGAAAGTTGAGTAAAAGCTGGGCTGGTTTCAGTAAAAATTTTGTGAAATATAATTTTCTTTCTTTTGAACCATATGGACTGTCGATATTAAAGTTTATAGGATAAATAGTTATACTTTTTCTCTCCATGAAAGGTTACTATGTACGCTTTTCATTAATTTTTTATCGAAAAAAAATGGCAAAAATAAAGTATAAGCCCACGTGTGCATGTGAAGTTTTCAATAAATTCGCTCGAACTGAAAAAATTTTGACAACTAGGGAATAACATCAATTTTCAACCTCAGATAACTTGAATTTAGGGATACTGGATAGTAGGGGCCTCAAAAAGGGTATGGCCAAGTCTGAGTAAAACCTGTTATTTTCAGTACCAAAAATCCTTGTCCGTAGAGGCTTTGGCCATAAAAGTCTTAGCGGTGATCAGCGACGGAATGCTCGGCGCCGACTTGGAAAAAGTCAAATATCTACTCTCTCAAGTCGATCTCGCGGTGAAGCGAGCTGAAGAAAAATCGTCGGTCGCTTCTCAAGCGGTTAGTTTTTCACTTCGAAGCTTTCGCTCCTCTACTAGTTTTTCGAAATTTTTATGGACAGTTGAGATTCATTATTTTCTTTAAAATGAGCTATTTTTCGAAAATCTGGGAAATCCGTTTCTCTTGTACAAAACGAATAAAGAAGTGACAAAATTCATTTTTTTTTCGGTCACATTTTTACTTCCTTCTTTCATTTTCTCTATGGTAAATAAATCGTGAATTCAAATTTCAAGATGTAAAAAACAAAGTTCATTATTTCATTTTTTAAAATTCGCTTTTGTAAGTAGAATGTTGATTTCCTGCTTTTTTTGGCTTCATTTTTCGAACTTTCTCATTTTTCCGACGTTTCTAATATCTTTTCATATTTTTTTCGTCTTCTTATCAAACCTAGGTTTTGGAAATGATTTTTCCGATTTTTTTGAATTTTTTTCCCCTAATAACTTTTTTTCAAACTATACAGTCCCCTTTTTACTTGAAAAATTTTTTTGGTCTCGTAAAAGAATTTTGTGATAATTTTTAATTGCTTCATTAGTCTTTGTCATTTTTTTGAACAGAAAATAGTTCATTTCAGAAGGAAAACCAACCCGTCGAATCGGACGACGAAATCCCCAAATCGGAACTGAAATTGAGCGATGAGGTCGTCGAGGATTTCTCCGACATTTTGGACAAAAAGCAGAAAATTCTTACGAATGGTTTTTTTAAAAATAATTTTGTGCTTGAATAGTTTTTTCTTGAGTTATACCTTCATAGGAAAAGTCAGAAAGGGTGGAAAAGGCTCTATAGAAATTTTCCCTTTTCGCACCCTTCTTGCGCCATTTCATCGGCTTTTATGTACAATTTTTGCTGCCTCTTCCTTTTTCCACCATTTCTTGAGTCTTTAAGATCCCAGAAAAAATGGAAGGCTCGAAAATGGAACCCTTTTTGCTGCCTTTAAGCGGCCTTTTTTGAGCCTTTTTTCTGCCTTTCTGAAGACTTTTTTGAGCCTTTTAGCGGCCATTGTTCACCATTCCGGGTATTTAGCACTTCGATGTTCTATTTCTTCTTATACTTGAGAGTCAAAAACTAGCGCTATTAAAGGATCATTGACAAACGCGAAAAAAAAGCATGGCGCGAGAAGTACTGTAGCTACCGGCGCATTGTTAGCTGCTTGAAATTCATGTCGTGTTCAAAGTAACTTCCGCGAACTGCAGAATTATCTTTGGCTCTCGGAAATTCAGTTATCTTTTTCTTTCTCTGACGACTGTTTTGGATTCTGTGGAATAACTGTGAACACGGTATTAAAAGATCAGGTACTATGACCTCGCCGGTGAGAGGAAAGAGGGCGCAGACACGTAAGACTTTTCGAGTTGTAGAAAATGACCCATAAGATTTTTTTTTCGAATTCTGAATATTCAGTTGTTTCGACGGTTGGCGACTCCCGAGACGACGAATATGAACGTCGCCGCCTGCTGTTCTTGTACAGCCAGCAGCGTTTTGCTGAAATTCGAAATGTAGGATTTTCCCTATAACTAGATTTCAAAGGCACATAGGCAGTAAAATCTCAGAAATTCCCATTTAGGGCAACAAATAGAACTTTCTATCCAATCAAAACGTTCCCTAGTTAGCGAATTCTGATAGGCGAATTTTTTTCTGTCCTTTTGCTTTCAAAAACAGGGCTTTATCAAGGTTTTCCACGACGACCAGAACAAGGACCGCGATGACGCCTTCCGACAACTCAGTCCTTATCTTTTCGCCGGACCTTCTAACAAAACGACGACTGTGGACCCCGAAGAAAAGGCCAAGGCTGACCAGAGGGCCGCGACTGTTCAAGCTCTCTTTGCGAGAGGTGAGGTTGGAAAGAGGGTACAAAATGGATAAAATCCAATTATTCATTTTGTTGCTTTAGTCATACAGTACCGCTCAAAAAGTCTATTAAGTTTTTGGTTTTTTTGGGGATAAATTTTTTTGAAATGCGATATCGATTCAAATTTTTTTCATAGTTTTTCTGAGAGAGACATACGTGTTCTGGCAAAATTTCAAGTTGCTAGCTCAAAGAATAATAATTTTTTTCGAGAAAAAAACGAATTTTTCGAAAAAAATCGAATTTTTTTGCTATTTTTCAATTAAAAAAATCATAGCTCAACAAAAATTTTTTTATCAACACAAAACATTGTTAAAACAATATTCGGGACCTAGTACTTGGTTGCGAAGCCCCTGGCGTCAATCACTGCCTGGCATCTTCTCTGCATAGAATTGAGCAAAGTGTCGATGGTAGACATGGGGATCTGATTCCATTCAGACAGCAGTTGAGCAAACTTCTCGTTGCAATTCTTGGCTCTTTTGTTGGCACAACGTCGCTCCAACTCTTCCCAGAGATGTTCGATCGGGTTCAGGTCCGGAGATTGACTTGGCCACCCCATGACATTGACCCGACGGCTCTTGAACCAGTCCTGAGTTTCAAAACCATACGAATTACTTGTCAATTTTTCTGACCTTGACGAACAGTGAAGTGTGCTTGGGATCGTTATCCTGTTGATAAACACTCCCACGGCCCATGGCTCTCAAGTGCGGCAACATCTGGTTCTGGAGAATGTCTTTGTAGACGTGCTTGTCCATGATGCCATTCACGCGATGAAGCGGTCCGATGCCACTTCCAGAGAAGGCGCCCCACACCATGCAAGAACCTCCACCATGTTTCACGGTGGGTAATTGGTATTTCGGATGATATCTGGACCCAATTGGTCTACGAACCCACTGAATTCCGTCACTCCCGAAGAGGAGGAACTTGCTTTCGTCGGACCACAGAATCTTGTTCCAGTCTCGACGGGTCCAGTTGAGATGCTCCTTCGCCCACTTCACCCTGGCGGCTCGATTCTTTTCAGAAATCAGCGGTTTCTTCACTGGACGTCTTCCCGTGATTCCAGCAGCATTCAGACGTCGTTTCACGGTCGAGACGGATGGCGGAGATGGCGAATTCAAGAAAACTTCCCGTCTGATCGCAGGGGCGGTGAGTCTTGGATTGGTTCTAGACGTCTTCAAAATGTTCCTATCGTCATTACGATCAGTGACACGTGGTCTTCCAGTGCGTTGGCTGTTAGTAGAGCCATCTTGAGCTTTCTGACGCTTTAGGAACTGAGAAATGCCCGCCTCTGTCACGCCGAACATTCCTGCCAACGTCATCATGGTCAGTCCATTTTGACGACCCACAACGATGGCTCTTTTGTCGTTATCAGTCAAATTCTTATTTCCAAAGGTTCTTCCCATGTCTGAAAACATGAAAAAAATCATATGGCAACATTATTACTCTTAAAAAATTTGATAAAAACAAATAAAAATATAAGCATAAAAAACAAAAAAAATTGAATTCAATAAAAAATGCCTAAAACGCGTCACAGTCATTGCGGACATGTCTTTGTATACCGTATATGTTTCAAAGTATATTTTACATTATCCCTGAAAGTTATATATAAATCGGATAAGTACTCGCTGAGATATCCCCAAAAAACCAAAACTTAATAGACTTTTGAGCGGTACTGTAGATGTAATCGACTAGACGTCAAACTAGAAGTCCAAACATGTAGTTGATCAAGTAGAAAGCATGGTCTTACGGCCATTCGCCTCGTTCTGCTACGTTTTAGTGGTCCTTATAGTAGTCGAATTAAAGGCTAAAGTTAGAGGCTTAAATTTAGGGGCCTCTTTAGAAGTTTTTTCAATGGCCAGCTTAGAGTCCTGTCCAAATAGTACTTGAGGTATCCCTTCAAACAACAAGTAGTACCCCTTCAAATCAAATCAAATAATTTATTTGGTTATTTGAGTCAGGTGTAATTGACAGGGCGCTTCGTGCTTTGAAATTTTCTGAAAATTCGTTCAAATACCGGGGTTCAATGGAAGATTCCACATATCGGGGCTACCTGGGGAAACTTCTTTTTCTTCTTTTTCTTAGGTCTGAAGTTTTGAAATCCTCCTTTTAAGAACAGAATGAGAAGTGTAACTAATAAACGACGACTTTGAATATTTACAAAATCAGAAGTTTTTTCCAGGTCACAATTTTCTTTCATAGCTTTAATGGATGTTTGGGCGATTTTGATTTCTGAAGAAATTTTTCAGAGAAGCTTATTAGAAAAACTTTGAATAAGTTCCGAGTTTTCGTTAGTTGAATTTACTGAATTGTGGTCCCTGAAATTTCATTATTGTTTTCAAGTTTTTCGCATTTTTATGGTGATTATCAAGTCGAAAAACGGATTTCAGAGACCAAGAACAAGGCGGCTGAACTACAGCGAATTGACGCAACCGGCATCTTCGCCAACTTCGGCTACGGAGGCGGGCTTGGCGGACTGCCAAAACACGGGCGGGCCAAGAAAAGAACGATTGTGGAAAGGTCTCCGTCCAAGGAAAAGAAAGAGAATGAGGCGATTTTACCGGTAATTTTCAGTGGTTGAACTAATCGAAAGGAGATTTTAGGCGGCGAAGAGAAAGTCGACTGGACTCTTTGGAAGCCCACAGGCTAAGTTAGTATTCATCCGAATAAGTTCTGAACAGGAATATTCTTGAAAACTTAGTTTTGTGAGGTTTTTTCGGTCTGAATTTGATCTCTGACACTCCAAAATTCAGTTCTCTTTCTCATTTTCTGACGATTATTTTGATGCTCTTGGAATCACTCTGAAAATGTCACTTTCCTGTTTCCAGAACCCTCCCAACCCCAACAAACGAGTCTCCAGTCACGGTCGACTCGATGGACGACGAAATCCACGCCGCGATTCAAACTCCCGCCCGTCATCTCCGACCGAGAACTTTCGTGCCCGACGGAGAATTCTCGCCGCCCATCGAAGCCATCCCCACCGTGACCAAAGCTCCGGCCAGCATCCTGAAGAAACCGAGAACCGGTTTTTCAACTTGATTCAAGGGTTTCTGATAACTTTAGTGTATACAGAAGCTTCCCCGTCACGTGGCCATATCCGATTTGTTGGACTTCCGAAGCTGTCAGACTCGCCCGAATCGCCAGTTGCGGTTGATCCCAAGGCTCCTGCTCCTCGTTTTGCGGTTGGTCGAGCTTTTCTGGGGGGAAGAAAAAGCGAGAACTTCGCAATTTTACAGTGGCCCCTCTATGGGTTAGAAAGGGAAACAGCACCTACAAGGCCCGAAAAGTGGTCCCTATAGGGGCTGAATCAGAGGGATCTCTATAGGGGTTTAGGATCTGACTTCTCAGCCGCTAAAGCTTAAGTGGTCCCTATAGGATCGTTTTATTTTATTCAAAAAAGGTTTTTTTTTCAGTTTTTTGTATGGAAATGCTTCTTCGCATAGAGCTCATAAAAATGATCGCCTAACATGTCCCCTATACAATCTTTAGTGGTCCCTATAGGGGTTGGTAAAGTGGTCCCTAGAAAGACCCCTCGAAGGGCCCCTAAGGTCGCCCCTATAGGGGCCACTCGTTGTCGCGAAACTGCAGTGGGAAATGAATAATTTTTCTGCAAAAAAAGAATTCTAAAATTATTAATGAAATAGAAAAAGTCTCCAGTAGTCTTCGCAGTATGTATGAGATGATGAAATGATGAAAAAAATTGGAAGTAAAATCAAAAAAACTGTATCTTTGTAAAAAGAAAGATTGAAAAAAAATTCAATTTTTTTGTTCATAAAGCGCTGTGAAGCAAGTTTTTTTAAAGATTTGCTTAAAGATTTTTAAAGATGAACAAAAATTTGCTCATGATTGAAGTCGTTGAAGCTTAAAGCTCATGTTATCAATTTTAATAAAAAATAATGTTGTAGATGGACTTGACTGACGAATCGGATGAAGAAATGGAATTTGACGGTCAAGTCTCCAGGAGCGATTTCCTGAAGAAACCAGTGGAACAGAAAGAGCCGGAGCAAGTTGACGTTGAAGATGAGTGCATCGAAATGGAGAAAACGTTCGAAAAAGCCGAAGACACTGGCTTCGAAGTCGCAGAAGACGTCACACCTGAAGATGTGACTCCGGAAGAAGCAGCTCAAGAAGACGTCACTCCTGAAAAATCGTCTCCAGAAGATGTCACTCCTGATTTAACGACTCCAGAAGTCGTCACTAACGAAGAGGCGGCTTCAGAAGACGTTACTCCTGAAGAGGTGGCTCCTGAAGACGTCACACCCGAAGGAGAGGCTTCAGAAGACGTCACTCCTGAAGAGGTGGCTCTAGAAGCTGTCAAAGAAGTTCTCGCACTAAATGAGCCTGAAGAGGCGAATGAGGAGCTCGAAAAGTCGATGGAAGTTCAATCTGATGCCGATGAGCCTGTTTTTGTCATCATCACTGAAGAAGGCGAGGATGAGATTTTGGACGTGAAGGTAGAAAGAGAAGAGGGACTGGAAAAATCGACAGAAGTCCAAGCGGAGGAGCCCGGAAAAGAAGAAGAAGAAGGTCCTCTCAATGCGACGTTCACCATTGAGAGAGCTGAGACACCAGTTGTAGAGCCGGAGGAACTGATGGTAGAGTTTGGTTTCAACTACTTCAAGCGTGAGGAAAATCTGAACATTCATGGTAGATCTGATGCTTTGGGTTATTGGAAAATATTGACTCAATTTATTTCTTTTTCTGAGAGGCTAGTGTTGATCTTAGTACATATGGACCACAGAAATGATTTTTTTTGTTTTCATCATCATCATCATTCATTTCATACGAAAAATAATACAGTTCAAGAGCCGAAAAGACCTCTTTTTTCCAGATTTTGGGCTATATTTTATTCTGTTAATTTGTTTTTGGAGTAGTTTTGATTTTCAGACCTAATTTGCTTTGATACATTTTTTTTATTAAGATCTTAGTTCCTTAGATTTTTTGCTATGACTTTGGTTCCAGTTTTAGACTTGAATGATTCGCTAATTATTAGATTTTCTTGAAACTTTTTGATTGAGAATTTTTTGTGGAAATGATCGTTTCGAGCCTTTCTTGAATCACAAAATAGGAAGAAATGTGTCGAATCGGAGAGTTATTTCAAGGTTTTGAGGCTCCATATCTGAAAGTCTAGGTTTGGTTTTTTTTTTTCAACCGAATCCATTTTGGCCTGACTAGGGAACGTTTTTTATCTATCGCGAGGAATTTTTATCTTGTTCTGGAACTAGAGTTGCTAAGGTACACTTCAGAAAAGTTTCATCAAATCAAAAGTACAACCGGTGCCTGAAAACGCTCCCTAGTGAATATTTTGAATTGTAAAAATTGGAATCCGAGAAACCAGAGCTTCTATAAAATATCGATTTTTGTAGTATGGCGTTTCGTTTGACGACGACGGTGTGGAGCGAAGTTTTGAGATTCAGGCAGATGAGAAGAAGGATCTTGAGGTTTTTCCCTGGAGATTCAATAATCAATCCTTCATCATTTTTAGTCTGGCCCAATCGGTTCGATGTTTGTCCGAGAAAAGTCGCCCGAGGCTCAAATCGAAGTAGAAGTGGAAGAGAAGAAGGCAAAGACTCCTTCCAGATCGTCTTCCCGACTTTCGGTTGGTGGAAATATGAAAATGTGAAGTTGATTTGCCCGAAATTGCGAAAAAAAAATCAGTCGCATGTGGAATGGACCGACGCGGCGCGGCTGCGGGGCGGTTATTTCCAAATTTCGCTAGACTTCAATTTGACTTGCGCCCGCTGGCATTGAAAATATTTAGTCCTTTTTATACGGCCTAAAAGTGCGGGACTTCTCTGCTCTCGACATCTCTCTCATGTTTACATGCTATTTCCCTGTTTCTCTGACCCCGCCGGAGAGAGAACAGAGAGACGCAGACACGCGAAAACTGTCAAGATGAACTATGTCGTTTACTAAAATTTCTAGGACAAATTTTAAACCTTTGCGCGAACTGCAGCACGATAGTTTTGAGCCATTCCAATTGCGACCGAGAGGTTTGAAGAAGCGCGCAGAAAAATTATAGGTAGCTGCTTTTAGACTGACCCTTTGAGTGCTGATTTGAAAAATAATGAATTTTTTAAACAAGGGAAAATTTTCGAAACTGATGAGTTCTCCTATGTTTCTCGAAAGGAGTTCAAAAAAGGGAGCCGCCCGGAAAAACCAAAAACGGAAAAAAAAAACCACTTTTTGTTCTCAGACTCGATCACGACAAGCGTCTGAAGAGCCGGTGGAGAAGCCGACCCCGAAGGCCCGTCGCTCGACTCGTGCCGCTTCTAAGGTCGCAACCCCCGCAGCCCCCGCCAGCTCCACCACGACCATCAGTCCCTCCCGTCAACGTGGAACGCCGCGAACTCGGCTCTTCAGCGAGCAGACCGTCCAAGTCGTCGACGATTCCGCTGCGTCGGCCAAACGGAAGACACGGTCGCAGAGCGTCACGGCGAACACTGCCGACGAAGCGACGGCTCCCAAACGCGGTCGCTACGATTGGAGATCCAAGCTTGAGGTGCTTTCTGAGACAGGAAGAAGTTCGAATAGATTGGAGTAAGAAAGTAGAACAAGTTTTTGAGATTTTCCATATTAGAAAGCTTTGTGAGATGGTTCAAAATTGAGAATGGTTTCAAATGGATATTTTTAAAATTTTTAAAACTTCGAAGCTTTTTGTCTCGGATACTTATAGAATGGATATTTTTTAAGCTTTTTCCAGACTCGGAAGGTTTTTTTGAGATTTTTTTCGAAAAGGAAAAATGATTTCAAAAAGATATTTTTCAAGCTTCCTGTTTTGAAAGCGTTTCGAGATGGCTTAGAATAGAGAATGATTTCAAATGCTTTTTTTCGAAATCGGAAGGTTTTTTTGAGATTTTTTGAAAATGAGAATTTTTTCTAATGGATATTATGGATATTTTTTTAAGCTCTTTGAAATTGATCAAAATTGTTTCTATTGGACATTTTTAAGTTTTTCCAAACTTGGAAGGTTTTTGAGAATGTTCGAAAATGAAGAAATAGCTTTAAACTTTTTTTTTTCGGAGTAGGAAAAAACTCAAAAAATTCCTGTTACAGTTCTATGTTCATGGAATATACTTTTTTTCTGAGAAGTTTATTGAAATTTGATTAATTTGACCCATTTTTTTATCTAATAAAAGCACTTGGTTGTTGCTAGAAATACTTACGAAGATCAATCTGACTTTGGTGAGTTTTTTTAACATTTTTTAACATCGTAAAAAAAATCTTTAATTTTGATGTCTTTCAGAAAGGACTGAAGGAGCTTGAAGAGAGCAGAAAAATGGAGAAGCCGGCCGAGGAAGCTGAAGTAACTCTGTTGACTGTTTCACTCGTCGAACTTCTTTTCTTCCAGGTCCAAGCGCCTGGAAGCACGACGAAACGTGGAACGAGAAGCCGAACGACCAGCAACAGTTCGACGGCCGACGTCCAAACTCCATCCAAAAGGACCCGCGCCACGACGAAAGCGGCCATGGAAACTCTGGTGGAAGTTGAAGATGTGGGTGTACAGTGCGCGTCATAAGTATAGCCCCCTCGTAATTTCCGAATTTTTCATACGTTAGAAATAAGTTAAGGATCATAGAAAAACTAACGAAAAAGTATTAGAATTCTAAAGTAGTCCAAGTTTTTATATTAAACTTGTTCTCTGACGAAACAATGAAGCTTTTTCCAGTCAGAGCCCACTTCAACCAGAAGAACCGCAAGAAGCCGAACGACTAGCACCAGCTCCACCGTGCCGACGTCGCCAAAGAGAGGACGTCCACCCAAAAACACAGAAGCCAAGGAGACGCCGAGCAGTGCCGCGAAAAAGACTCCCAGGAGTAGGACCAACAGCGTCAGCAGTACGACGACCAATGCGGAAACGCCCTCGAAACGCGGAAGACCGCCTAAAGTCGCGCTGGAGACGGTCGAGGAGGACGTCGAAGCGATGACTACGGTAATGTAATAGGGATGAGATGCTGGAGTGTTATTGAGGCCGGGAAAAGTAATAGTAACATAGTACTTTGACCCGGACCAAGACAAGAATAAAGCAATCGTGAAGGGATTGAGTCGAAAAAAGCGGATTTTGGGAGACCATCAAGTTTGACCCTCAGAGAACCAGTGAAAACGTTATAATCTGTTCTAGAGGTTTTCGTTACATAATGGAATAGTTTTGGAAAAAAAATCGGTTCGGATTTTTCTACGAATTCTCAGAAAATCTCTGAAGGCTTATGAAGGTTCGTCATAATTGCAACCCGCGCCAGATCCTATTTTTTGAGACATTAATTTTCAAAGCTCGTATAAATGACCGTCTTGTGGACGACTAGTCTCCACAAGGAAGTCATTTTACTTCGCGACTTGGAATTTTCTACAAAATGTCTTAAGAATATTTCAAAGTTTATATGAAGATCCATCGAAATCGCAACCCGCGCCAGCTTCTAGTTTTTGAGATAATTAATTTTGAAGTTCGAAAGGTTAGCCTTAAAACTTGTGTTTTGCAACTTTGGAAAATCATATCTCAAATACTAGAATTTTGCGCAGGTAGCAGAGCAAATTTTTAGATAATTCCGAACCGCAAAGTAAATTGGCCTTCCTTGTCGAAAGTGTCGAATTTTTGATGAACTTTCCAATGTTTTTTAGAAAGGAAAAGCCCGAAAGCTTGGATTTTCGTGTACTTTTTCGATGGTAGAAAGTTTGTGAAGCCATTTTCATCGAAAAAACGAAAAATTTTCAAAAACAAAAGGGAGTACTGTTTTGAGCAGCTTTGATGAGCCAATGAACACGTTTTTGCGGTTTGAAGCATGTTCCGTTTCCGATAATTTTTCCCCCCTTCGCCACACTTGAAGAAAGCTACAACCTTTCAGACTGCTTCGGCTAAACGCGCCCCCAGGAGCCGAACAGCGAGCACAAGCTCAACAGTAAATCCGGTGCCGGAAACGCCCAACACCCAGAAGCGACGAGGAAGACCGCCTAAAGCGACCCTGGAACCTATTACCGACAATAGCCCGGTTCGTTTCTGAGCGGTTTTATACTTCACAAGGGAGTATCTTTACTTTCCGATTGGGGATTTAATGAAAAGTCTTAACTTGCAAAAACTCCTAGTTTTCGAGAATCAGGGGCTCAAAACTCAAAAAAGCCAAATTTAACGGATTTTGCGGGTTCCCTTCGAATTTCCGGAGTTCTTTCCATTCATGGCTCCCCATACTTTTAAATTTAGAGTCTGTACTACCTCCTGAGTTGAAGAAGTGTTTTTATTTTTTGTCAGTACCCTGAAATTCAAAGTTGATTTCGAGAAAAGAGATTTTGAGATGCTCTCCTTGAGATCTGGTTTGTAGATGATCATCAGAAAGATTCAAATTGATAGGCCTAAAACTGGATCTTTCAAAACTAGAAGCTCAAGGTCCAGCGTGTAGATGATCATCATTTCAAAGTTTTGGTAATATGACACGTAGAATACGCATTTGAAGCTTCTGAAGCTTCAAGTATTTACTTAAGGGTTTCTTGAGGTGACCTCTTAAGAACAATTTTTGAAGCTTGACTCGGACAACTTCATGAGTCCAATTCCGTGACGATCTTGAAGAAATTGAAGTTAAGAACATGGTAGTGAGGGAAATCAGCTCTTTGGAAGTTTGAAATGGGAAATTCAAGTTTATTAGGCTTCTATCATTCAAATCCTGCCCCCTAAAATTCATAAAAAAATTGAAAAAAAGTTTAAATTTTTTTGACTTCCAAAAAGGTAGTCAACATATTTTTTTCTCATTTTTTTAAATTTTTCGTTTTTCTATACTTGCGTTTTTTCTACCACGTAGCTCCAAATTACACCATGAAATTATAAATTTTTTTCTCCGATGTCATTTTTTTGGAGACTTTGATTAATTATTATCGGTTTGAAATTTGAGCAAAAAATTGTAAATTTGGGGCTGTTTGGCTTGTCGAAAACCTTCTTGTTAGATTCTTCAATTGGGAAAAAAAGTATTATAAAACTTTTTCCAGCCGGCCTCGACTACTCGCCGAACTCGTCGCACTCCATCCAGGACGACCGACTGAACGCCTTCAATTCCTATATCTTGAGCTTATCGTTGTTTTTTTATTTCTTTGTTTCCTTCGAATATGTTGTGCCGGTCCTCCCCCGCTTCATTCGTTTTATCTTGGATTAACCTGTACTATAACATTTTGTTTAACGCGTTGTTGGAAGTCGCCTCACACCTCTTTCTACGGCACTTTCCAGGATTTTCTCGTTTGTGTGAATAAACATTTTTGAGTTAAAAGGGGTTTTTTTCTCGAAAAGATAGGCTTTTCCAGTAATGCTTTTGTGATGATGAAACTTGATTTGTGATAATATTAATGGTGTTTTTTGTCGCCTCGGGATTCCAAAAGGGTCCCTATAGGGGTTAGAAGAGAAGACAACTCCTGTAGGGGCCGAAAAAGAGGTCCCTCTAAGGTGGTCCCTACAGGGGTTCAGGGTCTGACCCCCGAGCCCCTAAAGCTCAAGTGGACCCTATAGGGGTCTTTCGATTTCATTCAAAAACTCTTATTTGTTCAGTTTTTCGTACAGAAACGCTTCTTCGCTTAAAATAACGACTAGCATACCCCCTATAGGGGCCACTAACTAAAACCATTATAAGGGCCACTTTTGCAAGCTTTAGTGGCCCCTTTAGGGACCACTCTGGAGCTCCCAAGATGGGAAACCACTAACTGAAACCCCTTTAGGAACCACTTTTGTAAGCTTCAGTGGCCCCTAAAGGGTTGGTGGAGTGCTTCATAGAGGACCCTCCAAGGGCCGCTCAGGTTGCCCCTATAGGGACCACTCTGGAGCTCCTAAGATGTGCAACCACGACTTGAAAAGCCTACACAAGGTCCCCAGGGCCAGTCCACTGATTATCAAGATAAGAACTCGGCTCGCTCAAGCGGTGCAAGGCGCAGGAAGAAAAAAAAGAAGTTCAAGTAGCCATGCTCATGCTCCAACCAGCACCTTGTCCATCTCCTGGCCGGGGTTCACCTCCATCTTCTGCGTCCTCCGTCCCGACGACGCAGGGGCGGCGGTCTTGGTGCCATGCAGCACCCGCGGTCCAGTGTGTGCCAGTCACCCACACTCCTCCTACGCTGCGTCACTGACCTCTCTCTTCTCGGCCGGACCTTCTCTCTCTCGCTCCCTCCCTCTGGACTCCCGAGGGACCTTTCAAAACGAGGAGATCAGCGCCCTTTTATTACCACCTTTCAAATGTTGCCGTTTTCCCTCGGATTTTGAGAGATTTCAAGCTTTAAATTTCTTCTTTTCCTGTATTTCTTCCGATTTGAGGTTTCTGAAGGCTTGAGAGTAGTCGCATGAGTTCCATTTTGAAGATTTTTGCTACTTTTAAAATTGAAAAACTGAAAATAGAGTAGTCTATCGCCATGATTTTTCCCTTTTTCTCTTGGATAAGATCGAATTTTGACAGATTTGAAGATTTTGATGGCTTTGAAACATTTAAAGAGCTCGGGATTTTGAAGGTTTCAACGTTTTTTGAAGTTTAAAGACTTGGAAAATGAACTTCTCTTCCATCTTTTTGAAGTTGAGATTTTTGAAAATACTTTTCGAGACTTATAATCTGAAAAATGAAGCTTCATTAGGCTTCGAATATTTTTCATGCCCGAGTTGAAAAATTTTATTCGACATTTCCGGTAGAAGAAGACCTTCTAGTTCAAAAACTCGGATTTTCTTCTTTTGTAAGTTTCTGAAGACTTTCATCTCATTTTATTGAAATGATCAACAAAAAATGAAAATGTTTTTGTTTTTTAAATTCCCAGAGAGCTCAAGAAGTATATATGCGTCTTCAAAAGCTTCAAAAAAAAACCTCAATCTCAAAAGAAAACTTAAAAATGATCCAATTTGAAAAAAAAAAATCATCTTTCCCAGCTTCTATCCAACCTTCTCCCAAGAGACTTTCTCTGCTTTTTTTCCGGGCTCCTCAGCGAAAATTTGCACTTTTCCGCGCAATGTTGCACTCCTAAGGCCGTTGTCGACCCTTCTTCCCTTTTTTGGGCCTCATTCGAATTTTCAAAGCTTCCAGTTACTCTTTACTCTTCCCAACTTTTTTTCATTGAACTAGAAAATAAAAATATTTATTTTATTGATTGGGACGCGAGTAATATTCAACCAGGACATTTGGACGTTTTAAGAGAAAAGGTAGGCGTCGCGATCGCAAGGGGCTGAAAAAGGAGATTTTTTAATTTTTTCTTGGAAAATGCTGATTCACGGCTGGCTTGAGCCATCGAAAAAATGGTCCTGACACGATAATGCGTGAGATAGTGCCTGAGTCACGGAGAGCGCAGACAGGCCACGCCCCCCTTACCGTCCCAAGCTAGCCGTGAATCAGCCACTGATTGCGCCCAACTTCTCGAATTTCTGGGCTTTTTTTGTATATGACGAGAGTAGAGACGGCCAGAAGAGACGGCAGTGAAAGAGGAATCCTTCATTTCTCTGGCGTCTCTCCGGGCGACCAGTGATCCCTTAATCTTAAAAAAAAAGTTACCAGAATACGACGTAGTGGCTTTCGCGGTCTCGACATTCTCCTGGAGGCATCTGAAATCCAAATTTTTTTCATTTCTTGTGGGATTTCTTCCCCGGCTCAAAGTAATTCCCGCAAAATTCGAAATTATCTCTGATCCTCCAAAGTTCAGTTGTCTTTTTCACTCTCTGACGGCTATTTTGAACTCCGCGGGATCTCTTTGAGCACGGCATGGGGTAGGAAGGAGCTTTGAACTCACCTGGAGAGAAGGGAAGTTCCAAGGATACCATCCGGAGACTTTGCGTAGGAATAGATAGGATTCGACTCGGTTATACGGCTTGACTTCCACGTTTCATTTGATTGTTATCTTTTTTTTGATGGAAGTTCATTTTTATCTCTCCAGAATGTATCAGATACACGTGGATTCTTTTTTATTCGGCCTTTTATTTTATATTTTTCAATAAGTTCTTCTTCCTACGCCTTGTACCGCTAGAGACGTCGCGCCGAGTTCTTGTCTTGATAATCAGTGGACTTTTTCTTGCACGACTGGCTCTAGTGATCTATCTGTTTTCATGTATGTCGCTTAGAGATTTTGAAGTCGTGGTTTCCCACTACCAAACTTTCTTAAACCCCTTAGTTGTGTCGAGGCGGGGGTTGAACTCGTGACCCTTTGGACCATAGACAAGCACACAACCTGTTGCGCTACGGCGTGCCGTTATACTTTCTAATACTGAAAGATTTTTACTTAACAAGTTTTTTTAAAAAAATCGAAATCGACGAAAAGTCCATTCACCATGAGACGAAAAAGAACAAGGAATTTTTTCTAACACTTTTTTTTTGCTAAATATGCTCATAAGATAGGTAATAAAGCCATCAGTAAATAAACTACACTTTTAAAAAGATACTTTGATCCAAATTGACCGAATTCAAGTTGTTCACACCCACCACTAGTCTCAATTTTTCAAATTTTCCGACGGATATTTTTTTAATTTTGCCCTTTGGACAGCTTTTCAGTCTGAAGCTAGCTTTGGCTTTGAATTCTCTTTTTTTTTTGAAAAGTCGTAATTTTCTTCTCATAACTGTCAATGAATAAACTTTACGGTTCAAGTTTTGAAAATTTTGCAAAAATTATATTCTAAATTTGCTTTTTTGGGGGTATTCCGCACTGTATAAATAGCTTGGATTCATACATTTCCAGAAAAGTTTTCAAAAATCACTATTTTCTTCCATTTTCGAAGTTCCCCAAGTTTCAGCATAAATTTGCGCTCTAGAAGACCTTCCAATATTGAAATGGTTTGAATTTAAAATTTTCTTACCAAAAATCGAAAATTTTTTGAACACCACGATGAATAGACTCTAGACCCGAGACTCTAGAACTTGATTCCGTTCTTTTGCAGTTTGTGTAACACTTCGGAGTGACCCCGGGTATCCGATCAAATATTTCTCCCCAATTTTTTTCATCTCGAGGAGCTTGCAAATGGAGGCGGCAAATAGAGAAGAAAAAATCACGTTTGTTTGGTCTTTTTATGGTTTTTACAGGTCTAGACCTTTTAGAACCGTTTTTTTTTTCTTTGACAGTTTGTGTTAGCTTTTCAAGCCGTAAAATTTTTACGGTTTCCTTATAGAGGGACCAAAAAATCATGGAAAAAAGATTTTAGAGCGGTTTTTAGAGCTTTGTCACGTCAAAAAGCTCAAACAGTCTGACCTGTCTGCGCCCTCTTTTCTCTCACCGGCGAGGTCAAAGGAATAATGTAAATAGCATGTGAAAACAGGAGAGTTTGGTATTTTTCCACATTTTCTCAAAAATTTTTAAGTACTGTATGAATTTTTGGATTTTTCGAAATTTTTCTGGTCGCGTTTGGAATGGATAACCGCTTAGCGATAGCGATAAAGCTCAAGTTTCATTTTTTGAAGTTCCGACGAAACCGTTTCTGGTCGGGTGCGGTTTTGAATTTGACCTCTTTGCAGCCGCTAGATATTTAGCCATTCTCAATTCACCAGGGAATGGTCTCAGCTCACAGTGGGACTTCTGAATGAGACCAATTTTACTAGATGTAGTTTTTCACGCTGATTCCAAATCTGCTTTCAAAAGTTGCCCAATACGTCTGTGAAAAAAGTTATGGACCCTCAAAAGTCGAAAATTCCAGTGTCTCCGATTGAGCTCATTTTTGGAGGGTATGTAGATCTTGTCCCTCTGGTCACGAAAAACAGTTGAACTTTTCTAAAAAAAAATTTCGCAGCCTAGATATGATCTTTCAAAGCCCCGCCGAACATAAGAGAATGCGCGCGCGGTGTGGTATTGCTAGCCGGCGACCGTCGAAGCAACGACAGCGAGGAGCAGTGGAAAGGCGGCGGACTGGGGAGCACGAGGTCATAGGTTCGGTCCCCGTCCTATGCAAAATTTTTTGCAATTTTTTCTTTTTTGGTTAATTTCGTCTAACTGCTCCTTTCTTGAGTTTTGAAGCGTAGAAACATGAGAAAACTTCTTTTTAAACCTTTATAAACATCTGGACTTATTTTTTTGTCGCAAAATTTTTTTACATGGATTTTTTTCGTGATTTTTCCATGTATGAGCATGGGTTGAAGTATGAAAATTTTTCGAAAAAAAAATTTTTTTGTTTTTGTTTCAAAAAGTTGCACTAGTCCAAGTAATAATGACTACGCTGTCAAAACTCACAGAATGGTTTTTTCAGACCTCACCGCGCAAATACGGATCTATGAGAATGAAAGAAAAGCAAGTTTTTTTCAGCTTTTTGCTGAAAAACTTTTGAAGAACTTCCTTCTAGTTACTAAATTTTACAACTAGAACTGTGATCTCCTAAATAAATTCTTTACCATGAGATTTTTGAAAGTTTACCTTCCAGTTAGACTTCGTCGAGAGTGAAATTTCAAAAAGAATTTATAAAAAAATAAATAAAACTTTTTAAAGCAATAATTTTTTTATTTTTCGAGCATTTTCCATGTATGAGCATGGGTTGAAGTATGAAAATTTTCGAAAAAAAATTTTTTTGTTTTTTGTTTTTTTGTTTTTTTGGTTCAAAAGTTGCACTAGTCCAAGTAATAATGACTACGCTGTCAAAACTCACAGAAAAAATTTTTTCACTTCCAAAAAGATCTTTTTTAGGTTCCAATGATTTATATGCCATGATTGCCTTTTGTCGAAAAAAAGTTTATTTCCACGACTGTCCCGAAATCAAAAAGAAAGATAATGCTCGAAAATAAAAATTATTGCTTTAAAAAGTTTTTATTTATTTTTTTATAAATTCTTTTGAAATTTCACTCTCGACGAAGTCTAACTGGAAGGTAAACTTTCAAAAAAATCTCATGGTAAAGAATTTATTTAGGAGATCACAGTTCTAGTTGTAAAATTTAGTAACTAGAAGGAAGTTCTTCAAAAGTTTTTCAGCAAAAAGCTGAAAAAAACTTGCTTTTCTTTCATTCTCATAGATCCGTATTTGCGCGGTGAGGTCTGAAAAAACCATTCTGTGAGTTTTGACAGTGTAGTCATTATTACTTGGACTAGTGCAACTTTTGAAACAAAAAAAAAACAAAAAAAAATTTTTCGAAAATTTTCATACTTCAACCCATGCTCATACATGGAAAATCACGAAAAAATCCATGAAAAAAATTTGCGACAAAAATAAGTCCAGATGTTTATAAAGGTTCAAAACGAAGTTTTCTCATGTTTCTACGCTTCAAAACTCAAGAAAGGAGCTCTTACACGAAGATTTCAAAAAAGGGAAAAATTGCAAAAACATTTTGAACAGGACGGGGACCGAACCTATGACCTCGTTATCCCCAGTCCGCCGCCTTTACACTGCTCCTCGCTGCCCTTGCTTCGACGGTCGCCGGCTAGCAATACCACACCGCGCGCGCATTCTCTTATGTTCGGCGGGGCTTTGAAAGATCATATCTAGGCTGCGAAATTTTTTTTAGAAAAGTTCAACTGTTTTTCGTGACCAGAGGGACAAGATCTACATACCCTCCAAAAATGAGCTCAATCGGAGACACTGGAATTTTCGACTTTTGAGGGTCCATAACTTTTTTCACAGACGTATTGGGCAACTTTTGAAAGCAGATTTGGAATCAGCGTGAAAAACTACATCTAGTAAAATTGATCTCATTCAGAAGTCCCACTGTGAGCTGAGACCATTCCCTGGTCAGGAGAATTTTTTTTCCTTATTGGAAACTCCATAGTGGTCCCTATAGGGCAGCCTTATGGACCCTTAGGGGGATGCCCACTTTATCAACCCCTTTAGGGACCACTTTTTCGGGCTTTTTTTCACCCTAATCTCTATAGGATCTCTCTAAAATTCCTATGTGAGTCGTTAAAAAAATTTCGTTTTATCAAGCTTATAATTATGCACAATTTTGAACTTATCGGATAAATTATAACCAATTTTTCATTTTTTTTTTTAAACTGTCTGACCTGTCTGCGCTCTCTTTTCCATCCCCGATGATGTCATAGGAGAGCAAATGGCTCCCCTAGCTGTAACGAATCCCCTGAAAAAAATTGCTCAAAACAAAATTTCCTCTGTCTTTTTTGTTGCATTTCTCTCGTTTCCCATCAAATTAATGGTCCATAAAACGTTTTCCGAGCCCTGATGAGCCACAAAAAAGGTCGTCCGGGATCAAAAAATGAGTAAAAAGTGAAAGTTTTTGTCCATTTGACGTTCTGCGTGGGCCAAAGTGTCCCAAAAATGGTTCGACGACCTTGGCCAACATTTCTTTTTTTTTTCTGTTCTTCTCGGCCCCACAGGACTGTTCGTTTCGCCGGTCGAATAACCAGCCAACGGCCTCGATATCTTCGGATCTCGGCATGGTTGGCTGCATTTTAGTTCATTTTTTGGGATGGATTTGGGATCGGTTCTGATTGTCAATCTCTCAATTTTTTTATTAAAATTAATTCAGTTTAATTCCTGAGGATAAAATTGATTATATGTTTGCTAAATCAACCTTCTTGAGGTTGAAAACCAAATTATTCTTGATTTTTTTAAAATTTTCAACTTTTCCTGAACCTATTTCAGTCTGTCACTTGCCCACGTATGCTTTGGATTCGATTTTTTTCTCGAATCGTTTGTTGATTTTATTTCCCTCTATTATCTATAAACCCACGAAAAAAAAAACTAAAAGTCCGCCAGTTTTCAGAAAATTTTCCTAAAAAATAATTTTTTGATTAGTCTCATTTTTTTTTCCAAAAAAAACCAATGCCCATGGCCGCATTTGGAATGGCTTGACGCAAAAAAGTTGCGCCCGACCTAAAACGACTTGCGCGCAAATGTATAGGAACTCCTGAGTCGGATTCTAGCCGCAACGCGACCGCGACGCTTTGAACCATTCCAAGTGCGGTCACAAGGTTTGAAGTTAGGTTTTCGAAGAAGGAAAGTGGATAGAAAGAACGGAATTTTCCGAATTTTCGAAGCCATTTTTGGTAGAATTGAATTTGAAATAAGGCCTTTCTTTTTAATTTTTGTCAAGGGTAAAAGTTTTTTTCGAAAAAAAGGGCTCTGTAAAGGATTTTTTTAGTTTTTTTGAGCTCGATTTCTGGGAAGAAAAAGTCTTTAATTAAACTTTTAAAAAGTCGGGCAAAGTCGGAAGGGTGGATAATGGCTTGAAAAAAAGGCCACAGAAAGGCAGCAAAAAGGCAGCATAATAAGTCCTTTTATCGAGCCTTTCCTTTTTTTTAAATTTTAAAGACTCAGAAAATGGTGGAAAAATGGAGAGGCAGCAAAGATGGTACATAAGAACCGATGAAATGGCGCAAAAAGGCAGCAAAACAGGATTTTTTTATGAAGCCTTTTTTTCCACCCTTTCCAACTTTGCCTTTGAAAAAAGTAAGAAATTTTAAAAAAAATGGTTTTTTTCTCTTTTTTATTCGTCTTTATCTCTGAATTTTCTGAAAAACACTTCATTTTGGAATAACCCCTCAAAACTTTTTAACCCTTCTTTGGAGATCTTGTCAGAACCTTCTGAGATTTGCGTTTTCCCAAGCTTCAAAATTCTCAAGTTTCTCTTATTTTTCCCATCTTTCTCTCTGGTCTCAGTACCTTTCGGTACCACCAGAAGCCACCAGAAGCTTTCTAAAAAGAACAAAACAAAATGCGAGAAAAGAACAACAACGAGAGTGGACAGGTGGGATTCGGAACGGCGATTTCGGCCGTGCTCCGTCGTGCCTGGTTCCGCCGCCACCCGCTAACTTCTTTTTTTCCTGTCCACTGGTTTTTCATTGGTCTTATCAGCTTTCACCGCAATTTTATCAATCTCACGTTCGTTTTTGAGCGTTTTTTTGGTGTCTAGACTTGACGAAACGACGTACTTCGCTCATTTTCTTTGGTAGTCTCTGTTATCTTCAACTTCTATTTCAGCAATCTCACGTTCTTTTGAGCCTTTTTGGTGTCTAGACCACTAAAAAAAAGAAGTTTGATTTTAAGGATTCGGAAAGGATCTTTCTACATTTTCAACATTTCAATGTGTTTTTTTTCCTTTTAAAAATTTCTTAATATTGCTTTTTGAAACTTTTTCCGCAGTCTGGAATAATTGCATGCCAAGTTATCATACAGCTTTCTAATATTTTGCATTTATAGGTCAAAAAAAAAATCATTTTTCCAGCTGCTAGAAAATTTCTTCTGAAAATTCGAAAGCCCTCGTTTCTAAAATGAATTTTTAATCGTTCGGAGTAGCTTCGCTCATATACATCACATACATTAGTAGATTTTTGAAATTTGAATGCAAAAAAAGTTCAATATTTTAGAAAATTTATAGGTCCGCTTTGAAAACTTGGAAAAAAAGTTCAATTATTTTTTTATTTTTTTGCTGAATTTTTTTATGGCAACCTTGTCGAGATTGGACAGAAAAAGCTGACATTTTTGTTAAAAAAAATTTTTTTATTGTTTCGACATTTTTGCAGTTTTTTCAAATGCTTATGAATATCAATCTCATCAGAGAAAAGTTGAGAAAAAATTGCCTTTTAGGGTTCACTTTTCTCAAAGTTTGTAGATGAATAAGTTATTCATCCTTTTTCTTTTATAAAAAAAAAGATTGGCGCCAAATTCAAACGGAACGGTTTTTCTTATCAATTTTCGGAAAGTGGTACCGGCCAGCGCCGCTGGCCGTCCTGCTCAAACAAACTTTCTTTTTTTGCTTTTCATCGAGAAAACTTCTGGCCCTTGACACGGTCGTTCACTCCGTTTTCTGTACACGTTTTTGGTCTTTTTCGGAAAATTTAACTCCAAAATGTTGAAATAAGGTACGTTTTAGGAGTTCTGTTGAGTTTTTGAAAGGGAAGTTTGTTTCTGGTTATTTCATACCCAAAAAAATTTAAATTTTTGGTCTATAATTTCAATTTTTCTGCAACCAAATTCGTATTTCGACCACGAATGAAATCAATTAACTATATAATAAATCACATGAATCTGTTTATTTTAAACAAAAATAGCCATTGAACTGAAACAAGAGCTTCCTATGAAGGACAAACACTAAAAAACCTATTTTTCTCAAAAAAAATCTTTTTTTCCAAGTGGTCGATGGTCCGAAAACTCGCGAGAAGCACGGGACTTTCGGGAAAGATTCGAAAGTTTTGAACGCGAGGCAAAAAAAAAATAATAGAAAAACAGCGGACCGTCATGTGCATCTCGATAAACAACCATCAGCTGATTCCTCAAAACTTTCCCCTTTCCTCATCATTCCGTGTATTTTGGCCTTTTGCTTGACTTTTCGGTCTATCTTCAATGTTTGGCACAATTTTATTTGGATATATTGATTATTGACTGAATAAATATCTTAAATAAGGATAAATAAGGATGTAATAAAAAAATAAATAAGGTTTAATTTTTTTCGGGATCAGCTTATAAAAATTAATTTTTTTGCTATAATTATATTCATAAAGTACTTATGAAAGGTTTTACTCAAAAAAATTCTAAAATTTAAGAATTGAAAAAAATCTATAATAAATATGACCTCTGCGCATCTTTTGCTCTGACGCCAAAAGTTTTGGCGCCATTTTTCAAATATTATCGGGAGATGATAAATTTAAACTCATTTTTCTTAATTAATAACCATAAAATTGTTCGATTTTTCTCATTTCATAAAGTTTACTGGTGTTTGAAATTAAAATTTCTCGTATTCATGAATTTTTTCTATTTTTTTCATAAAATCCAAGCTGAAAAGTTAAAAAAGTTTACTAATGGTTTTGAAAATGTTATTCTCTCGAAATTCAATTTCAAACTGTTGACAAACAGAAATCAATGTTGAATCAAGTTCCCATGATGTCTTTTTTTTTAATATTTTGATTCGATTCATTCGTGTTTATAAATTGCTCGAGTTTGCTCATTTTATCCTTTCTTCACGTGGAATAAGAAATTTTTGAGATAATCCATTTCTTCGTTGCGAAGAAGAAGAAGAATCGAAAATTCTGAAATTCGAAAAGATGCCGTCTTTCGCGCCGTTGTCGCACAAGGAGAAAGAATCCGCCGTGGCGATGCTTTGGGACGACGGGGAGTCTTTAGTTTCTTCCAAATCCAGAAGACGTTGGTACCATCCTGGGAATTTTTTCACGGTTCGTTTCGTGCGATAATCATGTATTACTTGTAATTTTCGAACCAAATTTTGGTGCTTTCTTCTTTTTGCTGTAGTTTTGAAGGCGATTATCTCTTCCCTTGGGTTTCGGATTGAAATTTACAAATAAAAAGCCGCATTTCTCTTTTCTTGTTGTAGTTGGGATAGCAAGTGTGTATTTCCCATTGGAAAAATGTTATTTCAGAATTTTTAAAACTTAATTCAGCAAAAAAAAATGACATTTTTTTCAGAAATTCTGTTATTTCACGTTAGCAATTCAATTATTACCATTTGAAATTTTTTTCAAACTTTGCCTTAAAAAAATCGAAATTTTTTTGAAGTTCTTTGGGCCATCTCGAATCATCTGATTTTGTGATTTTTCTGAAAAAAATGTTAATGAAAAACCATCATCAATTAAAGGCTGCCAATCATGGTCAGGAATTCCAAATAAGGCTCAGTAAAGTGGTCCCTAGAGGGGATCCTTCAAGGCCCCTCAAGGTTGCCCCTATAGGGACCACTCTGGAATTCAATAGTTCACTACAGAAGTTTTGAAGGAGCCTGCAAAAGTTGAAAAATTCTGAGGAAACATTCTCACAATAACTTTTCTCATCATTTTTCCTTGAGATTTTAGAGAATTTGCTTTTTTTTGTTAGTTTCTGGTACATTCAAATCCACTGAAACACCCGAAAAACGAGATTTTTTGCGTAAAGTGTGAGCACACTAAAAAAAAATTTCTCTGCTAAAATTTTTTCTGGTGCAAAAAGTCCGCCGTTCCATCAATCAAGCGATGTTGTAACAGTACGAGCGCGTGTGTTCACGCTCTCAAAAAAAAAAGAAAATCAGTTTGACCTTTTTGCAGTTTAAACAAGAGATTAATGTGTATAGTTTGCTCATAAATCTTCAAATAACATTGAAAACGACCTTTCGCCTTGAGACCTTGACGAAAATAGTTCGTGCGACTTCAAATACCTCAGAAAGGACTCCTTGACTATGATAAGTTTTTTGAAAACATTGTAATAAGATTTTCGGATATAACTTTTAGAGTGTAAAATCTGCTCAATAATCTAAAAATGACTCTGAAAACGGCTCTTCGCCTGGAGACCTTTATAGATTCAGTCTCTGATCCTTTAAATATACCAGGAATAAATTTTTGAACGGTTTTTTTGTATATATTTATTTGTTATATTATTTTTCAAAGACGAAAAAGTGTTTTTGTGAGCTGAAAAAAATCGTAATTTTTCCCAATACCTGAAAAACCTTGATGTTCTTCCAGTGAACTCCAGATGGGTCTTTATAGGGGCAACCTTAGGGCCCTCGAAGGGTGTCCTCTAGGGACCACTTTATTAACCCCTATAGGGGCCACTAAAGCTTGCAAAAGTGGTTTAGGGGTTTTATTTAGCGGCCCCTGAAGGAGACATGCTAGTTGATAATTTTTATGAGCTCTATCAGACCCTAAACTCCTATAGGGACCAACATGATTTTACCCCTATAGGGATAACTTTTTCGGCCCCTGTAGGGATTGTTTTCCTCCTAACCCCTATAGGAACTACTCTAAAATTCCTAAGACGAAACCTTTCTTCAGAGCTGAATAGGAACACTTATGTTTTTCAGAGCCACACCGCCCAGTACCTGAAATTGGCGGTCCTTCTGGTGGTCGCCTCGATTCATGTCGGCTACATGAACGATTTCCTGATCAAGTTCCGCGCCTTCGAACATCTCGCCAATGAGGTCCGTTTTCAATAGATTTCAGGAGAAAAATCAGATTTTTTCGAAGTTTTTTTCGGTTATGCTACTTTTTCAAGGGCTAAGTTCCCTTCTTAGACTTCCGATTTTGATTAAAGTTGCAAAATTTGGACTTGAATTTTTCTGTAACCTCAATTAAACCTTAACAGCCTTAATATAGCCTCAACCTTAATCTATAACCCAGAAAAAACTCGATGTTTACTGATCTTTCAGCTTTTGAAGTCATGGGATCGAGAAAAATCCCAGAAAATAAGACATTTTTTCTATTCTACGACTTTTTTCTATGGGAATTGGGCTAAACGCCAAATTTAGAACTTGAATTATCTTGAAATATATTTTTCCAAACATAGCTATGATAAAAATTTCCTTCGAGACGCTTTGAAGAGTTCTAGCAGACCTTTAGAAAATTTCGACTTCCCCCACTTTTGGCTGCTTTTAAGAGGGTTTCTCAACGGTTCTGATCCTTCGATTTTACGTCCCTTATTCGGCGCCGTAAGCTTCAAAGAAAAAAAAAGAAAGAAAAAAGAAAAGCGGTCCTCCTCGTAATGTCTTGCTGAAACGGCGACGATAATGGGATCGATTCATTTTTTTTTTCCTTCCCAAAGATTCTCATTCTGGTCTCTTTTGGACCTAATAGACCGGTTGGTTCAGTCGCGGCTCTGATTTTTGGGGTTTTTTGAAACCTTTCGAGCCATTTTTAGCTTAAAGCTTATTCAATTATCTACCTGATTTTTCGAAAACTTATCATATAAAATTTGGATTTTAACTGTTAATTCAAAGGTTCTCTTCTTGGCTATTTTTAGGCTTCGAAAAATCAAATTCACGCCACGTGATCGGAAACTAGACCTTCAGATCATTTCTTCGTTTCAAAAACCTTTTTTTCAATTATATCTTGAGTTTTTATTTTTAAATAAGCAAAAAAAGAAAAAAAGAACGGTGAATTTGAACAATAGCAGCTTTTTTTACCGATAGTTTTAGTGATGCCTAAGTTGATCGAAAACTAGACCTTGGCTACCGTAATTTTCTCGTTTTGAGACCATTTTATTCAATTTTTCATTATGATTTTCGGGAGAATGGTAAATTTGTAAAAAAAAACTTTAGAAATTGTCAATTTTCATAGAGCAGATGCATCTGTCTAAGCATCTGTCAAGTGGCCCCTTAAGCGCTCGTGTTTAGCCCAAAGCTCGTTTCACTGCAGAATTCTGAACATTTTCGGATGAATGTCGGCTAACTCTACCAAAAATCTGTCGAGGGTCCTCTTAAGTGCTCATTTTTAAAACTTTTTAGAAATATGGAGATTTTCAGAGGATAATCCTGCGAAATCTTTTTTTGATCCATGTGTCTTGAGATTCTTTTCACAATTTCCAAAAGAGGATGCTTGAATTTTTTCGTATTTTTTGTCCAAGTTGGTCGATATTATCTCTTGGACGACTTCTTGGCCACGATTGTCGGTTACTGTAGCTGTATTTTCGCTTCAGTACCATATTCTATCCTATTCGGAACTATCAAAGATCCAAAAAAAAAATACGGATGAAGTAGGAGTTTTCTGGCTACCGTATTCCTCGTTCTGTAAGAATTATATTATAGGTATCCTTTTAGGAAGAGATAATCGGTTGCTGTAGCTGTTTTTTTGCTTTAGGACCCTTTTCGAGTCTTCGTAAGCCTCTGGAATTTAATGGAACACATCTTACGAATTCGAATCTTCCCATCTAACTGAGTGTGAGATTCCTTAAGCTACCGTATTTTTCCCTGGTTTGACTATAGTTTAGTTAATTGTACTTTGAACAAGGTAACTGGTTACCTTTGGGATTTTTTTCCGACTTTGATGTGGGCGCCGATGAGTGGACCACGGCAAGCGTATCTTGAGTCTATAGTTTTTTTTTCTTCTGGTCGGGTTGGACCAAAATTTTAGTCACCACACAACTTTCCGCCCTTCTCTCTCATTCCAGAGTGCACTTTTCGAGGTTTCAATCGATTAGTGGGCGGTTGTGTGTATGTCCTCGGGGCAGCAGCGGTTTTTTTTCTTCTGCTTCGCTCCGTTCCGACGCTGGGTTCCACAGAACGAGAGAGAGAGCCGTTTTTTCTCGTCGTTTGTTGCGAGGAAAGCCTCATCCGCCGTATCACAGCACCGACCTCTCTGCAACCCACTTTTGCACTTTGTTCTTGGCCAGCCGTACTTTGGGCCTCACTTTTTCGAGCAGCCGACCATTTTTGAGCCGCTTTCTTGCTGAAAATAGACTTTGTCTCTGCGAAAAAGTACGGTAGAACTTTTTGGGATTCCATTTATTTTTTTCTGAAAATTTCAAAAATTCAATTACGATATATGAAAGGCATTCTGATTGCTCAAAATCATTTCCACACTACCTTTCTGAAATAAAAAGGACGTTTTCTCGAATTGCATCCCTGATGATCAAATTTAATTATACTTTGTATTTTCTGGATTTTCCCTAAAGCGAACCCTCTCTACTTGACGGAATGACCATTTTTGAGCAGTTTCTTGAGTTTTCAAATGGAAAGCTTTTCAACATTCAGTTGCTCTGGAGCTTCTTGATCTGCAAAGAAAGACGCTTTGTCCGTTTTTTACTCTTGTCCTTGAGCCTATATGAAGCGTTTTTTGTTATTTGTAGGCCTTTCTTCAGAGCATCAGTTTTAAATTTTTTCTTTTTTTGTCGGTTTTTGTATTATTTTTGGACTAAAAAGTCTTGAAAAGTTTGAAAAAGTCAAGGATTTTTTTTGAAACTCGGCTGACACGATCTTTGACATTATGTGTTCTAAATGAACTTGCAGATTTCTATTTTTGAAAAAAGGGAGCTTTTAGAGTCCCAATCAATGGCAAATAGTCACATTTTTGTGGCTATAGAACATTGAAAAATACTTCACGATCGCAAAAATTTTCATTTGAAGCTTATTTTTCTGGTCTTTGAAGTCTTATCAGCTTTTCCGATAAAGCATCGAATCGATTTTCTTTTTGGAGGCTGTTTCAAAGTCGAATTTAAAGCTTTGGGGATAATTTGAAGTTGTTTTGAAAGTTTCCAAGCCTTCGAAATGACCATCCAATCTAACCTCTGAGCTATTCCTTTTTTTATTTATTATTTGATAATCCATCTTTTTCATTTTTTTCCCATACATTACATCATAGACTTGTCAAAATTAATTTAGTGGAATTTTTCAATTTAAAACAATTTTTTAAAAAGACTTAAGGGTCCGAAAATTGACACTGAAAATTTTTGAGTATACAAAAACTTGAATGCATCACGAGAAAATCTATTTTCAACTTTGAAACTTTCCCTTTCGTCAAAAAAAAATGGTGATGTATTGAACTTTGAGACCTCAGCTTGGCACATGAGGTTGTGAAATGTTATTGAGTCACGAGAGATTTCAAAATTTCCCCCTTTTTCGTCCCTCTCAACACATTTTTCTGTTCGTTTTTCACACCTGTTAATTGAATATTTTCAGGTAGATGTGACGACGGTCGGTACGGACGCTAACCGCAAGGATATCGGCGCCGTTGCGTTCGTCATGCGCGCTCTGGTCGATGTTAGTCATTCCCTTTCAAAAAAACCGAAATTATTGAGAATCGCAGAAAATTCAGACTTGGAAGAGCATTTTTCACAAAACTTAAGATTTCGAAAGTGGCCCCTACAGGGGTAAAATCAAGGTGGTCCCTATATATGTGTAGGATCTGATCCCCAAGCTCCTAAATTTCAAGTGGACCCTAAAGGGGTTTTTCAATTTGATTCAAAAAGCGCTTATTTATTCAGGTTTTCCCATGGGAATGCTTCTTCGCCTAGAGTTCATAACAATTATCGACCAGCATTTTCCCTATAGGGACCACTTTTGCAAGCTTTAGTGACCCCTATAGGGGTTGGAAAGAACCCTAGAGGGGATCCTCCGAGGGCCCCAAAGGTTGTCCCTATAGGGACCACTCTGGAATTTCTAAGGAATATTGTAAATTTAAATGTTTTCTTGTGGAGGAACCCAAAAAATGAATATAGAGGGTTTGCTTCAGAATGAGAAAAAAATGAGTTATGTAGAAAATTGCCTTGTTCAAAGCCAACTATACCCTCCAAAAAATGGCTCGGAATCGAAATTTTCGAATTTTAGGAGCCCTAACTTTTTTCACAAGCCTCGAGGGCAGTTTTTGAGACCATATTTGGAATCAGCGTGAAAAACTGCATCTAGTGAACCTAGTCCTGTTCAGAAGTCTTAGTCAGAGTTTCAAATTCTGATGCGAAGTCCGAAAAAAGTAGTAACTTGTACTTCATGGACGAAAAATAGCAATCTGATCTACAATTTTTGGGAAGCATACATGTTTTTTCCGTCCCCCAGAACCTCTTTCTTTCGTTGACTAGAAAAAATTCAGCTGTTTGATTAAAAAAAAGAGTAGAAGAAGATTCCAAGTTGCCACTGTTGACGGAGGCTTTAAAAAGTCCGCTCTTCAAAAATGAAAAAAACTGGCAATTTGTAGTACAAGAAGAACCTGTGGATGAGCGTCGGGTCGATGTGCGCCTCGTTGGCCTCGACGGCGTTCTTCGTCTTGATGACCGACTACCACGCCAACTACAATCGCCTCGCCTTGGCTTTGGTCAGCATTTTGGGATTTTTGCATGAATTATGAAAATTGACGCTAAAGTCGTTAGAAGAAGGCTTGGATTTTGAGATTTTCAGAGAAATTCCTGAAGGAAAGGTATCACTACAGTCTAGCAAAAAGGTTCAAATTTTGATATTTTTGAACTGAAGTAGATCAAATTTAGGCTATAATAGAAATTGACACTAGATTTTGTAAGAGGGAAGTTTAAAATTTTAGTTTTTCAAAATATTAAGGATTGGCCTTTAAAAAAAGTCGAGTTTTGAGATTTTTGAAATGAAATGGATTGAAATCAGGCTTATCAAAATGAAAATTGACACTAAAAAAAGTTTATTTTTTTGAGATTTTTGAGAGAAATGATGCTGTTAAGAAGGAATATTGGCTATCAAAGTCGTCCTCCTGATTTTTTTAAATATCAATTTTGACGTTATTTTCCGAATGTCATACAAAAAATGACCATTTTGGCTTGTCAAAAATGACAAAATTTAACAAATATTCTAACTCTAACCGACCGCATTTTTCCAGGTCCGAGTATTTGACGTATTCGCGTTCATGTCGCTGCCGATGTTGTTGTTGGCCCGAGCTTTCATCGCTCGGACCCTGAACGCCTTGATGCCGTTGGCCCTCCGGTCGGCTGAACGTCTCATTAACCCCATCGACTTCATCAACGACCTCAGCTGCTCGATTGAGCCCCGCGAAAATGTTCGTTTTCGAAAAAATGGGTCGTATATTCGATGAAGAAGATTCAAATCGAAAATCTAATAAAAATGGCCGGTTTTTAGAGATTTTTAAAAGTACCTTCTTGAGTTTAAAAGTTACCATATGATAAAGACTGGCAAAGTCGGTGGATAATGGCCGCTGAAAGGCTCGAAAAAGGCACCAGAAAGGCTCGAAAAAGGCCCCAGAAAGGCAGCAAAAAGGCCGTAGAAAGGCTCGAAAAAGGCTCCAGAAAGGCTCCCTTTATCGCGCCTTTCATTTTCTCTAGAATTTTGAAGGTTCAAGAAATGGTGGAAAAAGGAAGAGGCAGCAAAGTTAGTGCATAAGAGCCGAAAAAATGGCTCAAAAAGGCAGCAAAATAGCCTTTATGAAGCCTTTTTCAACCTTTTCCGACTTGGCCTATGGAAAAAATGATTGAGGACCTCACGAATGACCAAAATCTTTCAGTTGCCCCTGTGCGCCGAGCTGATGCAGCGGTCCATCTTCCCGGTGAAGCTGATCGAGTACCTGATCATCCTGTGCGTGCTCACCGGCGCCTACATCGCCCTGGCCTACCTCATCGAGTGGTGCATCCGGCATTTCTTCCCCCCGACGTCCGCCGCCGAAGAGCTTCCCCCGCGAATCGCCGCCATCTCCCGCGACCTGAAGACGTCGCCGTCGCCGACCTCGTCGTCGCTCCTCGCTCAGCCTTGAGCCCTGTTTAATGTACATTTCACAACAAATGGCTTTATTTTGATTTTTCCTTGCAACTTGTACCATAGATAGTTCTATTTGAAAATGAGTTTTATCGGGTTTTGATGAGGATTCAGTGGCTCAATTAGAAAGAGAATTCGCGCTCCATGGATAAAAGGCTTTTTTTTACTCATCCTCGGACATTGGTAACGCGAAACGGACGTGTTTCTGAGTTATTCTAGGGATCACTTAAGTGTGCTGAGGCTACTAAAGTGGTCACTAGCAATGATCCGACACATCCGATTCGCGTTACCATGGTGTGAGTCAATCCCGGCCGTTTTTGAGCAATCCTAGGGATCCCTTAAGGGTTCTGAAGTTGCTAAAGTGGTCCCTAGAATCAAAAAAAGACGTTGGAGGTTTCTGAGAAGTTCTAGGGATCCCTTAAGAGTTCTGAGGCTACTGAAGTGGTCACTGGAAATGCCCCGAAACGTCCGATTCGCGTTACCAAGGTTCGAGTCGACTTAGGAACCTCCTTTTGCGCTCCATCGACAAGAATTGATTTCTCGAGTCATTCTCGGACCTTGGTAACGCGAACGGGATACGAATCGGACTTGTCGGCCATTTCTACTGACCGCTTTAGTAGCCTCAGCCCTCTTAAGTGATCCCTAGAATCGCCCAGAAACGTCCGGAGCACGTCCGTTTCGCGTTACCAATGTCCGAGGAGGAAAATTGTACGAAAAGAAGTACTTTTCCACTTGAGACCTCTGAAATCATCAAAACCCAAAAATTTACCTGTACCTATCCACCTGGGTCCACCTGTCCATCCCGTTCTTTCCCAGACGCTCTTCATCGAGTCGTCCCCAAAATTCCAGTCGTCTCCCTCAAACCATCGATTCTTTCCCCACCTTTTCCCCCAACCCAATGTAGTCTTTCGGTGCCGTCTTTTTGATCGATTCGATTCATATATTCACCATAAAAATAAGAGAGAATAGATCCGAAAAAGACGATTTCGCGCCGTCTCACATGCGCTGTAACGCTTTTGTCTTTGAAAATGGCTCTAAACGGCCTTTTCCTTGGCCGTTTTCTAGTCCGTTATCCCCCCCGTAAGACTTTCATTTTTTTTTTGTTAGGTTAATGATTTTTTTGGTGGGGATGTGTTGGTCCAAAAAATGAGAAAATGTCCATGGGGCAACCTTTCATCGTCCACAGTGGCTATTTTTTCTTTGATGAAAAAAAAAACAACACATCTCCACCAAAAGCCGACCCTAGGTGCGTGTTAGGACCGGCATCCGTAGGGTAAGTATAAGTTCCAAACTACCTCACAAATTTGCGACACTCGTACCACCATCATCATCAATCTCGGGCGGCGGCGGCCTCCTTTCGCCTATAAAAATTCCAAAAAAAAACTTTTTTCCATTCCAAAAAAGGCGAAAATAACCGTTGCCGCCGTCCGAACCCCTGGAAAGTGCTCTGCGGATCCGTTGTCCTTTTGACTCCAAGAGGTTCTTTTCTGTCCCCCCAATTTCTACAGTCTCTTTTGCCATAATGGCGAAAATAGCTTCTTTCAGCGAAATTTTGTGATCGATTCCTGTGGTTTTCTTGAAATTTTAAGCTCTTCATGTAATCGCGCTACCGTGCAATCCAACTACCTATATTTGTTACCTTATTTGAACTTTTTTTGGGCTTTTTTTTTCGATTTTACCTCAAATCGGCTGAACTTTTCGGAGTGTGTCTGACACGCGCCCACCACCTCGGCTTCTTAAGCCCCCAATTTCGAGGAACCTCTTGATTTGAACTCTGTTTTTGATTCTGGGCTCTTGGAGCCGGTTTTGGAAGGATGTGAGGTCTGGGAATGGGTTTTTTGAGCTTTTTCATGATAGATTTGCAGTCCTCACATCTTTTTGTGATATAGTCTGTTCACAGCTACCTTAGGAGGGAAAATTGCGGCTTTCGTGTCGGGATATGTATTGGATCGCTGGGCATGCGCCTTTAAATTTGTGAGCTTGCTGGAGGCTTTAGAGGCGAAAAAGCGGTCAAAAACGGCTTTTCGTCTCGAGACCTTTTTGAAACTGGTCTATAGGCCTCTGAAAACAAATCACAGCTTTCAAAAGTATGAAACGGTTTAAAGGCGCATGCCTAAATGGCCAAACGATGTCCTGAAACGAAAATCGTCTTTTTCCTCCCAGTTTAGCGGTGGATCGACTACACTCATCCTAGTTGTGTACACTTTCAAAAATCGTCTTTTTTTAATATACATAATTTTCTTACATACATGTGTGTTCTTTGTCTAAATGCGTGGTCCATTTTTTTTTCTGTTGTTCATTAATTTATTCATTTTCTCCCCCCATCGCTTTGCTTTTATAATGTGTGCTCGAGCATTGGTAATTGTAGCGGGGCGCGGCGGTTTTTTCCGAGTTACAGTAATCCTCCAGTTACGGTAACTCTCCGTCGGTCATGCGGCGAGCCCGACCTGTCACGCGTGTGTTTTCTTTTTTCGTGTACTGTTTTTTTTCGCGATTTTACAAAAATAAAGACGCGGTTTTGTTGATTTGCGATGGAGTTTTTATTGGTCGTTGCAAAAAAATGAATTACTTGGAAGGAGATTTGGAATTTCTAGGGGGAAAAATCGGTGGAGCGGAGGATGCTGGGAAGAAACAGCCGTCAGGTGAGATTTTTTTTTTCTGTAGAAAAAGTTAGAAAAAAAATATGAGTTTGGTTTTTAACTCTAAATCCAGTAGAAATCGCCCTTTTTTCAAAAAAAAAAATTCCTACCGTATACACTGCTCTTTTAGTGCGCTTCGCTTCGAGACCCAACCGACCATTTTTCCTGATTTTAAAGGCCTTTTAGTAAAAATTTATGGCTTTTTCTTAAAAAGGTGGTTTATAATAAGGTTTAAGAAATTTTTTTAGTAGGTAGGCCAGGAAAAGTTTGAGAATGAAGTGATAAAAAAAGCGGAAAAATATAACAAAGGAGAAATTTTTCGCGCTCCTTTTTTTAAAATACACCTAAAATTTAAAAAAATTGAAAATTTCAAGACTTTTCATGTTTTAAACAAAAAGAATTTTATTTTTTTAAACGATTTTAAACAAAAAAAAATGGCCGGAGAGATTCTAAAAAAATTTGGAAGTTCGTTGGAATTCCAAGTGCGCACTTCATTTTTTTTTTCTGAAAAAAAGTTTATTATCTGAAACAAGACCTGCAAAACTTCCTCCTTTTTGAGAAAAGACACCTCAAAGTCGAAGAAACCCCTCGAAATCCATAAAATAGCCTCTTTTTTAGGTTTTGAGACCTTATTTCTCAAAAACTAGGAAGTTTTGCAGGTTGAGACTTTTAGAATCTTCTTCTGGTACATCAAAAAGTGTTCTGGCCGATTTTCAGGAAATTCCCAACCGCTAAGGAAATGACCTCCCCAGTGAAACGAGTGAAAGCAGCAAAAAGCGAATTTCATTTTTTTCATTGATTTTTCTTCTTTTCAATCAATTTTTTTCATCATTTCGTTGATTTTTCGACAAACTCTCAAGCTTCCTTCTTTTTTTCTTGGAATGGGGATGATTCCAGTTGTTTGGGGCAGTCGAAAGAATAATTATTTGTCTCGTTCCGAACGTTTTGTCTGGTCTCTGTTGGCTAAAAACTCAGAAATCAATTTGGACATCATTTCTTGATAATTTGCCGCACCTTCTCGATTTTGTTTCAGTTTTGATATCGCTTATTGGAGTATTTTTTAGCCGGGTTGATTTTTTAAGGAATTATAAAAAACGTTTAGATTTTATGATTTTGTTCTGTCTAACTCCTTGAATCAAAAAAGGTTTTTCCACAAAATCAAAAATAGCTGTCAGAGAATGAAATAAGGTAACTGAAATTTGGAGAGTCAGAGATTATTTCGAAATTCTTCTTGATCTGAAATTCCTTTGGAAAGAAGGTTTTTTTCGTAAATGGAGCGAAAAAAATTGTTGATCTGTTTTTACTCTACTAAAAAAACGCCTTAAGAGCAAACTAAAAGTGATCACTTAAAAATTGTTGATCCAAGGGGTCACTGAAGTGTTATTTTTTGCGTCTAGCATTCTGGAAAGTTGAAACGGATTTTTTGTAATAGTATAATTTTTCGATTTTTGAAGTTTTTTTGAAAGACGGTTGTTTTTTTAGTCTGTTGTATAGTCAATGTTTCCCGACTTGAAAGGCAGAGAGGCGGGGCAAGAGGCGAGACGCGTAGCGTGTGCGTTCGCGGTCCTTGGCACGTGTTCAATTCAACCGCCATCGACTCTTTGAATAGCCCGTTTTTCGCTCTTTTCATTCCTTTTCCAATTATCCATTGATTATGTTCATGTGTGCATCGAAAAATAGTAGAAAACGTTGAAAAAGAGCGGTTGCCGAGCTTTTTAAATAGTCGGCGGCGATTGAATTGAACTCGTGCCAAGAACCGCGAACGCACACGCTACGCGTCCCGCCCCTTGCCCCGCCTCTTTCGCCTTTCAAGTCGGGAAAAATTGACTATAACATAAACTTACAATTTTTTTTATCGAAAAGGCGAAATTTCAAACAGTTTCCAACGGCGTGGCTGAGTGAGAAGTCACAAAAAGTCGGGCGCAGCTGTAGGATAAGTATCGATTTTGAAGTTAATTTTTTTAACACAATTTCGAGCTGTTTTAAGCCATCTCAGTGTGTAGAAATTCAGAAAAAAAACTACTTTTTTTCAAAAACGTCAAGCCCAAAATTATCGTAATACTGAGAAAGTCGCTGAAAGTCGGGCGCAACTATAGGGTCGGGACCAGAATTTAGATCGATTTTTGAGCCGCAAAAAGAGCATCCTGAGTCGTTTAGTATGTTGAAGAATAATTTAAATGAAATATATTTTTCTGATTTTTTTCAACTTTAAAGTCCATCGGAGCTTGGAGAGGAACTCTTTCAAGCGGCCACAGCAAATACTACCCATCGAAAAAGACAATCTGAACTTTTTAGTAGCTCCAGAGTGGTCCCTATAGAGGTTGATTCCCTCTAACCCCTATAGTGATCACTATGAAATTCCTAAGTTCTCCTTTGTGTTTCAAGATTTTTAATAAATCGAGTGAACTCAGCATTAAAAGTTTCGCACACTTTTCCGTTTTGACTATAAACTTGTAACTTGCACAAAAGAAAAAGTCGCTTGAGGTCGGGCGCAGTTCTAGGATTACCATCAAAAATTGAATTATAAGTCATTCCAATCATGTTTCGAGGTGTTAGAAAGCCAAATTTAGCTTGATAAAAGTTTTTTTTTTTTTTTTTGATTTTTTTCCTGACCTCACTTGAAACTTTTTTCTCCATCACATCACTCCGGCTTGTCCCAGAAACAACTCGATACACGTTTTAAGTGAATGAGAAAATCTCTCCTTTATTGACACGTTTTTTATTGTGCGCCAATTGAGCCGTTAATCTCGCCCCATGGGTAATCTCTGAATGTCCAAATGTCTCATAGTAGATTCGCGTAAGGAAATCCCAACTTTTTTCTAGTTGTGACGGGTAAATATTTTGCTCTAAAGAAGATTCTTTGCAGACGAAAATGTTGAATTGAAGCCTGATTGTTGGGATAATAGGCCAGACTGCCTTATCAAAGGTATTATGTAGCTTGGTTCTTAAGCTTCTTTTGCGATTTGAGGTTTTCGTGAAATTTCAAGTTTTAGCTTTAAATCTGCTCCATTTTTTTCATCAGCAGGAGACCAATTTTTCTCGTTCAAAAAAATATTTTTTTCAGCTGAATATTTGGAGTAAGATCTAGAATCTCAATTTACAAACCGAAAAAGACTGCGAATTTTTCAAATTTTTTTCCACTAAGGCCATTTTTTTCCGAATGCTCCAATAACAAGGCTTTCATTTTCCCGAAAGATTGGATTTTTTTGGAAATTTTGACAAAAATAAAATAAAAGCAAAACTCATATCTCTGTTTCGTAGAGATCAGGGTTTGAAATTTCTCGAACTTGATTTTTTAAAGTAAAATTCAGAAATTCAATAAATTGACCCTTTGACGCTGCTCGAAAGAGTCTGACCTGTCTGCGCTCTCTTATCTCTTACCTTGGTCATGGAAATAGTATGTGAAAATGAGAGAGTTGTCGAGAGAAAGAGGGCGCAGAGAAGTCGGACGGAAGCTATGGCAAATAAATTTAACTAAGAATACTTGTGAACACTATAGTGATCCCTATAGGGGCAAGTTTAGGGTCCCTTGGAGGGTCCCCTATAGGGACCACTTTACCAAGTTCTATAGTCCTACTGAAGCTTGCAAAAAGTGGTCCCTGTAGTGAACATGCTAGTCGACAGGGCTTCAGACCATGAACCCCTATAAGGAACTCTTGAATATTACCCCTATAGTAGTACTTTTGTCCCCTATAGGGGCTACTCTGGCGTTCCTTAGTATCGATTTATACCGGCATGAACACAGAAAACAATTTTTACCTTTGATTTATTTTCGTTCCACTGACCAACAATATTTTACCTCGGCAAAAAACTTGCGTTGCCCCTGGAGCGCAATTGAGTAAACGACCATGTAGACTTGACGTCAAGTCTGTCCCACAATTTTTTGGTCTTCAAATTTGTCAAACAAAGGATGAGGTGGCACTAAATTAGCTCCCGAAAATTGGACAAAAAAGGGACACGAAAGGACGAGATTTATTGCTTGAAATGAGCCCCGTGGACGCCAGAGTGGTCCCTAGAGCGGTGAGGAGAAAATGACTTCTAAAAGGTACAAGATAGTGGTCCCTATAGGGGTCTGATTACTAAGCCTCTAAAGCTCAAGTGGTCCCTAGAGGGGTTAGGAGAAGAAACGGCCCATGAAGGGTACCAAATAGTGATCCCTATAGGGGTCTGACCACTAAACTCCTGAAGCTCAAGTGGCCCCTATAGGGGTTTTCCTTTAAATTTGTTCGGATGGAAAGTCTTCTTCCCCTAGAGTTCATAATAACTAGCACAGCTTGAGAAAATGACCACTTTAGGGTTTTTAGTTAGTGGGAACTTTAGGGCTCCCCATAGTGAGAGGAAGGGTGGTCCCTGGAGAAGCATCTTCAAATCCCCTTAAGGTTGTCCCTCTAGGGACCTCTTGGGCGCTCCTAAGGATTTTTTTTTTGACAAAGAACGGAGATAGGTTAGACGTTATAGTCTGTTCAAATTTTGAATTTCAAGTCGTCGCTCAAGCTCCGCCCATAATAGTGCGATAAACCAATCAGAGAGCGAGCCATCCACAGAGTGTTTTTTAATGACGTCATTGCACTTGACATTTAAAATCTGAACAGACTCTGCAACCTTTTTCCACGAAAAATTCTATGATCCATTTTTTTTTTTTGCAAGCTGGCGCTGAATCGAGTCTGATCCACCAATCATTGACGTCTATATTTTTTTTCGAACGCACTTAAGCCATTCATGAAAAAACTATGGGCGCAAGTCATCATGTTTTACGACAAAAGAAACGGTAATCCCCGTGATAAACTCAGAGAAAAAAGGAATATCAGTAATCCCTATGATATCAAGCCCGTAGGACCTTCGTACCCATCAGAAAGCCCTTTATTCATCCGAAGCTCCTATATTTTTAGCCTCTTCTTTCCGAAAGCCACGCCCCCTCGAAAAATCTTCCCGACCGAAAATTCGTATCCATACACACACACGCAAACCTAACGTTATGGGTTTCTCGGAATCACGTCATTTTCTCGATTTTTCTTCACCCCGACCCAAAAATAGGCGATTTTCTCGATAGAACATGTCCCTTTGTTACCTTTTAAAGGCCTCCGCCCGCGAAAATGGCCTTTTTGAACTTTGTTGCAAGAAAAAAAAAACCTGGATGCGAACCGGAAGCTCAATTTTGATGCGGAAAAAAATTTGAAAAAGCTGAGCCAAGTTCTGATTTTTTTAAGACAGGAATCATTTCTTCTTCCTCGTTTTCTATGTGATAAGTTTGCTATCCAGATTTGAAAAAAACTAGTTTTTCCATCTCAGTTTTGATCACATATCGACTCCAAATAACTCAAATAAAAATTTCGGAAGACAGAAGCTTTTTCGACTTGACCTTTTTTGCTCCAACGATAAGACGGCTGTTTTTTCTCATTTCCTCCATTCAAGATTGAGCTTTGATATCCTCTTCTGATTGACAACCAAGTCTCAGAAAAAGAAAAAATGGTCTTTTGAAAGTTTTTGGAAAAAAAACATGGTCTGGAAACTCGATTTCGATGACTTCAGAACTAATTTTTTTTTTTTGAGAAAACGGCTCTTTTTGTTGATTTATTTTGCTCCAATGATAAGACGACTGCGAGGGAAACAACTTTTTTTATTTTTTTCATAATTTTTTCTGGAAAAGACAGGACCTAAAAACTTTTCGAACTAGTAAAATTTGCTTTTTGCGTCATGTTCGCTCCGAGGATAATTTAATTTGAATTTTTATTAAATTTTTCCGGTACTCAAGAACATGCTTTTTGAAGAATTTTTATCATTTTAATTTTTCTAGGAAAATTTTTGATTGTTTTCGATTTTTTTCAATTAAATTAAGTGATGAAAAGTTTTTTTCCTTCGACATTTATTAAAAAAACACTTCATTCTGCTTTTTTTCCGAGTTTTTTTCTAAAAAAACCATTTTTTTCAACTCCTCTTTTTGCTCCATGGACACAGCGGCCATTCCTTCTTTTCCCAAATTTTTGGAACTCAAAATGAAATATTTAACGTTTTTCTTTTGAAGTTTTTTTAGAGACAAGGTAAATTCTCCTTTTTGAAGAAAGGAAGTTTTTGCAAAAAGTTTTCAAGAATCGATAAGAAAGCCTCATCTTTTTCTTTGGTGACCCTCCTTGAAGGAATGAGAAAATGAACGGCCTCTTTGAATTATTCAGGTCTAAAATGCTCCAAAATTTTGAAATAGGCAATAAACTAAGTTAGCAAACTTTTTTGTTGAAACATTGAGGACATACAAAGGATAGTTGTGCGTCAGAGCGTCTTTTTATGGGTGTGTTAGGTGTGCGTCAGAGCGTCTTTTTGAGGCGTCTCTAGTAGGTGAAAACTGTAGGAAATTTTAGTGAAATCAAGGTAGAATTTTTCATTTGGGAAGATCTTTTATTTCGTGCGCCAGAGCGTCTTTCAGAGCTTTTCGAGAAGTTTGTGTGTAGTGCGTCAGTGCGTCTTTTTATCATTTGAAAGTAAATTTGAACGATTTCGTGTATTGAAATTATCAAAGACGTTTTAAACTTTTTCTATTTATTTGAAGAAAAGCAGGAAGTTTGTTTATTCAAACCCCTCCTAATGAAAAACTATGACTAAAACTACAATTCTTTGTTTTTTTCTCATGGGGTGGGGGCGTTGGAAAAGTTCCAGAAAAAAATTGCCTTTTTAAAGCGAAAAAAACTTCGTTTTTTTATAGCTTCTCCTTTTGATTAGTTTTTTTGTTCGACGTTATTTTTTTCAAAAGGACATTTCAGTTGTAGTTTTTAAAGGTCGTGAATTTTTAATTTTTGGGACAAAAATTAAACTTTTTCGGCGGAAAAAGATTTTTTTAAAGTCTAACGGATTTAAAAAAACATTTTTTTCTGCAGCCAAAAACTTTGAATTTCTATTTCAGCTCGAAAAAAAGCAAGCCTAAAAACATTTTTCATTATAAATTTCATAATGAAAAATCCTATTGAGAAGATATTTTTTTATAATTTTTCATTGCGAACCGAACAGGCCGATTTTTGTCGTATCTATAAACTCCGCAAGACTGGAAAAAGGGTCTTGTAGCGAATTCTACAGTACCTGACGCACCTTTAAACTGGAAAGTAATTTTTTAAGCGGATTTTTTTTAAAGTGTAACCGACTTTTCTCTGCGGTCGGACCACGCAAAAAAATATTGCGTAAAGAAAAAAATTGGTCGCATTTGGAATGGATTAACTCGCAACAGTTGCCCTTCTACTTCCATCAAGGTGTTTCAGCTAAATCAAGTATGCTCATTTGTTTCGGGAGTATCTATAAACTCTGCAAAACCAAAAAGAAAGAGTCTCGTAGCGAATTCTACAGTAACCACGCTCTTCGCAATGCCGAACTATAGTATATCCAGCCCACGCAAAAATCGGCGCTCGAAATAAAATACAAAAACCCCCCAATTTGCTCGGAAATTCTTCCAATTCCTGACTGACTGCGGCGTCGGAATTTCCGAGTAATTTGGTTGGGTCCTCTTCTTCTTGAATTCTCCTCTCACGAGGCTCCCACCGTGCTCGGAAATGCGCGATTCGGCCCGTTGAATGGACCGGAATCCATCCCCCAATTCCAACAAAAACGCCCTCGCCATCCTTCGTACCAACCTTTTTTGACTTTCCGTTTTTTTCTGAGTCCTAAAACGAAATTCTAGGTAACAAAATTGAAAATCGACGCTTGGAGCGACAGTGATGATCCTGCCGTTGCTGTCCGTCGTCTGCATCGCTCAGTTTTTTGTCAGGGTTGGTTTTTGGGGAAGTTATTAAAGGAGCATAGGTGGGGTTGATAAAGGGTTTTGGGACGAAAAGGAGAGTTTCTGGGCTTTGCAGAAGCTATACTTGATTCACAGCTTGGAAAACTGTCCAAAAGTCTTTAAAATCCGGATTTGAAGTTCCTCAAGCCGGTTACCTGCGAAAATACATTTCTGTAAATTAATAACACTAAAAATCGCATTTTTCTCTTTTTTCAAGCCCTTTCCCGATCTTTTCACAAAAAATAATTTTTTGGAGATATTCAAAGTTCCCGTTTCACTGAAAAACGGGGTCAAACCAGGACTTCCCACTTTGAAAATTCAGGTCTCTTGTTGAAGGAGCATAGATTGTGTAGGTTAGGTTTAAACTTTTGAAAAATACAAAAACGAAAATAAGTTCAATTCAAGAGAACTCTTATCCGTTTCGTGTTCTAAGGCGAGTCGTCCAAACTTCACGATAAATGGACAATTTCAGGCAGAGCTAGCAGAAGTGAACGGCGTGGAGTCGTCGAAACGGGCCGACCTGTCCTCGTTCGACACTTTGGGCGGCATGGGACTCGGAAAACGGTCCCAGATCTACGCCTTCGACACCCTCGGCGGCATGGGTGAGATATGGAGGAAAAAATTGGGGTTATAAGGGTGGTGTCTTGGAATTTTGAGTGTTACTAGATCACTAGAAAGGGCACTTTAACTGGTTCAATAAGCTTGCTGGTTAACTGGCTCAATAAGCTTACTACTGAAGTGGCCACTAGTGGCAGAAGGGTTTTTAGTGGCCACCCTAGCATCCTTTTCAAGTAGCCCCTTGAGTAGCCACAAAACCTATAATTTTCGGTCATTAAGGGATCACTAAATATTCACTCTAAGAATCACTCAAAGATAACCGACTATTCCATTAGTTCTAAGCGACCTCGGACATTGGTAACGCGAAACGGACGTGCTCCGGACGTTTCTGAGAAATTCTAGGGGTCACTTAAGAGTTCTGAGGCTACTAAAGTGATTCCTAGAAATGCCCCGACACGTCCGATTCGCGTCCCGTTCGCGTTACCAAGGCCAGAGACGTTATGTCCCGAAGTTAATGCCAAGTTAAAAATAATTTCCTGAAAATTCAAAAATTATCTCTGGCTCTCTAAGATTTAGTTGTCTTTTTCCTTTCTCTGACGGCTTTTTGAATTTTGCGACTCTAAAAATTTCTCAGTTTACCTAAAATTTCAGAAATTTTTTTCAGGCCTCGGAAAGCGATCGCAACTGTCGGGATTCGATACGCTTGGCGGAATGGGTCAGTTAAAAAACAATAATTCTCTTTTTCAGGCTTAGGGAAAACGTTTCTCTGGTTTCGATACGTTAGGCGGCATGGGCCTCGGCAAACGGTCTGACGTCATCGGCGACAAAAGAGCCGCACTTTCCAGTTTCGACACTCTTGGAGGTATACTCCGGGAAAAGGCTTTTTCTCTGCGCCCTCCTCGTCTCTCGCTTTTTCATCTTTCTCTGACCCCGCCGGCGAGGGAACAGACAGGCGCAGAGATGCGGAAAAGTGTCAAATTGCGGCAAACGGACTATAGGAGAGAATGAGCTCAAGGAGATAAAGGTCTCGAAACGAAAAGAGAGGCTTCAATCAAATATTCTCTGGCCTTTTGGAAAACTCAGCAATGAGCCGTTGTAACGCATTTTTTTATTTTTTTAAGCTTTCACAAAATTTTTAGGTTACTGTAGCTTCAGATTGTCGTTTCAGGACCTTTCTTCTTGAAATTTCACTGATGTATTAGTTTTTGGAACACTTATGAGAAAGGAAAAATCAGCTTGAGAATGAAAAATGTTTCCATTAATTTTCAAAAAAAGTTCTTTCAAATAAATTCTTGTCTGCGCCCTCCCATGTTTACGTGCTATTTTCATGTCTCTATGACCTTTTCAATAAGACAAGAGAATTGAGAACACAATGTACAAAAGAAAAATGATCAATTGAATGAAAACTTTCAGGAATGGGCCTTGGAAAGCGGTCCGACCCATCACCAGTATACAACTTTGTGATCCGCCCCGCGTACAACTGAGCAACAAGAAAAACTTTCAAATTTCCTCCGGCAGAGCTACACACCTTGAACATGCAATCAACCACCCGTTTTCTATATTAATTTATCGCAATTGTACTAATTGTTCGCTTTGTCCAATTTAATAAAGACGTTTTATTGTGTTTGTTATGATTTTTTTATTTTTTTCCTTGGACCTTGCGATCCTTTGTATTTCTTTTGAAGCTACTTTCTCCATAAAAAGAAAAAAAATACGCAAAAATAATAATTTATTTTTTTATTTTTTTGCGTATTTCACGTGCATTTGCCGCAAGGTTGGGAACTCGGTGTTTGCGGTTGAAAAAGATACAGTTATTGTCAAAATTTGAATTACCGTGGAACAAAAATTCAAATATATTTTTTTAAATTTTTAAATTTTGATTTCAGTTTATTCTAAACGTTTCTTTCCGAAGTTCAAACGATGAAGAAAAATTTTCTAGTGATAAACTTGATTTATTTTGCTTTGTAGATTTTAATTTAAGCTACTGGCCAATTTTTTTAAATTTGATTCGATTGAAGTTGTAAACTTGTTTAATTAAAATTAGAACAAAGTATATTAATCAAATCTAAGCTTTTTATAATATAGGCCAACGAGAATAAGAAAGTTAAATTTAAAAACTGGCTTGGCTTTTTCTTTTTATTCTCGAGAAATTTGGGTGCTTACAAAACTTTTTTTCGTGCTAATTTATTGAAGTTGATGCTAGTTTGTAAGATCTGTCCGAAGAACCTCGCTGAAGTTGTTGTAATGAAAAATTAGCGAGTTTTTGTAAGATCTCAAAAAGAAAAGAGGTTTTTATGTTGCTTTTAGGTCATGGGGTTTTTTTGTACCTCAGTAAAGTTCTTTTAAGCTCAAATTAACTAAAAATACTTCCCGATCATGTAAAATATCGATTTCCAGACTTTTAGGCGTTTTTGAACGGGACGGGATTCATAGTTATATCAAGAAGAGCATCGAAACATTCCAGGTCGATGAATTTATTACCTTTACTCTGAATGATGCAACCGTAAATGAGGATAATTATCGGCATAAATCCCTTATTTAGGTGCTAACGAGGCGACGATAAATCATGTGGTTGGCGTTGTTGGTTTTCGATCATTTGCCGTCGGCTCGGGAGTTGGGCGTGGCCCAAGCCGAGGACGGCTCGGACCGTCCCAAAAATCCTCATTCGGTTGCTTGTTGGCCTTGCGAGCATGTTCCGACTCCTGGCCTGTGTCTATTTCTTGGCTCTTCTTCATACTGGTTGGTTTTTATATTTTTGCGATTCTTTATTGATTATTTTTTTAACGTTTAATTTAAAACAAAAGTAATTTTATAAGTTTAAATGCTGAAGTTTTTCATACACATCGAGAAATATTCTCCATTTGAATTTATCTATTTTTTTCAGCCGACTCAAGGCCTCAAATCGAAGGCCTTCAAACCTATGAACTCCTGGAGCAATACGTAATA